GACCCTTATCTTACCCTGTCAGGACTCTATTTGGCATAACCACCAGCTAACTATACATTGTCATCCTAAATAATAATAATAAAAAATAAAATAATAATAATAATTTTGAGGCCTTCAGTGTAATGTACTGTTTCCAGTGAACAGATGAAAAGGCATTACTCTGGGGGGTGTTGTGAAGGAAGGACAGGGTTTTTATTGCAGACATATCTACATATCTAAGTACGCTCTATGTATTTACACTGTCACTCCTCAGGAGTGTAAACGCTGCCATGCACAGAGAAGGAAGTCTAGGCTAGGAGCTGTTTATCACTACCGCAGGCTATGCCTGTAAAGTTGACCCTTGCTCCCAGAGGCAAGAGGTGCACATTTTGACTGATGTGTAAGTGACTCATGATTAACCCATATGTGTCCATCAATTTTTTTATCCCTCTAGAGAATAGAGATACCACAGGCAGATATGAGTATGCAAATATGTTGCTAAAAATATGTATCTAAATTGCTGTTGTCACTCCTCATTAGGGGTCATTTTATTTAACAAACAACTGAGTATCAGCACTCCTAGGAGCCACAGGACGGGTCCTAGTGTGGTCCTAGATCAAGTTCGAGGAGCTGAGGGAAGCACACGCCAATAGCAGTAAGCCAATTAAAATCACTCTTCATTTAAGCTGTGATCTCTATTGATTCGCCTTTCAATCCTCATCCATCAGACCAGCAAACTGCCCTGAAGGATTGTAGGGAAAGACCGTCTGAGTGGCTCAGTTTGCCAAACCAAGAGCAGCTTTTTCAGAAAATCACGGCAGCTGGTTGACACAAGCTGATCTGAGGACAAAACAAAAGCCAGATGTCAAGACCGAGAGAGTTACAGCTTAAAGAGCGCCTATTAAAGCAAACACAGAATACGAAGTTGTAAACAATAAAAAAAGAAAAGAAGGGAGCAAAACAATGTAGCTTATGGGCTTAAGAAATGTAGTTTGCAATGCAAGTCTAGTTAGAAGTCTAAAATTGACTTGCTCCAATTAAGGTGCATTTTCATCAGTTTTGGAGAGGAATGAAAGAAGAGGTGATCTTTGTTGTAATGGTAACAAAGGTCTGGCAGCATTCATCCTCAAAAACTCGGCCTGATGCCCAACTCATCTGAACCTCCGATAGGATAGGATCCTTTCTTCTCTCCATCTTTTTGTTCTTTTGACGCCATCCCTCTGAAAAGCAGGGGGGAGGGGAGGGTGGGTGGAGTCAGGCAGCAGGACGGGGTTGGTGGTAGTGACTTGACATGAATTGTAAATGAGTGAGGGAAAAAAGTGTGGAAGTGAGCGTCCATCTACACAGCACCGCTTCAGCCCTTTTTTCCTCTCTTTTTTTTTTGCTTACTTTGATTTAATACTGTCTTGTAAGCATACCTAAATGTTAATAATTCCAGTGCTTGCAGATGCATTTCTAGCGAGGTTCGTGTTTTCTTGCAGACTCAAAGGGCCTTGAACTGTCAGTGTCTTCCCCTGGAGCACATGCAGCATACCGTATCAACTTTCTGGTTCAGCAGCTTTGATAATAATCTGACCTCACCTGTTTGGTTGACTTGGGGAGTTATGATTTTTCATTCCATATGCTGTTTGAACACAACAAAAGAGGGCTGGATGTTCACGGTGCTGCCTTAACACTCCTTTGTTTTGCAAAGGTTACTTTACGACAACAAAACTCCTCTAATGTAAGGTCGTGGATGGCAGATTTTTCCTGGTATGGAGCCACTTTTTTTTTTTTTTTACGTGTCCTTACTAGTTAGCAGGAAGGTGTGCAAAAGATGACACTTTTATTTTCATCGTGATCCCCTGATGAGGAGCAACCACATGAACACACAGGAACAACACATTTAAAGGTCACGGGACAAAATGACAGGCGACTGATAGCTGCGGATTTTGGAAACAGAGACAGTCAAATACTGCTGGATTTTTTTTTATATTTGATGCAAAATATGTTTGAAACCTGGACCTTAAGACCCCATACATTATTGTATGTATGTTTCATAAAATAATGATACAGCTGAGTGGAAGGTTGCTAGTATGCCTTTGATTTATTCATAGTGGCATTTCTGAGAATGTGTGTACGGCTGACAGATCTTAAGTAGGTTACCTGTTCTTCTATGCCTAATACAGCCTGAAAGTCCGGGGCACATCTGGCTCTCCTTCAGCCTTTGTTTCTGCCTGTGGGCTGTGTTTCTTCTTCCACACTGTATGCGTACTGCTTTGACAAGGCACAAGAGGTGGAAAGTACATTAACCTGCACTGTACTTTGATAGTATTTTCAGATCAGATTAGTTCACAGAAAGGACTCCAGCACACCTCTGCCTGTTGACACTGTGGCAAACACATAGACAATGCTTATGTCTCAGCCTGGTTTTGACAGTAAGTGATGACCGTTTTCAGGCACTGATGTGCGGTGGTGGACAGTAACAGATCAAAATAACCTGAGTTTTTAGAGTGTGAAACTTGTTTTTGGTTTAAAACCGATAGCATGTCAGAGGATACTGTTTCTGTTCAGTGGATGTACATAAAATTTTTCTTCTTTTCTTCTTTTTTTTGTGAAGTGAGGTCTTAAATTTTTTAATCAGTGTCCATTGGCGAATTTCTGAACAACAAAAGTTAATCACACAACTTTCAACACAGTCATTTCCATAGTCATTATAAAGCAACTTAATTGCATTTACATAAAATCTGTGTTTTAAAGGCATGGTTGACAATTGGAGAGATTGGTAATTATTATGAACCTCATTTATATGGCGATCATGGTCCTATAGTGTGATCTCCTCAAAGTGAAGAGAAAAAGAATTGAAAAAATCCATTCACCCAAGAGAGTGCAGGGCTGCTAGGGTAAATGGTAAATGTTTTTGCATGGCTGCAATGGTCAATCTCCTGCTCTCCATCCAATCGGCTCGCTGTATTCGACTCCCCTCCCACTCTCCCTGTCTCATTTCTTTATCATTTCCTTGAAGTAATAATCACCAGATTAATCATTTTGCACGGCAGACGCCGTAGTTCTTCTGCCTTAGCGTCTCTGTCTGATTGCATTTCCATGAAGAAATGATCATAAATGTTCCTCCTTGGGCTGCGAAACTCCGCTGCACACGGTGATGGACTAACCCTAACTTAATTTTATGCCAGAATATTCCTTTAAAGGGATAGTAAATATCATCATAATTTTGCAGTCCGCCCTCTGGTCAGTGTTAGAGTCTTATTCAGACCGGCTCACTGGCATTATCTTTGCTGACATGGAGCAGTCTAAGTGTCCAATTCCTGCCAGTGGGTTAGAGTTGAAGCCTGTGATTCCAACAGATGTCACGGCGGCACAATGGTCCTTGATGTTGCTGAGGCTTCACCATGGCAACACTTAGCCTCTCTTTCCATGGCGTGTGCCAAGGAGGCCCCTGGCAGCACTCGCTCTCCTCCTCAGTGCCACGGCAGACCTGGTGTTCCAGGCCACCACATTGTTTCGGCGATGATTAATTACAGTCCTGATGAAATGTGAAGGCTCTGGAAATGTCACCGAGATGACACGAGCCTGTCAGTGTGGGCCAGCAGGGAGAGGCATATCGCACACAGACATCTGGAAGGATATAGAGCATCAGCCACTGTCTTTTCAAGAAACCAACTTACCTGGGCTGGTTCCTGTTGGGTTTTATGTAACATTTTCCACCAACTTTATTCTATTTTTACTCCTGCAAAGTGTCTTTCCAGAGTCTGGATTTCAACCTGATACCTTGCATAATCAAATGCATAACCCAACTTAGCAATCGATGTCTCACAATGAATGAGCAGTAAACACCTGGTTATATTAAATATTTTAATGCCTCTAAACATGCACAGCTTTGCTCCCCTGTTTGCTGCCAGCACACAATAACCCATCATGCAAATGTACTGTACGTTGGAGATGTCTGCATAATTGTTTAATCCATTTTTTGTTAGTGGGGGGAAAAAAAAGTGGGGGACGATATCGCTTGATGAAAAACACAAATGACATACCAAATTTCCCTGATGAATTGGTCCATTTACTGAAATAAATTGAATTGATGCAAAGGATCCCAGAGGAGCAGAAAATTGTTCAGCTATGGATGAAAACCCACTCAGAGCTACAGCACCTACATACAGACAGGCTTATTTGTATTACACATAAGGCTTGTAAAGATGTGCTGACAGGCTCTGTTTATCCCACTTAATAATAGAGGGCTTTTTCTCTCTCTGCCAGCTAAAATGTTTGCTTATTAACCTGGGACAAAAACAGAAACAAATGCAATTATTTACAGAATGGGATTGATTTCCCTTTTTTATCATATGAGAAATGCCTGTATTGGAATTTAAAAAGGAACATGGAGATGCTGTATTTTTAATCTGTTGTTGTTTTTTTTGCACAAAAATGTCTGTTTCCATTTTAAATCTCTTTCCAAAATAGTGGCAAAAAGCAGATTAAATCCTCTATTTTCTTTTCTTTTTTTAAATTATTTTCACTCAATACTCAAATTATTTGTTTTGTGTGTTTGCTTTATTTCTTGTATCTTCAAACCCATTCACATCCCAATAACAGAAAGGCTTCCTGTATGATCCAAAGAGAAAACTTCAGAGTCAGAACAGTTCCTGGTGTGTGTTGGCTTCTGGGTTGGGTTATCCAGTGAAAAGGAGGTGAGTGTCGGAGTTTGGGGTCCTCAGAATACCACGTCTTCTTTTGAGGCATGATGTGGTTCTTTTGGCCTTTTTCAGGCTTGGATCTCTGTTGGGTATGAGTTTGACAGGCAGCTCTGCACATGTCCTCAGTAATGTGGGCAATGAACCGAACCATCAAGGTGAAGAGGACGCTGTGCCAGAAGGCAAAGCTTTGAGTTACTAGTCTATCTGTGTTCCAACCCTGTGTAGTCAAGAGCTTTGGAAGAATGAAATCCCTGATCCGAGCTGCTGAAATGAGTTCCAACAGGATCAGGTCTAGACATCCTAGGGTGGCTTGAAGTAGATCTGCTACTCCTTGGCATTAAGGGGAACCAACTAAGGTTGTTTGGTGTCCTATTAAGATGCCTCCTTGGTGCCTCCTTTTAGAGGTTTTCCAGGAATTCCCGCCCAAGGTAGACCCCAAAGCTTATTGGGAATGCCTTGGGAATCCCCCCAGGAAGACTTTGGAAAACCTTGCCATGGAGAGAGAGAAAGAGAGAGAGAGACGTTTTGCTAACCCAGATAAGCAAAAGAAAATGGATGGATAGACTTTTAAAAGAACTCTTGCTCCATATTAGTTGGTGGGTCCAAGCTAAAAAGCAAACCAGGCAACAGTTCAACACAGTATCTCCGCGACACTGCAACCATCAGTGTAAGTTCAACATTCAAACTGAGTAAAGATGTAGTTTCATGCCTATTCCTTGTTTAGTTTGTCTGGAATACTAAACAAGGTATAGGCGTCCTATTAAGATGCCTTAATTTAGAGGTTTTCCAGGAATTCCCACCCAAGGTAGACCTAAAGCTTGTTGGGAATGTTTTGGGAATCCCCCCATGAAGAATTTGTAAAACCTTTCCAAGGGAAAGAGCGAGAGAGACATACCGCTAACCCAGATAAGCAAAAGGAAATTGATGAATAGACTTTAAAAAGAACTCTTGCACCATATTAGTTGGTGGGTCCAACCTAAAAAGCGAACCAGGCAACAGTTCAACATAGTATCTCCACGACACTGCAACCATCGGTGTAAGTTCAACATTCAAACATATATAAAGATGTAATTTCACGCCTATTCCTTGTTTAGTTTGTTGAACTTTCAAAGTTATATTCAAAGATCTCCTTTCTCTAGTCATTTACGTTCAAGCCTGTGGGTGCAGAAACATCTTCAGAATTTATGGAGTCAAATCTTTCCCTTTCTTTTCTCCTCTTTGGCAGCAGATTCTCACACATTCATCTCGCATCATCACCACTTTGAGGTTGCGGAGCATCTGGCGGAGCACCAGAATGGCTGTGCGAGCAGATGTTACAACTTAATTGAAATGCATTTGATCTTGAATGATTAGTGTCCATCAGAGCATTTCCTTGTTTGGTGTCCTAACGAGTGGGCTGCTGTGACAGCCTGTTTCCTCACGCCGGTTTTATGTGCAACTTATTCACACACCATTACCAGCTGTAGATCACTGATGTCAGCATTGTGGGTCAATTTGTCATGTGTAGTGGAGTATTACCCACTCATCTCAATGCATAGAGAACAACATCATTAAGTCACTAACATCAGTAGATATACAGCTTTTGTTTTACCTGACTATAAACACATGTACACCAACAATAAGTCATGTTAACAGACTGGCAGTAAATTTAACTCTGTGATTTTTCCACAGCGAGAACTAGTTTGTTCCTCTTAATGAGAAATGTAACCGTGCAAGAGCAAATTAACCTGTTAAAGTATTCAACGCTGTCAAGTTTTAAGGACACATCCAGGGTAATTTCTTCTCGCATGTTGACTTGAAGCAGGAAAAAATGAGTAAAATTAAGCAAACATGGAGAGATGTATTTGATGTTGTTTGGTAATTGGCTCCACTAATGATGAGGACTGAGATGTTGTTTTGAAGCGGTAAAGTCTGCAGGCTATAAAATAAGTGCTACAGCCATCTATAGCTCAACTTTTTCCTCATTTGATGAAACTAAAAAGGCAGCAAAGTAATTGCATGCACACTGGACACTCCAGAAAATACGCCACCGATACATCTGATTACATTTAAGAGGACGACTGTCTTCATGAGTTTATTGTAATTGCTAGGACAGAAAGTTGTGTGTGGTTTGTTGAGGAAGGAACAAATTGTCTCAGGGCTTAAGGAATAAATAGAAATCAAATTTATGGGCAGTTCGCAATCTGTTTTTATCTCATTATAACAATGTAAAGTTTACGTATTCATTTGCATGCTCATCTCTTCTTCTGTTTATCACTGGGATTGTTTTGGGGTGTATTTCTTTGCAGCTGCCTTGTTATAAGACTTTCAAACAGCGTAGAAGATAGTTAATGGAAAGACACAAACAGAGAGGACTAAAGGTTTTCTCTCAACAGCTATCGTGGCTTTTGGTTGTTTATGCTCCGTACTTGTTGTATGTTTTAGTGAACTTGTTATATTTTAATTACTCTTACTTCAAACCATCTCCCAACATCAAAGCCTGTGTGTGGGGCAGAAGTCAGCCAGTTATCCACTGATCAGAATCGAGTGGGATCTGATTGAGAGAAGGAATATTTCTACACGATGGTAATTTGCAGTTTCAGCTCCTACACTGGAAGTGACCCTCTGCTCCCTGAGCTTTTGAAATGCTCATCTGATTAGAGAGGTCATGCACAGAGAAGCAGAAATGGGGAACATGCTCTCCAAACACAGGAATGATTATACAGACCTCTTTTTCATCAGCAGCAGAGCGGGCTCTTTTTTATTCCGCTCATGTCTCCTAAAACATGTATCCCAGACTGCAGTTTTCTGGTACATAGTGGCCATCAGCGATGCGCTCTTTTTCGCCTTGATTTTCCACCGCTTTAGACACATGTTGTAATCAAAAATTTGAACGCCATGACTTTTACTTTTAGCACAAATGCAGCGACAAGCAAACATCATCTACGTCACTTCAGTGAACAAAACAAACACCAGCATCTGTCCTTGGGCTTGGTTGGGTCTAGGCAGAGGGGAAACCTAAAGACTCAGAAAGTGTGTAATGAGGGTTTTACTGTAGGGATACAGTGGTCTGCTGCTCTGGTGGGTTGTGCCGGGGATCAATGGTCATTAATCTTTCTAGAGAGGCTCTGGTTGCACTTTTTAGGGGGTAGAAGGACTGCTGACCCAAGTACAGGACGTCTTTCTGTGCCCAACAAGCAAGGTTTTCTGCGTTTGGACGCCACAGCACTTCTCGTGTGTTTCATCTCCATCTAAGCAGAGCTCATTTAGGACTGAGGCTTGAGTGAAGTGCGGACACGAGTCATTTAGCAGCAGCTAAAATATACAATAGACTCACTGTGGTGGAATTTAAAACTGTTTTGTAAACTGTCTACAAGTTAATTAGTTGACAAGTAGAATGAAACTGTTCAAATACACTTCTTAAACTGCAATATTAAAAAGTGTTGATGCCTTAACAGCTGGTTTAAGATTTTTCACAAGACTTGAAAAATATGAAATCTCATGCACAACTGATGTGTGTTCAAAGTGTGCCAAGTTTGGGGGATGTTAAAATCCCCCAAAACAATTAATTTGCAGGATTATAAAATAGTGATGGGCATGGCAGTTCTTTTAGATGTACTGAATCACCAGAATCAGTTCACTAAAAAGAATCAGCACTTAGAAGCCTGTGACTCCGACCTCCTGAACTGATACACAGCTGAACAGTTCAGGATTCAGTTCAATTCATAGCCTCTGGGACTGGGACAAAAATGATTCCAGAGAGTGTAGTTCAATGTGTGATTCGTTCACCAAGTGATTCAGGCGTTGGTGCATGTGGTCCCTCATTCACCGGCTGCTGGCCTGGCAATGCTGTTTCTCACTTTGGCTCAATTGAAGTGAGGAACGAATCAATCGCAGAAGTGATTCGGTTCAGTACGTTCACCTAAAAGATTCTGTTCTTTTGAACGAATCTTTTAGGTGAACGACACAACACTTACATAAAATATCTTAAGAGTTCTAAGGAAGGTCCTCGCACCCTCAGTGCTTGGTTCCTCATCAGTGCTGTAAAACTTACAGTCCTGCACTAAATGCTATGCTTTATGGTCAAACATGATTCAAAGAATTTTAATACAAGCATTTTCTGCCAAGTCCAATCATTTCATGGGAGCATTTCTTTTCCCAAAGTGAGAAAATTACCAATAAACCACCTGGGGAGGAAAACACGGAACAGCCTGGCCCACTGCTGTGAGAATTATTTGGAGGGTACCTTTCACTCTCAAGTGAAGTCGTGAAACTTAATGACATAAAAATATGGTTGAATAGTTTAATGAACCTGCACGTATAATCCCTGTTTGATTCAGACGCCTACATGAGACTCTCACGGTGCAGCTAATGTAATGTTATGGAGAATTATAGTCAGCACTGGAAATAAAGTAAAGCTGTCACCACACAAGACTCCACATCAGTATTTTATATAGTTTTACCAATATTAGAGCCGTGTTCCTCAGCATATTATACCCTATGTAACATTGTACTGTAAAAGTAGACTATCTGCATTTGAAGAAAAATAAAACAAACGTTTTCTCTCATTTTTTATCTTTAATCATCATTCATCTCTTTGTTCAGAGTTGTGTTTTGGGGATGTAGACTATGAAAACGACCTGGACCTTTCCAACGGGCGTAACTCCGCCTGTCTGGAGTCAAGGGCACTTAGTGACATGATACTAATCCAGGTTGGCACTGACACACATAAAAAAACACAAACACATTAAGTTAAGAAGGCTCAAGGATTTCGTAGGGCAAAGCTGTATTTCTTTACACCACGACAACGGCGGCAGGGCTTTTAAAGAACCATAAATATGAGGTTTAAAGAGGAGCTGTTAGTCTTTGGATATGACATTCTCTCTACCCTCTATTTTCAAGAGCCAAATATGGCTAAATTTAATTTCTTTTCTTTCTAGTCCTTTAACTGCCTGACCTTTTTCAATATCTTTTTGTCTCAAATTCCCAGTGTTATTGTAGTTTTTGTTTTTGTAGCAGTTTCTCGTTGTCTCTCATGCATTTCAATGTGGGTGATGTGCATCAACATCACATTAAAAAATGAATCATATGTGCATAGGTGTGCTTTGGTGATGATATTTGTGACAGTTTCTGCGGGAAGATACAACTGAATGTGATGGCTAGAAAGAGTATGATGAAAACAAACAAATACATAAACATTTGCAAGAGAGAAAAAGAAAGAACGATTGCATCAACAGCAAACAAGCAAAGTCAGATTACATTGTTGTGTTAATGGTGGCTTAAAGTGAGTATGATGGGGCAGCATTAATTAGAGTTAAAGCCGTTTTCTTTCTGAATTTGCAGCTTGATTTTTCCCACTGCGCAATGAGACGTCGAAATGACATCTATGTAACGTATTTTTCGACAATGAGGTATAAATGTGGACATCATTTCAACGTCTAAAAAAGGTCCAATAATGACGTCTATATCTTGGATCTATTTTGCATGTTACACTAACGTCTAGATGTGGTCTTTGACAGACCGACCCAATACTGACTTGATCTGCACGTCTCTTCGACATCCAATGTTTGGTGGGTTGGTTGAAATCCTATAAGGAGTTTTCTTAACTCGATGAAAAGGACTGAAATTCACATGAATGCTCTTTTATCATATGAAAAAGCAAACATCACTATTAGCAACAAAATATGTGTCTTTTAACGGTATTTTAAACTGCTTAAAAACCATGTGAGAAAGTAGGTGTCAGCCAACTAAACAGCCCAATTTTTGCATTTTCTATTTTCACTTGACAATAAATGATTAAAATGACCATTTTAAAAGCGGTTTTAAAAGTCAGAGTGACCCTTTTTTTGGGGGGGCATGAGTTCAAAATGTAGAGGATAAGAAAGGCAAAGACTGCTCTGTCCAAAAGGAGGCACCTTTTGTCTCTTTTAGTCCTTTAACTAAACTGTCTTGAATCCAAAGCAGGGTGCGATGAAATACCCTCTTGCATTTATTTTAACTGAGTGGCACAAGTCATTCCTGGATATAGAACAGAGCCGACTTTATTGAATAAGTATTGAGGAACTGAAACAAAGTGGCCCATCTCAGTGTCTGTGTATAGGAGATGGGAAAAGATATTTGAAGTTCACTCATGTAAACATTTGGCTCTCCACGTGAACACCTCCAATATGACTTTGTATGCATTACCACCTTTCCCTTCATAAAGTGTGTTTCTCTAACTGCCTTCTTTCTCATTTGTACCCTTTGGTCAGTATCAAAGCAGCACCATAGAAGTGTTTTATACATTCAACTCATTATTCACTGTGTCTAATTAATGCTACACTCGAAATAAGGAAAGTGCAATTTAGCATCTCCTCCCTGCCCCTGTAGGGGAATCCATTTAGCTGCAAACCTCTTTGAAGTAGAACTTATTTTCATTGGTATCCAGAAGTGTTGACGCTCAATACAACAGCTGACCCTTTACTTTATATCCCAAAAGGAGTTCTTTTTGCTGCAGCCCCTTCAGCTATTTATACTTTCGACTTTCAGTTTTAGTTTATTCTTCAAAGGTGCATCACATGTTTGGGCGTCTGCTGTATCATTTATTTTAACAAACTTGGTGCCGGATGATATTTGCCTGACATTTTGAAGCAGCAAAAATTTGAGTCCACAATGGCAATCAGTGACATCCAGAACACAGACTAGTGAACACAGACTAAATTCACTTTCAAGAGTAAAAAATGTTTTCTGGAAATAAATGTCTAACCCCTTCACCCATGTGCTTCTACCCTTCACAGACTTCATGAATTGATGCCTTTCTCCTAAATATTTGGTCACACGATCAATTTCTTTGACCATTTCCAAGCAGCAAGGGGGTGGCTCAACTTACCCTTTGGCTCAACTTACCCCACTCTTCCCTATCCTGTTATTCAGTATTGCATGGTATCATAACTTTTTGTGATTTATCTTATGCATTGCATCTCAACTGTTTGTAAGTTATCATATCATCACTTATCACATCTTTAGTATTTGTACTTTATCTTATCATATCTTATCGACTTTTATCGCATTGTACATTTTTGTAATTTATCCTATCATATTGTAACTTATCACATTGTTACCTTTTTGTAATGAATCATATTGTAACTTATTGCATCATAATTTTTTGTAATTTATCGCGGATCATTTTGTAACTTACTGTGTCATAAATATTACAGTTTGGTTTGATAGTTTTTGTGTTGTTTTTTTTTTGCAGTGGATCAGGCCACCTGCAAAAGGTTGAAGGAAAATCTTGAGTGTCTCAACAAATGCTGGTAAGCAAGAGAGTGAAGTAAGAGAGTAGACAATTTCAACTCTGGTTGCGTGGGGATTCAGCTGTAACACCTTAGCATGAAATCTTCTGGGTGGTCATGAAGTAGATCAACGAAAATGTTCAGAATATCAGAGTATAACTTAAGTCTAGTGAACAAGCAAAGGTCTATTTGTTTTTTCGATTACAGACTCATGACACTGAAACAGAGGAAAGTGCATTGTAGCTGACACTCAGTGGGTCAGCTGACACATCCTCCCTCTCTGGAGAGTTCATTCTCATGAATGGTGTACTGCAGCTTTTTAATTACAGTGTCCTACTTTTTTCATACCCCTAAGAGCAAAAATTAATAACAGAAAAATTGAGCTCTGCACTGCAAAACTAGGATAAGTAAACTGCCCTGCTTGTTATTGCATGGACAGAGCTTCAGCCTGCAGCGGGGCTGTGGTGGGTTAATATTTAATGTTCTTTTCCGACCTCAGAAACAAACCTCAGAGAACTTGCAATGAACAATCCCACGTCTTATGAGTCCATTTTGGTTGGGTGTCTCAAATTCAATAATTAAATATGTGGGTAACAGTAACAGTCAGTACCCAGTTTTGAATCCAGATGACCCAGATTTGGCATAACACTGAATACAATGCAAGCCCATTCCTAATGAACTGAGACAAAGTAGAAAATTGTCCTGTGGTCTCACCGATTACAGTTCAAGAGCAAACATCTATGATGGTGCAGGGATGTGTAATTGCTCATTACATGGGTAGCTTACACATCTAAAAAGACAATAATAACGCTGAACAATGTATACAGGTTTTAGAGCATCATATGCAGCCATTCAGACAAACACAAACCTCATTGTGCATGGGTACCGACAGCATGGCTTTGTAGTGGAAGAGTCCAAGTGCTAATAAAGAAATCCTGATTCTGTCAACATTTCTATCTCGGTCCCAATTTATTCAGGGAGATTTTGTCTATCATTCAAAAGTTGCCTTCAAAGACACAAAAACAGAACAATCTTGCGTGCTCTATGGCTGCACAGTTGTAGAAAATGGAGAGAAAAGTGGATTTCTATATGAGAGTGCTAGAATATGTAAATAAATATATGTGCATGCATTTGTGTGTAAATCTTTGAGACAGTGTGTATTCATGCGCCTGAATTAGCATGTCTTAGGCTCTATAAAACAGAGCTGATCTGATGTCAGAAAAAATACAGTTCACTGTGTTTCTCTTGTATGGACAGCTACATATATTGTTGTCATTTTGCCTCTCTAAAAAGGTGAAAATCCCATCAACAATCTTTCATCATCTTTTATATTAATGACTCTGCCTCACTATAGGCCCTGCTCTAAATCTTGACAGACACTATTCCTAGTAATTACGCTGACACCAGCTTTCCCCGTGACAGATTGTCAAGTATAAACTCCAATATATTAACAATAAACATCATCTTCCTCTTGACTTGTTTTTTCTCTGTAGCATTTGTTCTTCAGTGTAGTGGTAGTTTATTATTGGACTGGTACCAAAGCTGTTAAATGTCATTCACAGTTAGTAAAGGCAGTATGTCCATATTTTTCTGTTTACTTTTGTTACAAAAAGTAAAACTTTTAGACCCCTGGTTCACACATTGACACTTGCTGAACTCTATTTTGTTGCACAGCATAAAGGAAAAGATTGTGTTGTGAAGATTGCAGCCACAAAGAGAGGTCTCTCTCAAAACAGTCACCATCTGAACTGATCAAGGCGAGGCAGAGGCATTCATTAGCTCGCCTAAGTTCATGCCCACTTATCAGCAGACTTCAAACTCCATTATTGTTACGGGATTGCTTGGTGACATTTGGCCACGGCTCTGAATATTCATGACGCCCAGAGTGTGCCGTGAGTCATCTATAACCCTAACGCGTCAGTGTACAAACATCAATGGGGACTGTGCTCTGAGATTGTTCAGCGGATGAATCGAATGGTTGAACACCGGGGTTTGTTGTTGTTGTTGTTGTTGTTGTTGTTAAGTGCAGGTCGTCACTCGACAGTTTTGAGCATCAGAAAGTTGTTGAACAGTCTGTTTAACAGTTGTACGATTTTGTTTGAGAGGACAATGTGGTCGACATCCATTTCCAACACTGGGTTGATGTGAAACTCCACTTTCAAAGAGACTCTAGCTGCATTTACATGGGCACAAATAATCGGAATAAAAATGTAAACATGCCGATCAGAAGATTCTGATCCAATTCAGCTAAATCAGAAAGATATTGTCTTCTGATCCAGAGGGGTGGTTTATGCGAATCATTATTCCGATTCGTGTCCATGTAAACACCTATTCCGATTGTGACTCCCTGACTGCGCATGTGTGCCCTACGTCAACGTGATACATTTCCATTGTTAGTGACAAGATGTAAACATGGCGGGATCCAAGAGCAATTAGTCTGTGTCTGACACAACTTTCTCGCTGGATACTGTCTCCTCATGTAACGCTGGATCAGGATGTGCTGCTGGGCCCACTTGAATCATGTATACGAGAACCAATACAACCGCTCAGAACCTGACTCAGGTCCATTCTAAGTGGAGGGAAAATACTGGATCGGATGAAGTGAGCCACTACTGCGTTTGTTGGTTTGTTGACAACTCTTCTTCTGCGGTTGTTTTAGCGAAATTAAACAACTCTGCGCTTGTCCAAATGCCTCCAATCTGAATAAAGCTTGGTGCATGTATGCGCACGTCATGATTGGATTATTTGATTTTGCGCCAATATAAACAGTGGATTTAGATTTCCTGATTCCCTCAAATCAAGAAATTTTGCACATGTAACTATGGCTATTGACACTTTAGTTGGTTGAAGCAAATCATTGTGCAGTCAGAGAATAAGCCGATGTCCATAGCTGATTTGATGTGAATCCAATTTTAGCTTGTTAACACAACAAATATGAGTCTTTTGGTAATTTTAGTTTTGAAAACTTCAAGAAAGCTGTGAAAGACTCATGTAAAAGACTCATGTGAGGACTCTGTTAGGAAGAAATCCCTGCAGTGAAAACCCAGTCATCAGAATAAGAACAGACCTAACAGTGAGCAAAAACTGTTTGAATAATACACCATACAAAGCATGTCCAGGACCTCATGATGTAACCTCGCATGGAATCAAATTCCTGCTCAGTGATTGGTGTTATCCTGTGAAGTGACAGACAGTTAAAGGTCAACCACGAAAAGTCGTAGACAGCATGCAATACGAAAAGGCTGCAATGACCTTCAGGCAATTGCAATCTGGGAAGAGCAGAGTGGCATTAAGATGCGGGAGTAATTACAACAGAGTGCCGTGATAAGTGGAGTTTTTTATTTGTGACTTCATTGCAGTAAAAGATTGATACAAAGCAGGGGTCATTTGTTTCTATCTGATTCTTTGCATTAATGTAGCATGTTCTTTGTATCACAACCAGGGGAGAACTTTTAAAGGCAAATCCAGAGGAGAATAAACAATCAGCAATCCTTAGAGTTATTGCAAAAAGGGTTTTTCCAACCATTCGTAGTGCGAGAGGATAGATGGTCCAATTTCCTCTTGTGAGGAGAATATCAAATTTGCTATTCTCCTCTTATCTTAACATGCCCCAAGATGAATGCTGTAAAATACTGTCAAGTGAGCTTACATCGTAATGAAATTAGCATTTTTTTTCCAGATGGATTAATGATTTTGCATATCAAGGCAGAATCTTTTTCATTATTAAGAAGTAAGAAAATTATGTATTCATAAAAATGAAACCAAATGATTTCCTCTGTGCTTATTGGCTGTAGTTGTCCTTGAATAACCTCAGAATTGAATGTGAGTTTGTCTTAAGATGTGTGCTGTATTTCATGAAGAATGCAGGATATGGTGCTAACTCTTTTAAGTCCTAAACCAATCAGATTTAGCTTCTCCTAGTGACCAAATAACTTAAACCTGTCCTCCACTGTTCAGCTGTTTCAGTTCAACTATTATCACCCTCCTTCACCCCAGTTACCTCCAATCCATCCCAATAGTATCCAGCTGCAGCTCTTCAGTTAACTCATATGAACTTTGTTCCTTTTTTTTATCTTGACATCACAAATAAACATCTAACATTTCCTGAGCAACCCTCTGTTCGATATTCAGGTTGTACCTCCTGGTTTCAAGAAGACAGCATAAAGAGAGGTGCTTTTATTTATTTATCTATTTTTTTCATTTCTAAATGTCCTGCTGGAGAAAATCTATGTACAAATCAAAGCCTAGATGAGTTGAACTACAATGGGAGGCCACCTTGCTCTATTGCTGCTGACACAGAGGGTAATTGCCCTGCTCTACGACTGAAATGTCACGGCTGTTCTTATCCCAGGTGGGCTCTTCCATCAACTAATAAATGCCACTGCCCTTCTCTGGGCACCAAAGACCGTAATATAATATGGCACAACACTCATAAAAATCAGCAAATGACACCTCACCACAGATGTAATTAGCAGCGCTTATCTGGATCTAATTTGCTCGGTGCCAATATGAGCACTACTTTGTTATGCTACTGATGTTTAAGGTCTGTGTAATCAGATCGGATTCACCGGAGTCTTGATAAAGCACTTTAACCATTTTAATCTTTTCATAAGAGCTTATAGGCATTTTTTATTGCTCTAGAGTGCCAGTACCATGTTGAAATTTAAGCAAATAAAATGCCAGAATCCCTCCATAGAGTGAATTTCCCTTATAGAGCATGTACGTTTTGATCATTTAGAAATACATTCATTCAACACATGCAATTTAATCGGCTGTTGAAACATCACAATTTCCCTTCCACATGCAGACAAACTGTCTCCAACTCATATCACTGTTTGGCTTTAATTTCAGCCCCCAATTACTACAGACCTTATCTCATTTATATGGTAATAACACCTCGGATGTCAGCACTGGCAACGCAGATCACGAGTCAGGCAGGGATGGCCTTTTGTGGCCAGGGCTCGTTTACTTCATTCTCCTGCCTGACTGCCTTGACCGGCAAAGACCCGTTCAATGTGTGAGAGGATCGAGCAGCAACTGGAGCCTGAATGCAGGGGAGGGGGGGTTAATTTACTGTAACATATTGTTGGTAGCACTTACAGAGGTTAGATGTAGTCTTTTGTTTGGAGGTACAAGGACTCCTTTGACCTTCATTGTGTTTATTAGCAGGAGGGATCTTATTCATTATGATACAAACCTGAGTTAAACAGAAAATGAATAACATTAGACCAGGGAATCTCAAACAAACACATGAGTTCACACGAAAATAACACTGTACAACAAATATTTTGTTATTGGTGCATCTTTTATCTCTCAATGTGTTGTAGCGTTAGGTGAGCTAAGAAACATTTACCCCCTTTACATTGCAGCATTGGAAGGACTTTTTTCAGTAACATTTTACAAAAACCATAACTTAAAAATGGTAAATAGACCATTTATAAATGGTAAGCAGATAGTTTATTAATGTTAAATCATCATTAATAAATATCATATAGACCATTAATAAATTATAAATTTTACAATTTTAAAAACCTAACCCTAACTTTACAAAAACCATCTAAGTAATGTTTATAGATGGTTTAAAAAACTAATATTAATCATTTACAAAGTGCCACTGACACACATTTTAATCTAGATGTTTTACAACCAATATTTAAACCCTGTATAAACCTTTAATAAATAGTCCATTAATAATTATTGAAAATTATTTATCATAATTTCATTGCTTGTTAATGGTAAAGTAACAATTGTTTTACATTGATAAACTATCTGATTACCATTTATAAATGATGGTTATTGCAAAGTGTTACCCTTTTTTCTTGCTATGAGAAAAGGTCTTCAACAATAGCAACCCATTATTACAACCAAGTCCAGGAGGAATTTCAACATCTTTTCCTTATGGTAGTTGTGTTTAAAAAAAAATATCTAGTTAACAGGTATGTGACAGCTGTCTTGATAAAATGTTCAACAGACAATGTGGGCGGTGTTTTAAACTAATCAGTGGAGCTTATAGCTCCTGATTTTGGTATTATTTGCTGCAGGAAACAGAATTGAAAAAGTTTGGTGTGAGGGTCGAAGGTCACTTTTAGGTCAAAGATGATGTATTTCAGTTTTGTCAAAGTTCAAATAAAGGACAACCACTTAAAAGGCGTTTATGAGGAGATCACACTTGATGGAATTATATCAAACACCAGGGATTGACTGGACAGCTGACTGAAAGGGGACTGAAACCCTGGGGAACTCCACATATCAGGGGAAAGGAGGAAGATACGTGGCTGTTCATAGCCACCTTGACATTACTGTTTCCGAGGAAGGGCTGAAACCATTGTAAAGCTGTACCAGAGATACTTACCTATTTTAAAGTTCATCTTTTTGATATTTTTATAAAAATGTTTTAAGACCCAAATGCGTTTTTAATCTAGCAGAAAAGGATTTCAGTCACACTAAGCCACCTGATCGTTAATTTCTGACTTCTGATCAGTATTCCAGAAAAACCTCCTGTGAGTATTTAATGAAAAAGAAGAGGTCCTTTTGGGAATTGAAGGTAGACTTCTTTCATTTTTGCCCAGTTTGGATTAATGGGAACTTGGCAGGAGAATCCACAAGGAAAGTCACGTCTGCGATGTGACTGGAATACTCACCTAAAGCTGTAAAATTTATGTCAGACAGCGGTGGCTGTTACTAACAGGACGCCAGTCAGAGGCCAAAAGAAGATGGAAATGTGTGAAGAAAATGAGATGTAAGAGGTATTAGGTTGTCAACAAATCAGTGTAATAAAGTAGATGAACTCTATTGTTTTATTTGCATGTAGGATGCAAGATCCTCCTATCATTCGAGAGCCTTTGTAGACCTCTCACACTGACACAGACCCGGTGTCTCTTTCATTTCCTACATGTTGAAAAATCAGACCTGTCTTCCACACAGCAGTATGAGGACATTAATGAGGAGCACAGTATTGATTTTCTATGAAACCACTGCACTGCTTTGTTGCATTTCCTTAACCTTGGCTTCTCTGAACCCGCGACTGCCCAATTCAATTTTTGTTTGTTTGTTTTTCGTCTCCCTCAAGGGGAAATTTCATTAACTCCTTACTTCAGTGCTTGGCATCTGTTGTTCCACCGAAATAGTTCAGTTGAAAAAAAGGGAAAAACACTGAAAAAGTCAACCTTCACTTGGAGGGAAAGATAAAATATGTACATCTAGAAAAACGTTATGTTCCAAATCACTGATTGCCTGTGACGGATCTGTGCTGTCACCTCTCAACAACCCCTTGGATTTGGCGCTTGTGGGGAGCAGACTCCCTCTCACAGATGGGCGTCGACAGTCTGTGTTTCATGCTGCGTTTTAAGCTCATTTGGGCTCACGAACCTTGGCAGGTCAAAGGAGAGCTATGAGCACCATCAGGCCTGTCAATGAGAGCTGAGCTTTTTGGATGTTGGTGGTCTGTTTAACAAGCGTAACATCTTGACTTGTGGGCCCGGTAGGCGGTTGAACTAACAGTGCGCCTCTGGATGGAGCTCAAAGTTGAGTCCTAAAACCTGTTCAACCTCTAGCCTTGAGTTGCTGGGAAAGCTTTCAAATCATCTAAAAATATTATTCAGGTACGGTTGGGTGTAGATATGACACATTCAATTCGATTTAATAATAAATTCTGACTTTAATTTACAAGCTGTCAAAGGTTTATCTTCTGCACAAAAGATCTGTGTCCTGGTGAGGGTTGATAGCTACAAGGCTGCCAATCTTCGGCCCCCGTCCCAACCTGTAAACTCCTGTTGTAAACTAGGTCGGTGCAAACAGAGAGTGAGACAGAAAGAAAGGGGCTGCTGGGAGCATTGAATTATTCAGCCCACTCCGCTGAGCTCTGATAACACAAACAGAACATAAGCAGTGTAAGACTTTGTGCAAGACAAGCGGAGAGCTGAATCAGTCTTTATGGGCAGAAGTTATCTTTACAGTTTTTCTAGATCAGAAAATAAGAGAAGGAAACACGTCTTGAATGGATGAGGGTTTTAAAGGTTAAAAAGACTCGGATTGGCTCTCTATGCATCGAAAATAAAACATTCTCACTTCGCACACGGTCTGTATATGTTGCACTGTCTCCAACTACGAGAAAATTATTGTTTGAGTAACAATACGAGCTTTCCTTCAGGTTCTCCAATCAGAAAACATCATTAAGTGAAGGACTGCTGGAGTCTAAACCCCTTCCAGCTCGTCCCTCATCTAAACCCCGGTGTAAGCCTTTGATCAGCTCGCCCTGCTGTATGTCAGAGTATGCCGACTGCTTTTCTTTTATGTGCAGAGGTTGTTAACTTTTACAGCCTCCTTTGAATGATGGGAGAAGTGCATACGTCTTCACAAAAAAAACTGTCGAGGAAATCTCCTTTTTTTACCCCTTCATCACGGGCATTTCGCCGTGTCTGCCAGATCCAAGCGAATTAAACGCGAACGCAGACGTGCTCATAAATCTTACAAACATTGACGCAACCTGTTTTAGACTTGCTTACCAGATGTAATTTGTCAAGAACGGGTAATTGTTATCCACACAGAAAATTTACGACATGACATCTTAATCTTAACCTTGACTGTCACTTCCTGCATGTATTTGAAACTATAAGTCAAATTAAAGTTACCCTATGTAGAGTTGTGTACAAATCAACACATTATTCAGTAATAAAACTACATTATTCTTCAGTTATACCCACACTGACCGGATTGTGGATATTGGAAACTTATAGGGGAAAAAATCTCAGAGTTTAGATACAACGAATAACAATGATGTCCTCCCTGCTGCAGAGGCAACAGAGGATACATCTCTGTAAACAAGGAATTAGCACAACATATCCACATGCTGCTACCTGATAGTAAAGGTTTATGTGTGATGTTAACAGTGTCATAAAGCTGTGTGGAGACTGCCCTCTTCTTTTTGTTCCAGAAGGGTAATCAAAAGGGGGATATGGGGTCCTCTCGCTGAGATCCTTATAAAAAAATGTAATAAACAAGGGAGTAGGAACATACAGATCTCTCATATGTTAGAGGGTATTTTTCACTGTTTTCTTATCAATATTTACTCCTGATCTACAAACACTGTTTAAACTTTTCATTATAATATATATATATATTTATTTATTGGCAGACTTCGGGCTACAGCGTACTTGAAGTCGAATGTTTTAACAGTGTAGGCTCTTACCAATTTTTGCTTGCTAGCTAGCCAGCTAGTTGTCTAAAGCTAACCATTTGAGTTTATTTATGCTGCGTTCGAATTACCTCAGAAGTCAGATGTCAGAGCTGAAAATGACGTCACACCCAAGTTACCAGCGTTTCAGTTACCAAGTGGGAAAAAAACAAAATCGGAGGTGGAAACAAGATGGCTACATCTACGAATGTTATTTTAGGGCTTCCCTTGTGTCCTTGTTATATTCGGACAAAGCAAGCGCTGAAATAACTTGCGTAGATGTAGCCATCTTGTTTCCGCCTCTGATTTTCCTTTTTTCCCACTTGGTAACTGAAACGCTGGTAACTGAGGTGCGACGTCATTTTCAGCTCCGACATCTGACTTCCAAGGTAACTCGAACGCAGCATTAAAACCGTCCCCCTACGATGTACTACCTACTTGCTGTAAATAAGATCCACATTATTGCTCTTAAGTATCTGTGTTAAACCATAGCTGCCATCTCTCATTGTGCTTTTTTTCTGTAATCTGGCATTTAAAAAAAGAAGAGAAATCAATTAATCAAGAGTTAGACTGTCAAAAAATCGACTAATCTGCTTCATGAAGATAGTGTAGGTGTGTTTTATTCATATTTGAATGACAGTTGCCTGGCAACAGGAACCAAAATTATCCCCCGAGTGTCAGATTTAGCTTAGAGTGTGACTCAGTTCTGATTGTTCACCATCCTTTGCCGACGGACCCCAACCCACATCAAATTGGTGAGAAATTTTCAGACAAAAAAAGGACAGAATCTTTTGAGGGCTTACAACAAAAACGTGACTTTCACGATTGAGAATCCAAATGTGGAGTATGTTCTCATATAACTGAATACTGATACATGATTTTCCTTGGAGGGATATCAAGGACTCTTTCTTTGATTTGTTCAACCTCATACACAAGCGGAAATTCAAACCAATTAAACTTTCACCTCTGCAGAGAGAGCTTTTAATGCACAATATATTTATTAGGAAACTACCTTTAAGGGTAATAAAACTACCTGGTAGAAGGTTGTTTATATAACATTACATTTTGTTTGCTGTAGACAAACCACAGTCTGAATAAAAATGCCCCACAAGAGTAAATGTGTCTTATCAGGTGTTCCCTGCAGGGATATGTAAAATGGAGCTGATAATGGAGCTGAGCTTCCTCAACCACCTCCACACCTCTCCTAAGCCTAACAGACACACACACATGCACGCACACACATGCACGCACCCACACACATGCATGCACAGTCTGGTTCTTTCCGTCTCCCCTACCTTCGCTGTCACATTGGCTCTGGACTGTCAAAGAAACAGCTTGTGATCCGAACCCCTCTCCTGTTCTCCTCAGTTAGATAAACGCCACATGCTGTTGGAGTCCTGAACCACATTTTTAAGGCTGCCATAGACAGAGCCGATAATGATGCCACCTATCAACAGTCCCATTATATGGCATGGATAAGGGGGTGTACACATGCCTTGGTACTTTTCCCGACAGCACACTGTACACTTTCACCGTACCTGTCAGACTCGCTTGAAACCAGTGACAAGTTTTCACATTCACAGTAAACACTGAGCTGTTTTTATATGTTGTGCCGTGTATTCATTTATTTATTCATTTTGAAAGGGGAAAACACGCAGTAAGAGACTGATCTTACTTCAATCCACCACAGGCTCTGTTGTCTGGCAACTCTGCAAAAAGCCAATGTTTGTTATTTGCAATTCAGCCTCCCGTGAAGGTTGTTTTAGCACAGATAAAAAAGCTTGTTCTGTAGAGGGTTTTCACATTGGTCAGAAATGTAATCTAATTTAATTGACATCAGTTTTAAAGTATTTTCTTCAAGCACCAAATCTCCAACATTCCTGTTCGCCCCAAGAACTGAACCATCAGTGTAGAAGTTTCTGAACATTTTCGGTAACTACCATCAACGACCTATTTTCATCATGGACGGTATCAAACTGTTGTCGCCTCCTTTCCCCAACCATCTGCCTTCACTTTCCACACAGAATTTACCAAGTGAGGAATCAAATCAAGGTTGGTAAAGGGTCAAAGAGAACGAGAGAAACCACCAATAAAAGTCTTTATTTTTTTTCTGAACATTTATGTCATCACTAAAAGAGAGCTATAAAGTGGAATTTCTCTGAACTCTGATACAATCATAGATCCGTAGGTTAAGGATGTTAAGGAGAAGTTGATTAAATAGGATTGAACTGAACAGACCGGACACTTCTAATCTGACACATTAGGGTGCTGACAAACAGGCCAAGTATAATGCAAGGATTGATTGCTGTGAGTTCTTCTCCAAATGAAGCTTCTTAGCTGGTAGGTAATTAGGAAGTGAGCAGATGCTGGTATTGAGTGCTTTGAGCTCCTGAGGGAGGCAGTAATTGTTTTCTGTTGATTGCATGGCCTTTTGACAGGAGAGTAGGTCGCTGCAGTAGTGACCACGGACTGGTTTGTAAAGTGCTACACTTTACAGTGTTACAGCAAATACAGTGACATGGAAAATTGTTAGGATATTGGTAGAAGATCAACCCAAAACAAACACTTGGAATATCTATTTACAATCTTTTTACTATCTGTGCTGCATCCTGAAACAGAGGGTCTGTTTGTGAAGAGGATGCTTTCTCTTTCATCCTAGTGCAGCTTTTAGGCACATTTTTATGGCAAGCCTTTGTTTAAATTTACATTTTTGTTCACCCAAACTTTCTCCTCTTCAAATATCATTTTTGATCACCCAAAAAAGCAGAAACACCAGCTTTAAAACTTCAGGACAAAATGAGCATTAACAACTTTAGGGGCTCCAGAATGGATACAGACCAAAAGTCCTTCACAACTAAACTGGTATTTATTGCTACAAAGTTTGTTATTTTAATTTCATCTACTTAACCTATGTCAATAATTTCTTTAGAGAAAATTTGAGTAAATTCAAGAGACACAGCGTCATTTCAGTGAACAGCTTTTTTTTATTACAGCCACAACAAGCATCATTAATCGAAGAGAAACCATTTCTCAGACTGTCCTGCTCACTTTCAAGTCCCTTGAAACCTCCGAAGAATTCAAATGAGGAGAATCGCTGTCAAGAATAAAACAGAGGAAGAAGAAACAGAACCTTATTTATCCCTGAAGGGAAATTCAATAAGTGGAGACAGTGAAGTCTGAACATCTGTCCATATACACGTAGCATTGAGATCAATGCAAAACCTGTCATCGTAACATCAGACCTGGTTGCTTGGCTGTCTATCATGTTGAAAACATTACATCATGGCTTCTCCTTCGATGTACACCTGGTATCCTTCGTAGTGATTTCTAGCTCTTTGAGGCTTTGAATGGTTATACTGTATCAATATGTATCAATATGGACACTTATTACAATAAACAATGCCAATAACTACATATGACATATGACCATGTGGCCCTGCTGGTTGTCGGTTCAAATTTGGCAGGTACTGTAGCTGAAGAGGTGCCTGCTCACTGCTAAGAGTTCATCCCTTAACTAAAAACTGGTTTTGTTTAAATTACATCAGTCTAGGATACACTATTCGGTAACAGTTTGCAATAAACATAACTTATAAATGGTAAATAGATAGTTTATTAATGTTTAATCATCGTTTTAAAACAGCATATTGACCAATTATAAATGGCAAATAGATAGTTTATTAACGTAAGTTCATAGTTACTTTACCTTTATCAAGCAATGAAACTATGGTTAATAAATTTTTTATTTATGTATGAAATATTGGTTGTAAAACATCTAGATTAAAATGTGTGTCAGTCGCACTTTGTAAATGTTAAAAAAATAATAATTTAACCATCTATAAACATTGCTTAGGTGGTTATTGTAAAGTTGCAACTGATGTTTGTAATACTTTGTAAATAATTAATAAGTGGTTTATAAACCACCTATAAACAGTTAGTGGTCTATATGCTATTTATAAATGATGATTAAACATGAATAAACTATCTGCTTACCATTTATAAATGGTCTATTTACTGTTCAGAAGTTATGGTTATTGTAAAGTGTTACCCACTATTAAAAAAAAAAATAGTGTAAACAAGCAACACTCTTTGCTGTTTTAGGTTAAAGTTCGTCCTGAAGATACAGTGTGAGCAATTGCCCTTTATATTGACCCTTCAGTAACTGCATTAAAGAGAGGGGACACTGTTTGGGTTCCTTGAACACTGGCGCCATCTGCTGGTTATCATCTTCCCATTCTTTCAACCATGTACTCGTCCACTGTTGCAAAATTAACTAAAAAAAGTCATCAGAAATGTGGATGCTTAATCTTTTACCGCAAGCTGTCAGAGAGAAATACATCAGGTATGTCATGTTTGCAGTGAGCAGCTGCAAGCGTTCCCACAAACCTCATCCTGAGGTCAAGAGTTCATCTCCGTGACGCACTTTCACCATCACTCAACGGTGGAGGACTTGATTTACATTTAGTGATCCAACAGATTAAGAGGGATAGCTCGAAGGTAAACATGGCTGCCCCCTCGCTCTTTTGACTACAGTTCAACTTCTCTGGGCTGCATTGTCCGTTGCCATGACAACCTTATGTCAGCAAGTCAGAGTTACAATATCCCTGTGTGTCAGCTTTGCTCATCTGTACAGTTGATTACGTCGGTGCTGTGTTTCAACAGATCTCCTGACTAAAATGCAAACAGCGGTGTTCGTGCGTGTCTTGCATTTTGAAAATCATCTCATGCGTGGGCTTTGTGTGTAGATTCAGAGTAGTTCCTAAGAGAAAAGACACATTTTGGCCTAAAAATGGCATTTGTGCTGTTAATGAAATGGTGTCAAAGGATGTAGTTATGAAGGAAGCCTCGTAAATGCTAGAACAACAGGATTTGGTAGTGTGTAGCTCTTATACACCCTGTCACACTCATGTCTGTGTACCTTGTGTACTGCAGGTTAAGAGGCCCCTGAAGATTTACTGGAATGCCTATCAGCGGGCAGCTCGCTTGTTAGACACTCTAGGGTTTGGGTTGTGCCAGACATATGGCACAAATGTTTCTTTGCCTCAAACATGACAACAATCGTGTTGTTTGTTTCCCCTTCAAATGGAGAAACTGAGTCATGTTTTTTTAAATTTCTCACACATGCTCTCCTGCCGATGGGAGGGAACAAAAGCCTTTTGAGTGCAAAGGCAGCTCACAGTCGAATCAGTTTCCTGAGATCACTTCAGTCCACGAGTTTTTTTGGACTGTTTCACACAGACTCAGCCAAACGTAGAAGAAAAGTCTCACAAAGACTTAACTTTCCTCCCAGTCTTGCAAACTCTGTCCCAGCAAGGAGGGAAATTGTTGAATCTGGGAGAAGTCATAGAAGCCACAGCTATGCAGCGAGCTGGGCTCTGGCCTCCGTCTCGCGGTGGATCCTCCCCCCCTCGTCTGGAAGCTGTTGAGTTTTTCTCCAGATGTGGCCGCCCGATCTTTTTAATGATATGCTGCTGCAGGCTGGAGGATAACAGAAAAGGGGCTTTCAAGAAAAACAACAAGACTGAACAAGAAGCAGCTTGTGTTTTACTTCATTTAAAACCTCTGACTTCTGACTCCTATTAAGATCCTGTTGATTTTGGTGACATGTTGAACTTTTGCATATGAAAGAGCTTATAATATACAACTGTTGCACAATTAGGAGGATGTTTCTGAGGCTTTGTCCATAAAAAGCAATCTTTGAGAAAAGTTTTTCTCTCATAGGGAAAGGCGGATCATTTCTTCTGACAATATAAAGGAACCAGTTAGTAAGACATGATGAAGTTATCCAGACGCATTACGCATGAGCTGGAGGCATCCCACTTCAGTGAAAGAATAATGGTGTTTATCATTCCCCAACAACACCTCACACGTGTTCTCTGAAAAATAAAAAGTTAGAAGAATTTCCTTCCAAACACATCTTGGACTTGAGGGATATTTTTTTCCCTTCTCCTGTCACAAAATGTGGAAAATGCCAGTTGGCTCAAACAGCAGGTGTCTTTGACTTGGTCATCATCCAGAAAGAGAGCAGGTTGCACAGCTGTCTGGCACGCACACACATGAGCACACACTGGAAAAAAAGAGAGAGAAAACGAGGCTCTTAATGAAAGATAGCAAACAACTTCTTTACTCGGGTGAACTCGGGGTTCTTGTTAGACGGTGCTGGCAGGGAGATGCTCCTGCTGTGTCTTTTGTATGTGCAAGTGGACCAAACAAAAGCTTAGCAAGGAATCTCTGGGAAGCCCAAGCTGTTGGAAAGGAATGCCCTCTCTCTCTCTCTCTCTCTCTCTCTCTCTCTCTCTCTCTCTCTCTCTCTCTCTCTCTCTCTCTCTCTCTCTCTCTCTCTCTCTTCTGGCTCAGAGCTGAATCTTCATCAGTCAATGGGGGGAGCTTGGGGCCTCCAGGACCGCCAGGCAGACAGAGAGTCACTCACTCCTGACCTCACTAGCCTCAATAAAATCTATTAGAGGAGTAAAAGGCTGCTGATGTGATACAGATAAATCAAAGTAAGTGTCCCCCATTAGTCCTTTCACTGTCCTTATGTAATCTTTTTGTCATCCAGGAAACAGCAAAGTATGCGAATAAGGAAGTTTGTCCTGTTTTTCTCAACGAGGAGTTTTTTGTCTTTTAATTTGTGGGGGTAAAGAGGACTAGAGGTAAAAGTGTAAGAAAATAAGTCACAGAAAGGGCGTGTTTTTCCCCTCATAAGAAGGCGGGGTTTTCTCCCAGGGGTCCTGAGCCAAAAGGGTGTTATGTAACGGATATGCTGCTCCTCATCCCGATATGGAGTCATCTAAAAGTTTACAAGCAGCGAGTCTGGCCTCAGTCCGCTCCGTGGTCATGGAATATGCGCACATTTTAGCGGCGTCTGCAGAAGAGAAGAAAGTTACCCCGTGGAGCTGTTTCGTGTCTAGGATCTGCACTACACGCATCAAAGTAATTTAAAAGTGACCTTAAAGATTGACAAGGATAAAGTCTTTGCTGGTTAATGTTCAACTTCAGAAGAAAGGAAGAAAATCCGGTGTGCCTGGAGAGGAAATATGGAAATGCGACTCCACGTTTAAATCTCGAAAGCATCCAGAGAGGACAGACATGGGCAGCGGGACAAGCCGAGGAAAGAGAGTAGCACCTGCAGATGTCAGCGAGGTAAACGTGACTAAAAAAGCCGTCACTTCACCTAAACAGGACAGCCGTGCGTTCAAGCCGCTTAAAATCCATGCAATTTTACGCAACGCGCGCAACCGTGCGCAACCGGACAGCCACAGCGAGGGACACGACTCTGACTTCTCCAGAGAGGACGAGGACGTCGATGCAGAGCTGGATACGGTGTTGGCAGAATATGAGGAGCGTGAAAGGGCCTCTTCGAAGAAAAATACTGCAAAGAAGACTGTCATCAGGTCCAAGACGTACGGACTGTGCCACTTTGGTCAGGAGGATGAAGAGGAGCCTCGCGCGTCCAGAGGAGACGCAGAGCCACGCGGATCAAGAAACGTAAACAAGAGGAACAACGATGCTTTTACACACTTCAAAAAACATACATCTGTGCCTCCCAGACAGCAAAATGTGAGCATTTTACAGATTTACAGTAATTCATTGCATCTTTGTAACGACATCACATCCAAAAATAAGGATTATAGAGAATCTGTGGCCTTGATATGAAAACCTATCATGTCTTCTGTCTGTCCTCCTCACAGGGCTTTTTGTCAAGGGAGGCTCTGATGGGAGCTGTTCCCACATCAGGACAACAATCGTAAGTAGACAACACACATCAATAATTGATATCAGAGCTCAGTGGAGTAGTAAAACCCGAGGAGAGCCAGATCAAATTTTCTTTGAAGGGATCCAAATACCAGCCCATTCTTCTCAGGGCAGATCAGATTAGTCAGATGTCTGTGAGAGAGATACAAACAAACAAGTGTGCGTTGTAGCTGCCTTGTTGGAGCAGAGAGTGGAACCTGACACAAAACTCAGAGCATGGGACCAATACGCACACATTTTCTTGAACTCAGCAAACCAGGATGGCCTTCTTTCTTACTGCTCTTTATGTCTATGTGGTTTTAGGGTGGAATTCACACAAAACCAGCATTTTAAATCCATCATTCATGTCTTCTATTGTATGTTTCTTTCTTCTCTTCCTAGGACGTTTGGCAGCTGCCACAGCTCCTCTCTCACCATGCCAGTCATCCTGTACGATGGCTCAGAAGAAGAGCTGATGGACACTATTGAGAGAGAGTTTAGTTGACCCCCAGCTGGGAATGCTGCAGGAAAGCTGATGTCCTCTTAAGCTTTTTTTGATGAGACACAGCAGCTTGCAGAGAACATTTCGAAATCAAAAGGGAACCAGGGTTTCTTTAGACAAACTCCTGCTTTGAGGGAAGGCTACAATATCTACATTTCAGCAAGTTTAAGAATAAGAAGAACTTTATTAATCCCTGACTGTCGTCTCATTTGTCATGTGAATCTAAAAGTTATAAAGTCTAATGGCTGTTGGTACAAACGATCTTCTGAATCTTTGTCGTGCACCAAAGAGAGAGGAGCCATCCACCACAATTGACTCTTTGGTGCATTAAAGGTGTTGTGAAGTGGGTGATCCATATTCTTGAGAATAGTCTCCACCTTCCTCAGCGTAGATCTCTCCACCACATCCTCCACTGACCCAGCCTTTTTCACCAGTTTGTTCAGACGTCTTCCATCTTTGTGTTTGATTGCTTCTATGAATCTACCCCATTCTTATTTAACAACAGGAGGCGATGTAATTGTAGCGTAATATCTACTTGAACAGATGCCAGGAGGTTCTCCTTTACAAAGCAGCTCCGGGAACAGTCAGAAGCCTCCTCGGTTTGTTATCTGCAGTGAGCAGTGAGGTGTCACTGTCACCCCCAGCTGCGGCCTCCCGCTGAGCACACATCTATTTATTCGTTAGCAAGTACTTATTTGAGTTTAACTCGTCTGTTAATGAGTAACACTGCTTCAACTCAGCAAGGCACATTCTTGAGGCTGTAATATATGCAAAGAAAACTTTTCCACCAGCAGTTTTGTGTGTGCACGTTTGTTTCAAGAAGTTACCCTGCAAAGGTACGAGCTGGGATGTTTATTCAAGGTTTCCTTCCTGACCACAGTGCCTGCATTTACTTCCCCACCCTATGATGAAGGAATGTGTGGTAACAGAGACTCCCAGTCAGCAGGGCTCAGTTTTACCCAGCAGCTGTGGCCGAACCACATTTCAACTTAAAGGCCTGCTGCCACCTAGTGATAGAAAATGGAAGTTTAGCATTTTAGCACAATCTTGAAGGTTTGTGTAAGAACTGTTTGTGTCAACATGCTGCTCTTGTTGCAGTTCAACTCATGAAGATTTTTAACCAGAAATGTAGAGAGAGGGTTTGATACCATGTTTTGTACAGCAAATAAAACGGTCCAGTTACATCTGATCGTTTGTCATTTTTGTGGGAAAATGTTTCATAGCTGTTGAATTATGCATAACGTACATTACTTTAAGATGTGTCAAACCAATCATGTCAAGTCTCTTTTTAATCATCACAATCTTCAAAATCATTTTTTGAGTGTACAGTATATCAGCAGGCAGACAGTAAAAATAAAACTTGCATCTCTAAAACCTCAAAATGTCATTAAATAGTTTGTAAAATATATTCAAAGGCAAAAAATAGAAACAATTCCTCACAGTGTGGCTGAGATGTTTACACTTAAGAGAGTTCAGTACTTGAATAAAAAGACAGTACTTGGTTTTTTGGCAATTAAAGGACTCTTTTAACTAATAGGTCTGTTTCTTTGAGTTCCTGTAAAAACACATCCTCCTCTGCACTGCTGTCAGGAGTTTGGGCGGAAGAAAAGGCAGCTGGTTTCTGAGCACTTCAGAGTTCCTCACATTCTTTGCAATGTAATCCACACAGATCCTATCGGAAGAAACATTTCTGGGTTAAGTCTGTGATGCAGTATTTCATCTGTAAGTTTCTGAACTTTTTTGTAGTTCCTTTTATAAAAAAAGTCGTCTGAAGTACTTACCGGAATAGAGGATATGGTTGCGTTTGGAAAACAAGCGCATCATTACAGTGACCCTGAAAGGAAGATGCAAAGGCTATTTTGTAATTTTAAGTTATGAACAAGATAAAATATTTAGCATTAAATAATTTCAATACAAAATAAACATCTGTTCCCCCTGTATGGCTCACTGTTTCAATTTCAGTGTCATCTGGCAGTGCATAAACCACAGGATAGAGTTTTTTGTTTAATAATCATAATGCATCAGATTTCCTATAGTGCTTTATCAGAGACCCTCAGAGCGCTTTACATTGGATACATCATTCATTCACTCACACAGTCACACTTTGGTGGTGGCAAACTAACTTAATTGTCACAGTTGCCCTGGGGCAGACTGACAGAAATGTGGCTGCCAGTTAGCGCCTACGGCCTCTCCAACCACCACCACACAACACTCACAATCATACACCAGTGGAGGACACACACTGGGAGCAAGGTGGGTTAAGTGTCTTGCCCAAGGACACAACGGACAGACTCGGGATAGGGGGGAATCGATCTGCCAACCTCCCGGTTATTGGATGACCGCTCTACCTCCTGGGCTACTGCTGCCCATATGCAAAGAGGGGAAACTTGATGGCCTCAATAACCTTATAATAACAAATAAGCGATTTAATCTGCTGTGATTTCCAAGTATCTGTAGGAGACATAAATCCACATTTCTACTTTAAGTTTCAAAAGTGTCTCAGTGATACTTACCGTATCAACGAGAAGGATGTAGTCACAACTTCCACCAAACACGATCACATCAGAGTTTGTGCCTTGAGATGCAGAGTGCCACAACCTTCAATAAGAAGAAGAATGTAATTCAAAATCTGCACCCACCTCCATACAGAAATCTAAATCCGAATATATCTAAGTGTATAATTCGACAATATTTACCTTGGCTTTGTCTTAAAAGGGTGCTCAACTTCTCTCCACTTCTTTGTTTCTACATCAAACAGCCATCCATCACCTGATGAAGAAAACTACGTCACTGACAAGAAAATCCTTAAACGAGGCAAAACAGCCCCAGATTTCAGCAAATAAAAGATGAGAAGCTATTTTTACTCATTGGTTTGCAGTCTATGCTGAGACCTCCAAACAGAAAAAAGGTGTTGTCTGATACGGCTGTGAGTGTGTGCCACGACCTGCCCACCGGACTGCTGGACACCGGGGCTCTAGAAAACACATTTTAAACAATATTGTCAAAGGCAACTGCACTCAATATGTACAGCAGAAACAAAATCAGACAATGTTAACAACAAGGTTCAAGGTTTTAGTACTTTCCACATACATTTCTGACCATGTCCATGATTCCAGGTCCAGACAGTGAATGTCATTCGTCCTGGTTTCCTGTGTTAAAATTAACATAGAACATGATTTTAGTATGTTACTGTGCTACTGTGCACTTTCGATCTGTTAATTACACATTAGAGGTGCTGAAAAGCATGTGGGGCTCTCACCATGACTCTGCCTCCACAAATGTACCCCCTATGTCCAAATGTGGCACTGGCATGGGCAGCCCTGGGGGCAGGCGCACGGCCCTGCATTAAAGAAAATGTCACTGTACTATCATCTGAGGATGTGAATGAAGCATAGTGAAGTATGATGGACTCACATGAGTCTGTGGTTGACTCCAGCTGGAATGCACAGGGTCAAATACATGAACCTCATTGTTCCATCCCCAGAAGATGCCCTCCACCTGAAAACCACAACATTCACATTGCTCTTGCACATATGGAAGCTTTTTGTGAGATGTTTAATACCTAAGGTAGATTAATAAATTAATAAAATTCCATACCGATGAGACCTCATCTACAATGAAACTTCTGTTCCTGCTGTCCACATCAGTCAGCAGTTTATGACCATATCCACCAAAATAGATGATCCTAAATATCAAACAAAAATCATCTCAATATTTACCATGCAGATTGTAAATTATTATTTTTGTGACCAAGACACTGCAGTGTCAGCCGGGAAGGATAAATGTGAAGGTTGTCATCATCAGGAAAGAGTTAAGGTCATATAAGAAAATGCCAAATCTAATGAAATTTTAGCAGTTAACAGAGTGCAAGTCAAACCCTCAGCATGCAGTGTGTGTATATGTATTTGTCTTTAGTCTTTTATCAAAAAGGTACGTTTTGCCTTTGCATTGTTGGGTTTTGATGAAATCGTGATTTTTTTTTTTGCCCTTTTGTTTTTTTTCTGCAGGGTTGACAGAAAGTACTTTTGTTTGGTCAGAACTGAAACTTTCACTCACCGTCGTTTGTAAACCCAGCAGGACAGTTTGTCTCGGGGCGATGGAGAAGAGCCGACCTCGTGTATTCTCTTCCTCCATGTGTATTTGCCGTCTGTCAGGTTGAAGCAGTAGATCTGTGTGGAGTCAAACACTGGGTGTGTTTACACTGATCTACCATGATCAGATCAGAGGGCCCACACCCTTGAAGCAGATGCATTCTTTGTTGTTTTAAATCAATTCAAGCACACAAAAATCATGACCAAAAAAGCATAATTAATCTAAATTCGGCCATAAAAAATCTGTCATATGAAGTATCACTTATCAGTCTCACCTGATTGGTCTGTCCATTGTCATCACATCCTCCAAATATGTACATGTGACCATCGAGGGAGCAGCCGCATGTCCCAGACATGGGGGGAGGAGCTTCCCCTGGCATGTGAAACACTTTCCTTTAAGACAATGTTTTTATCTTTTCATGTGAGAACACCACTCACACTCAGTAATGGAAAGATTCATTTTGTATTTCTATTTAAGACATTCAAACTATTTTTGTGCCAGCACATGACATGAACAAGATATATCTCAAATTCTTACCATTGACCTTGTTCTAAGTCATACACCCAGATTTCATCATTGGGAAGGAAAACTTCATCATCGCCAACTGACTGCAAAAAAAAAGACTAGTTTATTACAATTTTAAAAAAAGCCTGAAGAAACTTTTTTCAGGTTTGTCTTTGCTACAAAAATATGTCCACTTTGAGTAAATGCCTAAAAGCGTAAACATTTAACCCTCCTCCTGTGTTGGCTTTCACTATGCACCCACTATGTTGAGAGTCGGTTTTCGGCATGTGTCTTAAATCAGCTGTAAATTACACTAAAAACAATTCTCTATCGTCCAATTTGGTTCTCATCTCTAGGTTAACTTGTTAGGCTTCATTATCCATGAAAATATTGATTATAATATTTTTGTTGTGGTCCTTAGGACCTTTCTTTGTCAGTATACCCCTCACACAGACATCTATACTGAATAAAACTTACATGTCTGGACATGCCTGACATTGTTTTTTGTGCAGGGAAAAACTTGGCAAAATGAGAATTTCCTAAATCTCACATGATTGGAAGAGGATCAGACTGTCAGTATGGTGCCTGACAGTGCACATATGATTTCAATTTGTGCTCCAACTATTAGATATTGATCTAACCAGGTCAACAGCGATCCTAACACGACAAGTGCCATAATTTTAATAAGAGCATTTTATAATTTAGTCAATTTAAATAGAGTTTCCTTACAGAGTCAACAAGTATTGATGCAAAAAAGCTAATTTAAGTGGTTCTTTGAAGCATCTAAAAACAAAAAAGGGGTGGGTGCAGACCCTAACACAGGAGAAGGTTAATAGGGCATCTTTTTTTTTTTTTTTTACAAGTCTATTAATGTGTCATGTACTGGAAAACGTTTGTTTAGTTAAGCCTTAACGGCGTCTTAAAATGGACACTTCCTTCAGGTGTAATCCTCGTAGCCAGAAACTGCTGTTGTTTTGAGTGTTCACACGTAGAAAAACTCGTTTCTCTCTCTCTCTCTCTCTCTCTCTCTCTGTTCCTTTTCTCACCATGTATCCTCCCCACACATACAGCAGGTTGTCCTCCACCACAGCCGTGTGTCCGCTCCTCTCTCGGGCACTGCTCGGAGCCACCAGCTCAAACGCAGAATCCATGACTGACTGCTAAAAATAGAAAAAAAGGAGACATGCCTTTGAGCCTAAAATTAAACAAATCTGTCTAAAAATGACACCTTCCTCCTCTACTGCAGGCAGCCTTGTGTTAACTCTTTACTGACAGAAATACTGTCACAATAAGGCCCTACAATATTCCTAAAATATTTACACAGATTGAGAAAATTAGTTTAAAATTTATGTCTTTTTACAAAGCTGTTATGTCACGCGACGTTACCAAATGATGTTCCATGTAACAGCTTAAACAATTAAACGGTGTCAACATAATAGAAACACATTGAACGAACGTTTTTTGCGAAACTATTACAGTGAATACTTACGTTACAGCGGACTTTAAGATGTATGACACTTTTTTCTCATGTTACGGACCTCAGTACAACACCAACAGTGACCAAAACCGACTCGCTCCCTTGTCAGTATCCACACAACAACAGTTACAAAAAATGTACGTCCGGTCTATGTCTTTTCAAAATAGAATACCGCATCTTCAGTTTGAGTAAAAAAAAACGGTTTTTTATTTTATTTTTTTTAAATCCTGAAGGTTATTTTTAGAGAATACGTCCATTCCTTTTATGGTGGAATATTGACTTGCATTCAGGAAAAAAAAATATATATATATATTCTAGTGATTCAATACATGTAAAAGAACTGCCATGCCCATCACTAAATCGTAGAAAAACACAGTAATAGCGGCAGAGAGCAAAACACTGGTAGCCTAAATACATTTTTGATATTTGTTTACAAAAATCCACTTCATTTGACTTTCAAAACGTAAACATGGGGCCTCTTAATAATTATTTTTTTTAACTCAGAATTATTTTACTCCTGTTATTCGTTGATACAAACAAAACTAAAAGTTCTAAAGATTAAACGTATAAAACTAACATTATTATTATTAGTATTATTTTACCCCTGGTGTGTTAATTGTGAGATATTCGAGCGCGTGAATCTTCACCGGAACTGATGTCATGCATACGCAAGTCACTATTTAGCGCCAAACCTTGAGTTGGACTGTGACAGACATGGATGTCGCTCGCAAAATAAAGGCGAAAGTGTCCTCTGGCTTCAAGATGCGGGGACTTATACCACGACCGTATGTATTTCATGAATAAGTAAACGTTGTTAGAGTTTGTTCAGCTCATATTGTGTCGCTAGTGTGTTTTTACGGAGTGGTTTTAGTGTTTTCTCCGGGTGAAGACAGGATGTTCCTTATAACTTCACACTAGAGCTGTACTTAACCTGCACTGTTTACCTCGTAATCATCTTTATTCCCAAAGTTTGTCCTTAGCGTGACACTTATAGAAGTATTATACGTCCACATAGTTAATTAGTTTTGGGTTTTTGTCCAGGACAGTTTGCTATGAGAGGACAAAGTGAAGAAACGCTACAAAATGGGAATTCTCCTTGTTGTTTTGTGCTGCAGTGAAGCCTGTAGATACCTTGTGGAGGTGTTGGAGTCTGTCAATGCTTCTGAACTGGATGAGATCATTGAAAAGGTCCTGGATGCAGTAGAAAAGCAACCTTGTAAGTACAGCACCATCTGTTTCTGTAGATCTGTGTAATGCAGAATCTACTCAGTGTAGCATTAAATGTTTTGGTGTGTCTTCAAAATGTGTAAGTTGTGACCAGAGTATGTGTGTTTTCTTACAGTGTCCTCTAGCATGATAGAGCTGTCTGTGGTGGAAAGCGCTGTACAGGATTGCACTCAGTCTTGTGATGAAACCATGTGAGTACTTTGTTGATAAATCCAGACAGATGCTCCTTGCAGATTATTAGAGCTTTTTTTGTGATTTCAACATCTGACATGATGATTTTTGTTTTTATAAGATTATGTCCCTGCAGCAGCATATATCCTGTCGTTTGAAAATGCACGACTTACGCCACACTGTTGAATTCCAGACTATATTTTGTCTTGTTTTTGCTACTTGACCTATCTTGTAGTGCCATGTCATTATCATCTTTCAAGTTCTGCCAACTCTTTGCCTACAAAAGTTGTTTGTCTTCTAGAGATACTATTTTCAACATCATCGGAGCTTTTGACGTGCCTCGATACATTTACAGTGTGGAGCGGAAGAAATTTGTACCGTGAGTCAAGAGACAAATCCTTTTTTTCCCGTCTGCAGTAAACCTTTTACACCATAATATCTACTGAATGCATTTCTATACTGCTAATGTGAAGTAGAGTCTCAGATATGTTTTTCTTGGTACTGTCTTTCAGTATTAGTATGACGAGTCATAGAGCCTCCAGTCTGTGTGGTTTGGCCAAAGACAAAGCTGAACTCTTCAGAGAGCGCTACACCATCTTACAACAGGTTAGTGGAATTTGTTCATTGTTAAATTTTGGTGAGCAAACCCACTCTGCTGCATTATTGAAATTAAAGAGACATATCTTTTATAGCGTACACATCGGCACGAGCTCTTCACTCCACCTGCAATAGGAGCTGCTGTTGAAGAGGGTCAAAACAAATTCCAGGTATAAAACTAAAACCACAGTAACTTTTACCTACATTTGTGCACAGCTGTTAAAGTAATTGGAGATGGACTGAGAGGTTGTTTCTTTTTCTTTTTCAGCTGAAAACAATCGAAGCGCTACTGGGGAGTACAGCCAAACTTGGAGAGGTGATTGTACTGGGGATGGTCACACAACTGAAGGAAGTGAGTTTAAGTGGTGAAAAGCTGATTTGGTTTCTACTCTACTTTTATGTGTCTGAACATTTCTTATACTTTTGAAGGGTAAATATTACCTGGAGGACCTGAGCGGAACAGTACAGCTGGACATGTCTAAGGCAATATCCTTTTTTGAGTTTCTCAGAGCTTTTCTTGAAAGATCAAAACTTTCTAATGATAAATAAAATGCTGTATTACTTTAAAATCAGCATTTTCCTTATCTGGGGTCTCACCAGTTTCACAATGGTCTGTACACGGAATCCTGCTTCGTATTGGCAGAGGGTGAGAGAACGACTTCTTCAATTACATGATTAAAAACAGACTAATGTTAATTATGAATTGAACAAAAAGGGATCATATGTTCAATTATAAGATTACAAATGTTTGCTCTGCAGGTTGGTATGAAGACTCGGTTTTCCACGTCAATGGCTTTGGATTTCCACCAACAGAACCCTCATCAGGCACAAGGTGGGTGGATTGGAAGTAAACCCTTCAAACAGACTGTGAGTTAATGAGGTGTCAGTGTAACTAAATGTGCAACCTGACATTGGATATCAGGTGAAGTTTGTAGTATTTACATGTCCAAATTATTAAACCTGAAGTGGTTTTACATTTCCCCCCCTACTAATGTGATCTTTATGCTTTTGCCAGAGCTTACTACGGGGATATTAATTTCTTTGGTGGTCCATCCACAACTTCAGTGAAGGCCTCGGCCAAGCTGAAGCAGATGGAGGAGGAGAATGAGGATGCCATGTTCGTTATCGTCTCTGATGTGTGGCTCGACAGTGTTGAGGTCATGGAAAAGCTGAACATCATGTTCTCAGGTCTGGCATTGAATCATGAGCTTTGTCTTAGCTAACAAAGAAGAAAATAAACTTAGTGAGACAATAATCAACATATTTTTTACTTTTTTTCCCCCAGGCTATGCTTCAATGCCTCCCACATGTTTCATTTTTTGCGGTAACTTCTCCTCTGCCCCGTATGGAAAATCTCAAATCAAATCACTCAAAGGTGAGACCGCTGGATCCTCATCCCTCGTTACATGCTGGAGATTAAAATCATTTGTGTGACAGAAATAAAAAGATTCATTTTCTTTACTTTTTTCTAGAGTCCCTGAAGGCTCTTGCTGATGCAATATGCGCCTACCCCAGCATTCACAGCAGGTAAAATATCATTTCATTCTCGCTGTAGTCATGTCTGTTCTAGCTTTACCCGTGCTAGAGTTTATGGCTTTTATTAAGATGTTGTTTTCCTACACTTTTAGTAGCCGCTTTGTGTTTGTCCCTGGTCCCGAAGATCCAGGTCCAGGCACCATTCTGCCCCGGTAAGCCCTCAGTAACATTTCTGTATAACAGCAATATTAGAGTTATTTTCTGTCCCTTAGACAAATGTATATACATATTTTTCCAACAGGCCTCCTTTGGCTGATCACATTACAGAGGAGTTCAGACAGAAAGTGCCATTTTCTGTGTTCACTACCAACCCTTGCAGGTAAAATGTGGGGCTGTCATTTTAACGTAAGATACTTATTAGATTTCTTTGTATGGAAATTTATTTATGCTCCAATAACTGTCATGGACTTCGTTTATTTCTGTTATTAGAGGCTAGGAGTAATCTGCCTTGTTTCTTGTCAGGATTCAGTACTGCAGCCAGGAGATCGTCATTATCAGGGAGGACCTGGTCAACAAAATGTGCAGAAACTGTGTCAGGTTGCCTAATAACAACCTCGACATCCCAAACCATGTGAGTTTCAGCATCTGCAAACAAAATGATCAGCACACAAACTGAATTGTTGATTTCTGTAAGAAATCGTGTATGAGTGCATTTTTATTCTTGCAAATAAGAACCAATTCTTTTTCTCCTCTTCTCTCCAGTTTGTGAAGACCATCTTGTCTCAGGGTCACTTGACTCCACTTCCTCTCTACGTCAGTCCTGTGTTCTGGGCTTACGACTACTCCCTGCGTGTCTACCCAGTCCCTGATGTTATTGTCTTTGCAGACAAATACGATCCATTCAGCATCACAAACACAGACTGCCTGTGTCTCAACCCGGTAAGAGACGGGAAACAGTGAAGCAAGAGTTCTCAAAATTATTCACAGAAAAAAATAAACTATATTTAACAAGCTTGTCTTAAAAAACTATATCTACATTCCCACCAAATAACTGTGTCAAAAAGTATCGGCATCCTATCCAGTTAAATAACTTTGCTATCACCCATCTCTAATCTCAGTGGAATCATCTTTTGAGAGTTGTATCTTTTAAGAGTCCAAATTAAAATCTTACAGGGCTCCTTTCCAAAAAGTGGCTTCACATTCAAGGTGTACTACCCATCCAACAGAACAGTTGAGGACAGGTGAGATAAGTTTTTAATGTTTCAATTTTCATCAATCACAGTAGATAGATGTGTTTTTGCTAATACTAATCAGTTTTATTTTTGTGTTCACAGCAAACTTCAAGGACTCTAAAAGACATCGTGGAGTTAGACTGCCTGCCTTTGTATGATAGTGTATACTTAAACTGCCTGGTTATCAAATCTCGTGTTTCATTGTGTATGTGTGCATGTGTATGTTCTGTTTTGAACAATAAAGTTTTTATTCTTTGTACTGAGTATCATGTCACCTTTTTGTGTGAACAGTGGTAAACTAGTCAAAAAATTAAACTTCAAAGATGATGGTGATTTCTATAACTAGTCATAAGCAATTGCGGACAAAACGGTGGTATATAAAAAGAAGTGTCTTCACTTGTTTCATTTTTGCTTTTGGCACAGTGTCCGGAGAGGAGAGTGAAAGAAGAAACAAACAGAATACTCTTGTGTGTCCACATGGCTCAAAGGGGAAAAAGACTGATTCAGACTCCTGAGCATGAGGTTTCGAACCCTTATCTAGGTTGAGGTGTACTTTAAAGTCTTGTGTCTAGAGAGGACAGTGAAAGAGGAAACAAACAGAATACTCTTGTGTGTCCACATGGCTCAGAGGATAAGAAGAATGACTGGGACTCCTGAGGTTGTACGTCTTATCCAGGACATGGCTAATTTATAAGTCTAGTGTCTAGAAAGGACAGTGAAACAGGAAAAATATTGGTTTCTCCTGTGTGTCCATATGGTTCAGAGGATAAGGAGACTGACTGGTACTCCTGAGTTTGTGAGTTCAAACCTTATCCTGGACAAACTTTAAAGTCAAGGATCCAAAGTACCAAGATATAACGGTGCAGAGCGAAGGGCGAAGCCCGGTATACAACTGACACCCAAATGCAAGTCAGACGAGCAGCGCCGGTTTGATAGCCCGGGGGGTGGGGTTTCCCCCCCAGTGTTTCCAGACTGGTAATACAAGGGGGTCATGAGGCAGGAAGTCAGAGGTGGGTGGAATTTTGAAGAAACCAAGTCATTAAAGTGATGACATGATATATTACAGATGACTAAAGTGAGTGTATAGTCATCTATATGTGACTATATAATATAGTCACCATAATGACTCTTATATAGTGACTATAAAGTCATATTGTCATCATCATAATGACTATAATAATGTAGTAGTCATATATATGTGACTATATAATATAGTCACCATAATGACTATCTTATATAGTGACTATAAAGTCATATAGTCATCATCATAATGACTATAATAATGTAGTAGTCATCTATATTATATGATAACATAATATAGTCATATACTAGATATACAGATGACTATATTATACATTATAAAGTCTTCTATATTATAGTCATGACGATAATATATATTGTATATATCGACTATATTAGTCATTACAATGACTATATTTTATAGTCATAATGAAGTCATAATATAATTACAATTAATTATTATAATATTACAATTTATATTATAATAATAGATATAATATTATAATTAATTCATTCATTATAGTCATAATAATATACAGTCTAAGGCCGGGACGGACCGGGTAACGACTATAGACTGTTTACAGTCTATGGTAACGACAAGGAGTAGTCGTCCAATGCATTCTGACCTTACCAATATGGCGGATTTAAGAGGTCGACAACTTCCGGTCGTGCCTCCAAAATACTTGTGTTGACCTTCCATCAATGGCGGACTACTTTTGAAATTTGCTGAAAAAAAAAACATTTAATAAAGGTAAGGTAACGAAAGGGGCAACTATATTGTCTTTGGGCTTTCCGTAACAAGTGCCGGGGACTCCTTGAGCAGTAAAGCCTTCATTATTGTGGAGCAGTTATAAGGTTTTCACGACAGCCAGCGGCCAAAGGTACACCAAGTAACAGCTGCTAGAGACTCGCTAGCTTGGGGAGAAATTTCGTCACCTACCAAGTACTTTTGTCTTTTTTTAACTAATGCACAAATTCATTAACACTTTCTCCTACTATTGCTTGCAAGGTGACCTCTAAGCTTAAAAATATCGTTGAGTTTGGGACTGTAATAGTAAAGCTATTAAAGTAGGTCAACAGTAACCGTGCTTCAAACAGTAAAGTGTGCAAACAGCCCACATTGTGTTTATCTCAAGTGTAGGTTGTTTTCCTGTCTATTCTTAGATGATTGAGAAAACAAATCAGTCCACACAATAATCTCATCAGCCCTAACCAGGTCAGATCATCTCTGTTTCTTGCTCATTGCCTCCACAGGAGACAAGAGGCTCTATCTGTCATGGCTGAGAGAGGGGCAGAGATGGAGGAGGACATGGGGGATATGCCAGCCAGAGATGGTGATAATAATGACTCAGATGGAGATGAAGATGACAGACTGTTTGCGTGGATGGTAATTGATGAAATGGATGAGGTTGAAGATGATGAAGAGATAGAGGAGGAGGAGGTGGAAGATGAACAGCCTTTGGACACTGAGGCATCAGAGTCATTTGAGTTGGATACTCCAGCTGAACGAAGTGGTCACATAGCAGTTATAGATAGAAACATCATGTATGTGTGGGGTGGATACAAGGTAAGGAGTTTGTCAGATGTATGTCCGAAGATTTTATCACATTTGTGAAAACTTCCTTTTGCCTGCGTGGATTTAAAGTGCATCTTATCCTTCTTTTGTGCAAGAATGCCCAAAATCATGGATTTTTTGACCTGTATCTACCAAGAAATGAGATTTGGACATACAACATGGAGTCAGCAGTTTGGTAATAACCACTGATACTCATTTTCATGTGCCTAAACCTGTCACAAACACTTTAAACCAGACATAAAAACCCAGTTTTTCACAGGACAAAGCATGTTGCTGGAGGAAACCTGCACACATCTATGTCAGGCAGCTGTGGGGTGTGTGTTGATGGCGTCCTCTACCTTTTTGGAGGTCATCACGCCAGGGGGAACACAAACAGGGTACAGCTGATCTGTTAAATCAAGACACACTGCTTGCATCATGTTTGAACAGTAAATATTGAGATGGGTCAGGCTTCTGTTTAGTGTTTTTGATCACACCTCGGGCCTCTCTTGTTCTCCGCTCTGCAGATCTACCGCCTGCCTCTGAGAGCTCCTAGCCTCATCTGGGAGGAAATGAGGGATTTAAAAGGACTACCTCCATCCTGCAAGGACAAGCTAGGATGCTGGGTTCAGAAAAACAAGTGAGCGACATCTGCTGTGTTCTTTGTTGATGGGGCTTTTGTCCTTTTCCAAGAACTGGGTCAGACTTTGGCTCTGGTACATATGGCCATATTTCATAACTTGTCATCGTAAATAGAGTAACATTAGCTAGCTAATAATGGAGACTTTTTTTTGCAGTGGAGGAGGCCTCAGAAGTGCAGGAGTGCAGTAGGCAGGTCATTGCTTAAGTGAAGATTTTATGGGTTGAAATTAGGGTTCACAAAGGCACCAATCTGAGATAAGTGAAGGATTTTAAAGCTGTAAATCATGTAAAACCACTACAAAGCTGTGAAAAGGATGATTTAAAGCCTAAAAATAAGCATAATAACCCCTGTTAAAACCAAGGTAAGAGGAGAGGCCTTACAAGGACAGTGGCTTAAATGAAGCGTCTCAAGCAGAGGCTGTAATGAGGGTTTTCAAATAGAGCAGCCTGAAGTATGTCAAGAATTTGTTAAACTGTAAATTAAGTGAAGCTGCTGAGATGCTACCAGAGGGACAATTTAAAGACAAACTAAACATAAAAGCCCTCTTTAAGGAAATAAAAGTCTTTATTTAAAGTCACCTAAAAACTTGAGACATAACACTGAAACTGTGCTTGAGTGGCCGTCTCAAAGTTGGGTGACATTTGTGAAATTAAAGACACATTTCAAATCATTTAATGCAGGAATAAAAAGATGATTTTCACACATGTGATTTTGTTTAAATGATTTGGTTAATTGAAAATAACAGAGCTATTTGAGCTTGAACACATATGTAGTCAGATGAAATCTGTCTGTTATTATTTCCACAGACTTATATTCTTTGGAGGCTACGGCTACGCTGCACAGGGATCTCATCGAGGGACTTTTGAATATGACGAATCATCCTCTCTTGTGGTCTGTAAACTGAAATACTCCCCTGAAAGTCTACCCTATGATTGATGTTATTCCAAAGGAGCATTTATTGTCTTCAGAGAAAGTTTGTAACATTTTGCTTAAAACAGTTTGTTTCTTGCCGCTGCAGTGGGACAGCCCAGGGCGCGGCTGGAACAACCACATCCATATCCTGGACCTGGAGACCTCTACATGGAGCCAGCCAATCACTACGGTAAACAAAGTGCCCAGACTATCACATGCATATCCTTACATGGATTGCCCACAAAAACACACACACAGACCTGATGTGCTTTTACCAAAGAAATCTGTCTTTCTTCTCCACTGTCACATACACGGATACGTTTTTAACACTGTCTATTTCCTCTGTTTTGTTTTTTTCTCTGATGCAGGGCAGCACACCATCACCCAGAGCAGCTCACACCTGTGCCACAGTTGGTAACAGAGGTTACGTGTTTGGAGGACGATATAAGGTAAGAAAATAAAACTTAAAGATGTGGTGGTTTTCGGTCTCTTGTTTACTCAAATAATAAAGACTGCAGAGAATGTCAATGTCAGCTGTATTTATATAGCACATTTAAAAAACAGCCAGTGGCCTACCAGAGACAGTAAAAACAATAAAAACTATAAATGCATAAAACATATAAAAACATAAAACAACAATATAGATAAATATAGCAAATAGATAAAATACCCAATAAAAGTAGCTATACTTCCCCAAAAGCTTAAGTGAACAGCTGCGTCTTCAGAAGTGTTTTAAAAGTGGAAAGACTGTTAGCAGTGCGCACTGTCAGGGGTAAAGCATTCCACAAAGTGGGAGCCACGACAGAAAATGCTCGATCTCCTTTAGATTTTAAAAAGGATCGAGGAACGTCTAAAACCACCTGATTAGCTAACCTCAGGGCTCTGGAGGGCTGGCACAGTTTAACAAAGTCGGAGAGATATTCTGGGGCCAGCCCATTCAGAGACTTAAAAACAAATAAAAGAATCTTTAAATCGATCCTGTACCTAACAGGGAGCCAGTGAAGAGAGGCAAGCACCAGAGTTATATGGTCCCGCGTTTTGTACAGCCCTATACTCTTACCTGTGTCTTCCTGTTTGCAGAACTACAGGCTGAATGACCTGTACTACATCGACCTGGACACGTGGGAGTGGCATGAAATGTCAGTGCTTTTCTTTTCATTCTCAAAAAATTAAGTTAAATAAATTTGCCAGAAAATGTTCATATTTGGACACAGAAGCTCAATATTTGTCAAAAGTTATTTATCAGTTAATCAAGTGGGTATTTCTTTCCCTACTTATCCACCCTGATCCTTGCTGTCCGGTTGTAGGAGCGTTCCTCAACCAGGTCCTGTGGGCCGGTCTTGGCACTCCTTCACCCCTGTGTCAGCAGACCACATCTTCTTATTCGGAGGTTTCACCACAGAAAGAGAGACGCTGAGTGAGTTGGTTCGAATAATGTTTAGATGATCTCATCCACTTCAAAATGATCCCTGTTCTCATGACGCTGATTTCTGTTTGTCAGGTGACGCCTGGCTGTACTGCGTGAGCAAAAATGAGTGGAAGTCTTTCAAACACGGCCACATTGAGAGACCAAGGTAAAGGTGTTTTAAAGTTTTAGTGTTTGTGTGTAAAGTTTCCGCTTTGAGGCTCAGCCCCGTGATGTGTATTTCAGGCTGTGGCACACAGCATGCGCCGGTCCCGATGGAGAGGTGTTCGTGTTTGGTGGATGCGCTAACAACCTTTTATCTCATCAAAGAGCTGTGAGTTTCAAGTCATATCTCGGTACATCCCTTCTCTGTTAATGTCAAAACTGTTCGTGTGATTTTGAGTCCTTGTCCAACTCCACAGGCTCACAGCAACGAGCTCCTGGTGTTCAACGTCCAGCCCAAATCCCTAGTGAGGTGAGTGTCCAGAAGCAAAGCAAAGCTGCAACACAGAATCACGTCATGGTTTGTTTTTATATTTCCCTGTCTCCTCTTTGTAGATTCTGCATTGAAGCTGTTCTGCAGCACAGGGAACATTTGTCAAGCTACTGGGACTGCTTACCGAAGCACCTCCTGCACAGCCTCAAACAGAGGATGTCACGTGTCACCACATTGGGCTCATAGGTGTCAATCGAGGAAAACACAACTATGTATGTAAGGACAAGAAGAACGCCGTGTCAGGCGGGTGGTCCATTTTAAAGCATCAGCTTTCAGTGTGGATACTTGCATACATTGAAAAATCTTTAAGCAATAGAGAACAGCGGTGAAACTGTTAAAAAGGTGTTCTGACTAGCACAGGAAGGACCACACCTGTCCTCCAGGCTGTTTATTCTGTTAATTTTCATCCACACTGTACTTGGAGAATCTTTTCTGTGGCATAGTAGTAGAGGTGATGCTTCACATGTGAGCAAAATCTTCAGCTACCTTTGGGTTCTTTTTTATTCCTCTTTGTAGTCAGGATTTAAACAGGAAAACCCACCTGCATATTTCTGGAGTACCTGTGAAGAAATCCTTTGAAAGAGATTGTGTTGTATTGAGGCAAGTGGGGAAAAATAACTTAAGGGTGTTAAGAGTTAAGTTTTATTAATTTCCTGAAGTCTCTTTCCTCCTGAAAACATCCTGTAGGTAACCCAGCCAGCCAGTCAAGGAGAGTTTTGTCCCTTCAAACCAACACCGTAGTCGCTTATTTGCTAAAACTGTGGTCTTCACTGATTCTCTCCAAAACTTGACCAACTTAAAATGTGTCTTAACTCTGAACGCAGAGCTGCTGGGCTGAACAGGTTTGCTAAAATGGTGCATGTTTTACTTTTTACTGCTTGTTAATTTTAGCGATTCCTTCAACTATTGGGCACAGCCTCGAACACAGATGCTAAATCTACGAGGGTTTCAATTCTCACAGACCTAAAACTAGTGCTTTGTTATGTAAGAAACCACAAAAATGTTGATCTTTGCTTTTATTTATGCATTTTAATTTATGTATTTGTGAAGAAATGTGACTTTTTTCTTTTCTATAAAGGGGCTGTCAAAGCGTTAAAATTCTCATGGGTGGCTCCTGTAGCATTTTGATTCTATCAATACCTTACAATGTGAGCGTGTCGGATGTTGAACCACGTTGCACTGAAATGCCTAATGTCAGTGGGGCTTTGTTTGTATTTGCCTGGTTTGCACAAGTTTTCTTGGTGTTTTTTATTGTAGAATATATTGTGTCATGTTACTTTGTACTTAAAGAATAAACACATACTATAAGTGGTGGTGTGTGCATCTTTGTTCATTTACATGTGTTTATTTGAAACAAATTGGTCAACATACAATTAGTCTTAAGAATTAAAAATCATTTCTTTTTTGCAGCCAGCAGGTTCGGAGCGGATACTTTCACTTTGCCCGGCATGTTTCTAGATAGATCAGTGTCCTGAAAAAGAAAGGAGGTGTTGGAGGAGTTTCAATTGTAACAACTAAAAAGCAAACAAGCCATCATCAAGACTGATACAACAAACATAACCACTAAATTCTTTTTCAAATGCCTAATTATTACATATCCTATTGACTTTTATAAGCTAAGGCATGCAAGTGTTGCTTTTTAATACATTTGTAGCTTAGAAACTATCTTTAAATCATCATTTTAGGCTTTTATTTAGAGAAGACGGGACAGTGGATAGAGTAGGAAACAGGGACGGCTAAGGAGTAATAGGCTGCTCAGACTGCTTAAATGTAACTGCTATAAGTTAAGAGTATAAAGGTGTATCTGATGTTTTAACTAACTGTAGCATTACTTATGACCTCGAATACAACAGTTTTTTTGTTGAGTAGAAGAAAGAGCAGTGGGACCGCTTACCTTCACACTGCGGAAGAGGTCTTTCTCTCTGGTTGAGGTCTCTTTAGTTTTCGTAAAGCTGAGCACTGCAGTACGAGCAGCTGATGGGAAAATAATAACACCAAAGTCAGACCCAGAATCAGTCTGTTTCACTGGGTGAGCATAAAGACAGATGTCGTTATTTTTACCTTTGCCCTTCTTCTGAGTACCAGGTGTCAGTTTCACCTTGTGTCTGTGGAGCAGAAATGACTCATTTAGCCTGTAAAAGCTGCACTTTGTTTTTGTTTTTTTATCCCCTCATCAAAAAGGTAAAGTGCACGTACTTGTAGTTGGAGAGCGCAGTGTATGGAGCACAGACGGGCACAGCAAACAGCAGCACATCTTCAGCGTGAGGCTGGCCTGTCAGAGAGGTGAGCAGGTTTTCTGCTTCCTGAAAAATTCAATCAGACTAATGCTTGAGTCAGCACCAACAACAAGCAAACATTCATCCTAAAAATAGTTGCTGACTCATCTCTTTGTAGGAGTTTTTGTACAGGTTTTCACAACAGATTATACCTCCACTCCAGGGTTGTCCTGGTCCACATCATCTTCCTGGAAAGTAAACAACATTGATGATAAATTAACACATATCACAACTGAAGCACGAGACGATGGAATATTTCACTGACCATAACTTCTCATAACAGATAATAAAAAATACACTCCGGACATTCAGAGTTGCATTATCATCTTGTACCTTGTCCTCCTGCTCAGCAGCTTCTCCTTCCCCTCCAGGTTGTTTCCCCTCATCGTCCTCCCCTCCTTCTGTCTGCTCTGGTTTCTTCGCTGCTGTCGCTGCATTTCGAGGTTTCTGAGGTTGTTTCTGAGGCGCAGGCTTCTTGAAGGTTTCCTCTTTCCCCTTCCCTTTTTTTCCTTTCTTCCCCTTATCCTTTTCGTCCTTGTTGGAACCAGCTGACTAAGGAAAGCAGTCATGGTGTTATTTCACACGACGACTGAGTAAAGCTGAGGTGAAGTAACTGTGCCATGGATAGCTATGTCTTACTCCGAGCAGCTGCATCATGAGCTCCCTGTCCTCCTCGTCTTGGTCCTTGTACTTCTCTTTAATCTTCTTTAACTTGTTCTGTAAAGACACCAATCACAGGTTATGCTGTTTTTAGTCCTTCAAACTGTATCTGCAATCTTATTTAAATAACAGACAGGTCTAAAATCTGCCCCATAGAGCAGTAAAAGTGATCCTAGTATAAGGTCTGGGAGTGGTGAGTTGATAAGTAGTGAATTTTTTCCATGATGAAAATATAAGAAAACTGAAAATGTACAAAAATAGATGAATGAAATATGTGTGCATGCATTTTAATGTTGTGTAGCTGAAAACTAAGCTGTCTGTGTTCACACGTACACCTCATTCAGGTACTTTTGAGACAATTTTCAGCACCTTTTTTCACGTCAGAATGAGGTTTATGAGAAGCAGTGATAAGATACTTCTCTTTAAATCTCTGCATTTGTAAACACGGGTGCATTTAGCACAGGTAGTAGTACCATTATCATCAGTCCTATCAGTCTGTTTGGAATAGCTCTTGTGAGCAGGACATGTTATCTCCGAGCTCGTACCTTTTGGCCTCTCTTCAGAGGTTGCTGGGAGGGGCCTCCTCTACCTTTGGATCCCTGATCGGCTGAGGATCCTCCTGCTGAAGTCTCAGTGTTCTCCTCCAAGTCACAGCCATCCTGTTTCTGCTTCTTCTTCTTCTCTTCTCTGTTGGAAAGATAGTAGAATATCTGAGGGTAAAACCGGCAACATCATCGACATTCCTCTCCGTTTAATGTTGAGTAAAGAAACAGCTCCTCGAATCTAGTCAAGCACTACATGTCTTCTTATCAGTGCTGGTTTCTGACAGCCTCTTGATTTATGGTTTATGTTCGATAAGTAAATGGCTGTACTTTATTCCGTAAACTAACCTTCTCTGCTTGGCAGTCATGTGTTTCTTCCCCTGTGCGTCTGCCTCAACCTGAGGGAAGATAAATACATTAATATCAGTATGAGGAGTTTTACCTTTCTGCGTTTTATTTAAATGGCATCACTCGAGTAGAGGAGAGTAGTTATTACCTGAGCTGTCACCTCCCTTTTGAAACCAGGTGTCTCAGCGCTTCTGGAGAAAAGCAGAAATTATGTCATTGAGCACCATATTTCAGCACCCTTACTGTCTGATGTGTTTGAAGCAGATTCTTACCTGCTGGGCTGTAAATGTGAGAGGGAGATGGTTGTATCTGGGAAACTAAATTCTTCGCTGTCTTCTTTCTTCATCTCTCCCTCCTCCTCGCTTTCTTCCACAGCCTCTGCCTCCATGTCTCTCTCCTCAGGAACAGCAGCCAGTTCTTCACTTCCACCATCATCTCCTTCCTCCATGTTTTCATCCCTCTCCTTGTCTCCTGTGTCTTCCCCCTGATCTTCATTACTGCTGTCATCACCTGCAAAGACAACTGGATCAGCCGAATGTGGTAGAAACAGTAAACGAAAACACAATCTAACGTCTCCTACCGATCAGCTCCTCTCCTTCCACTAGCAGCTCGTCAGTCGTGGACGTTACCTCCTCCATGTCGTCTTCCACTGTCTTCACCTTTCTCTCACCTTTGTGCCTTGACACACTGTCATCATCAACCTGCAAAGAGAAAAACGTAAATTTTAGATATTTTTTTATAAATAGTTTGAGGTGTGTTCATGATGTTACTTCACCTTAAAGAGAAATCCAAAGCCCATGATCAAGTAAGAAGGTGGCAGAAAGTTTTTCTTTCCTGGTGACAAATGTTTGACCTTCTGTTAGACGTCATCACTTCTCACACTGAAAGTGCCTTAAAGTATAAATATCTGTGTGGATATGTTTTACCTCTGATCATGAAACTCCCAGTGGTCAGGTACTCTCCAGTTGGAGCCGTCTTCGACACCTACAAAAATTACTAAATGCGTCAGTAATTAGGATATTGCCAACGTTGCAGCTAAAGAAATGTACATTGTAAATATCATGAAACGTGTTGTCTGTGTCAACATTTCTAAAAGCTGGAATTAAAGGGACCCAATGGACTTTTTGCAAATAGTTGGAGAATAAACTGGATTTTTTTTTTTTTAGAGAGTCTGTTTTGTTCGTTGAAATAATGCAGGAATTTCACATTCAAAACGATATCAATACAAAAATCAGCTGAACCATCACATGATGATGCAAATATCACTTTTAAATCCACTGCTTTGAAAATTCTGACAGTTATTTTGCATCCAGAAAAGATTAAAAAGATGTTTTCCTGACTGCTTGTTGGCAAAAATATAACTCTTTTTTTTTTCCTTTTTAAAGGGATATTCCAGCGTAGAATTAAGTTAGGGTCAAACACACCATAACATCGAGTTAGACACCCCCGTCGAGAGATGAATGTTGCCGACCGCTTGCTTCTCTAGTTATACCAACTTATATACCATACACAGCAGGCTTGGGAGCCATGCGCTCAACCCAAAAGCCACTCAGGGTGTCTAACTTGGTGTCACAGTGTGTTTGATGCAGGAATATCCCTTTACGTATCTGTCTTACTACGCTGTATTTTCTGTAAAATACTTTACTACCAATGTTTTTTCGTTTTCATAGGAAGAAACGTGGAAAATGTTGACAACGTGAGAGACAAAGAAGCTTGAGAATGTCATTAACTCACCTGATGATGATGAACCCACCAAGCACTGGTGACGATCTTGGCATCCCAAGCAGCACTGTAGCATACAGCCATGGTGCCGGCTTCTGTCAGGGTGCGAGGAGGGATGGTGTCACCTGGAGAGACAGGGCGGAGTGGAGAGAAAACAAACTGATCAAATGAAGTCAAATATTTAAGAAAGAAGAGAAACCACTTATTTTACCTGAGGGGTTTTTGATGACACAGCTCGTCGCCCCGTGGAGGTCAGCGTGAACATAGACGTCACCTGATGAAATGAAGGTACACATGAGGAACTAAAGAGCTCAGCCGGATGTCTCTTCAGGTTGTAGGAGATCAGTCCTTACCCGCGCGGAGGTAGCGTTTCACAATCATCTCGTTCTGCTGCTGATCTCTTCCAGCGATGACGAGATAATTCTCCGAACTGATGAACCATAAGAATTTCTCAAACCTGCGAGGAGAGAGAAGGTTCGTCTCGGGCGTATACAAATATTGCACAAGTTCAGGTTGATCATGTGATGTTTGTCTTACCAGTAGACTTTCCTTGCCTTCTGAATGGTGGTCACTGTCTGAACCTCTTTTAATGTTTTCTGTGTTTTTTTCTCTGCAGATTTCATAGCCTGGAAAAGAAGATTGAATTTCGGGTTTGCTCATTTGGTCTTTTTAAAGAAGGTGGTTATAAAATCTAAAGTGCAGGAAAAAAGCCATATTCATACCTTACCAGCTGCTTCAATTGTTTTATGTTCTTTCTTTTCAGCACTGCGTTTGAAGTCATAGTATCTAAACAGCACAATAAAACATTCCCATTAGCATCACAACTCTTTCAACGGACTTTTGCACATGTTGTCTTCCTTGTACGTACTTTTTGGCATTTGCATAAGCTGACAGACTGAGGTCCACGTCCACTAACATGGGCTTGTTCTTTTGCGCTTTCTTGTTCTGCCCTTTATCTTTGTTTTTGTTCTTCTTTCCTTTCTCCTCTACCACATCTGTCTTCTCTTCCTCTTCCTGGTCCTCCTCAGAGATATACGGATTCCTTAAACGGAAAGGACACACATCAGCCCAGATGGTCTTAAGTACCGGAGTTTTTGTATCATTAGTCTGAGCGGTCTCACTTCAAAAGCATGGTGATGTGGTTGGTCTGCAGCTTCAGCTCCTTGATAGCAAAGGCCACTGGGTCTCCGGCTGCTTGAGCTTCTTTGACCAGAATGCCGATCTCAGTCCAGTCCACTTGATTTGCCAGGGCGCTACGCACAACCTGCAGCGCCCTCTCAACTATAGGCAGATTCATCTCCACTAGCTCACCTTTTATTCTGTCTACCTCCTGCGACATGCAAAACAAGACAACATAGATTTTAGCAGAGTGATCATGGAAAGGATTTTAAATTTCAGATTTTTGAAAATAAGGAAAAGCAGGTAAAAAAAAAAAAAGCTGAGATTTTAAACCAATTTAAACCTGTGCTTGGTGCAACGCCTCCAGTCTCTGCTCGTGGTCTCTCTTCACATTTTCCAGCTTCTTCAGAGCTTGTTTCTCCTGCTGCAGGGCTTTCATGTCAATCTTCTGACTCTCCATCTTAGAGAAGAACTCATCCACAGCCTGATTGAGAAGATAAAGGAGATTTCCATCACAAAAGAAACAATACTCTAACTCAAACAACCAGAAGATACAACCGCATAGCCAGGTATGCTGATATTTACCTTGTCAAAAGTTTCAAACTCCAGATATGCGCTCTTAGAATGCTGGGCAAAGAGGAATGGATGGAATTCATCATATCTGTAAATGCACATCATTGCCTCACATTAATTCTGGCTTCAAATGTGTGCGGCATGTCAACATTTTCACTGAACAGAAGAAGCATACGTGAGCAGCTCTTCAGCGGGTTTGCCAGGAGTTAAACTTGGTTTCTTCTCACTCTTTTGAATGATGTAGCCCTTGAAATGAAAAGCAAAGTGTATGAAAACCTCAAATCCGTCACAGGGATTGAAAGAATATCACCTCAGTATATATCTGCTTAAACGAGACCTCTTACTTTGCCACTGTAGTTCTCTGTTTTTTCCATGTATGTCTCAGCAATCTGCAGGGCTTCCAGGATTTTCAGGGCGACTGAAGAATCAGCAGGATAGAATAGTCTATTCAGCCATTTATAAAAATAGCAACATTATAGATTAAAACTCTTACTGCATTATTTTACCTTGAGAAGCCTCAACTTGGCTGTCAACTTTGACTGAGCCTGGCAGACCTGCCTCGATCAAGCTGTGCTCTATCACGGTGGCTCCATAGGCTGGGGAGGTGTTTGAAAATGACACCAAACATGTTTAGTTTGTTGAAATACATCACGAGGAAGTCTAGTATATTTAAACTACAGGAAATTTTTTGTGAATTGGTCACAGTAAATATCCAGAACTGATGCCTGGCTACTTACGGAGATGAGGGTTCAGGACCCTTTTTATCTGATCCCCGTTTTGTGCTTTACTGAGGATGTCAGTGAGTCTAAAGAAAAGGGACATGAGAGGTTGTTCTTTTTAGGAATAATAAACATTAATCACATTCTGATGGTTGCCAAACTCATGTTTAAGTATTGATACCTCTCTAAACTTATTAAAGGTTCAGGGGGTCGAGCGCTCTCAACAGGATACCGCTCCCTCACAGCGATTTTTACATCCTCTGCCTCCGCAGTGCGAAACCGCAGCAGGTTGAGGATAGTGTACTCATGGTCTGCAAGAATGATGTTACCCTACAGACAAATACACAGAGACAAGCATCAGTGTCGTGGTTTGGATCAGGGCTGAGCAGCAAAGGCTTGACAAACCTCTCATCGTATTTTCTCACCCGGTCATAGAGTTCAACAATCAAATGGTAGGCAGCCTCGTCTGACCCGAACTGGATGTCAACAATCCTGTCAATCCCAAGCTGCTTAACCTGAGTCAACCGCCGTGTCTTCAGGTGTTTACGACACTGTGGAGGAATGTGATTTTAACAATTAGTTCAACACAACAAAAGCACAAATAGAATTACGGATCTGAGAGAGGTTAGCAAACAGACACAGTTGTACTGAGGCGGTAAAGCCCCTGGGAAGAACTTTTGGTTTGTGGAAATTTTGGCACTCTCCTATGCACAAAGCATGAAGTCCCATCTCTTTGCTGCTCTTGTCCTGTTCATGTGCCAGTCGTGTTTTTTAACATAGAGAGTCAAATGTATCCCTCAGAGGCAATCTTTGCAATGTTTAGGCTAAAAACATTAAAAAGTGCTCCACTGACGGAAACAATCTCCTTGCATATCATCTCTTTGGCTTTAAAAGATCATGTGGAGGCAACAGTGCAAATTTAGTCAATACCATAACCAGTTTTAAACTCCTCACAAGGCCTTCAGTGATACTGATAGATATCAAATCAGGTGGTAAAACACAAGAATCACTCATCCACCCGACTTGTATCACAAAAAAATAAGACAGGGCTTCTTACTTTCATTGCAAAGCCTGAAGGCATCATGTTCTTTGGCCATTCGAAGTCTGTGGAGTGAATACGGGTCCCAGACTCGATCAGGAGAACGGCTTTGCTGTCAGGCCTGAAACAAGAGAAGATACCTCATTGTGAAAACTGGCAGAAACCTAATTCATATTGAGCACAGTCCTTGAATTTCCTTCGGGATCAATAAAGTATGTATCTATCTTGTCATTATTAGGAGGTCCTGTAAGAAAGTCATGATTTATAATGATTTGTTTTATTTTATATTTTGGTGTCAGGCTTCTCCTCAGATATCAAACGGTGCTGAATGTAACTTTTATTGAACATTTTAGTAGTGATTTTCTCCATACTGTACCTCAATCATTTTTTAATTATCTCTGACATTTGGAGGGTTGATTAAAAAACCTGCCTGGTCATGTCATTACTTTTTACAACAGGATTTTGTTTCTAATTGTCTTTGCACCAAAAACTCAATGTTGGTGGAGAGAAGCTACAAAATCTCAAATCTTGTAATGTATTAAACAACACATATGGCTAATACAATGAGACTGCATCTGTAAATCACCAAATATTACATCAACAGAGGAAGATTGCTGCAATGAGCTTACTTTACACAAGATTTTAGTTATTATATGAGTACTGGCCCACAAAAACAAGAAAAATCCACACACAGAGGAACTTCAGTTGTTCTTACTTTTGTAGCCGGATGAGGTACGTCTTATTGTCGATGTCGTACACATTATTGACTCTCATACCTATATAGCTGCAATAGAAAAAAAGTAAAATAAATAAATAATTGATCCACAAAATCAACAACAACGTTGGTTAGCTTAGCTGCCAAACTCGAGGCTGTAGATCTTTACACCTACTTGGCATTGATCTCGGCAATAACTGCCCTGATATCCACAGTGGCAAATCTTGTTTTCATGGTGGCTTCACAGCTGACTACCACTCAAAATATGAAAATTAAACACTTGGTCGAAATGTTCATATTTCTAGTGCAACATCAGCAAGAGGGGAACATGCAGGGTATAACTGAGCTTGCGCACAACTGTAAGGTTCCTACGGAAGCCGATGTGGAGCAAAATTACTCAGGTCCACGCCTTTCGACCACACCGGACGACTTAGTGATGGGCACGGCAGTTCTTTTAGATGTACTGAATCAGTCGAATCAGTTCATCTAAAAAGATTCGTTCAAAAGATTCGTTCACCGAATCACCAAATCATTCAGTTCTCCGACCTCCTGAACTGATACACAGCTGAACGTTTCAGGATTCAGTTCAATTCATAGCTTCTGGGACCAGGAGACGAGAGGGTTTGGCTGTGCTGCTTTGGCAAAAAGGTTTGTAAAAATGAACTTGTTTATAAGTCATGATGTTTTAAGTGTACTATCCTATGGTATGCTATTTATTGGGTCTAGTCGGTAAATTGGGCTCAGTGAGTGATTCGTTCACTGAACATTGAGAAGAATTCACACTGAACATCAGCGTTCACACTGAATTCACACTGAACATCAGAGCCTAAATGGGGCCCTAAGCAAAATGTAATCATGGGCCCCTCAATTTCTGCCAGTAATATTAATCATTGTTGATCATTTACGCACCTTCTACAGTATAAATTTAATTCTGACATGTCATTACACATTTAAGGGGGTGGCCTGGGTAATAGCATTAATAATACCAATGCAGCTATACAAATAATACCAATAAATGACTGATGAATGGTGTTTAGTGTTTATGGTTTTTAATGTCAAAATGTAACATATTCAGGATGCTCAGTGCACATTGCACAGCAGGAAGCACATAATGGTTAGCCTGGCTGGGCCATCCAGTTGCGTGAATCACTTGCCGTTCCTTCCCACAACAGTCTGGACTTCAGCCCATTGGGAGCGTGTATTAGCGATCAGAAAATAAACGGGCCAATCAGTGACTGTGTTTCCACTGAGAAGGAAGGACAAGTGATTCATGCAACTGGATTGCCCAGCCAGGCTACATAATGGTAGCCGAGGTTTGACATATCGGCAGTAAGAATCATAGGCCTACATCAGCAGCAGCACTGAAATGTTTTTTATTTTATTTTATTTTATTTTTACAATATTATATATTTGATGATACAGAAAGCATCACTCATACATGCAAAAAATGAAAATATTTATATATTTTTTTTTTAAATTGCTCTTGCGGGCCCCCTGCTGGCCGTGGGGCCCTAAGCCGGCACTTAGTTCGCTTATGCCTTGGGCCGGCTCTGCTGAACATGCATCATTCCCTCGCAAACTGATGCAATGATAGGATGCTGCAGCATTTTTGCACTACTTGTTACAGTCCTATTGTATGCAAGTTGTTGTGGTGGCAAAGTTAACTTTGCCCAAAAAATGATTCCTGACAGTGTAGGTCAATGCATGATTTGTTTACCAAGCGATTCAGGCGTCGGTGCATGCAGTCCCTCGTTCCCTGGCTGCTTGCCTGGCAATGCTGCATGCCATACCAGCTGCACTGCTGACAGCTCAACTGAAGTGAGAAATGAACGAACTTGAGAAAGTGATTCTGTTCAGTAAAAAAAAAAATCACTTAAAAGATTCGATTCTTTTGAACGAATCGTTCGCTAACGACACAACACTACCGGACGTGTGTGAACAGAAAGCATTGATTGTGTACGGGATGCACTGATGCCTGGTAATCTTCTGTTTGACATGAATGCCGTGGACCTGCCGCTGTGCTCTTGCAGGGACTGTGCGTGGATGTAATTAAACACATGGTAGGCTTTTTGGCATTAATTGTGCACTAATGATGCACTACTCAAACTGGCTTATTGGCGTGAAAAACAGGGCAAGCCTGCGAAATGCATGCAAAACACCCCCTAACACTGACTGGAACAATAGGGGAAATGTTGTGGACACGCAGAACAAAAACCCACTGCCGAATGAGAAGACATCCGAGCAGAATATTGCTCAGCACCTCTGGAAAAAAGGTAAGGGTATAAATTCCGTCAAATATCTCGGCCTGCAACCAGTAATTTTGCTCGACTGACACATTTTCGTGTATGGCAAGATGTTTTCACCCTCGTTTGTGTTATTACTTCTAAATATTTCATGCAAAGCAGCAAGAAAGTATCCAAAAGCCGGAGTTTGCAGCTCCCTCCTCGGGTCAGAGTGGAGGGCGAAGGCGTGCTCCGTTACCAAGGCGACGGTCAGCTAACAGGGCACGCTAGCGGGGCTAAGCTAGCACCCGCGATACAAGCTTTGTGTGTTTCTAACACTAAGCTCATTTGAAACCTCACATTGAAATGTTCAACACGGTAACATTTATCGTAGACAATCGCCTGGTATGCGGCGGCTGAGGCTGAGAGGAGATGCACCGTAAGTTGAGAGAGCGCGGCTGAGCAGAGATGACAGGTCTGATCTGCGGTCACATATCGCCCTCTTTAGATTGATTTAGTGTGTTTGCTGCTGTTTTAAATAAAAAAAGAGGAGTCAGTTTTCGCCCTTTCAGTGTCTCCTGGATAAACAAAGAAAAAACAATCATCATTTTAATCAGTTAGATGAATCATACTGTTGTCTTACACTGTTTTTGATATATTATTTCCTGGTTCTGTTGAGGGAGGACTGTGTCAAATGTTTTTAAGTTTTGTGTTTTTTTGGTCCTACATATCTGAACTCTTGTTATCTAAACTCTCACCCTCGATCAAGGCCGTGTCTAGATTTTAGTATCCAGTGGGCTTGACCAGGGCACCAACTTGTGTGGGGGTGAATTAGTGCTGCATTCATGTGCTCCCATAGACTGTATTCTATACTAAGTTTGGTTTAACATTAACCAGGTGTTTGATAAAAGTTGACTGTCCCAGTGTTTGGCTTACTAATTAGGATTAAATACCATACCACTATGAACAAATAATTATTTTGACAAACCTAGGTCACTCAGTAGAACTACTTGCACGTACAGTCAATGTATAGACGGATTTCTGTGCAACGTCATCGCAGGTATGTGCGTGCAGCCTTGGGGCAGAAAGCGAGATATTTCTTATGAAAATGACAGGGAGCTGTTGTGCTGTAAACTACACAAACCATAGACTGTATACACTATGGACAACTTGGTTCCGCCTCCCGCCTGTATACGGATTTGAAGCCAAAAAGCTCTCTGTATTTCCAGGATTTTTCTTCATTTCCTGTAACCAGCGCTGCGCAGTAGCGATGCATGAATTCGGCTGCGCAGTCGCCGAGAGTCGCCGTGATGACGCTCGGCTCAAACAGCGTATCCCCTGGGTGAGCTACGCAATCCCTGAACGCCCATAGGCTGTATGAGGTGTTAATCATAGAAAACATGAACCCCCTAATAACTTTTAAAAATGGAGCCTCACAGAAAAAAGAGGACTTGAGCACAAACCAGTCTTACAATAACTACACGTCAACATCACAAACAGGGGGGAGAAAAATTTATGTTCTGTGTAATAAATTTATAGTTTGTCCACAGCCCCATAAGCTTTGCTGGCGGAGGAGGGATTTATGACCTATACTGCAGCCCGCCACCAGAGGGTGCTGTTCTCGGAGTGGCTTCACCCATAGAGGAGGCAGACTCTGTCCATTCTTCATTCGCAAGTGTTTTTCTGGTTTTGATGCAATGACAGACAAAGCGATTTTTCAATGAAATGACATTTTATTGCAATTGTGTCAGGGAAAACTTGCAAACAATACAGCATCTTCATTGATATCAGTTCACTCCGAAGCAGGCTTTTGCCCCCTGGTTGCGTGCACACCTGGTATTGTTTGTACACAAGAAACCCGTCTATAAGAAAATGTTTCATGACAGTATTAAAACAACATTTGCCAATTACATTAATAATTGATCACAGTTCAGCTCAGTCGATCACCAAATTCTTGCCTGGATTTCTTAGTTGTTGTGACCTCAACAGACTTGTGCTCACACACATTTTTTCAACTCAGAAACTTCTTTTCCAGATGTATCCAACACCACATGAACACAGCATAAGTGTGCACACACAAATAAGGAGCATTTTCCCCCCTTTTGTCCCACCCATTATATATCTATTCAAACTACTGACATGTTGGTATCACACAGATGATAGATTGATGTCCAGGACTCAAAATGATGTACATTTAAAATAACAATAGAAAGAACAGATAAAATGCCACATAAAAAGACACAGGCACCAGACTTTTGCACCACTAGAATTCATTTTCGGCCTGTGTTCTGGGAAGCACAGACAGCCATTATATTCTTTCATGAGAATGAAAATAACTGATTCCCTTCTAGCTATGGATCAAAAAGTCCTCACTCCCCATCCTAAAAATTACCAAGGGCATTAATGTCCAGTGGGGCTGTTCCCGTTTCTTTTTTCTCTAGAGACCACAGTTTCCCTGTTGTAAATGCTCTTGTTTTCCTGTCCTGGTCTTTCACTTTTTGTTTGACTTTAAAAGTAATGGGTTAGAATCATATGTTTTCATAGTGTGCCTAATTTGTTGACTCTTTCTTGTACAGGCTACAAAACAATCAAGAAAATCGGGGAGGGTACATTTTCAGAGGTGGTGAAAACTCAAAGCCTGAAAGATGGAAAGTTCTACGCTTGTAAAACCATGAAGCAGACGATAAACAGGTATGTATCCTGTAACAAAGTTACAGTCAGATGTGCCCTTAAAATCTGTGCCATCATTTATCAGTTTTCAGAATAAATTTGATATGTTTTCAATCTGCTTTCTATTACTAAGTCTGGAACAAGCCAACAACCTGCGGGAAGTCCAGGCTATGAAGAGACTGAGCCCGCATGCAAATATCATCCAGCTTCATGAGCTGATTTAGTGAGTACTGATCCAGTCTGTTCTGAAATGACCATCTTGCTTCAAGCTGGTTTCTTGATGATTGCCATATTAACCCAATGCTGTATTTCAGTGACAAGGAAACTGGAACTGTGTCTCTGATTTGTGAGCTGATGGAGATGAACATCTATGAATTAATACAAGGCAAGTCATAAAGAGTTTTAACAGCTGAGGAGAATTCAAAGTCATAGATGCAGTCTTTGTGTAGAGTTAATGATGGGCTGATGTTTGGTCCCCATTCCTTGCAGGGAGAGAAACACCACTGCCTGACTACACTGTAAAGAACTACATGTACCAACTCTGCAAGTCCCTTGAACACATGCACAGGTATTGTAGTTTTAAAGGTGTTTCAGCTTGTGAAATATCAAATTTAAAAAGTATACAAAAACTCCTTTTTTATTTCTACAGCTGTGGGATTTTTCACAGAGATGTAAAGCCGGAGAACATCCTCATCAAAGTGAGATGAATATCGTCACACTCTCTTACGCTGGTGGTAGTCTATTTAGGAATCACACTCATTTTTGAGTATTCTGTGTAATTTGCAGCAAAATGGCCTAAAGCTCGGAGACTTTGGCTCATGTCGGAGTGTGTACTCCAAGCCCCCACACACTGAGTACATCTCCACACGCTGGTACAGAGCCCCTGAGTGCCTTCTTACTGATGGCTACTACAGCTTGAAGATGGACATGTGGAGCACTGGTTGTGTCTTCTTTGAGATCATGAGGTATCACTGCAACACTTCATCCGTAGAAGCCTAAATGTTTGAGGCGGCATTGTTATTTCTGTGAGCCACACACATGGGTGTCAACCAAATTTTATGTAAATAGTTTTGTTGTTGTGTTCCTGCGTGTTTCAGTTTGAATCCTCTCTTCCCTGGAACCAATGAGCTGGACCAGGTTGCCAAGATCCATGATGTGCTGGGGACACCAGATCAAAGTGTCCTTAAAAAATTCAAGCAGTAGGTATTGCTCCTTATTTGTATTCAGGGGGGGCCGTGTCTTTGTATTTATAGTTTTTTTCTTTATTTCTTGCAGGTCCAGAGCGATGCACTTTAATTTTCCCCCTAAAAAAGGCTCTGGCATCTCACGATTAATCCCTAACTGCCCAGCTCCGGCTCTGTCACTGCTTTATCAGATGCTCGCCTATGACTCAGATGAGCGCATCACTGCAGAAACAGCCCTGCGGCACACATACTTTAGGGAAATTAGGTAAGCAGCGAAAATACGAAACAATTAATGCAACTTTTTCATGAATTCTGCATGCTTGGTTTGCTCGTCAGACTAACTATATAAGGACTTATTTACTTGTTCTTGCTTTTTGTCCCAGGCTGGCAGAGAAGAAGACAGAAACTATTCACAGGCTTTCTGGATCTCTGGGTAGAGTCGAAGGTAGTGGGATGCATAACTCCCTAGACCACATCTGGCGCCCCACCAGACTTGGCAAACAGCTGAGGGGTAGACACACAAGGCAAACACCTTTAATGACTGTAAGTCTGTTTGACTCGACCCTCAAGTTAACACAAAAGTGTATTTTGCTGCTACTGTCTGATCAATTTGTTCACCTACAGCACAACATGAAGCATGTAGCAGAGCCCCTCATCAGGAGGAACATCCCCCTTTATCCCACAGAGCTGCCAAAGCTCAACATGGTCGTTCCAGGACCGCAGATGTCCTTCCCTGTCTCCTCTATGCCTGCATTCGCTGTCACTCACCGGGGCATGCTGCCAACCCTCACCTCGAAAAAGTGCCAGTCAAGGTTGGCTAAGGTAAAACTACAAGAGAGCTACGAAGACAATAGGTTTTTGTCGATTGAAAAATCATTCAGTCATCAAGGCCTTAAACAAAACACATCAGACATTTTTCTTGTTTTCACTTTGTCCTGTTAAGAGAAACAAACATTAATAAACTCTAAGTGCTTCTGTAGCGTTTTCTCAAAGGCTTATTTGGCATTCAGGTTGCGTTTCCTTTCTCCACAGCCTGGGGATGAGTCACACCTCCCAGCTTGTAAGACCTACTACCTGCCACCGCTGGATAGGAAACATGGAGGCTACTGAGAACCAGAAGCGAGGTTTGGTTCAAATTTACCTCTTTAGACAAACAAAAAAAACAGGAAAGACCAGAAGAACAGAATGCTGAAAGGACAATGCCTGGACAGGCCTGATGCTGCAACCTGTTAAGGAACACAAGAAAAATACACTGAAGACCACCAGGCCTGTCGTGTTTCACTGTTGATCTGTCACTGTAATGATATCTGAGCAAACAATATTAGTGTGTCATATCGTTGGCTTGAGTGTGTAGCTTCATTTTGACCTTGGTTTTTTCTTCACCCAGTCAGGTGTTACATGTTTTTAACTGTTTAGGATTATACAACAATCTGAGCTGATTACACAAGCTAAGAGCAATAAGATATTTGACACTTGACCAGAGCTGGATTTGATGGTGTCGAGTCAGACTCTTGGAAACTAACAGATAGTCCTGAAAAATGGGTCAGACTGGTCGACAAAAAAACTTCGATACAGAACTGATCAGAATTAAGTCCATGTAGAAAAATTTGTATTTATTGCCCTTCATGTATAGAGGTAACCATAATGCCACAGCTGGATTGTAATTGGGTGTATATATATATATATATATCAGCTGTTTACTTATTGTGCTGGTAAAACTACATCCTGACATCAAATCAAGGGTCAAGTCACTTTGTGAACCTAAATCCAGTCTAGACTTTTCAAACCTTCTTAAGCAATCTCAAGGAAGGCAGAGGCACGCCCTCGAATGATGTAAAACTGCACATAGGAGCTTTATGTGTTCAGCTGGGATTCACAGTTGTAGAGCGTCGTACATGGAAAACTTTGAGTGGGTGGAATTTGTTTAGATGAGCACTGTGTAACTTTTTAATAGCTGTGAATTCCTCAGGACAAACCGGTCTGTAGGGCATTTGTCTTCCTGTACAAGTATAAACCATTTAAGTGCTTCAAAATTGTAATTCATGGCACAGTGTTAGAAAGCTTCATTTTAAGGCACGTGGTTCATATTCAATCAACCTGATTACTCTTGATATATAAACAATAAATTAATGAAGAAATAGCTAGAACATTTAGTCTCATAACAATATTCTCCCATTAGAGTATCTTCGTATGTGGACACTTCTGGTTAAAAGTTGCTGACTGTGCCTGAGAATAACTTCTTGTTCGGTGTGTTGCTTGGCCAGTGTAAGTGAACTCTCAGTACTTCCTTTAACTGTGGCTTTAAAAAGTCTTTTTTTTTAATTCAGAGCTGTGATCTCTTTCAAAATGACTGTATCTCAGTCTTTAGTTAGGTTATTAAAACCCATAATTAAACAAAAGTATTGATGCATCTCTGATGTTACTGAACCTTCAAATTGAAAACTTTAATCTTCTAAATCATGTCTGCACATTGCCCTGACACTAAAATAATTACTGAGAAGTCATAATCTGTTTTTTTATGAATAACAGTGGAAAAAATAAAATGTAATCCACTTAACAAATGTCTGCTTCACTGGTCAATGTATAAGTCACTCACTGGACCCTTGAATGATTGGTTGTAGAAAAATAAATAAATACGGGAACTGGAGTCGTGTTAACAGGCAAAAACTTTTTTCTTCTCATATGAAATCTTTTGTGTGTTTGTCAAATTTCTTTCAGATGTCTTTTGCATGATTTCCTGAGCTTCTTCCATCCACAGCTTCTTCCTGCAAATGGCTGTTTGTTCGTTTTTTTATATCAGCATTTCCCAAACAAGACACATCAGAGCATTGTAGTGTAAGTACAGTCAATGTGGGAGAACACAATAAGAGGAGAAAGCAGTGTATTCAAGATTATTTTAATATTATTAATATGTATACTTTAGGCTTTAGAAATATAACTATCAATGACAAAACTTCCACTGGAGTAATGGTAGTTTGCTTAGGCCCCCATTAAATCAATTAATTACAATATACACATTATGATACAGAGCAGATTTGAATCTGAAATAATATTAAAATAAATGCTCAATAGATAAAGGTTTTAATAGTTTTTATCATTTCCTTCACCTACTGTATTAGCCATCTGTGAGTTCTGAGCACACCCAAAAATGTAAAGCCATTTTCTTCTAATAAACTAATTTAAGTGCAAACATTTTTTTTCTTTAAAAGACTATGATTGCAGCATCCAGCTTAATAGATTCAGATTTCAAGACTGAGGATGTTAAAGCCGAGTGCAACAAGGCAGTCCTCAACCCTTGCTTTTTTTTTCTTTTTTTTTTTTTTGTTCCATTAGAGAGGTTATAAAAACAAACATTAGAACTAACTTAATCAGTGCAAAGTCGTTGAGATGGGGAGTCTACTTAAGAAAAGACAGAGGTGGTGAGTTAATGTGGATGGATGCAAAATTTTCAGATGCTAACGCACTTGGTTATAAAAGAATAGTGCACTCAAAATTCCACCTTCAGTCAGTTACCCTTAGCCATTTGACTCTGAAAATTGAATGCACTATCCCTTTAATCTCAAGCCATAATTTTCTGGTTTGCATCTTACAAAGCCAAGCTTAATTTCCAGAGGGGACAACAGTCTGAGGAGACCTGACACGACAGAAAGACTCTTTTAAAAACAAACTAAAATGTGTTAAAACTCCAGAGAACATAACAGCATATTAGTCCACAATTGCACCGCACCTTTTCTTGCTTCTTTCCTCCTCTAGGTCAAGTGAGTGATATAAACGAAAAACAGAAAAGCCATCAACAAAAATCAGGGAGGAGGGAGGGGAGGGGTGTAAAAGAAAAGGAAAACTTGCAATGCTTGCAGGGTGAAGAGCAGCATCAGACTCTGGGTTGCAGGGTTCTTTAGCAGCAGAAATATTGTGGCTATACTACTGTTCCACTGGGAGAGCTGGCTTGGTTTTGGGATGACAATAAACCCTGGAAAAAGGAAAACAAGGAGATTTGCATTGGGAAAGTTCACAAACTGTGGCAAAAAAAAAGTCAAGCAACAAATAGCTCATTAAGAATTAGCCTCTAGCTTCTTCTTTCCATGTCGCGGTCCCCTGCACTTAATTAAAAGCCTGCGCAGCAGTAGTCCAAGTGGATGAGAAGTGTACAGTGTTACACTAGAGGTGTATTTGAGAGGTTTGCTCGATCAAGGCACTGGGTAAACACATAGGCAAACTGTTTCTCTAAAAGCTTTGTTAACATCTTGTTCTGACTTCTAAGGCTTTTGTACGCCAAAGCTTTGCAAACAGTTTACTATCATCGTTAAAATAACACTAGAGCTCTTACACACTTGTCTTTTAACTGTAAAAATCGGGTTGGCTTGAGCATCTCACTTAGACTGAACCGACCCCAGCACCTTCAAATTTGCATCAAGTTGCTTATTCAGGATTTTTAAAAGGCAAACGTGTGCTCCTATGGCATTGTTTGGGTAATTACTTTTACAAAAGGAAGATAATCGAAGAAAACAGTCAAGTTTCTGCAAAGTCTAACTCTGGGTGGTACAAACCTTCAAACTCCCTGCATGATGAAAAACTAGACTATCATGTGCCTCATTCTGGCAAAATCTCTCAAAACACAGACAGAAGGGAAGTAGACAAGGGTGGATTCACATATTGACCTCTAAGCATGTGAGACACTGCAGACATTCTTCAGGCGGATACAGAGCCATTTGCATAAAAACTGAGAAATGAGTGTATGCAAGTGACTTCTTGGCTGGGCTGCTATGCATTGTGGAATGATAACGATGAACCGATGAACACACTTCGTATGGATTAATGTCTTATTTCCCCTCACAGATCTACACAGGAAATGCTCCATACCAGAAATTATAATATAACCAAACTGTCACATTTTTATAGCACTGGTTATACTTGAGACTTAAGCAGTACAGGCCTTTTATTGGAAAGCAGTTGTACATAAAACAATGTCTGATATGTTTCTTGCCTGCCTGCAGAGTGACAACCTCAACTACAAAAGCTACAAATGCTTTCCCACAGTATATATTTATATATGTATTTTTTTCAAGAATATATCTTTGTTTTTAGTTACAGGACACCAGCTCATTAAGGACAGCTAAAAAAATGACCATATAATCATTTGAATTCTCCTCACATTTCCTACATTAAAAAGAACTTACCACTTTGCCTGGCCTCGCCCATGTGCAAATAAATCCCTCCTGACAAGCAGTCACTAAACAGTCCTCTAAAAATATGAGTACAGTCAGTCTCTCGTGTGCTATCTTTTTACAGATGAGGGGCTCGAGGAGGGGCACATCCTCCATGCGCGGGCACAGCAGAGTGCCCAGAGTCTTAGCAGGGTCCGTTTTGGTTTTTGTCAGCAAGTTGAGCTTGTCGCTGCTTTTGCTACTGATGTGCCCCATGCTATGGTTGCGTTTGTGGTCCTTCTCGTGGTGGCGCTCCTTCCGGTCATGGAGTGACAGTGTGGCGAACTTACTCACACCTGTAGCAATGGCACTGTCCATAATACCACTGCCGATGCCACCTCCACTGCTAGCCTTGTTGGTATTGTTTGCTGTTGCTGTGGTGGCTGCTGAGTGGGGAAGGCTGTTGGAGCGTGGTAATGTAGTAGCGAGGGAATTTATGCCGGGAGTATTGGCACCGCTGTTGTTTCCATTAGTAGTGTTACTAGAGGTGTTAGTGATTATTGTAGCACCAGCCGGGGGGCTGGTAGCATTCATCACATTAGTATGTGTTCGTGTCCGTGAAAGCGGAAGATGGGGAAAAAGGATGTCCTCAGTGAGGTCCCATAGGCACAGCTGTGTGTCCTGGCCCACTGAGCCGAACCGGTACGTAACACTAACAGGCCGGCTGTCCGTGGAGTTGCGTTTTGAAAGCCGAGACTGCGTACTGTTTGCCCTATCTCGTCCAAAGTGAATCATCTGATCCTGGAAGTCCTCATCGCTGCCACTGAACTCCATTGGGTCACTCTCCTCCACACTGGTGGTGTAATGGTCAAATGCCACCACACTCACCCATGACTTGTGCCCGTGACCTCGGGCAATGACTCTGCAGTCCAAGAATGACCACACAGTCACTAGATCGTCCTCTCCACCTGCAACTATGTACTTTCCATCGGGGCTCCAGCACACACACAACAAGCCGCCAAAGTAGCTCTTCATGGTGCCATGAAGCTCAACCGCATCAAAGTTGAAGACTCGTAGGAATCCATCTTGGCTAACACAGGCTAAGAACTTCCCATCAGGAGAGAAGGCAAACTCATTCAAAGCTCCTTCCCCCACTGTCCATTTGAGGAGGGGATTCCTCGTGGATTTACTCTTACAGGTGTGAACAGAGTAATTCTCTCCCTGTTTAAGCAGCTGGTAGTGAGGTGCCGTGGTGCCACAGGTGTGCTCCACATTGTACAGGTACATATTGCCACTGGCATGAGAGACCAGAAACAGGCTCTCAGAGCCTGGTACCCATTTCACACACGTCACTCTGGACTTGTCTATTAGTCTCTGGCGGTTGGGAGGGTTGTTGAGAATTGAGAGGCACACCAGGTCAGGTGGGGAAGGAGGAAGTAGAGCAGACAAAGAAGGGGAGAGGCAGAAAAATGAGGTCAGTACAGTTTAATCAAAAAATCAATATTCTGAACAAGCTCAAAGTCTTACATTTTTACAAAGAATACCTTATACTTTGGAGGTGAGGAAAACACAAAACAGTTCCAAAAAGTACAAAAAAAATGTTTTGAAGATACTTTGAACATCATACACATTTGTTCATTTGGTTACTTAAATCCTTCTACACAAGACAATCGTGAAGTTTTGAGCAAAGTCACACTCAAATACATATTACAGCAAAGGAGACGCTCTGAAACTGTTTTTCTAGCCTTAAAAAATTGACGTTTCCATGTGGCGGTATGACAGTACTTTCATCAGATGTTCGTCTGTCAAGAAAGCTCAACATAAACCAAATTGTTGCAATTTCTGAAAAAAGGGGAAAAAAAACTCATACCTCCTCATTGAAGAGCTTGCTAGTCTCCTTCTTGATGGGGTCAATGAGCTGTACCTGTCCCGCTGAAAACCCCACTAGCAAGGACACACTCTCTGCTGTAGCTGTGAGGTGGTTGAAGTCATGACAGGTGGGCTGCGTTCCCTTGTAGATGCGTTTGTCTATGGGCTTGCTCAGGTCAGCAGCCTGAAGAGAGAGGCCATGAACAAACATGAAGTGAGTGCAGTAAGAAAGAAAGGCTACTGCTTTTTCTAGGCTTCAAGTCCACTTAAAAATAATATTCATTAATGTCACTGACTGGGGACAACTTTACTGGTCAAAGCTGAGATTTTAATTTTGTGTCACGGCACCAAAGTGCACATGAGGTGACATCTCAACTCGACACAGTTCATGTGGCCTTAAGACGCACAACAAATAGCTGACATTCCCCAGGCAAAAATGAGGAAGAACTCAAATATACAGGTTTGTCTTTTGCCTGCAGATGGGTACATGCTAGTCGTGGTACTGTTAGATGTACGTTTTGCTTTGAATGTGAAAGCAACATTATTTTATTGCCATGAAAAGGACACCTGGAGCATATACTGCAGATAACCAGAACAACAACATATCCATTTGTTACTGATTTACAGTTTACACAACTTGTGGGATGGAAAATTCACTGAGTGCAAGATGATGACTCAGTTGTTCCTTTGGGTGTCAGATGTTACATTAGGTGTTTCTATCTCACCTCAGAGACAAAAACATGTCTTAAAACAAGATCTACTAAAAAATCATGCCCTTAACACAGGTTTTATGCCATCTGTCATTCGTGAATAACTTCATGAGCAAATTATTATATATGATTTGCTGCAAAGGGAAGACTATGTTTGAAAACAGTAGTGGCGAATACTTATAGGAAATAAAACAATCCTCCTGGGCCTCTGCACAAAAGGAGAGTTGAATTCAAAAGGACAATCACACTATTTTTGATTTTTTACAGTATTCATTCGCCTGCTACTACTTAATGCTACAGAGGACTTTAACAGCCAGTTCCTTTACATGTGTGCTCTACTAAGATTGGCATTTTCTGCTTATTTTCTCATGATAACTTATTGAAACACAGACCTACAATTTTTTTTTTTTTTTACAACTGTTATTATGAGTTATTTTCTTCTGGTTTTATATCTAGACATGTCATGTTTTCAGTCCAAGTTACATTGCCAGATTGACAAGAATAGAATTACTGTTGCACCAGAGTTTTTCTTTTATTGGTCTCTTCAAGATAAACACTTCAATTCAGGGAATTTTCGTACTAATAGATGGTTTAACCGAAAGCAAAAATATTTGTTGGAAAAAAAATGTATGTGATTACACACACAACAAGCATATGTTATACAGGCAATAAAACAGGACTACTTCCCGTTAGAAGTTGTGTAGCTGCTGTCAAACTGTACTGCAAAGGCAGTTTAACAACTTCATGTTGCTTCATTTTTTTTTTATGTAAACAAACTTTGGCTTTAAACTTGTAATGTATACTTAATACTTGATAATGTATGTGTTGGATAATCGATCTGAATGCTAATATCATCTTGTTTGGTGTACTTTGATCAGTTTGTAGGTGTGTACTTCTGACACATCCCAAACTCACCAAAGGGAGAAGATGGCTGGCTTGGGAACCAAATAAAAATCTGACAGAGTAGGATGACATTAAATGAGACTGTTTAAAAGCTGCCAGTCAAAAGCAATGACAGGTGCTCTGGTCAGCAACACAGGGGCTGTCACTGTCCTCACAAACCAAAACAACCATTACACCAGCAATGTCAACCCTGACAACTCACACGGAATCAAAAGCAAATTAAACCTCAGTGGTCGTCCTGTGATCTCTACAGAAGTGGAGAAACGCTTGAGAAGAGAGACAGACCGGGGGGACGGAGTTTAGCCCCTGGCCTCCAAGTGGCTACTGGTTTGCTAACGTTAGCCACTTTCGTTGGCTAGCTAACTACAGGCTAGCTTCAGCTCCAAGCTAACTAGCTAGCAGCTAATTTCAAAGTCAAGCACCGAGCAGAGTTACTGAACACAAGCTGAAAGTTTATCAACAGCTCAGAGACCAGCGGGGGTTCCTATCTTGCGCTCTCACGGATTCCGCTGACATTACCTTTCTAACGCCTTTGTAGATGTAGAAGTAGAGCTCACGGCCCACATTGAAACAGATCCTGTCGCCGTTGCCCGACTGGTCGTTGACGTTCACGAAGGAGACCTTGACGGGGTTGGAACCCTGCGAGTTGAAAGGCACCCTGTTAGGACGGCTGTATTCGGAGTGAGTGAGGAGTTTGTAGACGCCTTCCCGAGTTGTGAACTGAGTTTTAATTTCGTTCATCTCCTTCCCTCCTCCCTCCGCCGCCATCTTTGAAATTAACATTCATCCCTTTCCCCCAGGCCGGATCTTACGCACAGAGGGAGCGAGCCACGGAGCGGCCACTCCGACTCTCCCGTTCCCCCCATCGGTTCAACGGGGAACTGGTGGAGGAAGACGCCGCTATATATCTATTTAAGATCGGCGAAGCTAGCTCAACTTTTACATGTTGAAGCATTTTACATTTTGGAAAATAAAACATGTCTCAGCACATTTAGAAATAAACTGAACCAGTTTGCCACATACATAGACTTTGTTAAGTTGATTTCACCAAATAAAATCTGCTTTTATCAACTTTAAAATGTATTTTGAAGTTATTTGCAGTCTAGATTAATACACATTTACAAAATGTGTATGCCAGAGGGTTAGAATCACCTTTTTGCTTAGCTTTTAATTAATATTTATTTGTTTTATCTTCATTTATTCTAGTTTGCCTAGGTTTATTTTATATTTATTTGTTTTTATTGTCACGAAGATGGTCTGTGTTTACTTCATATTTTAGTTTCCTTGTTCTTATCTTTTTCTTATTTTTAGGACCCACTAAAACAATTTTGTCAATCAAGTACAAAATAGTAATGATGAACTCTGTTGCAATGTAATCGTATGTCTTGACAAATATTTCATACATAAGAATAAAGTTATGAGGTCATCCCCAAGATTTATTGTTTTCATAAACGAATTTAAAATGTTTAAAACGTTAACTGGTTTGAAGGAACAAAAGGTATATGATAAATTAAATAATTTTCCCACTGATACGAACAGCAAAAAAAAAAATAGAAATAATAAATAGTTAGTTTATTCTTGTCAGCCCTGTTACCATAACGTCAATCCTGTTGTTGTCATTAATTTGATAAAAATGTAAAGACAACTCAAATGGGCTTTCAAAACTTACCATTATAATTTAAATTACATTATATTTCAGATGTGATCGCCATTCAAAATCATGGTATATTTAATAATCTGAATGACAAATCTAATTGGAGAAAAAAAATCCACAATATAAAATAATTTCAATGGAGAGAGAGACTAAAGTACTGCTAATTTATGTACCATATATTGCATATTTCTAATTAGAAATATTGTATTTTTTTTAAGTTGATGTCAACAATATAATTTCCTGTAATTTTAAACAGTTTTTGATTCCTGGCTACTTAAAAATTAACAATTAAATATAGTTTCAATTTTTAATTTTCTAAGTTTAAAAGGCATTGCCATGGATATGAATTCACTTTAGAAACATGTCATGTCAGGTAGGTTGAATGAGTTTTATTTTGAAAAATAAAGTAATCTTACCGGACGTATTGTTTCGTAAAAACCTCCAGAGTAGCAACTCTTGTTTTTTTTTTTTTAACTCATAATAATAGATGTAGCAGACGTTTCACCTGTGAGCACACATGGCTGCCTCATATCAAGAGCACCTGGTATCTGACTGATTAACAAATCAACCACCTACTTTCCAGCACAACTACTTGTATTATTCTTTATTCAAGTTAAAAAAAAAAGTGATAAAACTACGCGTCAAATCTCATGGAGTGTGGAGGGAGACGAAAACTCTCACACCCAGGTATTCGTCTTTGACATATTTGAAAGTTGACCATATTTCTGCTGTTTTAGACAAATTAAGCGGATTTTACTGATTTGATGTACTTCTTGAGCATGCTGAGTACTTGTACTCTTGCTGTTTTTCTAAATTTAATTGTCAGCTTTACTTTGTTTTGTTTTTCAAACAAAATACGTGTACCAACTTTTGGTATTTTATGCAGGTGTCAAGATGTATTACTTCATCAATTCATGCATGTCTTTCCCCTGAAATTAGATCAGAGTGAGAGACATATACCCAACAACATGGACCAACTTGCTTTCAAATACACGGTGAGATAAATGGGTCACATGTCATTTAGACATCTGGAGATTTCTCAAATCTCGATGGCAGTGGTCTACTTGCTTCATACTTGTCCCTATACAAATAAACATTAAATAAATTAAACAAAATCTCATTTAAATTTACATTTAAAACAATGTACTTACTTCCATTACCTGCTTTTGTAATCATGAAGACTAGAGTGTTTTCTGTTTCTTCTCAGAAGATGTGTAAAGTGGAATCCAGCACTGATTCTGAATCTGAGATAAGTCCAAGATGGTCAGACACCAGCACTGTGGTATTACTTTGCTTCTCCTGTTGTGCACAATTGTATGACGTGCAGTACTGACTGAATCACCTTTATTTTTCGATGGTGTACTTCTCATTTAAACCCTCACTTCGCAGGAATGTGCAAACAGTGCACCAGAGAGGCAGACTTTTCATAGGACATTACCATCAACCCACAAATCTGCAGTGAAGCACAGCTGCTATTCTTTAGTATGTGTTAAAATGTAAAAAATCCATCCCTTACCTCTGCAAAAGTACCCTGTTGTGTGAATTTATACACGTGTGCTTGAAATTGTAGTTTTTGGATCCATATGATGGGAGCTCTGAGGATTCTGATGAGTCAACCACCAATGGGTGTGTCTCAAGCAGGCGAGCGAGGCAACAAGGAAGAGGAGGAATTCGATGTATGAGCAAGAGCAGGAGATTAATCCTTCATGATCCTGCCTGGGTGTGTGAGCTTGACATGGACATGGATGAATGTAGAGATCTGAGGGATCAATCAACCAGTGACTCAAACCTGCACAATGAGGCTATGGATATAGAGCTATGTTGTCAATTTGATGATCCAGGCTTACACACTACAAGATCCTGCACACCCTACGTTCCTGGAACTGTAACGCCAGGGGAAGTGAGTTCACCCCACTACCCAGAGAGCTCTTATGAAAGACCCCCCAGCTGCAGTAACCTCCGATCTTTGTACAAGAGAAAGCTGGGATTTCCTGGAGCAGAGGTGGTGGAGCTGGAGCAAAGAAAGAGGCAACGTGTTTGCAATATGGAGGACTCTGCATCTTAAACACTGTAACACCCAAATCATAAAAAGTGCCTTGATGCAATAAAAGCAGAATAAAATGCTTCAAATAGTTTCTCAAAATGCACCCTGCTTTTTATGTGTAGAGAAACTAATGAAAGTGTGTGCACTGAAAAGTAATAGACACATTTAGGGATCACGTAGACAACATTTGCACTTTACCAGAAGCTTGAGTGCTAAATTAACTTCATAAATAATGTTGAATGTGACCCAAACATGTCATACATGATAGTTATCCTGGGCTGAATGTGTCCACGTTCAAATACGAATTAACCTCTAACCAGAGTGACCTCTGCTGCCAATGGGAAATACCATGTTTCATTCTGAAGTGCATCTCTGCTCTGTTGAACACATTCACTTCATCTGTACGCAGACTGGCCCTCAGACTTCTTTAGACTGATTTTTTGGGGGGCAGGGTGTGTCCCCTGACAGCTTTTCCATGAAACGGGAGGTTATTTGAACTTCTTCATACAGAGTACAGTGTTTAAAATTTCATACAGATGATCACATGAGCACATTTACATGCAGATTTTATTATTTTTTCCCTTCTTTTTTACTGTAGTCTTAATTTAACCCCGTGGATGTATACTAAAACTTGTATCCCATATTTTACAGGATTGATGATTGGTAATCTGCAGGTGCATAGCCCACTGGTGCACTTTTTCATTTAAGTAGCATCCATGTAATTGTCGTGATTGAGGACAAAAATGTTGCTTGGGGTTGTTTTTTGAAAAAAAAAAAAAAAAAAAAAGGATTTTCAATATTTTCAACAACTTGGACCTTTTTTTTTTTTTAGCGTGCTGAGAAATGATTTCCACACTCACAACTTCCATAACGGCTTAAAAATGTGTCACACTTCACCTTTTCCTTCTGTTTTTTGTACTCATTAAAATTCAGTTCTATTCATCCAACCACTAGGTGACAGTGATACAAGGAAAATGTAAAAAGCCATAAAAAATATCTAAGATCCCAGTATTATCAAGAGGACAAACCAGAAAGCAAGTGTCTTCCAGTTCAGGTCTATCTAAAACAGGTTAACAGGCTTATTTAAGAGCTGTATTTTGTTTTTCTATGTGTTTTTTATGTTGACTTTATCATGTACATGGCAAATACCACAAATGGTGACTCAAAATAAAAGAAAATTGTGATAAAAACTCGTCGTTGATGCAGTTTAGCTCATCCCAGACTTTATTTGATCTAAAAACATACAGGTTCCTACTTAAAATCGTCTTACTTTCACTTTCCTTTTCCTTCACATTTAATCCTCTCTTTATCAACCATCTGACAACCTTCTCCAAACCTTCCAGCACTTCCTCAAATCACTAAGAATGGTTACATGTCTGTTACGGTTTCACTAATGCTTCTAACTAGGGTAAATACTGGAATGTGACAGGCTACAATCTACTTTTAAACGGTGGTTAACAAGCACTGAATGTAAATGAATGAGTAAAGTTTAATAATGAAGTCTGTCATCTCTTTGGGAATGACTTAAGTTGGTCTACTCGGTGCACAGGACAGCAACTCCACGCTCATAGAAGCTGTGTGGGTCTTCCTTGGTGGCGATGTCGAAGTCAACAGTGAAGATGAGGTCGGATCTGGTGAAGTTCAGGTACACGGGTAGAGTGACCTGCAGCGAGAAGGAAAACAGAAATCCATGAGTGGTACAAAACTGAGCTAAATTTCACAGCAGTAGAAGTTATTTCTATAGGAGAGTCAGTTATTTGTATTTCCTGTCGTTTTGTTTTGATCATACCGTGTGTCTCTTCTCAGCGTTGCTCTGCTTAACCCAACGAAGCTGAGTGAGAGGCAGCTCAGTGGAGATGGAGGTGGACAGAGACAGCTTGTTGTTGCCACAGGTGGCTCCCTGCAGTTTCAGGCCTAAAATAAAACAGTCACAAGACATCAATACCTTTATGAGTAAAATTCAAAACAATGCAATATAAACTGGAATCATCTGGAGTCACATTGTCAGAAGGTCATTATGTTTTTCCATAATTTGATCATATTTGTCCCAATAACTCTCTCGACCACAGCAGATGGCCTGCTGTCTCACTGACCTTTAATGCCAAAGCTGCAGGCATCCAGCGCAGCGCCCTGGGCGGTGGTGACATTGACCTCCAGGAACAGCTCCTCCAGAGACCAGCTGTTGGCTTGGGCCACATACTGGCGGGTGGCGGTAATATAAGCCTCCGGGACAAACAGGCTGCCGAGACACACGTGGATGTTCTGGAGAAAAGAAAAACACAGTCCGGTGAATTCCTCTGCTCAGTATTTCCAAAAGTCTATCACACTATGGTTTAATCAACCTGTACCTTCAGTTCCTTTGCACCTCCACTGGCGGCTCCCTGGGAGATCTGCTGCAGCTGTTTGATTCGCTCACTGAAGTCTGCCACCCACTGGATCACAGTCATGGCGGCAGGAACAGTGTAGCGACACCAGCTGCGTGGGAGGATGCCTGGGGAGACGAAAAACAGGTGTGCTTCACTTATTTCCTCCACGTAGAGACTGTTCAGGGACATATTGTTTCGTCCAACTTCAAAACAAAAAGCTAAACCCTGGAATACATAAATGAGTTTGATGAAAAACTAAAACCTTACCTTTAACAAGGTCGCTGATGAGTGTGCGCAGGTAGTTTGTCTGCTTCTTCTTGCCCTCACAGACTTGAACAACATCGGACAGATCCTGGCGGACCTCCTGCAGCATCTTGCCACCCATCTTCACCTCACGCTCGAAGAAACGGAACAGCGGGTCCTGATGTTTGTGTGTTTGGACAAAAAAGAACATCAAATACAAATACAGAAGTTAGGCAGATACAGCATTGACAAGCAGGTATGAAGTTATCTACTAAATTCAAACCGTTGCTTAATTTTTACCTTGCTACTTCAAGCACCCTGAAACAAAACAAACTGCAAAAAACTGACAAGATTCAAAGTGTTTATGGTCTGAGTCTTGAGGACTGCTTGCCAACCACTTTTCCCCACATCTCTGCCTTTACCTTGATGTTCTCCACTGTGCGTTTGAGCGGATTGACGGTTTGCGGCATGAGCTGAAGCCAGTTGCAGGCTGTGGTATGGAGGGTCCTCATCCAGGCTGGCTGGGTGTCAGACGTGGAGGAAGTGCGCTCCTTCTTCTCCGTCTCATAGGCAAGGTCATCCTCATCCTCCAACATCTGCATTTTCAGCATCTTACCCATCATGTCAGTGCCTGCGCAGCCCAGCAGGGGGGGGAGTAAGTGAGTGGGGGGAGAGGGAGGAAGAAAACAAGGCCATGGTGGGATTTGGGAGGGGGGAGAAGAAATTAACAGTGGAACAAACAAACAAACAAACAGCTCACCTCAAGGTTGTGTTAATAATGTAGGGATTGTGCCAGATAGTTAAACAAAGAAACTGGGTTGGGGGGAGACAGACGAGGCTTCAGGCAATTTCAGTCAAATACTACAATGAACACAGTCCCCAAACAGAAAAAATAAACCACACTCTTGGATGGATTTATGACAAAATGAAAACATATGTAAGGTGAAAGGACTGAGGAGGGAGGCTAAAGGGTGGGAGTGAGGATCAGGTGAAGGAGGTGTGGCAGTCATGGGAGGGAGGGGCTTTGAAGTGATACCAAAGGATGTAGGAAGTGGACTGGTTGATGTTGCTCCTGATCTAAAGGGTGGGGATGGTATTTTAGCAAAGCGACATGATGACTGTGAAATACAGCTGCTGGAGGGTGAGGCCACCCAAACCCTTCCTTTGGGCAGAGCACCTTAAAGCATGAAGGCTACATAACGAGAGCTAAGCTACGACTACATCAAATAAAAACTAACAAGTGATGTAAACTAATGAGAAGATGACACATTAGTAGAAAGAGCAGAGTCAAGGTTTGCGACCAACACACTCAGTATTCTGCCCAAAGCAGACACAAAAATGAAAGCCTTTCTTTCACTGCAACACCCTGTGAAAATTCAAGTTCAAAGACTAGAACAGAGAGAGATGGTTAATGATCTGCATGGTGAGGACATGAGATCTTTGAAAGGAAGAAGACTCAGGAGGTGTTGAGATCCAGTTACTGTGACAGAACCCCAAAGGATGGATGATGAAGACGACCGGCTGTTTCATACCCTGTGTGGTGAGCAAGACCTTCTCTGCATTGCTGGGCAACCCGAGCCAAGATGGAGTCTGAGTGTCAGGGAGCATCTCTACCCAGTGCATGAACTCCTCACGTCTGTAACAAATCAAATTCCACATGCTGAGGAATTTAGCAAAACATTGAAACGGATTTAAGAGTGGGATCAAACTGAACGACTGACCGAATGCCATCAGGCATCTTGATGTCTTTGTGTCCGTCAACCTTGAGAGCCAGTTTGAACTCGCTGTCAAAGCTGCCCTTGGTGAAGATGCGGTCCAGGAAAGTGTTGAGCAGACGCTGATCAAACTCGTTGTCAATGCGGCCACCATAGATAGACAGAGCCATCAGGGTCTTCAGGGCAGCCCACGGGATCTTGTCTGGAGCGATGTTTTGGCGACCCTGTTTGCACGTACAGAGCAGTCTTCACTTAACATCATACTGTCATACTTCCTTATTAACTTTATAAATTCAGAAGTTAGTATTTGTCATGAATACGACCAATGAAGACACATTTTTTTCTCATTTCTGAAATGATCTCCAACCTTAGCAGTGTCGTCCAGCCAGGTGTCAACAGTATCACAAGCAGAGCGGAGGTCAGACTCTCCAAACTCGTACTTCTTGGACCAGCCCAGAGGTGCATAACGCAAACGCTCCTGAATGACGGCATGGAACCACGCCAGCAGGAAATACAGACGAGCGCGCTCGTTGGGAGCCTGAAAAAAGAGAAGTTATTTTAGTCAGTGTTGACCTCATGTTAGAAAAGTGGAAGCATAATGAAATACAGTCTTGGTTACCTTGCACATGCGAGCTACAGGAATGCTGCTGAATGTCCTGAGCATGTTGGCCTTCACACCAGGAGGAGGCTCGAACACAAAGATACGACCGGCACGAAGGAGATTCACAGGCACCTTTGATAGAAACAGAACATTTAGATTTTCAGGAGTCAACACGATGAGAAAATGTTGAATAGTTTGTTATGAGGGAGGTCATTTACCTTGGGGTTGATCTCCATTGTCAGGAACAGCCTGAAGCTGGAATGAGGCTGCATGGAGTGGAGCTTCTTCTCCAGCTGCATCAGCCAACCAGGAGCCAGGTGGACGTTCTCCAACATCACCCACCTGCAGCATGAAGATAGTCAGTATACAGATACAACAAATCAAGTCAACTTGCTAGATACAACACAGATTTTATAACCACACACCTTCCAGACTTGACAGCCGTGTTGATGTCTCTGTCTGCCTTATTGAAGCCCTCGGCTGAACCTGTGGACGGTGTGAAAACAGAATAATTCGCATCGTCTTAGTTTTCGAGGAACCTTTTTCTTTTTCATAGTAGGAGCTCATCTTTCCCTTACCAATAGAGATGGAGGTAATTTGTTTGTTCTGCTCGGCAGCCAGATCTCTGACCAGGCCGCTGGCATCATAACCAGGTACAGAACACATCAGGACTGGAGTGCTGGGCTTCACCTACAGACATCAAGGAGAAACCAGAGTGGATTCAAGAACAGTGACGACAGGAAACATCACAAGAGGGGAAAGAAATATGGAACTATTGGTACATACCTCCATTTCAACAATGTTAGCGAGGTCAAGAGGCTGCTCGATGATGTTCATGAAGGACTCTCCGAGCACCTTGGAGACACAAATGTGTGACATGGCCATAACGCGATCCGGGCGGAAGGCCTGGATCAGTAACAGCTGGTGCACTGCCTGGCCAATGGGTGCTAAACAAGAAGTGGAGGACACGGTATAAAAATGATGTTTGCATTAAAATCATCTTTTGCGTAATATTAATGCATCCTTTACAAAAAAAATAACACGTCTGTACACTCACTAGATTGCTTCTCCTCTGACCACAGATAGGGGACAGCCAGCTCTGGAGTGTTGCTCTCAATCCACATGAAGAATTGCTGCAGTAAGTAAACATGGAGAGAACGATCACTGAGGAGGTGCTCTGAGGAATTAAACCATTTACTGATACACAGCCCCATCTTCAGTTTAGCCGGGCAGCCACACCAGAGGGCTACCTCTGACCTTTACTCACCTCATCAGCTTCAACTTTGGACACCAAGTCGCTGAATGCTGGCAGGCGGCTGAGACGTACCATGGCCTCACACTGGTCAGTGGTCAGACCTTTCACTTTGGGCAGCGACTCGCCAGTCAGGACGATTTCCTTTCCACGCAGGAAGTGCTGGAACTCTGCATCGTATGAGGGCTCACTGAAAGCAGGTTACGGAGACGATTATGATTTATGTGATAGTGAATACTTTTGTACTGCTGCTGTTAGGGTACAAGAGTAACACCGGCAACTTACCTGGTCATGCCTTTGAGGCTGATCTTGGCCAGCAGCATGGCAAAAGTGATGTGATCCAGGTGCAGCATACCTCTGGCTGCTCTGTTGAAGGCCACCTACATCCAAAGTAATCAACGAGTTAGCGTCGACTGCAGCCAAACAACAACAGAACAGGAGTCGGTTTGATGAGATCAAGAATTAAAAAGTTTGGTTCAAACCTGGAAGAGGTCTTTGGTGATGACAGCGAGTCTCTGTGAATGATCACTGACGTTCTTGAGGTTGGGGTTCTCATACAGCACTGTGTGGTAGGTATCCAGGAAAAAGTGAAGAGAGTACTGGTACAGGAAGTGCATCTGGAACATAACACAGAGTGTATTTGCTCATTACATGGTGAGTTGAAAGTATACAGCTTACAGCTTAAATATGAGTGCATATTTAGAAGTTGTTTAACATTTGCAAGAGAGAGGAAGGTGGACGTTTCCGGACCTGGTTGAGAGCCTCCATGGTGAAGTAGATGCTGCTGCAGGCAGAGGACAGGGACAGGTACTGCTGTGACACTGCCTCCACTTCTGCCATGACGATGTCTGTCTCTTCCACCTTCCTCGTCACCTCAGCCGCCTCCTTCTTCAAGTTCTCCAGCGTGGTGATGATGGTGTCATCATCAAGGATGCGACCTTTAACCTCATTGAGAGCCTGCAGCAGAGACTTTTCTAACTGACGTAAGCGCAGTTGGAACTCGCCTGGAAGAAGACGGAGTAAAAGAGAGTTAAAGTCTGTCGTTATTAATTCCCCCTGCTCTGTCACTGTGTTAGTTCACGTATTTTCGGTCTCACCCTGCAGTTTGAGGAGGTCAGAGCGTTTCTCGTCCACATCGGGTCTCTCAGCCTTGAGGACCTCGTTGAGACACTGGCTCTGAAGGCTGCTGCGTGTCACGGTGAAGTTGACGAATGTGACACGAGAACACAAATCTGGTGGGAACTCCACCTGCAAAGAAAGAACACAGCATGGACATTAAATAACATTTTATATGTTAAATTATGTTCTTCAATTTTCTACAAATGGAAGTTTACTCACCGTCGGGTCGCGTGTGGAGAGGAAGATGACAAACGAAGGCGACAGATCGATGTCTTGGTCTCCAAGGGTGATGAGGACACGTCCACCAGTTCTGCGGACCTCTCTGTTCAGCACCGGGTTCAGGATGGGATCGTAACTTTCTACATCCTTGAGGGTAAAAAAATCCAAAATATTTTAGATGAATCCTTTAAAAATGGAGGCGAGACAGAAGTTCACATTAAAAACTAGGTAGTGTGAAGATGTGGTCTGTACCTGCACCAGCAATGGATTTCCGAAACGCAGGGCACTTTCCAGGTTCTTCCTGAAGGCGTCGTCCAAGAAACTAGTTCTGGTGATCTTGCGGTCTTTGTACTCGTTCATTATGAACTCTGTAGCTTGGCCAGATGGATCGATAATAAGCGGGTACCTTAAGAGTGCGATGGAAGAGATTAGGAAAGCTTAGTATAGTCAGAAGAGTGAGACGCATTACCCTGCAATCATAGCAGGACACTGACCTGTTGAACCTCTTGAGCATAATGGCGTTCTCGGTGCAGAGGTCATCTGCTGGGAGGGAGTTGGCCTGCCAGCGAAGCCTCTCATCGGCGTTGGACAGGTACTCAGTCCTGGCAATATCTGTGCGGAACTGGACGGAAAAACAAATCTCTCAGCTGGATACAAAATGGAACGAAAATAAACTAATCTGTGAACTGCATCTCTTTATTTCACAGGAAGGATAATCAATATTTTTCTTTGGTAATTGACACGAGGTAACAAAAATGACTCTGGCCTTGTGAACTGGAGCTTTAACTACCTGAATGTTGGCCTGCTGCAGGTGGTGAGACCAGGTAGTAAACAGGTTCTGTCTCATCTGCTGTTCAAAGTAGCCGGCGTATGTAATGAAGGCTGCAGACAGCAGACAGTCTCCAGCGATGGTGGACATCTGGTTCTTGAAGGTCTCACTGGTCTTCTCCCAGCGGTCCCTCTCAGCCGACAGACTCTTGAGCAGGGCTGTGCTGCGGTTCACCTGTGAGTGGAAGGTGAGAGTTCAGGAAAATCCTGCAAGTGTAAACTGAAAAACAGGGTTGAAAATAAAATAAAAGAAGGTACCTTAGCTTCTACAGCGGCCAGATCCGCCTTGATGGCCTGGGCCTCTGAGATGAGGACGGCGTACTCCTCCTTGTAGCGAGCGATGCTGGCCTCCAGATCTCTGATCATCTGCTCCACCTCCTCAGCCTTCGTCTTGTTGTCTGTGGCGTCATCCTCCAGCTTCTGCAGCTCATTACGCAGAGGCTCCACACGCTTCAGCATGTCGGCATAGTTGAGCTTAGGGGGAGATAGTGAACAGAGTGATTGATGACATTCGGATTTATACTCCACCGATTCACATCATTTTTAAAAACCCTTTTTAAGCATCATTACCTGAGCGATAGCCCATTTCACCATAGGTCCACAAGCCAGGGAAGCTCTGTTGACTTGGTCGTAGTTATAGCTCGGGTTGGAGAGGTAGTTCTTCTTCATCTTTTCACGGATGGAGTCACTGGTTTGAGTAAAGAAAAAAAAGTCAAGAAGTTACAAACACAGCAACACCTCACACACACACACACAAATATGTCAATGTGAGTAAATCACTGATTGAAAAAATTGTGAAGAATCATTTCGATTTTGTTCGGGGTGTTGGGGGAGTTTCATAAATTGTTGTTAAATGCTCGACATTAAATATCAAGAATGATTTCTAACAGGGTGGTTGTTACAATCAGCTCACAGTTTTTGATTCAGCTGAATCAACGTATTGGAGAATGATTAATCTGGTCATGAAGTCACTTGATCAATATGCTGATTGACTGATATTATTTGGCTTGGTCCATTGAGGACTAGACAGACGCTCTGATGCTGGTACCTCATCTCCTCAGAGGAAAAGTTGACTATGCTGCTGATGAAATTGTCCCTGATAATAACTTGTCTGATTTTTTTCCAGTCATTGGTCTCCTCGCCCAGCATAAGGCAGATAGACTCCAGGGCCAGCTTGACTGCAGCTGGGGGATTGGTCATTGCCCGCACTTCTACTAGGTGATGCCGCTTTATAGAGCTCACGGCTAGTTTAGGTGAAGGTGGGAATAAGTTTGGAAGAAAGAAGTAGTCAGAGAAAAGGGAGAGAAGAGGGCAGGAAATTGACAGCAGAGACAGAGAGGGAGAGACGTTTAGTTTATAGGTGCAAACACAGGCTCTCTTCTTTCACCTGATATCCTCGGCAGAGAAGTTAACAATAGTGGGGATGAAGTTCTCTCTCATGATGATGGAGCGGATCTGCTTCCAGTCCGTGGTGCTCTCTCCCAGGAGCAAGCAGATGGACTCGAGGGCCGTCTTCACGGCTGCAGGTGGGTTGGCCATGGATCGCACCTCCACCAGGTGCTGCTTCTTAATGGACTTCACAGCTTTTAACATCAGGTGAACAAGGGTGTGGATTATGACAAGGAAAGGGCAGTGATGGAAGGAGGGTGCAGGTAAAAGTCAGGCTGTTAACTAGAGGCTCTCACCACATTTTTGTCACGAGTAACAATGTGACATAAATGTTCAGAGTAAAGCAGATTAAGTGATAATAAAAAAAACAAAGAAAAAAAAACAACAGCAACAACAAAAAGAGTATCACCAATGTCCACCGCATCCGAAACAGCTACGAAAAGGCTGCATCCGCCGATCGCAGCTGATCGTAACCATTCAAGTTAATGTGTCAATTTCCAACGGCTTCTTTCCGTTCTACTGCAAATCGCCAGACTCCACAGCTGATCGCCAGAGTTCTATTTTTTCCCGAACGCCGGAGATGACACCATGGATGAGGAGATGCTGATTCTAGAAGTCTAGAAGTAGAATTCCTCCTCTGGAAGGACCCAATCTACTGCTTATATGGTTATGTAGCTGTATTTTAGAGACAACTCATTATCAAGCGATTGCACGTGAGTCCGCGGGGTCTAGTGAGTTTTGGCGAGTCCCGCTGTCCATAATCTACCACGAAATTTGCCTCATCAACGGATCCGGTAGAAATTGGCAGACGGCAAAAATCGCCTCTGTTCCGGATGCGGTGGAAATTCGGGGTAAGACCACCAATCTTTGGGCTGTTTTACCGTTCTGAGCCTCAATGACGGCAGGCTCCACCTGGTCCAAGTCCTGTTTGACACTCAGCTGTTTGTCTTTGATCACCTCCTGCTGCTTGTACACAGCTTCCTGGATCTCCTGGCTCATAACCTAGAATTACAAAAAATAAAAAAAAAACAGTTGAATCCAAAATTCAATCAAAACTTCAGTTTTTCTTCTATAAATTGCGTCCTCAAAATGTCACATTCAACCCTGCGTACCTTCTTCTTTTCAGCCTCCTGCTGATCTTTGACCATCTTCTTCAGCTTGTCATTGGCAGCAGCATTCTTCGCCTCAAGCTCCTGGCTCTTGATTCTCAGGTCACGGCGAAGCTCCTCCACCTGAATACGAAAGAATAAGGCAAACAAACACCTTACAAAAAATACACTCTAGTATTTTTTATTTTTTTCAATGACTGCTAATTATATTAATCACAATGAAGTACGATTTTACCTGATCTACAGTCTCCTTGATCTTGCGAAGACCAACGTTCAGATGCATCTGCTGCTCCTCCAACTCACTTCGTTTCTCATTAAACAGGTTGGCGTACTGGTTGATGAAGTCCAGGTAGTGGCGAGGGGTGATTGCTATTGTGTGACCACCGCGTTTAGCTAGACGGTTGTTAGCCTGCGAAGAAATCACAGCACAAAAACAAACAAACCAGTAAGTCACAGAAAGACTTCCACACTTGGCAAAGTGAAGTGAGTGACGACCGTACCTGGTGGAGTGTCTGGTGTACAAACACACAGCCGTTCACAATAGCTTCACGGTGAGATGGTGGCTGGGGCAGTTTGTCGTACACGATCGGCATGTAATCTGGCACCTTGTAGTTCGGTTTCTCCAGATCCATCTTGCTGGTGAACTCCTTACCCACTTGATAAAGAGCCTCTGTGGACCAGTCTCCAAACCAGTTCAGCACACACCTAAAACAAAAGCAAGTTTCGAGTCAACACCATCTTTCTTTTTTGATGTGATTGTATCCTATCCACCCTTTTCAATAACTGGAATCGTGCTCAGTGTGTTTCTGTACCTGTTGAACAGAGCAGGTGAGGTGGCAGCCCTGTCCTTCAGGCCCTCTGATGACGGGTTCATGGTGAAAACCACGTGGAGGTTCCTGATAACCTGGCTGGTGAACCACTTGTACAGCTCCTCGTGTGTGTCGAGCATCAGACCCTCTTTCTGGGCTCCCTCTTTGCACTGAGTCATCAGGGTGGCATACTCATCACCCTCAAACAGACCGGGAACCTACAAAGGAGGTAACAGATTCAGTATCTCAGGAACTGAAAGGCATCTGGGCCGCCGGTGAGGTGGATTAAAGTTTGGCACAATGATACTCACTTCTCCGTTAGCCAGCAGTGTGTTCATTCTCTCAAGGAAGCCAGAATCCAGCACATTGGACTCATCCATGATGAAGGCGATCTTCTCATTCTTACAACCGGAGCGACGCAGCACTGTGCGCAGGTCTTCGTCAAAGTCCTCTCCTGTGTATTTCCTGTGTACCTGGAAACACACACACACACACATTAACAAAACAGACGAATTCAGTGAGGCTGCTCTTAAAATCTTCACAAGAGCTTCACATCTTCTACTCACCTTGATCTGGTAAACACTGAGTCCGTTCATCCAGGCTACGAAACGAGACAGAGTAGTCTTTCCTGCTCCACTCACACCGATCAGCAGGAGATGACCCTGAGGCTGACGGAAGATTCTGGAGGAGATTTCGATTTGAAAATTAATCCAAATCTACGAGTTAAGCCTGGAAATCTGATCATTAGAAAGGTCACCCACCTGTCAATCCTGAGAACGTGATCCAGCACCTCATTGAAGAGCACCAACGGGACGTCCAGCTCTTCTTCATAGAAGACCTTCAGGCGGGCTTTCACGTAGTCCCTGAGCTCCTCCTGCTCCACTGGGATGTAGTCCTACATTCATGAGCAATACAGGCAGTGAGATCATACAAGGAAACACTCACTGACATTAGCTTTACTAGTACAGGACATTCAGAGCATCGTTACCTTGGAGAGCCAGTTGCTGTAGAGGATCGGCCTGTTGAGACCCTTGTCCTTATCGATGTTGGGGAAATGTTTGAGAGCGACCATGTCGATGTTTTCATCAGTCCACCTCCTCTCTTCATCACCAACCAGCCTAGAAACAGCCAAAGAGTACCATGTGACCACCAAAATATTGTTGCCTTTCTCATTTAAAGACTAAAACGTAGCTGTAACTGAGGAATCCTTAAAAAAAAACAAAGCTGCAGGTAAAGAGTCTCCTCCTCTAATCTTATCAGGCAAAAAACTTCCACTCACCTGTCTTGGAAGAGACGGAGAGCCTCGTGGGCCCAGATGCGGATAAGTCCCTCCACAGGCAGGGTCTCCAGGGGGCGCAAGGCCTCAAAGATGCCCCTCACCCAGCGGGTCATCTCTCTTGGAGAGTAGATGTAGTGAGGTTGCGTGTCCTGGGTGAACCGCTCCTGAAGGTGTGAGGGGGGAGAGACGAGGTATGTAATCAGGTGACGATATAACAAATACATCTCTATCCATGCCTCTCGTCCAATAATTTCTGGGGATTGACTCCAAACTGCCATAATCCCCCTCCCCTCCAAAAAAAGGAAACTTTCAATGATGTTTGAATGTTTCACTTTATTGTATATCTTTACCTGAGACATGGTGTAGAACTCCACCATAGCAGCAGTGAGCGGCTCAGCGTAGGTACGGAGAGAGGGAATGAGGCGCAGCATGGCGCGGTTGAAGGTTCCATAAATCTGGGTCAGAGAAGCAGGGCCAGGATAGTCCACGTACACCACAGGGACATGACGCAGGAACCTGGAGGCCGCAAACCACAACATGGTCACTTTCTGGCATTTCTGATATTCATTGTTTTACTCCCCTATTCAGGTTTTATGATCGGGGTCCTGCACCTGTGTGTGAGAGGCTTTCTGCCAGGATCAGTGGGAGGATTACAAGCTCCTACAAACTGGATCCTCTCCAGTTTGACCCAGGTCTGGTCTGAGGTGCGATAGAAACCTCCATGTTCCACCATCTGCAAAGAAAACACACAAAAGGAACCTTTAACAAAGAGTTCCCTGTTCTTCCCGGTGTGAAGATTTCACAGTCATATCAAATATTCAAGTATTAAATTATTATCATACCTGTCTGAGGAATGAGATGACCCTCTGTGTGCCGTACTTGTCCATGTCCGGCAGATTGATTTCGTCACAGAACAGCACCAGCCACTTGCCCAGCTGAACGGGAGCAAGGACCACACCATTGGGAGTACGGCGGTATTCACAGTAATGGTCGAAGGTTTTCAGCAGAAGCTCTGGGGTGGTGGCACTGGAGAAGTTCAGGCCCACAACCTGAGTGCAAAATTTGGAAAAGAAAAATTAAGCGCGAGAACCTTTTTTTAAGGTGAATACTCTTCAACATGAACCCTAAAATCAGTTATTTTGATTTCTTTCAGTCTCTCACCTCCATGTCAGGCAGAGCTCTGAGGGCACTGAACAAAGTCATGGTCTTTCCAGAGCCTGGAGGTCCACAGAGCACCAGTGGTTTGTGCTCTGCTAGCCAAGTGTAAAGCAAAGCTTCATGGCGGACTGTATCCAGGGTGGGAACCACAACATCAGGGGATGCCACCTTGTGGGTCTCGACCTCGATCTGGGGCACCTTGCCCTGCCAGGACTGCCACTCACCAGTGATGGTCACCTACAGTGCACAAAGAAAAAGACACAACAGCTTCAGTTTCCTTTAAATAGCCTTTCCATTTCAACAAAAACAATCAGCTTTAACAATCGGGTCTGTACCTCGTAGTCGATGATAGGGACATTGGGAGCAGAGGGAAGGGGCACAGTGGTTATGCGACGGATGTATTCTCCAAGCTCCCCTCTTATCTTCAGCCGTCCATCACCAGAGAAGGACCACAGTACGGCGTAGATCAGATATTTCTGTGAAGGACATTTTTGCATGATTATGCCTTGAGTAGATATAATAACGAGAAGACAGGCGCGACATAGACAGAGAGCAGGACACTACCTGCATGTATTTCTCCAGCTGATCCACAGGCATAGGGAAGTCTGGGTGGTTGTTGTTGTAGAGCGCTACATTTCGGCAAGCCTGGTGCAGCATTGAGAACAGAGAGCCCAGGCAGCGCAGGCGGGTGAAGTCCATGATGTGCTCCATCTTGGAGGCGTGCTCTAAGGCTTTGATCACCAGGCCTGTGGAGGTGAAGTAAGGCTGCAGGATGGCCGCAGAATCACGCTGGATCTGGTGAGAAAACATACTAGGACGTTAAAGGAGAACAAAACAAGACTCCTTCAGAGAAGAACATGTGCAGCCACTGGTTTAAAAAGAGCATACCTGCAGCATCGGTGAGGCAGTCTCTTCCTCATCATCTGTGCCCTTCCTCTGGCGTTGAGCTTCATCCTCTCCCTCGTCCAGTGGGATGCTGCGTATGCGAGCCAGGAAGTTGTTGAAGATCATGTCAGTGCTGAGAACATCCTCGCTGAACCAGACCATACCGCAGCGAGACACAGTGGCCAGGGTGGCGTACTTCAAGTCTTGTACTTCAAACATCACACGCACCTAAAGAGGGAGAGTAAGATTCGATATCAACACAGCAGGTTCAGTAGACAGTAAGATATAGACAGTGTTGTTATCTTACGTTTGGTGGCAAGCTCAGACGCTCTCCGTTGGGCAGGGTGAGGAGCTTGTTGTCATCCAGAACTGAGTTGAGATTTTCAACCCACTCAGGGTCGACATCGCCATCGAAGATGATCCACTGACGCTTCTGCAGTTCACCTCGGACGTTGTCAATAATCCTGAAGTTTAGCAGAAAGTATTTAACAACAAAGTTACACATTAAAAAAAAAATCATGGATGAGGAAACATGTTTTTTGGAAACTCACTTCCTGAGGATGTGAGTGAACAAGCCATCAGTCCATTCGCGGGTGTTGGGATCCAGGGTTCCATACAGGTGGTCTTTGCTGATGGCCTTGGGGTCAATAATGTGGGCTACACCCTCAACACCTTCGAGCCTCTCCAGGGCTTTGAGAAGCACCCTCCATGCCATGGTCTTTCCGCTGCCTGAGGGTCCAACCATCATCAAACCGTGGTTGATCTGTGTGATCTGGTACAGTTGGAGCACCTAGAAGGAAATCCGTGACAGTTTTCCATGACTCTCTTTGCAGAAACCTGAATACATACCTGCCAATGGATGTTGGTGTGGTCCATTTACATACCTTCTCCACCCACATGCTTCCTACATCATCACCGTCTCCGTAGGTGAGGTACATCTCCGCACAGACCTTCTTCAGCTCCTCTCTCAGGGCAGTCATCTCTCCACGCATGTACTGGACTCCAGGGAAGACGTCTGACAGCAGGCTGAACAACAGGGGGATGTCCTCTGCCACCAGTTTTGGAACCATGGTCTCACAAACACTCTGGATCAGGATCTAAATGAAAAAGACCAGATTTGGATTTAAGTTTCTCAAATCTAAAGATTGTTCCAGAAATAATTGGACAGAGCTTCTAATTTTCTTTGCTAAAGTTTAATTTTCTGTACCTCTTGTTCAGGGAGGTTTTCAGCGATATCATTCTCGTCGACAACCTCTCCTCGCTCCAGCTTCTCCCTCTTGATCCTCTGGATGCGCTCACGCTTGACATTACCCGCACTGATCAGTACGCTCTTGAGAGCTCGGAGGCCAAAGTCGTAGTGACTCTGAGATGACAGCTGCTCGTCACACAGCCTGAAAAAACAAAAGTTAAGTGTAAAATTTGAAGACCCATTAAAGCTGCCGATGGACTTTTTCGTCTTTTAGCGGGCACATACTTGAAGAAAGGCACGATCTTCTTGGCGAGGATCTCGGCTGTGCGGAAGCCTTGGGAGTACAGCATGACCTGTGCGATGAGCTGGCGGTCGGGTTTGGTCATGGCCAAGCTGCGGAACAGCTTCTTCAGGTTGTCAGGCAGGTTGGAGCGGCCGGCATAGCCAGGGTTCATGGTGATGAAGATGGCCATGTCTGGGCTCACCTTCACCTGCTTGTTGAGGAGCTCTGTGGTGACTGGCACACCTGAGGAAGGAATGTTAACCGATCAAGTATTTCATCCTTAAAAGCTTTTCTCAAAAACTGATTATTTCTAATATGTCAGGGCTTGACAGTGCAACCATTTCACTAACATTTGAAGCTAAAAATAGATTAGAAAATAGAATAGATAGAGTGCGAATTGTAAAATGTATTTAGGGGCACATGCGCACATAAAAAAAATTAGCCGAGGCAACCCAAGTTTTTTTTTTTTATGTGAATACCGCGGTGAAGTTAGTTTTAGGTTAGATATCCGACAAACATTCACTGTGGATCTACCAGTGTCTTCTCACTCTCCATTACCAGAAACAGCAGCACGGTTAAATCTACTCGGCATCCTTGCTGTCAACGTCGGGTGTTGAATAAGGGACCATCAATAAATTACCAGTTGATGTTCTCAGAAAAGGCTGTTTCTTTCAATAGCTTCCATGTCATGTGACCAAAAGACCTAAAATTGATTTCAAATAATAGCGCTTATGTCGACCAATAAGACACACATCAATTTTTATTGTTCCCCCAGAGTTCTTTGTGTGCTCATGTGCTCCTTGTGAAAAAAGTTAGTGTCAAGCCCTGTATGTAGAAATTTGCCCGACATTCAGATTCGATATTGAACATTTTTATCAAGCTCTTTCTCTTGTGTATTTTGGCACCTCTATGTATAATACATACTCCTGTCTCTGTTGGGGTTGCTGTGCTCCCTCAGTGCCACCTGGATGTACTGGACCTGCTGGGAGACGGCAGAGAGCATTCTCTCCTCCAGACGATTGAACTCGTCAAAGCAGCCCCACGCTCCCACCTGGCACAGACCGACGAAGATACGACCCATGGCCTACAAAAGACACATTCAAAAAAAGCAGATTAGTAAGTAAAACAGGTCATGCAGGACTAAAAATCAATGCCCTTTAAGGACAGTTTTTCATGCGACTCATAACCATGTCTCATTTGTGTACCTGGAAATCAAATGTCTCATCACAGTTAAAGACCAGAACAAAGCGTCCCAGCTGGTGTCCAAGAGCTTTCACTGACTCGGTCTTCCCTGTGCCGGCAGGACCTGGATCAAGAAAAACACAGTGGATGTTAAATATGTCGTCTTGGGATTTTTTCATGCCCCATATTTCTTGATTGACAAAGTTTCCATACCAAATGGTGATCCTCCAAGACGGGCCTCCAGAGCTTGGGTCATGGTGAGATAGCAGCGGTCTGTCAGAGGAGTCTGGACCAGCTTGTCTTGGACTCCCAGGTACTCAAAGCCATAGTTGAACTTGGCGTTGGCCATCTGAATGGACAGCTGCTGCAGGACGTCTGTCTGCTTGGGGTCGAAGTAGAAGCGCATCTGGCTGAGCCACTCAAAGGACTTGGGGTTGTCGATCTTATTCTTGATGAGAGTCCTGGTCACATCACGTTGGTGCACCAGCTCTGTGATCTAAGTTGAAAACGAGGGATTTAGGAACCACATTTCATTGGACAGTTTTCTACATGGGTGTTGTTAAAGAGCGCTCTCTAACCAGGTGCTCCAGTTTCTTCCTGCGGAGTGGAGGCTGCTCCATCAGCACCGTGTCAGCCAGCACGTTGAGGGTGGCCTCTACATTTGACTGCACTGCCTGCATGGGAGACATGTTCCCACCACCAGAGATGGTAGTCAGGGCAGACTCGATGTTCTCGGACCAGGCGATCTGAGTGGAAAGGACGACTAGCTGAGCCTGAACAGAGAAAAAAACAGAAACGAAAAGTTACATAAACACCTTCTGACAACCACTCATGTTTTATTTGGTGACATTTGCTCACAACACTTACCTGGTAACGATCGATCCAGTCAATGTACTGACTCAGGTCCACAGCTGTGCCCTTGTTGAAGGCCGTCACCTCAGTGACGGACTCGGCCAGCAGCTTGGCCAGCGTCACCCTCATCTCCTTCTCCACCAGCGTCAGCCACTCGTTGATCTTTGGATGCTGCGTGATAGAGACTGGAGTCTTGTAGAGGATCTCCTCACCCTCGCGGGAGGAGATTCCCAGCACCTCTGTGTTGTCCTCGTTGAGCAGGATGCTGGAAACACCCGCAAACATCTTCTTGAAGTGCTTCTGCAGTTTGGCCACGTTCTTGCTGTTTCCGATGATCTCGAGCAGGTCCTCATCTCCCACAAAGTAGAACCTGGAAACAGAAAGTGAATATATAAATTTGAGAACCTGTGGAACTTACATGATCACGTTATTCTTGGAAACAAAGAGCAGACCTTCTATCGCCTATCACCATCTTACCTGGGGAATGAGGATCTTTCTCTCTCCAGGTATTCTCCAAGAGCTTTCTGGATTTTCCCCAGAAGGTCAGCCAGCCTCTCCAGAGACCTCTGCACCCCCTGTATGTTCAGCACATCCATCACCAGTGGAGACTTTGACACCTTCTTCATCAGTGCCAAGAACTCTGTGCTGATACTGCAAAGTAAAGGCAGAGAGAGACAGTGCAGTAGGATCTCATGGAAACAGCTGTTACAACAATAACATCTCTGGGTTTTATGAGGAAATAAGCTTCCTTTATTTACCTCTGGAATCTCTGGGTTTCCACAGGCAGCAGATGTTTGATATCAGCGCTGCCAGTAAAGATGCCCTCCAGATAGACCCATCGACGTTGGACATCGATCCAAACGTCAAAGAGAGCCATGATGCGGTTCAACTTGTCCTCCCAGCTCAGGGCGTCTTCCTCAAACACCTAAGGGGGGGTGAGAACAGGAGGAGGATGAGATTAAGAACTTTCCCGGTGTTTGAAAATTTTCGACCCCCGTTCAAAATCATACAGATGTTTATGTGTGCACCTTGTAGTATGGAGATAACTTCATGGCCGACACGCTGTTAATGTGCTCTTTGACTTTGTTGAAGAGGTCATCCCAGCCTCTGATCAGACGACACTTGTTCTGGTAGTTCACCAGGTCCAGCTCGTATGAATTCCACACTTCACGGATCTGGGGGAACAAACACTGGCGTTTAAAACAAGACTAAAAGCAGACTTACTTTTGCAGTCTTATTCAAAAAACGCCTCTGGTGAGAATGAAAAGCCCTCCTCCTTCACCTGTTTGAGGAACTCCTCCAGAGCCATCTCTCCCTGGGCCACCAGGAGAACATCCTTCACCACCATCTCATTCTTCTGCAGATCCACATCCCAGATCTGTCCCAGGGTCAGCTCAGACAGGACCCAGTTTACATGCAAACGCTTCATCAGCTGCTTCCAGTGACGATCCTTCAGTGCCTCTGATTTCAGCTCAATCACCAGCATGTTCACCTGGTAAGAGGAAGTAAAGAGAATTTAATAAGTTATCTTCAATTCTTCTTGTAGGTCGATATTTACAATTAATGGGTGAAAAAAAGCCCACCAACCTTTAGGTAACCTTTGAGCAGTCTCTGGACGTACTCATAGGATGCATACTGTCGCAGTCTCGCTTGGAAGTTCTTGAGCTGGTTCAGCAGAGCGTCCAGACTCTGACGAAGCTATGAAGAAAAAAACAAAAAAACAAAATGAACACAGGAAAAATTCTGATGCGAAGAATTAAACTATTGGGAAACAGGGCCATAAAGACTGACGATATGAGCAATCAGTGTCGGTTTGTTACCTTACGGGGCTGTACAGACACCCACGGCTGCTCTTTCATCTGGTCGATCTGCTCCCAGACCTTTGACAGCTCAGACCAAACCTCCTTCAGGTCATGCAACTCCTCCAACGCCACCTACAAATGATCAAAAATAGAATAGAGTCACCCTTACTGAACTTTGAAGCAGTGCTGTAGTTTAGGTCAGAGCTGCAACTCCTGCATAATGGTTCAAAAATTGCTTTTAATCAAAAATTTAAAAATGGGAGATACTTTCTGCTACTTCAGGTACTTTTCTGTGAACATTTGTTTGCATTACCTGCACCCTCTCTTCGCTGCCGCTGAGCAGACCGGTGTCAGTGAGCTCCAAGGCTTCTTTAGCACGAGCACACTTCTCTCTTTCATCCTTCAGGCGGCCAAAGTTGCCCTCATAGATGGTCAGGGACTGAAGAGCCTCCTCTGGGCGCAGGTTACCCTGGTGAGGTAAATAACCGGTGTGTTACCTCACTGTAACAATGACAGGGGTCTACAGATGAAGGAATTGTATTGGAACACTTCATTTCTCTTACAGCAACTGGTTTGGTCTTTTCCCACTCATTGAGCAGATCAGTAGTGCGGTTTTCCACAGCTTTGTCCTCCTGGACGATCTTCATCTGCAGGTTGGCCACCTGCTGCTGGATAGCAGTGTCCTTGCGCTTCATGATGTCACTGAAGGCGCCCCATTCGCCTTCGATGTTGTCGATGTAGAGCCAAGATGGAGGGAACTGGAACCTCTGCTTCTCCAACAGACGCTGTCCGTTGCGGAACAACTAGAGCCAACGAAAGAGAAACTGATGAGATGACTGAATTTTCCTTTGAAACGCAATGAAGAGATACAGAGTGATTCAGAGTACTTACGTCCACATTTTTCTCAAACTGTTTGATCTTGCGCTTCAGAGTCTGAACATATGTAATGAAGTTGACAGCGTCTGAGGTGCTAGCTGTGTCCACAGAATGTTGCTCCAGTTCTTGACGAGACTAGAAATAAAACAAAACATGAGAAAAACCGGAAGGACATTAAATAACTGTCTGATGAGCGTCTGGTAAAAGTCAATGTTACAGAGTTGATAAAATATCGCCTGATTTGGAATAAAATTATCTAATTTTTATCGCTCCGATACTCAAATGAAATCAGATAGTTTTATCTGATAATTTTATGACAATGGTGAAAATTCGTGTGTAAACCGTGTAGCCTCTAAACATGATGTGTCATGCTAGTTAAGTCGTCTATTGTGTCTTATCAGTAGGACCCAAGCCTGGCTCCCTCACTGCCTGACTGACAATGAATGGGCACTAATAGCACATCTGAGCTAGCATGTCTTCACCAGTGTGGACGTTTTTCTTTCTGCAAGGATTTCGAGAGGAGGAAAGAAGGCGTCAAGCTTTAACACGACAAGTCTTATGGCTCACCCGAAAAGTAATCATCGTGGCGAAGCGGTATTGAAAGAATACGAAGCTGCCGCGGAAGCAACTGGCACTGCTAAGGGTAAAACATTGAAATGGAGTTGGGATGTTCCCATATTGCAGGCATTTGAAACCTGTAAAAACTTGGACGACCACCCATTTACTGTTGTCGAGAATCTGGGTTTTCACAATTTAATAACACACTTGGAGCCACGCTACACGCTCTCTAGCCGTTGCGTCTTCTCGGATGTGTCCCACCCTGCTCTCTATGATGTGGTCGTCGCACACGTCCACAGTTTGATTGACAAGAGTGGACTACACATAAGTTTCACAACAGACATATGGGCATCTGATGTCAGTCCTGTCAGTATGCTTAGCTTAACAGAACATTTTTAACCACTGAGTCCTGTTTTTGTATCATCCTGGATGCACAAACCAGATCATACGAAGATTATATTAAATACAAATATTAACCTATCAGTATCCGTTTGGGCAATGAGTAGCAGGTATTTATCGGTTATCCATATCAGGCGAAATTTTTCATATCGTGCATCTCTAGATAAAAATAAATGTTCTTTGATATCATTATGTGTTACCTTGGAGATCTGAGCGTGAAAGTCCTGCATGTTATTTCCCAGCATCTGGCCAAACTTGCTGAGCACTTCTTTGTGCCAGGAGTCATACTTCAGGTTCACCTTAGACTGGACCTGTTATCAAAAATTAAACATTTAAAGAAAAGCACATTCAGAGTACAAGGTGGAGCAGCAAAAACACTAAAACCACAATTGCATTTTCTAAAGGATTCACACTTCCTCTCACAGCAGCAACAACAACCACCATGACTCTTACCTTGCCGTAGTCAATGACAACGGGTCCAAACTCTTTGCGGGTCTCTGCATTGTCAAAGGTTCCACGTGCTTTGCGGATCTGAACCAGCAGGGCCTGCCACTTGGTGAGGTCTTCACCCAGGCGGTTATAGATGTTCTCAGCTTGCATGTCCCACAAGCACTGGTACTGAAGCCACACCTGGACAGGGAGAGGGAAGAAAAGAGGTTCTTATAAAACTACAGCCTGAGTCATGCATAGGTAAGAGGACCCCGAGAGAAAGGAAGACGGTTCTATGTCTTCAGGAAATACCTCTCACCTTAACCGTGACTGATTGTGGTTACACACACTTACCTTGACGTACTGCTCCACCTCATTCACAATGTCTTCCACAGCATTGTAGGCCTCCTCTAAGGCTGCAGGGCCATCTGGCATCCTGGTCAAAGCGTTTCTGTAGAACTTCTCCTCCTCTGACAGCTCGTAATGGACTCCAACCTGGTGAGGAACCATAAATGAGCATGAATAAAAAGAACTAAAAGACACAACATCCAGGTTCCTAATAGATCCCACCTAGGATAAGAAAACATTGATAAATAAATCTTCATCTTCAACAATTAAATGTGAATGTTAGTTGTGAGTTCTAGAGTTAGCACAGCTAGCAAAACTACTCTAGACATCCTCACCTGATATCTCTGGCTCTGGATCCTGGGAAGAGAAAGGATGACCATCTTCCAGAAGAACATCTCCTGATAGAGCTTGTAGCGACAGTCTTCAATTGGTGGGTTCAGGTAGATGACCTGGTTGGTGATCCTCAGCTCATGGATAACACCCTAGGGGAAAAAAGGACCAGAACAGGCGATTCATTTTAAAAATCCTGAACTAAAAGGTCAGCTGTGTTGAGGTAAACAAAGGCATTAGCCAACACAAGATGACTCCGAAGCGCAAATGGATACCTTGATTTTGGGGTCCCCTCCAGGTTTGTGGCTCACTTGTGGAGCCTCTGTATCCATGTCGACATCAGCTTTGTCCTCAACCTGACCACGGAGCACCTGGGTCCAGGCCTTCAGACCAGCCTGGAGTCGCACTCCCAAGATACGTTCAATCTGAAAAAAATCCCCAAATCACTCCAGTCAAAAACCATTTCGACTCAAATTCAGTCACAGAGCAGAAAATTATGCTTGAAATGTTGTTTTGCAGTACCGACCTCAATGTCCAGCTTATTGACCCAGATGGGCAAATTGGAGTAAGAGTGGAGATTGAGATCATCCACTGCCTTCTGGACTCTGTTGAGGATGTCAGAGAAGGTCTTGTGGTCGAACATACATGTTTCCAGAGAGCGAACTTCAAGATCAATCTTCTCCTCAATCAGTAAGAGGTCATCCACCTGTCAGAAAAACAGCAAAAACACAAGTAAGACAAAGAATCAACAGCGCCGAAAGATTACCTTTGCACAGAGACAACTTCTTCACACTGACCTTCTCCTGGAAGTTGAAGACAGTCTCGGCCAGTCTCTGGACGTAAGGGTCCAGCTTGTAGGACTCCCAGACCAGAGTGATTCCTTCAGTGACGAGAGCCTGAACCTCCTTCTTGAGGCCAGCCACCAGCAGGGAGATGGAGGACCTCTCCTCCACCTTCTCACAGGTGCGCTCATAGGTGCGCACACTCTCGATCAAAGAGATGGCGAATGGGTACAGCTGGTTCGCTTGATGGGCTTTGTTGACGATGGCCAGGGGAACACGGAAGCTCAACCACTTGAGGTTGCGGACCTCTTTGGACAAGGTGATGATTTCTGGGAGGAAGTTGACTTTGAGCTTGAGCATGCTTCCGGTGCGTCCACGGGCACGAGTGCTCTCTATTGTGAAGATGCGGCCAGACACGCCGAGGTTACGTTGCTGTACCTAAATCACAAAAACAGAGGAGTCATTTATGAAAGTATTTTTAAAATGAGGAAGTACAGTAAGAGAGGCAAACGTGTGAAAACGGATCGGCTCCGAACCTTGCGAGCCCAGTCGTCGAATATCTCCTGGGTGTTAAGTTTAGCCCTGAAGCTGTCTCCGTCCTGCTTCAGCTTCAGCCCCTCCACGTGGTTCTCCCAGCCTTTCCCCAGAACATCCTCCACCCTCTTCATGTAGGCTGTCAGCTGACGGTCAATCTGCTTGGCCCAGATGATGGAACCAGATACTGGAGGCAGGTCTCTGACGTGGCTCATCTTGCAGGCCTGGCTCTGAGGATACTGCACTTTAAACTTGTCGTGCAGCGACTCAATGTCATCCTTCACACGCTGGATGAGCTGCGTCTGGTACTCCCTGATGGCGCCACGAATGTGAGGACGCACAAAGAGGGCGTTGAAGCGGGAGAAGATGCGGAACATCTCGTTGGCGTTCTTGGCAGTTCCCAGCTGATCACGCAGACGAGCGGTGATACGGGTCTCCACGCGATCGATGCGTTCGTCGTAGCGCTTCATGGCAGCTTCCCAGGCTTCTGTGCCTTCCTTGGACACATCAAGACCATCGACCTCTTTGACATTCTCATACGCCAGGTTGACCTCCTCAATGGCGTTGGCATCAGCAGCATCAAAGAGAACTCCAGCCACCTTCATGTCCTGAGGCTCAACTGTCTCTCCGGGGGCATGTTGTGGCACAGCAGACACCTAGAGACAAAACATACTGTCAATCTAGTGTGCATGAAACCAGAGAAAATGATCAACAGCTGTAGAAAAGAAATGATGATGAAAGAAGTATAAAATGTGCCAGTAGAGTCTAAAACAGAACTGTACCTGGGGCCTCAGCACACGAACAATAACAGCTCTCAGTTGCTCATGCTGCCTTCTGAAACGCCTCATGTGATCCAGACGTGACTGGAGCTTCCTGTGTGCAGGGCTCAATCGCCACACCATCTTCAGGTTCTCTTCTCTTTTCCTCTTCACAATGTCCCTCAGCAGCACCTGGAGTTTCTCATACTCATCCTCCCAAGTCTGGAACACCTCGAAGCACGCCACCATCACCTGTTTAAAGAGGTTTAAAAGATGATGTTTTAGTGGAATAGTTTACATCTGGAGGAAATAATATCACAAATACAATGTTATAACAGAGTCCAACATCACCCACCTTTTCAAATTCCTCATATGCGACGTGCATGAGCTTCCTAGTGCCCAGCACCTTGAGGAGCTGGGAGCTCAAGTCCCGGGAGATGGCCTCTACAAGGCGCAGGGCTCTTTGGATTGGATACTTTGTGTTCCTGATCTTTTTCAAGTGAGTGAAGATGGCCATCAGAGCCTGGCGGATCTTATCGAGCTCTGAGGCGGAGAGCAGGTCGTTGAGAGGGAAGTCTTTCATCAGGGGGTTGTAGTCATTGACAGTTTCCACAGCCTGTTTGAGACCTGAGAGAGGTGATGAAAGGAACAGTCACTCAAATGTTTTTAAACTACTATGGCAGGAATGAAAAAAAACCCAGAAAAATAACTCACCAGTGTCTGTGTCAAAGCTGACAGTAGCATGGAAACGTTTGCCGTGTTTGAGGATGTCCAATGTGAGCAGAACCTCGGGGCTCTCTCTCTTCTCTTGGATCCTGTTCAGGGCTCTCTCCAGATTCAGCCAAAAGCTGATCTCCTGAAGGGCTGTGCCAGAGGCTGGGTCACGATCCAGCTTTGTCACCTGTTAGAGTACGTGAAAAAGCAAAGAAACCCCTCAAGTCTGTGATGCTAAATATACATAATGTAAACCTGCACTTGTTTGACGCATTAGATTGTACCTTTTGGATCTCCCTGATCCAGCGGTTGACCCCAGACTGCAACTGGTTAAGGAAGCTCGGGTCCTCCACTTTGTCGCCAAAGTCAGTGACTTTCGGCTTCTCCCCACGTTCATAACACTGCTTAGCAATGTTTGTGATGATCGGGTGGATGACCAGGCTGATCTCAGGGATTTCAATATTTTGCTGCAAGTGGAGAAGACCCATCTCCAGCTCTGCGATCTTTTTCTCCACTGAGGGAGCCATCTTATCTCCATCTCTGGAAGACGAAGTCAGAGTGTAAACCACATTACTTCTCTATATAATTTTAGTTTTTTCATCATCCATCATCATGTATCAATCACCATATTATTCAGCTACTTACATTAAGTATTATATCAAATGTAGTTATATCAAAAGGACAGGATCTTTAGGCTTACCTGTCTGCTTTGCCGGACTCACGGATGTAGGACTTGAAGAAAGGGGCAACAGCATTGCTGATGAACGAGTGGAGCGTCTCATAGGGAGAATCCTCACTTAAGGTAAGAACTCTGACTTGGGTTGAGATGGGCTTGTCTGCATCAATGACACCAGTCCTCTTGATCAAAGCCAAGCTGCACAGAGAGAGTAGTTGTTAAGTATAAACAGAGGTTAACTTACAGCTGAGTGGTAAACATTACATTTCTGTGCACTGTTCACCTGTTGGACTTGATCCCATAGTGTATGTCAATGCTGACATTGTAAGTGATGCACTCCTTCTCCTCTTCTCCTTCATCTCCAACATCCTCTGTGTGAACAGGAAATATACTTTGAGTCTCCTCTGAACAAGTTATGCATAAAAATGGCACCAAGAATCTGAAAAATCAAGTAAACTGTGGCACAGAAGTTTAAATCTAACACCATAATGCCAAATATAAGATCACTGATTCAAGTAATTGTCATCTTATCTTGGTTGTTCTCATCCTATTAATTCTCGTTACAAAACCTGTCCCAAGTGAGGTTGAAAATAGTGTGATTACTCGAAAGTAGATGGGGTTATCAAGGTAAAATAATTAACATCAGAGTCAATCTTTATATTCTCAACAAGTGAACTCGCTGTTTGTGGGAAGGGCTGGCCATTTTTAAGAGAATACACTGCAGTATCAGTACAAGGGGGCAAAAACATGAAGAGGGACTCCAAAGCCTGCAGGACTGAGCAGCTGATCATGTGCAGAATCAAGGGATCAAGGTCTACCACTCATTCAACATTAGTGAGGGCATGGCTCAGGATTTATTCCCCCACGGGAAAATTAAGAAATAAGAATTCTTTCCACAAGCTGGTTCACATGATAAAACCCCATGAGTGTGCACACAAATACTGATAACAGAGGATTCATTGTTATTAAATGCTGAGATTTTTGGACTTAAACTGCTGAAGGATATGTTTTCTAACACGGAGCTGTCCACTGCATTTACTCGAGTTTGACGTGTATACTCATTTGCAAACATAATATATTAAAAAATAAAACTATCAAACTCAAAACCAGTCCAACTTTAACAGTATTTGAACAAAAAAACAAAGGCCAACACAGCATTTAAAGTGGACTACATTGGGTTGTTAGTTGCTGTTCCCTTCCCCACCCAGTATGGCGCAGTTAGCTTTCAATTTAGCAGAGTCATGGAGACAGACTGTTAGACTAAAATTAGGCTAATACTGTCATCATAAACATCCTGCTGCTCAATGACTATTAACCATCACTTATCGTGGATCGATTCAGTCATTTTGCAAATATCAAATGTAGATCACTGGTTTCAGACATGTTGAGTTTTAGTACCCCGGACAGTCCTGATATCAATATTATATCCTTTCCTGCTTGGTGTACCTTTGAGAGCACTTCTCTCGACAAGGATGGTGTGAAGTTGGGGATCGGCCAGAAATTTCCTCATCTGCTCCACGGCGCTCTTCTCCTCCAGGGCGGTTTCCAGGGAGGCCGGGGCCTCGCCGCCATCTTCCAGGAGAAGCGGTACCAGTTTCCTAATGTGCTTCTGCAGCACCGAGGTATCAGCGACCGTCTGCACGGCCGACACCTCCATGGTGCCGGAGTTCTCCTCTGTCCCCCCGCCGTCAGACATCCTTGAAAGCCGTCAGAGACGACCTGAGAGGTTTTGAACGTGAACAAAGACACAGGACTGACTTTGTCGAGTTGTCTGTCTCACTGTTGTGTCTACTGAGCTGCTCAGAGACTGACTGCTGCTGTCAAAGCGCCGCAACCGTGTCCGTCAGATTTATTAACGCAATGGATTGTGGTACTTGACGTTCATTGGGATTGCTACGTACGCAGACTATTCCAACATAGGACTACAATACCCAAGATGCATTTTCATCAATTATTGTCTCACGCCATCTTTTTGTTGTAACGTGAATCACAGATAGGGGGAGAAAGGGAGTTGTCTCAAATTGTCTGAAAATTCAGAAAGAAAAGCACAGTCATCAATCACTACAAGCAAAAAACAATTCACAACTTTTTTTTATTAAGTATTACTTTGCCTTTTTATTAGTAGTAGCTATTTTTATTAACACGGACACCCTGTACCACCAAGAACTTATAGTCTACGTTCTTGGTGGTAGGCTACTGTTTACAACAGTACAGTAAGGAGCAAAAACCTAAAAAACAGGGCAATCAAAATGATAAAATTGATAAAAGATTTCATCAATACAGTACATTGTCCATGAGCTATAAAATTTCAGCCACTCTGATGTAAGATTCTGGTTTGGGTGTCGTGAATTTGTTGATAAGAAATGGTAGGAAAGTCTATGGTTAAGACCATGCGTGAACTATTGAAAGTAAACATTGCATGGAGACATCCACGTGAAAAAAACAATACAAGATAGAAAGCATTGGCTTGAATTGGTTTTTATTAAATAAGTATCAACATGACATTAAAAACTCAAAAATATAAGAGTTAAAATTTTTTACAATAGTAGATATGAGCCCACCTGTACAAGACCATGTCCCTGAGTTTGACAACTAAATATCTAAAGACTTTACAAAATTGTGTCCATGCTTAGATTCAGAGTATGTAACACAGTTTATATCCAGCATCATGTGACCCTTTAAAATTATTTATGGCTTTAATATTATTACAAACCTGAACTGAGGAGGAGGAGGTTTATTTTTATAGTAACAGCATATATATTTGAGAACAAAAAAAAGTCTTCAAAGCCTGAGAAAAACACATTTCAGTGTCTGAAAACTGGAAAATGGTACAAAGGACAAAGTGAGTAAACCAGAGCACATATAATCTTCATTTCATATTAAGTTGACCAGATAGAAGCTGAGCACAGAGTTCAACAAGGTGATACTGTTTAACATTATGTTTACTTCAGAAATAATCAGGATTTCTATCATGGCTCTAGGTTTAGCTTGACAGAATAGAAGATTAACGATCACCCACCAAGAGACAGCTCACCAAGCTCCTCAGCTGGTTGTGCTAAATCCTGGCTGACTTTAAGTTTCTGTTGTACTCAGCAGAGCCTGAATTCATGAAGGTGTTAACAGACAAGTACAAGTATGCACACTAGAACTTATACAGGAGTGTCCTTTAGTCCAGATCCAACTTCACAGACAGGAAGGAGAACCAACTGCCTCACAAAATGAAACTAGGCCTCTTCTGTATCTCAGTGAGCCCTGCAGCCCTTCCTTACCTTATGACTGTACATAACCTAAATCACCCCATGAATTAAAAAGAAGAAAAAATATAGGGAGATGGTCGTAGGTTAGAAAAAACAACTCCTCATAGTCCATGACCAGTGATTCAGTCCTCCTCAGGAAACTTGAATTTAGCGTAGACGATGAGCATGACAATGGACATGACGATACACAATGAACCAATCACGAGGTATGCGATGCCAAGAAACTCATTCTTTCCCCCCATCCAAGAAACATTGCTGAGCAACACCTTCTTCCTCCCATCAAAGTCCAGGACAGGATAGTCTGAGGAGCAAGATGTCAAGGATACATAGAAAAAGGAAAGAATCATATTTAATGATATATCGCCTTAAACAACCATTATATTGACTACTTTCAAGCTAGGAACTAAATAAAATCTGATAGGACATTCAAATAACCTGATCAGTTTTATCCGTATAATTCAGAATTTTATATAAACTAGCAGTGCAGACTTTCAGATCAGTCTTTAAAACTGACTGACCCCAACAAACTTAATTTTCACTGTATTACCTTCAACAACTGAGCTAAACATCTACATTTAAATATCATCTGATTTGATTTTTATTGGAATGCAATAAAATGCACTGACCGTCCACCTGAAGCTGCAGAAATCATAAACAATCATGTGAATTTAAATGTATTTTAATGTATCTAATCATTTGCCTAGCTTATTTACTTGTACAGGAACATTTGCCTGCTTTATTATCCGGCTAAGAGAATTCCTGAGTCACTCTGCCCTTGTCACAACAGAACCACACCCAGCCGGTTAAACAAGTTACACTGAGCTGCTGTTGTAGCGTGACACAAAATATGAGGAAGATAAACGGCTGACCCCTTCAAGCAGATCTTTAGCTTTGTATTAGAATTAAATCATGAATAACTGCTGCCAGCATATGCGTATTTATGGTTAAAGCACACCTCACTAAAAATAGGCACATTATAATGACATAGTGTATCTATTGTGATGTACCTTGCCTCTCCTACACACTGGATGGCACAAGTGCGTCATAAACTAGTAAAAACACAAACAAAGCGATGCATTTCACTGGTTTAACATTTCTTGCTTGTGTAAAATTCCCCTTTAAAATGTAGATTTATATTCTGTTAAACATACTTTTGGCAAATCTGCTGACTCTAAACATTACCCTGCCAAACCCAAAGCCTCTTTTCTGCTGGCCTGTATGTACAAATAAAGCTCTCAGAGTACAGAATTTTGTATTTATAACAATAGATAAGTATATAATAATATTAATATGCATGCATATTGGTTTTGACTGTGAGTTTTGTCTGTTGAACCTTATTTGCAGGAAACACATGGCTCTCCCTAAACTTCTCATACCCCCCAATCACCAGCCTTTACATAATCTAAGACTCTGAATCATGTGAAAGGATACTGTAGGCAATTTCAAGGGAGTAGTTTCCAGCTGGCAGACCCTTTGCATAATCGCCGTCTGTGATGCGTCGATACAGCTTTCTGAAATCCGGCAGGGCTGCTCTTCTCATCCAAACCAGGAAATCTTGATTGATGAAGCCATTGTTAGCAGGATCTGAGGTGTCCAACTCATACGCAGGCCGCGGCCAGGATATAGGCTTCACAGTACCTGAAAGCCAAACTTTGAGGTTGAGTTTTCAAACCTTAAACATTACATGATAATCTTGTATTTATTACAAACTCTGAAACCCTCGTTGACCAGAATTAACATAACAGACAAATTTAGACAAAGATACTACCATTGAATGCATTCTTCAGGACTGGTACAGAGGGGTTCCTGTATTTGATGTTATAATCTGTCCACCAAGCAATCCCCTTTCCGTCAAATGGCACCTGCTTCCTTACACCTTTGACGATCTGAAAGAGCTTGAAGGTGTCTATAAAAAGAAAACACACACAAATAAAACACACAGAAAATCCAAAATTGTCTTTCTCTTTTTACATGTCTTTGCATACCATTGAACATGCTGTTTGCTATTGCTCCACAAGGCACAATTGGTTTGCCTTGGCTGTCATATCGGTAGGGCAAACAGGTATCGCTGGGAGTCTGCAAGAAAGAAATTTAACTTTTTTTTTCGTCTGAATAAATTATCTTAAATCTTTGTAATAATAAGAATAAGAATAACTTTATTGATCCCTGAAGGGTAATTCAATTTGGCATATTTTTAAAGCATTTTCATCAGTTATTGAAATGTAGTTTCTTTCAAAAGGTGATACTGTGTTTCAATTTTACAAGATCTTGTGTTTTAACTTACCTTGAAATTATCGAGGTCTCCTGACAGCTGGGTATCATCTTTGGACACACCGTATTTCCTCTGGTTCTGGAAGTAGTTGGACAAGCCATAATAAAAGAACACAGGCCCCTGTGGGAAAGAAATACACACATAAAACCAAAGGTCGGAGTTTAATTTTGAGGAAAACGTTCTTTCTCTGTGTGTGAATGCGTTCATGAAGAGGAAAATTCAATGCAACCTCAAATAGTTTGTCAATGTTGAAGTCCAGCTTGCAGACACAGTTCTTGATGGTCTGATCTGTGCACTTGAAACAAGGGGAAGTTTGTTCAACACCTGTGTAGTCAAGCTGTGTAGGAAAAAAGCAAAGGTTATTATTCATTATTGATGGCTTCAGCGACTCAAGTGAGGATTACTGACACCACATCTTATTTGAATCAAGAGTAAAGTATCACTTACAAAGGAGTCTAGTCAATGACATGTAGGAGGAATTCATGTTTTTATTTCAAAATAGGCTACATAGTTTTTTTTAATGTTTGCTTTGACTATAGACTTCCTCCCTGTGTTTCAAACATTATGCTTCCCCTGTTATGTCAAAATCAACCCCAAAAAGACCCAACTTAATTGTATGCTCTGTGGCAACATACCTCTAACACTTGGATGCTCTGAGAGGTGACAAAGAGGGCAACACCAATGCCTATGAATGCCAGCCCGATGATGACGAAGCCGGGGATGATAATACCAGCAGAGAGCATTGGCTGCCATGCTGGAAGCCTCTGCTGTGTGTAGGCAGTGTTGTCAGGCCGGTTGGCTAACTCCTTCTCTTGTTTCACCATTTTCTTGCTTCTGTTGGACAGAATGTCAGTCTGCTCACCAGTTATTTACTACACTTCCCTTACTTTACTTAAAGTTGTGTATGAATAACCACTGCAAACAAAGGCTTGACAAAGCATTCCTGACTTTATGAAGGTTTTCTTATGTTCCCAGCTCTGGCATTTCCATTGTTTACCTCCAACACCCCTACTTCTTATTTTGAGTAAATACAGGACACAGTGGTCAGCACTCAAACATAATTCAGCTCTCTATTTGACACTATAACAACACAATGTGAGAAATCCTAACTCCACCCCATTCGTAATACTACACACCAAATCTTTAAATTTACCAACAACACTCTTTTGCACTTTGGTGGACCTAGAACTGATTAAGGTAAAAAGAAATGAGCCAAAAATTGATATATCTACACGATTTTAGTTAAAGTTCAAATGGTACTTACACAGGCGCCTCAAAATGGAGAAACAAGAGAGTCAAACGATCGTTGGTGTGCTTGTTTTAGGTCTAGGTGTGACGGAGAGGCTCACCTTTACCTGTTCCCTACCCCCTCTCGGGGGCTGACGTCAGTTTGATTTAAGAGATGGAGTAAATTTGGTCGTTCCTCCACAATGTGTAATAAAAAAATGCTACTCGCAGCAAATATATACTGAAAACACGTAAATGTTACCGAAAAGCACCGCAGAAAAAAAAAAAAACTTAATTAGTAGGCTAAAGCGTCTGTATGCGGCAAGTCAATAAGCCCCGCCTCTTTGTAGATTGACAACTCCTTCGACCAATCGTATTACTGAATCGAATTGAGTAACGCATTCGGTCAACCAATCACAACACACTTCGCTGAAACGAGACCCACTATAGTGCCGTCTTTGTGTTGACATCAACGGAGGTTTAAGAGGTAATATTAATGTTTTAATCAATAAATGTCTGTTTCTGTTTGCATAAACCGCGCTTCTTTAAGAAATATTGTACTTAAAATGCATCACACAGATGTGCAAATTACAAAGCTTGTGCTTGTGCTTTTGCGGGCGCTCTCCTTTTCACTCGCACCTGCTCATTGTTAGCCTTGTAAGCTAACATAGCATCGTTTGTCAGGATAGATTTCAAGAAAAAATACGAAAAAATTATTCAAAACCTTTCATTTTCAGCGTTAGATGTTTAGTAGTAGTGCCAATTGGATCTCCTGTGTATCATATGTGCTTTGGGTTGGCCGCTGTCAGAAACAAAACAAAGCTAAGGCTGATAGCCGCAGCTGCTAACATGCTAGCTAGCGTTGTCCATTTGGTCAGGGTCGGATCTGAACCCTGCTGCACATTAGACACAAAGGTTCCTGTTTCTCTTTTAGAATATGTGATCCAGCTTTAGGATTATTACAGACACGAGTTAAACCAAAAAGAGTCCTTTAAGTGGCTTTATTAGTAACATACGAGCCTTTTACTCGAGGACCTCACTGCCCATTGAGTCACATTCAAGCGTTTGCTATCGTCGGTTTTAGAACAAAACTCATATTTTGTTTATGTAAAATGTCCAGCGTTATTTTTTCTGAGTGTAATTTGAAAGGCCAGCGCAGTTGCTTCTCACATAACCATCTTTCTGGTTCTTTCTTCGTTTCTTAGTGTTTGAATGGATATTACCAGGTGCACGGAGAAATGGGTAAAACAAGACAAGGTTACTGTAAACCATGGAGCTCTCATTTCATAAACCATGACATTCATGCACAGTTAAGAAACACAGTTTAACTTCAGTCAATCAGAGGATAGTTTGGGGTGAAGCATCTCCTCAAGCCGCCTGATGTAGCAGGTGTATTTACTGACTTTACTGATAGGGGTTTAAACAGAAATACATGTTCAAGTCACCATCAGCTCTTGAGTTTTTGGATTCACATTAAACTGTGTAGGGCACAGGTGTCAAACTCAAGGCCCGGGAGCCAAATCTGGCCCGTGGAACAATTATATCTGGCCCACAAGATCATATCATATTTGTATTATTATTGGCCCACCAGTATGAGGTCTGGAGAAGTAAACAGTGTAAGTAAATTGAATGACCGAATGTGGAGCTAAATGGGCGATTTGTTTATTTTGGGTCTTGTATACCTGCAAAAATACTCAGGGCTGTAAACTAGTTCACTGTGTTATCTAGTATTTGTCTACATTTGTTATACTGTTGAGTTAAAATGTTTTTTATATTTTCTATATTTTTATATGTTAATAAAATGTTAAACTAATCTGTAGTTTTGTGAGTTTTTAGTACAGATGCTTTAAAACAGACAGTTAAAAAAATCGTGATAATAATCGAGATCGGATGATATGACAGGCCTACTTTAGCATCATTGTTTAAAATGTCCTTAATAAGCCACGAAAATCTGGCAAATTAAAGGGTAGTGAAGATTTGATAAATAGTCAAGAATGTGGGGGGAAATATTTGGTGTTTTATTTCATGCTTTCAATTTTGCATTTCTAGATTACAAGTCAAACATGATTGGATTTTTTATTTCATGCTTTGATTTAATTGAAAATTAAAATAAAAATTTCCATCTCAAATTGGCTTTAAACTTGTCTTCTTATCTGTTTTGAATTTCCAAATGATTTATAATCATGGCTGTTTTTGTTACATATTTTTTGAAAAGGAGGTTGACAGTTTTGGTGAAATGTTGACCCTGTTTGGCCCTCAGGTTAGACCTAAATCCAGATTATGGCCCTTGCTGTGGTTGAGTTTGACACCCCTGGTATAGGGTATATTTAATATCCAGATGTAAAATCCTAATGTCTCAGTAAAAGACAAGGACACTAAAATTTTCTATTTATTTGTTTTTATGTGTTTGCTTTCAGCACACACACCCCACACTTCATTTTCATCTTTCTTAGAGGATTTTTTTTGCATCAAATACATTAGTTTGGACATTGAAGTATCAATCATTTCACTTAGAAAAGGCTTCTCTTCTGGGGGCTTTTGTAGATGTATTTTTGATCCATGTTCCTGTTTATTCTCTGTTCAGGAGAGGCCTCCAACATCCTCTATGATGCTGTCTAGCAAGAAGTCAGATGCTGGTTCCTCTTCCTCCTCCTCTTCATCTTCTGCTGGGGCGGCAGGAATGGATAGAGCCCCAGTTACTGATGCCCAGACTGGTCCCTCAGCATCAGCTGCAAGCACCATGGATGTGAAAAAGAAGGAGAGGTCATCCCCTAGTGGGGAACCAGGTGGAGCTCCTTTGCCCCACCAAGGAGGCCCTGGTGCTGCAGACCAAGATTCTGCTGAAGTTCGCAGAACAAGTCGTCGCAAGCGAGCAAAAGTAAACATTTAAGGGTTCTCCTTCCTCCCGCTAGGCCAAGCGGGAGGAAAAAGAGCTGAGATAGAACAGATAAAGGAACATCAAAACAATACTTGGCCGTGTCTGCAGCAATTGTAAAGTTTTGTGTAGCGCTTTGTTTAATGACTCATTTGACATTGTTTTAACCAGTTTGCCTTTGCAGTGAACTTTCAGGGTATTTTTGTTTTCCCCTATCGCCGTTGTTGGCACACAGAGTAGTGTGTGAGCACACCAGCCAACAACTGTGGTCAATGCTGGTTTTAATGATGCTTTTATTGTGCCTACCGTTGCAGGTGGAGTACCGCGAGATGGACGAAAGCCTGGCCAATCTCTCAGAGGATGAATATTACTCTGAGGAAGAAAGGAACGCCAAGGCGGAAAAAGAAAGGAAGCAGGTTATCCCTCCTCCAGCTCCACCAGTAGAGGAGGAGAATGACAGTGAGCCAGAGGAACCCTCTGGTTAGTCCAAAACTAGAATCATTAAAGCAGTGAAAGGGAATGTTTTTTCATAAAGGTTATCGTTTTCATACTGTCAAGATTTATCCTTTTTGATTCCATTTCAGATCTCCCGTCATATAAATGCAATGGTTGTTATCTTTAATGTTTAGTGACAGATATTGCATTAATTACCCATGTAATCATATGTGTTAATTTTAGGTGTGGAAGGAGCTGCTTTTCAGAGCCGTCTTCCTCACGACCGTATGACCTCCCAGGAGGCTGCTTGCTTTCCAGATATCATTAGCGGACCCCAGCAGACTCAGAAAGTCTTCCTTTATATCCGCAACCGCACAGTAAGTGGTATTTTGTTTATCTAGGACTCCGGCTGCGATATCAGTGTTTTTATGTATCACCTAATCTTGATTTTCTTTTAAATCTAACTCAGCTCCAACTGTGGCTGGACAACCCGAAGATCCAGCTGACCTTTGAAGCCACAGCACAGCAGCTCGAAGCTCCATACAACAGTAAGATAACGTTTTTTCTTCTTCCAGCTGACTATAGTCTTGTTCTTTTACGCAGCCACACAGTTGAAAGATTTTACCCGCCTTTGTTTTCTCTCCAGGTGATGCTATGCTGGTACACAGGATACACAGCTACTTAGAAAGGCACGGTCTCATTAACTTTGGTATCTACAAGAGGGTCAAACCTTTACCAAGTGAGTTTGCATCATTTGTTGATCTAGTCAAACTAAATTAGTCACCATTGAAATTTTTTTATCATACAGTATTTGTATGATGCAAGACATATCGGGTCAAACTATGAGTGTAACACTGATTCCCTGAATTAACAGCAAAAAAGACTGGTAAAGTTATTGTCATCGGAGGAGGTGTGTCTGGTCTAGCTGCAGCCAGGCAGCTGCAGAGTTTTGGGATGGATGTGACAGTATTGGAGGCAAGGGTAAGATACCCATATTTGTTTTTTTCCCATATATGTACTTTTGTATTTCTACATTTTCTTAACCAGATATCAATGAAAATATTCAAAGTTGGTGTATTCTTAAATGCATAACAATGTGACTTTGATCCATCCTTATATTCACTTAATGCAGTATGGTTATCAAATGCTCTCTGTGGTTTTTGTTCATAACTCACCAAAGGTCCAAAAATTTCATTGTTTGTTATTTTTAGCATTGACAATATTTCCATGTAAATGTAAGAAGCTTGGACATTTTTTTTCTTCCCATACAGGATCGTGTTGGAGGAAGAGTAGCCACATTCAGGAAAGGCAATTATGTTGCTGATCTTGGAGCCATGGTGGTGACAGGACTTGGTAAGATCCAGAACATCACTTGTCATATCCTCATATAGTCTTAACATATACTTGCAGGATGCCAGTAATTACATTTTAACTGGTATGGTAGTATTGAAATTGAGAATTAGCTCACACTCAATTCTCAATTTTACATTGTGTTAACTTAAGACAAAATCTGTTTTTTTTATGTGAAATTATACATTAATTTAAAAATAAAAATAGATTAAAAAAAAATACAACGCTTGGCCTTCAGCACTGCATGTCAGATTTAAAGCAGTTTGTGGTCCCTGCAAAATGTTGTCAAGATTCTTGCTTGTCTTATATGTTGCCCAGTGTGGAACAAAATCCTCTGCTTAAGGAAACAGGAAAAAATGTAGAACTCGTGGTGCAGTTACATAGATCCACCTGCAGAGGGTGTTGTTGTCTGTATTCATGCCGGAACCTTTGTACATGTACGTGCTTTTTCAGGAGGGAATCCCATGGCAGTGATCAGCAAGCAGGTCAACATGGAGCTGGCCAAAATCAAACAGAAGTGTCCACTGTATGAAGCCAACGGCCAAGCTGTGAGTATAATAAAACGATTTTATCTGTTAAAACTACTTTTTTTCTTTGCTATTATCTTGGAGGCTCTTTAAGAGTTTTCTCATTTCAATAAGTGGTTGCATATGTGCTACATAGAAAAGGGTTTATTCTTTCTTTGTTATTAGTTCTATTAATTCATGCTTTCCACGTTATTGTTTGGCTAATCCATGCCTGAGTCAAATTTTTTTTTTTAACCATGTCTACGCTCAAGTTCCCAAACATGAACTCACCCCCCCCCCAAAAAAAAAAAAAAAAAAAAATTTAACTACAGTGGAGCTGCAGCTGCAGGAGACTTGTGTCCAAATTGAGTTTTAAAAAAGCAGGACCTTGTGTTGTTCACGTCCTTTAAAAGAAGATGTTTATTGATGCACAACAGTTCTGTCCTGGTATAAAATGTGCTCCGTGTCCGGGTTTATAGCTATACTTAAAGCCTGTTGTTGTCCTGGAGCAGTAATCTGGCTTTCCATGAGCTACAAAAACACAATGAACAGGGGATTCGTTTAAATACTTACCCATGTGTGTCATCAACAACAGCTCCCGTAACTTTTGAGTACGGACCACAACAGAAAACAGATATAAGTATAATGTAATTTCAATTTGAAATAAACTGTGTTTTCCCTGCTTTTGTTTCCTGTCCATCAAGTGGCGGCAACAGTAGGATGTTTAGGTTCAGTTTCAGGGCACTTCCACTGAATTAGAGACAGGGCCCTCACAGTGCTCACATCACATGTGGATGGTTTCCTGTCCTGCAGGAAAAACCAAATTACTTGTAATGTGTTTTACTTTTTGTGCAAACCTGTTTGACGTTAAAGTTTTGATTACTGAATTTGTTCTCTCTCTCTCTCTCTCTCTCCTCCCTTTTCTTTACCGGTGAATCTCTGCAGGGCGAACGGTGCACAAGCGTATGTATCCCTTCTGTTTACGCACATTCATTAGTGGCTCTGTAAATCTGTCAGTGATTTAAAGCTGTGAACAACACTAGAAAAAAAAACTATTGAGTGACATTCTGCTTATAATCCCTGTGACTTAAGGTCAAGTTTAGCAGGCTCTTCCTATTGTTTATATTTCTCCTGACTCCATAACTGCCCCAATTGGTGTGACTGATGGTCTCATGTCCTTGTTGTGTGCTTGCACATGTGTCCAGGTGCCAAAAGAAAAAGACGAGATGGTAGAGCAAGAGTTCAACAGACTGCTGGAGGCCACCTCTTACCTTAGCCACCAGCTGGACTTCAACTTCCTCAACAACAAGCCTGTTTCTCTGGGACAGGCCCTGGAGGTGGTCATACAGTAAGTACCGTGCACGCTAGTTCAAACACAGGAGAGGGTAACCAGTTTATTCTGAGCAGATGGGTAGAAACGCTCTAATCCGAACCTTGTGTTGGTGTGTTTGCAGGCTGCAGGAGAAGCATGTAAAAGATGAGCAGATAGAACACTGGAAGAAGATTGTGAAGACCCAAGAAGATCTCAGAGATCTCCTCAACAAGGTGAGCCGAGTTTGACACATTTAATACACCAAAATTGCTGCTTTCCCAAAGTTGAGGCTTACCAAAGTTCGGATCTGAAAATGCTAACTTCTCCTGAACTTTCTGTTTTCCCTTTTTTTTTCTCTGTCATTGTAGATGGTGACCACCAAGGAACGAGTTAAGGAGCTTCACCAGCAGTACAAAGAGGCCAGTGAAGTCAAACCACCCCGAGATATTACAGCTGAGTTCCTGGTGAAGAGCAAGCACCGTGATCTCACCGCGCTCTGCAAAGTGAGCTGAGTTTTGATTTATTTTTAAAACACAGTGTATCAAACAATCATCCTCCAGAAATCCTACAAGATTTAAGCTGTTGACTTAAAGGGATATTCCAGCATAAAATTAATTTGGTGTTTTTTAAAGTTGAGTCTGTCCCAAAATTGTGGGCGAGGAACCCTTTTTTTTTTTTTTTATTCTATGTGACGATTCAAGTAAAGACTAACAGCTCGAAGGGAAACTTGGAAGATGGAAATATTTATATTTTATAGATGACTCAGTTAGGTCTGATGCCCCAAAGAGCTTAATGCAATCCAAGTAAACCAGACAGGCTGTGTTTAAGTGGTTTAATGCCTCCGTGGGATGTATTATTAGAGTGAATGCTCTGTTTTATTTTTGGTGCAGATAAATCACCTCCACTGCTGCGACGTGTGTATTTTAGAGGAAGGCTTTAGTTGGTTTAAACACAGCTGGTGTCTGAACTGGATTTGTCTGCTACCCATCCGCTTACTTGGAAACCACTTCAAGGCCTTGAATCATGGTCTGATTGTCTTTATGTCTGCGGATGTTCGCACACACACTTTAAGTAAAGCAGGATGAGCATTTCAAGTGTGTGTGTGTGTGTGTGTGCTCATGGCATGCATGATTACACCATGTAACAGGATTTCGAAGCCAGTAAAAGGATGGCAGTGTCCGGAAAATTTTTGTCAGGATATTTTCCAGCGCTTCTTCCATTTTGAGTATTTTCCCACGTCTGACGGCCGGCTCGAAGGCATCATTAGGATGTACGATTTCTAAACTTGACTCAGTGTAGCTGTGTGCCCTGAGGCTTAAAACAGAAGGTGGTATTAGCAGAGTCTTTACTGCTACTGCTGCTGTTGTTGGTTCTATTGTGGTTCACTGATGAACAGGTTGAGTCAGCCCATTCTGTCAAGACTGCTTGTGCTTTCCACATGACCTGAAACCCTCTGGGTGTGTACCTTGAACACACACACACACACACACACACACAAACACACAAATTCATTGTTGTACATATGCGTTCGCAACACCCCCACATCCAAACATAGTCTGACATTCGTTCAGTTTGATCTGAGGTATGGTATACAGTTTAGAGTGAGATAAGTTGTTTTATTGAACCTGAAAGGGAACTTGTGGCACGGTTGGATGTAACTTACGCAACAAATGAGTCATCTTCTTTGTAAACATGATCATTCAGGTGTAAGGTCACAAATGAATCATGAAAAGAACATTGTATTTTGTTGTTTGTTGTGATATATTAACACTCAGATGTGTTCTAATCTCTCTGCTGGCTGATCCGTCCCTGTACAGGAGTATGATGAGCTGGTGGAGTTGCAGGTGAAGCTGGAGGAGAAACTGCAGGAGCTGGAGGCCAATCCACCCAGGTAACATCTCCTGTGGAAGTGGGACTTGAGAACGTATTTGACCAAACAAGAGTGCAGCTCTCTGTGAATCATATTAGAGTATGTAAATAACAGTCTTTGAAGCCCTGCAGCCCTTAGCAGCTATTGTTTATCTGAGTTCGATGTTGTTTATTCTTTAGGTTTCAGTGTATTTGTACCGGTGCAGGACTAAACCTGCCCCTGTGTTTAAATATCAGCCCGTATACGTTACGTCTCTGTCCTTTCTTTCTCCCACAGTGATGTTTACCTGTCATCCAGGGATCGGCAGATCCTAGACTGGCATTTTGCCAACTTGGAGTTTGCCAACGCTACACCTCTCTCCACTCTTTCTCTCAAGCACTGGGATCAGGTATATACATGCACCCATCCAAACTGTGTAGTGTTGATTTCAAAGACCCTAAGGCTTCGAGTAATCCCATGTACACCATCTGTCACGGGAGTTTGCTATGCTACAGGGCTGACAGTTTCTTCATTTTTTTTTTTTCCACAGGATGATGACTTTGAGTTCACTGGCAGCCACCTCACAGTGCGGAACGGTTACTCTTGTGTTCCTGTGGCCTTGGCAGAAGGCTTGGACATCAAACTCAACACAGCGGTGCGGCAAGTTCGATACACGGCTTCAGGTACGTCTTCTTCAGTCGTCAGAACTGGTGGTTTTATAGATGCTCGGTCAATTTATCAGTCAGTCGTTCATGTGTGGCTTTTTTTCAGGCTGTGAGGTGATTGCAGTAAATACACGCTCAACAACACAGACCTTCATATACAAGTGTGACGCTGGTGCTGTGCACCCTACCTCTCGGCGTGTTGAAGCAGCAGCCCCCCGCCGTGCAGTTTGTCCCTCCACTGCCTGAGTGGAAGACCTCTGCCATACAAAGGATGGGCTTCGGCAACCTCAACAAGGTTTGACTTCTAATCATTCCTTCTAATTCGCTGTCCTGAAACATTTCTCCAAACTGCAGGAGTTCATTCAGACTTTTTCCATATCCTGGATGTAAAACCTGAGCATGTTTTGAAACAGTCCGAGTAAGAGTGGTCTGACTCTGAGAGTCTGACACAGAAAAATCCGACCAGAGCACACTCACCCCTCTGAAGACCAGCCACCATGCTCAAATCAGATTTCAGGTCAAGTCTTAAATCATGTAGTGTGCTTTCAGCAGGACTGAAGATTTCGTTCTTGAGGGGAGCTTCCTGCTGCAGTGTCCTTGTGTGAGGAATTTGACCTTCAGTTCTAGAGGATCAAAATAACAGAATTCAGATGTAGTCGTTATCTTTTAAGCTTTATACAATTTCCATGCAAGCAGCATCTACTAGAAACACTACACCAGATGTACGATGGACTGAAAGCGCGGCGTGAGCTTTAATTCTTCTAAGTATAGCAGGGAGAGAGGCAGTCATGGCCTGCTCGGGTGCTGATGAAAGATGCTCACTGCCAGTGCATTTGTAATCCGATCAGAAAGCTCATTCTGCGTCACTCCTGACCCACCGGCTCTTGCACCCTCTCTGTTTTGCTGGGCATCGTCTGCAGCAGGGCACTTTATCTTCTAATTCTGCTGCAGCACAGAGGAGAGTACTGCATTATTATGCAATCTGAGCTGCTACTATTCCTGTGCAGCCAGCAGAGGGTACTGTACCTACCCTTTGTGGGTCTGCTGCAAGCTGAACTTCACAGGCATTGGACTTTTCATGAAGATACGCACTGTTATTGTTGTTTGATTGTGTTTTTTTTGTGTGTCTCTTTTCCTCTCTGTCTGAAGGTGGTGTTGTGTTTCGACCGTGTGTTCTGGGATCCGAGTGTCAACCTGTTTGGTCATGTTGGCTCCACCACAGCGAGTCGGGGTGAGCTCTTCCTCTTCTGGAATCTCTACAAAGGTGAGAAAAAGGATTGCTCATACAGTTTCATGGACCTATTTCCTGTTTGTTTCTCTCATTCATTTAAAAAAAACCCACCTGAATTGTAAACTGTGACTGGTCTTTTCAGCCCCGATTCTGCTCGCTCTGATGGCCGGTGAGGCTGCTGGCATCATGGAGAACATCAGCGATGACGTGATTGTGGGACGCTGCTTGGCTATTCTGAAAGGAATATTTGGAAGCAGCGCGGTGCCACAGGTACACAACTCTTACCTTTATCTGGCATTTTCACCGATATATCAGTTTTTGCCATTTTTCTATCTACCTAATCTACAGTGGTCGAGAACCGCCACTGCGGCTAATAGAAAAGAATCCAAAAAAAGAAGTCACAACACAACTGCTTACCTACTAAGTAGAAAGGTTATTGTTTAATTTCGCTTCATGTGCTTTTCAATGTGGTTCAGCCATGTAGCGCCTGAGTCAATTGCGTCACTTCAATTGCAGCTCTTTTTTTTTTTTTGCCTCCTTTTATTTTCGCAGCAAGTCATCTTTTTTTTTTTTCCATCGCCACTTTTTTTGGGGTCATAAACTTTTTTTTTTTGTATTTTTTTAAGCTGCACCGTTTTTTTTTATTTTTTATTTTTAATTTGCAGTGGGCTTCCTTTGTTTTGCATTAGTAACTTGCGTTGTGGCTCTTTTTTTTTTGCATCCTTTTATTCTCGCAGTAATTTTTTTTTTTTCCATCGCCACTTTTGTTTTGCGTCGTTAGCTTCTGTTGTGGCTTTTTTTTTTTTATCTGCAGTTTTTTTTTTTTTTGATTTGCAGCTGGCTTTGGTTTCTTTTTTTTCTACACCAGTAACTTTCGTTGTGGCAATGTATTTTCTTTTGCATCTTTTTATTTTTGCAGCAAGTAACTTTTTTTTGTTTTGTTCCATCACCCTTTTTTTTTTTGCGTCGTTAACTTCCATTGTGGCTTTTTTTTCACCTACACCATTTCTTTTTTAATTTGCAGTGGGCTTTGGTTTCTTTTCTGCATCAGTAACATCCGTTGTGACTTCTTTTTTTTTTTTTGCATTCATTTTTTTCTTTGCAGCAGTGGCAGTTCTCGGCCACCGTACTAATCAACACCCTAAAGTCATTCCCATGAGCATGATGTCTGGTCAATCTGGCAGTTTTGCACAAATACAACTTCATTTGTTTGTTGTGCACAGAAAAGTACTTGCAGCTTATAATTTTGAAACCTCATCATTAATGTTTTCTCTGGTTTTCCACTACTTTATGTGGAATGTCCTTGACCCCTATAACCATCACGACTTAACACAGCGAACACATGTGAAAGGCACTCACAGCTGGAGCCCTGTCCAAACCACCAGTCATTATCAATCATCTGCCTTTGGTCTCAAATAGGACAAAATCACATGCATGGAGGCCAGCGTGTAGAACTGTTCGCCATCCAGCTGTTTACAGGTCCCTCAAATGTCATCATGGAATTTCCTATAAGTTTGTGTTGTTGTTTGTCGTCATGGCAGCCGAAGGAAACCGTGGTCACCCGTTGGCGTGCAGACCCCTGGGCGAGGGGATCCTACTCGTACGTAGCAGCAGGTTCTTCGGGTAACGACTATGACCTGATGGCACAACCCATCACGCCTGGCCCTGCTATACCGGGAGCCTCTCAGGTAAACACAAACAAAACAACATCTAGTTTGTGTTATTTTTATGTCTGGATGTGTGTGAGAAAGTGAGGGAGAGCTGGCATGCTAACCCGACCACAAATTTAAACCAAAGCCGAGCATTTCATTTTGCACACAGATGTTTTTTTTCTTGGCCGTTTTGATGTTAGCACGCTGACTGATGTGAACAAATCATAATTACGCACTGACTGATGAGTTTTGGCCGCTCACGACCACTTCTACATGTTGTTCTGTTTTCCTTTCAGCCGGTCCCTCGTCTGTTCTTTGCCGGAGAGCACACCATCAGAAACTACCCCGCTACAGTCCACGGCGCCCTCCTCAGCGGACTCCGCGAGGCCGGACGCATCGCAGATCAGTTCTTGGGCGCCATGTACACGCTTCCCCGACAGGCCACACCCACAGCCGCCAGCAACCCTCAGCAGGCTCAACCCACCCCTACTGTGTGAAAATGACTTGTGCAGTTTCTGCAAACTCTGGACTGTTGGACCAATCAGAGCAATTTTGAGAAGTTTACCCATAAACGGATGTTTCTATTAATGAAAAAACATGGAAGTCTCACACTTGATGTTGCCTTTATTTAAAAAAAAAGATGGCATTTTGGGATTTTGAGTATGACTCGGAGGCGACTTTCCTCATATTAGGTCCTCATACTTTAATTTTGGATTGATGGTTACTCATGTAACAGCTTTGCCAGTAAAAACTGATGAATAAATCCCATTTTTGTTACTTTAATGACCCATTGGAGACTTTATGAAAGTGATTTCCTAGTCTCAGCAGAACTGAACTGGACTGAATTTTTTTGGTATGAGAGCCAGTGTTTTTTGTGTTTATGTAGAGTATACTTGCAAAACCCAGGATCTATTTATATTGCCACGCCTTATATACTTTATGTATACAAACCCCCAAACTAGATTTCATTTAAGAGAGATGATATTCACGCACGGGAGTCGTGATCCACTAAAACTAATGTGCTTATCTAAGCTAAAGACATTTCCCTCTGGTGTCTTGTCAGAGGCCTTGTCCTGTTTGTCTTAAGGCTTAAAAACTTCGCTATGTACTGTAGCTGTTTGCCTCCAGAGTTTTCCTTGTTTTGTTTAGGTTGCAGAGTGTAGTGAGAAAAAATAGTATGTATTAAAGGTAACAAACTACAGCTGTTGTTGAAAAAATTGTGAATTTTCTTTTGTTGCAATAGCAGTTTTAAGTATTTTATTGAGGTTGTCATCACATACTTTTTTATATTGACAGTTTTTGTTATTAAAAGAAGACAGAAATGATGTTTCGAGTTGGTGTGTCTCTTCCTTAAAACAACATAAGTCTGATTTTTCAGATTGTCAACACAGAACAAACTCATTCCTGTCAGGCTGCCCCCTACGCATGCATGTACGAGAGTGGCATGGCTGCTGGTGCTGTGACCCTCCTCTGACCTCCTTCATTGCAGGTTTTGGCTTTTCCCCAGGGTCTGTGGTTCTATTTGTAAGTTAGAGAGAGATGAGGGTCACAGGCAGCAGCTCCACATAGTTAGGGATCAAAATGGTCAACCATGAGCTTTAAGCCGCTGTGCGTAGTTGTATTTCAGGGCTCTGTGTCGATCAGCAATCACAGGCCTTGTATGCCCCCCAGAGATGTGGTTATTCTTATCCTGACCAAAGGAGATGTTTATTATCACAGTAATTTGAGTGGGGGGCTTTGGACAGCAGCTCATGAGTATTTTCACCTCCCAGAGTAATCCAGAGGCCGTAGAAGACTGTTGACTGGTGCTGTTACTTTCAGAACAGCTGGAGGCCCACATCCACTGATTACTTGATAGAGATGCAGAGACATAAAAAGTGTGATGGGGAGTTATGAAAAAGCCTTTGAATGAGCGACCACAGCGTGTCTGAGCACATCTAACTCGATCCACAGGTGTGGGGTGGAATGTACACTCGCACAGGTGCAGTCACACTCCCCATGCTGTACGCCTTTAAGTTTGTTTGCAATGATCAGTTACGTGATCAATGCAAAAATAACCTCTTTTTTTTCCTTTTAATTTTTTTAATGTATAAACTACTAACTTAAAAACTTCTGGTATGAAATTTTATTTTTTAATTTTATTCAATCCTAGGAAATTTTTATCCTAACCCTTTGAACTTTTAGAAATTTCTGTTTTTAATTTACCTTAAAATTTCAGGAATTTTCCCAAAGGTTTTTTAAGGGAAATTGAGCAAAATAATGACTTTTTTTCAGAAACATACAATCATCTAAAAATTTTCTCTGTAACCTTTTAAAGTATGTAAAAAATAAAACATTTAGACTGCTCCTGGAATTTTTCTGGGGATTTTTTTTTTGACAGAAATTGTCCTAAATTTTCACGGAATTTTCCTGGAAATCTTGTGTAGTTTTCCCGAAAAGTCTGGCATTTTACCAACTTTAAAATTTTGATAAACTAGGAACTTTCTGGATAAATTTTTGAACATTTTTGTGACTCTTCCTGAAACATTTTGTAATGTTCGAGGAATCCTTGGGATTTTTCCCCCCTGAGGCTTTTAGGGGCGTTACTTAGATGTTCTTAAAATTCCCCCAAAATATTCCTGGAAACAGAGAAAATTCACCTGTTGTTTTCTGGAAACTAGTCATCTGTGAATACTTGAAGAAGCTCAATTTGTCTTAAATGTAAAACACTGAATACGTGTTTCAAGAAAGTGTTGTATATGATGTCCTTTAAAAGTTTCTAATGGAATATTTCAGCTATGTCAAAAGTTGCCTCAGAGATTCCCCTCTAATTTAACCTGATGATGATCTTTCTAATTATGTAAAATGATGATCTTCCATTTTCAAATCCAAGGGTGGGCAGTGCTGTCTGTTTAAAGAAGTCGCTTGTTGTTATCCAGAACACTGTGATCCTCTGCTTCACATAAAAACCATACAGGTAAATCTCACATGTCCAGGCCCGTCTTGAAAAGTTGCACAAACCGTTTTCTGCGAAATGTAGCAAAAGTAAAATGTGCTGATTTTTCATTCCACAAAAGCTCGTGGTTTTTCTCTTTCCAGTCTCCCTCACTTGTCTTCCTGTTTATTTTACATACCATCAGCTGCTGCTCTCCTGCTCAAACCAGAGGACACGCACATGCGCGCACACAGTGTACTGCTAAGAAATAAAAACTGGCTAAGCTTGTTCAGCAAAAAAAAAACACACAAGTGAAAACCAACATCAGCCCCACGCATACGCACTGACACAGGATCCAACATGGAGGTGTGTTACAAACAGGTTGGTTTTATCTTTATTGGAATAATATGGTTTGGCTGTACAGTTGGCAGCTTCAAGAGACCTACATGCAGAGTGCGCCAGCCACAGAAAGGTTAAAACATGCACAATGAATGAAGTCTAAAACAGAAGAAGAAGAAAAAAAATAAACTCCCCGCTCTTGCCAACACACTGAGAAGCAGAATAAACCATTTAACCCTTTTGATCTGATTTTTTTTTTTTTTTACACAGTTTCGTTTGACAGTGTCGTCCTCCTGCACACAAAATTAAATCTCAGCAAATACACAAAAGTTGATTGTATGGGCCTGATTTTCTTGCATGTAGGACAGATGAGATCCAGTTGTCACTTTGAACTCCTACTAGGTTATTCCTTAAAGATTACTTGTGTGCGTTTATAAATAGATAAGTATGTACACTTACATTTCTGGGGCCTGCAAACGTCTTTCTTTGGCAGTACTTACAAACACACAGCACAGAAGATGTACAAACCCTGAATTTATGAGCGAGGAAGAACAGAGCAGCAACGAGGTCAGAGCGCCGATAAAAACAGAACAACACGTGTTGAACTGCTCAGCGCTGCAGACCTGCTCGCTTCGGATAAAACGCACATAGCTCTCATTCTTCAACGACTATGACACAAACCCCCCACCCCCCCCTCCCCTCTGATCCATGGTGTGCAATTGTGTCTCCAGGTCTTGAGAATTGTCTTGCATTAAAAACACAAACACAAAATACAGGAAGAGGTACTCTCCAGGAGTGTAAGAACGAACAAGAAGATACATTATCTTGCAAAAAAAAAAAATTCATTCTTAAAACCAAGATGGACAAATACTTAATATATTTCAATAATAAGGCCCACTTTACAAAATTACATGATTTTTCTTAAATAAAATCTATTCGATATAGCTTCCAAAATAAGACATCTTTTTGTTAGACAAAGAAATTAAAACATATAAGAAGTAAACAAAAAACAAAAGACCCTATAAAAGTTATTTCCCTCTGATTTCAGTATCTTAGAGACAGGAAATCTGAGCGTGGAAACACGAGCGCCGTCTCCAACTGTAAACTGGAAATACTGTGGAATGATTTTGGCACAATGTTAGAAGGCTGAGATGCAGGTACGACGGAGAGCCATACCTCAAAAATATATTCGAACATGAGCCATTAGCCAATTTTATATTATACTATATCATAATTACAGGATGAGATGATTGTTCAATACTCGAATTTGGCTGGTGGGATAATACTTAACTGTGGCACTTTGAGCAAACAGCTACTAAAACAGATAAAATACAATTCTGGGACAATAAAAAGGAAACGTTTTGACAAGTGGGGACCAAGGTGGCATTAGTCATTTGAGGTCTTGAAGTTAAGTGCTGGTTAAGTGCAGATTACAGCCTCTGACACCCAATGACACCATGACCCCAACCTTACAATGGAGGCCTTTCAGAATAAAGGCCTGCTGGCCAAAAACCTCGCCACTCCAATCTCCGCTAAGTACATTCTAGTTCTACTTTACAATAAGGAGAAACAATGACTCGTAAATAAAGGATATTTTTGCAAACACCGGCAAAGTTTTAGAGGATTTCTGTTCACTTAAGTTAGCAGGAAAATGCTTTAGTCTCTTTTGCTTTCTCCTTTTTTTTTTTGTCCTTGCAAGAACTTTCAACATTCATAGTTTGCTCCAGCAGTTGGCATCCACTTGATACTCTAATTCAAACCAATAATTCAGGGAGAAGAGGAGCCAACAAAAACTCTGAAATATATCATTAAAGCGCCAAAAAAGTCATCCAGGTCCTAGAACCTGTAAAGTCTTCACTTGAGTCCCAGATGCCCGGTTACTACATTCCACGATATCAACACTATACAGGCTTGAATAACTGAAAGAAACCAATAAAACCAGTATCATGTGAGTGTTGGTTTGGAGCCTAAAACATGTACAGACAGACGTCTTAAATCGTGGCACACTGTCCAGTGAGGTTTCTATGGACGGAGTGGACATGCAGACATATGTAAGTGTACTTTGGGGCCGTGTAAAGAAGAAAAGCGGCATGCATAGTCGAGGATGGAGTATCGTCTTTGCCCTTTAAAAAAGCCTCACTTCTTTGAAAACCAGTCTCCAGGAGGGAGGGTCTCTGATGTCTCATAAAATCTACAGTTTCCAACAGCTGGGCTCATCCTGGGATCCCCAACTCATCTACCCCTACATGGTGAGAGAAGGGTAAAGCAGAGAGACGTTTGGAGGAAAGCACGGGGAAGAAGTGACAGATTTCTGTCGCTGTGGCAGGCTTTAGTTTTCTTCCTGGTGAGGAGAAACAGGTGGTACGAGGGGGGTTGCGGAGGGCGTTCGTGTTAGCACTTGCATCACCAAGTTGCTATATACAGAAATCCAGACCCCCCCAGTGATGTCACCCACGGATATATTTGAACTATGCATGCCCACTCTGACAAAACGCACGTGCATGTTTGTCATTCAGCGTCTTATCAGCTTATGACACCCCAAACTCACATGTGGAGCCCTCGCCGATATATTAATAACAACACACACACACACAGTCTGACAGACAACCACACCACGTGTCTCTCTGGCAGCATGAGCACAGGCAGAGCTGGACATTCGATACGCTCTCGTCTGTTTTAATTATCCCTGAAGTGGACATCACTGCCAAGCCGTCCGTCTCGCTCTCTCTCTCTGCTGTATGTAGAAACCCTGAGTCAAGATGTAAGACAGGATTAGATGCAGCCCTGACCTCTGACCTTTCTGCTGCCCAGGGAGCTGCCCATCACTTTCTGGTGACAGGCCCCTGGTCCTCAATAAAACAACCTTCTGAACCAACAACACGTATCATCGCTGTTAAGGACTCAGCTTCTCCTTTAGGAAATCCCAGGAAGACACAAACAGGGGGAAAAAAATTAAAGGCAAAAAGATAGGTTACTTGACTTCTATTAAAAAGATGAGAATCTGAAGAGGAGACGGCACTCCCTCTTGGTTAAATAAGAGTGGCAGTAGAAACAATAATAGAGAAAGCATAGAAAGTCTTGGCGTGTGCACCGAGTGCTCTGAACAATACGTCTGGTCTGTTTCTGCTCGATCATAAAGCCAACAGCAGCAGCAGCAGTCATGAAGAGGCCACACATGGCAATCCTTTCTGCTCTGCTGACAGACAAATCCAGAGGACAGTACTTTTTGGGTGGTGTGGCCTATATTTTTTAAAAGCTGCTTTGAAGTTGAAACAATCTCAGGGAGCCTTGTTTTGACTCCCCCTAAAAAAAAAAACAACTGGTTTTATGTGTTTAACCAAAATACTTTTACGACGCTCCACTGGACAATCCTTAAGTGTCAAAAATATAAAAACTGAAGCTTATAGCCAGTTTTAAATGTTATTTATCTGCACACAAAGAATATACTGTGATTCCGATTTTTTATATCTACCTCTCCTACAGCATTTCAAGGCACAGAAGAACTTACTGAGGATATTTCCAGAAAATGTTAAATACTAAAAATGTGTTAAGTTTGGACTCAAAACTACACGGTCATCATCTTGGATCTGCATGCACAGCATGATGACTCACACAGACAGATTATTGATGGCGTATTATTTCCTGCTTGCATAAACATTAAAAAGACAAATTAATAAATGACAGAACTCCTGCACCTGACAGACCTTTTCACAATAAAAGAACGTGGACGCAGATGGAAATGGACAAACATTACAGCAAACTGAGAAATGTATTCAAACTAATTGGCGAGACAGGTCCGACTTGAAACCGTTGAAATCTATAACAGCAGAGAAACCAGAGTAGACAGCGCTTCCTCGTGTAAGTCTAGATAGTCTCAGAGAGTCAGAATGCGGCCATATTGGATTGTTGCGTCAAGCCATCGAGCAATTGGTCATTCCCAGCTGCATTTAAAAGGAACATTCAGAGATTTATCGTGGGAAGTTTACATTGCCTGTCACTCTGCAGTAAATCTTGAGTCAGATCTAAAATCCAGCAGGAGTCTGTTGAAAGACTCAAAAGTTTGACATAAATGAGATTTCTTTCACAGATATGCACCGTTGACCTCAGTGAAAACACCTTATTTTATTACTGGCCTCTACTGAATCAGTTCCTACGGCACCCCCTTTGCTGCAGTAGGCCCTGCCAATGTCAGTTTGCTTTAAAATACCGACAACAAGTCGATATTTGATGATGTAACAAAATAATACACCTCTATAGAAATAACTAATGAAGATAAAATGAGACGATTCGCACGGCGAACCCAGTCACATGCTAGCTGGACTGTCAGGTCCTGGTGGTTTGAAGTCTCCTGTTCATGTACACAGCGTTCAAAGCAGCACTGAAAAGATGTCCTCCTCCTGCCGGTCCAGGTTTGCTGGTAATGTGAAGTCCAAAGTTCAGTTCAAACAGATACTCCCTCCCTCTATGGCTCTCTGAAACCACATGAATGAGGATAACTGCAACAGCTGTAAAACAAAGCACCATGGAAGTTGTAGCATGATTTGAGGTTATAAACAATACCCTTCCCCTACCCCAGAATTACTCGTTTTCTACATGTGCATTGCATTTCACTGCAGGCAAACTACAACAGTTCCTAGTACTGATATGGTTGAGCAGGAAGGCAAAGGATAATGCAGAACAGGAAGCGAGTTACAAAGAATTAAAATAAGTGGTGAAAATGGCGAGAATGATAAATAAGGTCTGTCAATTTTAATGTGTTATTCTGCGTGTCTGCCCGAATGCAGACAACCAACAGCACTTTGAGCAATTTCATGCTGAGTCACAGTCTTTCAAGTGCTCTTCATTCATTACTTGAAAACATGCAAATGTTTGCTCAATGTGTCGACACCAAATTGGATCCAGTCTGAGGCTGCATGCCAAAAAGTGAGGTTTAGGGTTCAAATTAGACCACACTGCTAAATTTGCATGTTTTGTTTGTTTGTGCATGAGTTTGTCTGGTTTTGTAAATATGTAAGAGAAAATCAGACCAAAAAGAAATCAACTCAATGTCATTAAAAAAAAAAAAAGGGTAAAAAATAAATCGGTTTATGTCTGTAAATGACAGTAATTCGCTTCCTGTTTTTGGTCACATTGAAGGTCGAGATCCTTTAGTTTGTGAAGAGTTCTGCATGAAGAGCCAGCCCTGTGAGATGAGGAGGCCTTTAAACACCATACTGCTGTTTTTTTTTTTTTCCCATGAATGCTGATACGCTGACAGTCTGAAATCCAGCTCTGTTGAGGTCACTAGAACAATCTCTGAGAAGGACTTTCTCAACACTTGAGTCATTTCCTTTGACTCTGATCAAACCCTCTCTGGTGTGCAGCCGTCCCTTTGCATGCCAGCCTCTCCCTTGTCAAGTTTTCGGGATTATAGTATAATACATCCAACACGAGAAGCAGAAGAGGATACAGGGGCTGGTGAGGCGACCTCCAAAAACACTGTACAGACACTGTCTTTCCATTTATGCCTCTTTGGGGACAGAGAAAATTCCGGATAGGAAGAGCCGTCCACGTCTCCGTGTACACTCAGGGTCAGAGTAAGGATGTCTGTGGTTTGTTGTTGTTCTATATGGCTACGTTTTTTTCTTTCTTTGCTTGTTTTAAAAGCAGTAGATGTTGACTTTTGGGAGACGGTGTGGCCACTAGTTGATGGGAGATGGATGTTTGGCCCTCCTTGAGCCGTTGAGAGCTAAATGGAGCGCTGTAGAAGAAAAAAAAAAATGAAGCGAAAGAACATATTTAATTCTTCAGTTTGACACAGCGATTCGTCTCCTTAAGAAGCATGATTAGTCTGCAATTTTAGAAATATTTTTCAGAAAGTAAGCCAAGTAGAAAACTGCAATTTAATGCTTATTACTGTAGAAATATAAACAGTGCATATCCGATTGAAATTTTAGAGACTGATTTCTAACAACACTGAAACACAGAGGCAGAACAAGGACAAACGTTGTGTTAGTTAGCATTTAACTCGAGTTTTAAGTGTCCACAAATGAATCAGAGTAAATGTGGCGCTATGGATAACCGCGATCCTGATAGACGGACTGAAAAAAAAAAGGAAAGCAGCATCAGGTTAGTACAAAACTGCACCTCTGCTGGGATTTGAACTGTCGTTAACGTTGTCGCACAGCTGTCATTTGTAGCAGGTCCTTTAATTAAACAAATGTGGGAGCGTGGAGAATCCCTACCTGATACTCTGCTGTCAAATTCCCACTCGGACTAATGATTTTCAGCCTGGCGATGGCTCCACGGTCTGCTCCCGGCTCCACCTCTCCCCTCGGTTCTGGCCCCTGACCCTTGACCCCGACCGGACCACAAATCCCCTCTAGAGGAAGCCCCTGCTGCCTTGGTCGTCCTGTCATAAGAGCTCCCTGGGTGGTGAGAGTCGCTGCTGGGAATCTGCCGTCTCCAGGAGGCCGGGCTGTGGCTCGGGTTAGGACTGGGATCCGTGCTATTAGCAGCCTGGAAAAGAGAGAAGAAGAAACTCATAACAGCAGAGTTCACTTCACTCACACCAGTTTTCTGTTAAGAAGCTCGGAGACACTTTGTTTGGATGGTTTGGGGCCTTGTTTGGACTTTTCTTATTATGTGGGCATTAAATACATGCTGTTTATGTTAACTGGTGTGTGACAAAGAAACTCTGCCATGTGGACTCCTGCCAAGGAAAAAATCCCCGACCAAAAACCCCAAACATACCCCAAGCTGAGAGATTTATAATTTGGAGGGCCGACTAGAAAACAAACCCCAAGTTACTAGTCTGTGGCGGCTATAACGGCACGTCCCCTCATAACCTCAGGAGCCCTGTTCTAAGAAAGAGAGAGTTAGATGACGATGCAGTTCCTAAAGCACACAGAAAAACAGCACCCCACTCCTGTAATTTCAGCTTTTTAAAAAGCACCATAATTAGTGACATTTGGTGGGTTGGAGTTGGCTTCTGATGCCGTTTTAGAACACTTTCTTGCTAATTGGCTTTAATGGGGCCCTGCTGGACTGCCTTCTTTTTTTTCTGTCTCCAGGGGTAACAGACAGGAAATCAGTCACCAGTAAAAACTGCCAAGTGGGTGTGCTCAGTGTGGTCACTTCCTGCTTGGGTCGTTGTGAGGAGGACGCAGCAGCGGCATATTCTCCTTCTATGGTAAGCCACCGGCTGCAAGGTTGCCTTGTAATGCACTCTCATTGTTACACCTCCACACAATGAGATCACTTCACACATAAAATAGGACACAAGGTGATTCAAATACACAGGGGAGAGCAAAGGAGAGCTTTTCCCTGAGTGGATGAAAGTTAATTTAAGAAGATATTTGGGTGAGGACGATGTCAGCCTGTTATAAATACTGTTAAGTAAGAAAATGTGCCACATGAGGGGAAATCTACTGGGAACTGTAAGTGCTGCTGTCATCACAGAGGAGCACATTCAGTACGGAAATCCCACATTCATCAGCTGTTCTATTCAAAAACACCTCATCAAGTGTTTTAAGGTCCACTCTGAATATATCATGAGGAGATAATGTCGTTTGAAATGACAAATGAAAACACAGAAGCAGCATGTTAGAGCGTTTACTGAGCAAACCGAATCCCTGCGTTAAATCTGTCGGCCTCTGGTATCTTTCCATGTTCTGAAGAGCGGCGCTGTTTTGCCAATCTAAGCTGTTAAATCACTTCACAGGCAAAGACACTCTCGATATCGCAGGTTGAGTGTTTCAGAAAAGCTGACTTTGTGTTTGATTTGCGAAGGCGGTGATCTGTTTATTGGACGTGATTTATAAAAGCGACTCTTTTATTGCTTTTCAAGAGTTTTTGAAGTCTGATGTTGGACTGCTGAGAAACTGAGGGTGTCAGGGTTAGAGAGTGAGACTGTGGCTGCTTTTTATGATCAGGTCACACCAAGAAAATGGGAAATAGTAGAGCAAGGCCCGATCCAACACTTTATCTTACTTCCACTGGTTTTATGATTTAACAAAGGATGTTTTGGTATCTTGCTCATCGGCCATTACGACCCCGCTGTCCTCGGCCAAACATAAGTTCACGGCCCATTCATGTCCAGGCTGCGGTTTCCTACAGCTGGAGCAGGAAGATTTTACTACAGTGCTGTTCTGTTCACTTACGATGAGGTGTGGATTGAATGATGAAGAAACGCTGACCTTCTGGGTGGATTTATATAAGAACTGGCCTTTAAGTGTGTTTTGAATCATGTCCTGCTCACGCTTTGTGTGCTATCAGGTCTATTCGTGCTGAGGCCATATGCTCAATTTTTGCACTCTTTTCAGTTTAGGATACAAGCATGCTTAACTGGTTTTTGGTGAGTGGACAGGGTAAAAATTAGGCTTCTCAATACTAAAGTTGATGGGGAAGTCGTTGTGAATTGTCCCCTGGAGACACGTTGGTATGTACCAAATGTAAAAGCAATTCGGCAAGTGAATTAAAGGCATTTCACTCAAAACAAAAAGTTTAACCTTGCAGCGAGGCAGCAGGAAAAGTCAGAGTATGACGTTAATTACTACAATACATGGACTGGGATTTGAGCCTGCCTGTGAGAATCTTTCCAGCAGATGTTGAAATCTTTCACTGAGTGAGTAAAAAATCTGACCTGAAACTGGCAAAAAAGAAAAAAAAGAGAGGGCTCTTCAAATTAATAAGGATTAATATCCATTTATGAAAACAATTCACATCTTTTTTTCTGATTTGGAAAAGGTGAGATAGCAGACACAGATTCAGGCATTATGGACATTTAATCATTAAGCTATCTGTTTTTGCAGGATCCTCCACGGTACTCAAAGGAATTGGGGAGTATTCTGGATTATTGATGCATCAATAGGTGATTTTCAGGAGATAATTCTTAATTTATAAGCAGGATATACCTTAAGAGACTTCTACATAATGAGAATCCTTTCCTTTTATATGTTACAGCAGCTCTTATTCCCGGTCTGACCCTATCTGCGATCAATCATCAAATTTGTGTCAAAAATAAAGAGCGATACAGGCAATGAAAATAATGATCAATAGGACATCAGTTGACAATGACAAGCCTCGGTCTTCTTTCATCAAACCGTGTGTCTCTTCTTCTGTCAACCTTTGACACTGCAATCACAAACTAATCCCAACCTCCCGCTGTCCTAACTCCAGCTGTATTTGTCCAAACCTCTTGGGAATGGATGCTGTTCAGACCACTTAAACGTTTTCAAGAACCAAACCAAAGATGATCGGCTGAGCTCCAAGACATGCTTCAAAGCCCAATTATGAACTGAAGTATGTTTTTTTCCACTGTAGCCGTTTTTGTTCATAATTGCTATCCAAATGGAGTGACTGGTTCATGAATTAAACATCGGGAGGGACAAGGTTTTACAGCCAATGGAAACTCCCATAAAGTGAACTTCAGACAAAAAAATCCGGAGGACAAGAAAGACAGTACCTCCGGCTTTTAGGGTGAGTGATGTTGGGTCAGAAAAAGGTGAGCAGGAGCATAACGAACAGTCCTGAGCAAAGAACAAAACCAGATATGGAGAAATGGGGTAAAGGCCATGCAGTAGAACTGATGAGAGCACGGACCCTGAAATGCTTTCGCTAATGCGTGATATGGAACCACTCTGCCCATGTCAGGACCAGGACTATCATACAGAGCACAATGAAGTGCAGATGACGGGATGGGAGGAGCTGAAGGGTGGTAAATTAGGAGTAGTCGTGACCCAATCACAGCTCTACGACTTCTTCAGCTGCTCTATTTGTATAATTATGGCTTTTCTCAGTGACATTTGGCCATCAGTGTTAAAGGTGGGGTAGGCATGTATATACGAAAAAAGCTTTTATTATCAATCAATAGCTATTAGTTATTGATGACACTGGGTGTTATAACAATATCGCTATGTCTTGTTATGTCTGTGAAGTAAACATTTTAAATTTTTTGAGTGGCACGCTCCTTCTGACTGTAAACGAAGCCATTCCCCGCCTCCCCCATTCTGATTGGTTGAGAGACGCTGCTCCTCAGTGCTGACTGGTTGTGAGGCAGAAGCTGCTCCCCGGTGTCATTCACAAGCCCAAACACAGTTAGCGTGCTACGATATCGAACAGTAGAAACCAACCAGAAAGTACGGAACCAAAGATGATGGATGAGGCAGCGGACACTTTGCATGAGTGTGTCTGTCTCCTTGGCAACACGTAGCTTATATATAAGGGGAAACAGATCTTATTCAAAAGCCTTTAGTCCAGCATATGTGTCGTATAGTACAGTATAGTTTTTAAATCTTGTGTTGACATTAGCGTAGACACAGCTTAGCATTCGTTAATTTTAAACATTAATTGAAGGCGAGTATTAAAACTGTTGCACTGATTAATGTTTATGAAGAAAAGTTCTGCATCCTGGCAGTGTTACAGACTATAATGTGGTTGCAGATTTAAATACAAGAAAGCTATTTTCTTCTCTGAGGTTTTTCGAACCCTATTTTTCCCTGTCGAGGTCTTTTTTTTTTTTTCTTCATTTCCATCCTCCTCTTTTTTTGTCCCACCCTTTTCCCTTTGTGCTTACTGAGGCACCAGGACCTGGGATGAGAGAACTGCTGTGCTAAGCTTGAAGTCGCAAAGCCTGGCTCCAGGGAAAAATACAAGCTGAGCTCTCATGCAAAGTGGACACACCAGGAGCTCAGCCCTGCGGTTGGACTTTCTGGACTTTTATTTCGAAGACAAAGCTATTTGTGGAACTGCTGCTCACAATATCATCACGTGTGCAGCAATAAAGAATCTCAGAACCCCATTACGCAGTCGTATTTAAACCAAGAGAGCAACTTTGTCTTGTTGAAAATTCCCCATCATGTAAAATTACCAGCCCAAACTTCTTCGTACCAATTGTATCCGTACCTGTGGTTGATGTGTGTATGATCGGCTCCAAGACTGAGAGGTAACAGGGGCATGTGGGATGACCCTCGCCACACTTCCTGCTTCTACACTTGGAGACTGTGAGCGTTTGCCACGACGTACTCCGGACTCCTCGACCTCTCTGTTGTTGATCCGACGCATGTACACCTAGGAGAGGAAAATCACAAACAGCTACTCAAAGCAGTTCAAATGTTTTTTTCCCTCTTTTATTCAATCTAACTCTCTCTTCTGAGGGACTTGATCCATCAGATTTTCTGAGATTGTTCTTTTTTATCATCTCACCTCTGCAGGGGACGGCTTGACTCCTTTCTGCACCTCAGTATGACCACCAGCTCCCGTTCCACTGCTTATCATTTCTTCTGTATCGAAGGTCGTGGCCCTGTAAGCCCTCCATGTTGTCGTGGCTTCTATTTCATCCTCTGACCCTCCATCAGTCATTGTCTTTGTAGCCCCTCTTCCTCGGCCGGCCTCATCCACTGACACTGCACCCCTGTTCTTCCAGGTGCTTCTCACAGTCACATTCTTCATGTCTGTTAAACTGTCCTCTTGGGAGTGCTGACTTTGTCTTTGGCGTCTCCAGCTGGAGACCGTGGTGGTGCTACTGCTGCTGCTGCTTTCAAAGCCCGACTCAGTGTCGTTTAAGTCCGCAGAGGTGGTGTCCGAGGACTGGAGGCTGAAGTTGCTGCGGGACAGGTGGCTGGTGGTAGTATCTGATCTGGAGGAATTGTGGAGTTTAGACCTTGATGAGGATTCACTTTGGTCATCTAGTCCACCACAATCCTGGTCCTGGCATGATCGCAGGGTGATCTCACTCTTAGGAATGGAGATCTCATACGGGACGGAGATGCTGCCGTGATGCTCACTGCTGGGACCTGACAATAAGTGGAGACACATTCAATATTGTTTTGCGCTAAAAGTTCAGATAGAAATAAAAAGAATTAGAAGAACGACTAGGCTACGCCAAGAGATCTTTGGGCCCTCAGATGGCACTGCACTCAAAACACCCCTGACTCTGTAATGAAAAGCACTACATGTGTTCCTAAATACCATCCAGAAATCACTGTCTGTGAACACAGTGTGTCCCTGCCTCCACAAAATCAGGTTAAAACTTTACCATGCACATAGAGGACACCATGTGTAAACATGATCCAGATGTGCTGGCTGAAACTCTCTGGGCCCGGGCCCATTTAGGGTGGACTGAGGTGAAGTGGAAAGATATTCTGTGGTTTGACAAATCAAAATTTGGCGCTCTATTTCATGGACGCCATGTCCTCTGCTCCATACAGAAGACGAACCTACTAGTTTGTGGAGCAACATTTGCTGCCCTCCAGACAATGTCCTCCTCAGTAATGGCCAGGAAGAAGAAGTCCAACTGCATGTTGCATATATCAAAGCACCATGGCTCTGTAGTAGATACCACTGTCTGCAACTATTTTGAAACATGTTGTTGGCATCAAATTTAAACATACTTTTCATAAAACAATGAAATTTTGAGTTGTGATGTGTTGTCTTCATACTTCTTAAGGCTAAAACATACAGGATGTGTATTTGGAGTGTGGCAGCAGCGTCACGTATCACGCAGCTCTATGCTTCCAATGTGTGTCAGTCCACACAGAGAAGATCGTTCTAGACAGGAAGTCAAGCATGTGTCATCCAGTGTTTCAAAATAAAACACCATATGTGAACTCCCGACTGTGTGTCAGTTCATGCAGATGAGAAATACTTCCTGGTCATGGATTTATCAATCGAATGGTCAATCCCTGATCTATGTGGACCCCAACAGGACTTTTAACTGCTAACTCTGTCTGAAGGTAACAGCACAGCATAAAGGAACATAGATTACTTTATTAAACGCGAGTAAACCTGCAAAAAACAAAACTGTAAAATCACGCTGCCTCTTTTTCACACAGAGTAGAGGCTCAATGGTCACTGAATTATATTCAAATTAGCAGGAAATAGACTTGAGAAAGGCAAAACAACCTGGTGTGAGCATGTTGTTTCCTCTATACTGAGCCCAGCTGAGCGGGGCTACACTACGCTGCTGCTACACTCCAATTATGCATCCTGTGTGTGATACCTCGAGCTGCTCAATAAGGATCCTGAATGTTTTCGGCTTCAGATTAAATAGTTTCAGTCTTTTGATCATTTCTTCTGCTTTTATTGACATTTTTGACAGCATTCAAAATCTTGTGGAGTTGCGTTTGCAAAGCTGTTTGGTAAAAACTTACCTATAAGGATGTTACTAGTGGAGGTGTGGCGCTCTTTGACCGGCACGTGCTCGCTGGACACGCTGCTGCTACGGCTGCTGGTTCTGGAGGAGCTCGGGTCATTGGGGTAGATTGTAATACTACTGGTCATTTTGCTCGTGGTGGTCACCATTGGTTTGGTGGAGATTTTGGGTTTGCCATTTGAAGCCAAAGGTTCTGACATCATCACTTCTTTCCTGTCAATCTCCACAATCGCCGGTTTGATGACAGCTTTGGACCTCAGCGCCTCGCGTGGGCTGCAGACTCGCTGAATCTCAAGCCCTGCTGCAGTAAGCGTCGGTCCTTGGTGGCCCCCCTCAGCTAAGGATGTTCTGCTGTGGAGTTCTTCGTCAAATGAGCTCCTAGATGAGGAACCCTCTGAATGTGAATCATGGACATGGGAGTATCTAGGGAACCTGGAGGCAGCAGTCCTACTGCTTACAGTTGAAGTAGTCGTCTCAGCTATAGGTTCTGGTTCAGAGGGTCTTGAACCGGTTGATTCTGTTTCAGAAGCAGATGAGTGTCCCTCTGATCCCTGGTCGCTGGGCAGTAGTGGAGTAACTTGGGATCTGTAGGCTGTGTAGGACCCATTTGCTTTAGACAGAGTGGGTGCGACAGATACTGAATCTTGGACCGGGTCTGCTGTCTCCTGATCAGAAGCGGATGCTGTGTCTTTCTCTAAAGCAGGAATACTGTTCATGTTACTGCAGCTTTCAGGCACTACATCAGAGTTATTTGATTCACTATCACTACCAACGTAGAGCTTTGAAAACTTTTCTATTCTGCTCTTTTTAGTCTCTCCATCTGTCTGTTTGTGGGCCGTCCTCAGTGGTTTCTGGTCGTTGGCTGCCGGAGGGTAGCGACTAAGTACAGATGCTTTTTTAGTATCACTAGATGTGTTCACAGAGGGCACAGGAACTCCTCGTGTCTTTTCCTCGGCTCCTCTTCCTATATCTCTCAGTCCATTATCAGATGAACTCACAGCAGCTGGGGTTTTAGGCGTCCTCCTAATCTTGTGAGCAGGACTGAGGGCTCTCCTTACAGACTTAGGCGAGCTCTCCTCTGAGTGGCTCAGGTCTTTGCTTCTCAGCTTGGTCTCTCGCTTATGTTGAGGAGAGAGCTCCCTGTTCCTGTGTTTAGGGGAACTCGGTTCTGAGACAGTTGCAGCGCTCCTGTATTTGGGCTTCTCTTGCCTGAAGCCTCCTTTGAGGATAATTTCTTCATTCTCAGCTTTACCGTTCTCAAGGAACTTCGCTGGGCTGTTTGGGCAAACATTGGTGCTCCCATTGCCAAGTTTATCCACGTTACCGGTTCCATTTCTTCCGATACCACCTTTCCCACAAAGCTGGTTCCTTAGCTGTTCCACCTGCTCACCAAGTTGGCGAGCCCGGTTTCGCTCCATTTGGAACTTTTCATGAAGCTCCCCATTTTTAGACTCCGAGTTCTTCAGATCCTCCTCCACTATCTCCAGCTGTTTGAGGCGATTCTTCAGCCTTTCTACTTCCTGTGTCAGCTCCTTTACTTTATTGTCCTCTTCTTGGGAACCTTCACGGCCGCTGTTCTTCTCATTCTCAGATTTGTTCACCAAACCGATGTTGTCACCAGGCGTCTTCAAGTAGTCAAGGCTCTTCTTGCGTCCAACCAATTTACTCGAGAGAAGCCCTGTGGATGAAAGCTCATCCTCAATCCGCGATCTGATAAAATCTGGACGACCAGGGTCCGCTGACATGCCGAGCCGGTTCTTCTGGTGCTCTAATTTTTCAGTCAGTTTCAAAATGGTCTTCTCGTCCTCTCTCTGCTTTTCTAGTAGCCTTTTCCGTTCATTCACAAAAGTCTGGGTGAATCCTTTGAGCTTTTCAAGCTCAATCGCTAAAGCCTGCTCTGCTTTGTCCAGCTTTGATTCAGAGCCTTCCACTTCCTTCAAACGCGCTTTCAGGGCCTCCAGCTCAGATGAGAGCTTCTTCGTCAAGTTCTTCTCCTCATTGAGGCTCAGGCAGAGCTGGCTGCAGTCAGACTTGCTTTTCCCAAAAGCTTCTTCCAGTTTTTCCAGTTCAGCCATCCTCCGTTGTAGACGTTCGATCTCTGCTTTCAGCTCCTTTGTGAGGCTTTCTTCCTCTTCCAGTTTCTCTCTAACTGATCGACAGAGGTCCTCAGCTTTCCGTACTTCCTCATCTTTACCTTGAATCTTTAGGAGACACTTCCTCAGGACCTCCACATCACCAAGGAGGGATGAGTTGCTGCCTTCTGCCTGGATGATTTTGTCCTGTAGAGGAGACAGAGAATCTTCCCTTTAACTCTTGCATCTGACAAACGTATGTCCTATCAGCTAATAAGATATGAACCAGTTCTTACCTGAATGTCAAGCAGCTCATCCTCAGCTTTCTGCAGCTTATTGGTTGCTTCTTCCAGTTCATCCAGTCTTCTGCCAAGACTCTGCAGCTTGTGCCGCAGGTGGCGATGTGTCATGTCTTTATGATCAGACATGGCTACCAAATTCTTTGCGATTGATCTGTTGCGTTTGTGTTGTTGCTCAGGTTATTTGATCACAAAGTTTTGGGTCCACATTTGTGTGTGGTAGTAGAACCAAATCCTTCTTAGGAGTCCTTGTGGGGCTGTTTTTTGCTGCGGTCCCTTTAAGACTGTGAAGCTCCCTCAAGAGTGATGTTTAGCAGGCAAATCTGTCATCTGTAGGAGGGAGAGAGGACATAACACTTAGTCATTCCTAATTTGTCAATGACAGTCATTAACATTCTCAAAAAGGAGCTGAGCGAGTGAGAGGAGGAGCGCTTGCTGAAGGACTGTCGCATAAGCCGAGTCTGAACGAGGCAGACACAATAAACTGTATTTCTCCAACATGCCTACAAAGAGACACATATACACACAGACACAGACATGCAGATCATTCGTCTTCCTCTTGCAGTTGTATCCCGTATCGATTTTTGCTTTCTGCTTACATCAGCATATTCCAGTAACACTGCCCTCCTTCCCATTCCCTCACATTCAGATATACATTGTCATCACCATGGCAACTACCACATCACAGACCTACGCTGGTCACTTGGAGATTAAAAGGATGATTAAAAGATAGTTTGTGACTATTATGCAGATAAAAATAAGACAATGAAAGATTTAATGTAAGCAAAAGTCAGGACTCCTTTTTGCCTGGTCAGTGAACTATTATATCAAAGTTATGATCAGATGCATGTTTAATGGACCTATCTATGTGACGGGAACAGAGAAGTATTGATATCCCTGTCAGCATGCTTTCAGAAAATCAAGCCTCTGCCTCATGCATGATTCAGGGAGCGGGTCTTTCTGTTCCTCTAAACCCTATAACTCCCCTCCCCCACCCCCCATCACTCTGCTAAGCTCCCCTGAATGACCGCAGGGGAATATCGACCTGAGGGTAGGACACAACATCTGCACACATCATCACTTATCGACCCCCCTGAAAACCGTCTCTTTGCCGCCTCTTTCCTCTTGTCTGTAGCACCATGTTCAAAGATTGTCTGTCTCCTGCGATAAACCACTACACATCTGGACTACAGTAATATTCCTCAACAGTAAATATCTTTTACTGCCGTAAAAACATCAACCAATGCAGCAAATTAACTCAGCCTTTTTAAGTATGAGAACTCTGTGTGTACACAATATACAACAAGGTAGAACTTGTCATTATGGTTAGCTTCAGATTAGCTTCATGAATCTTCTTTTATTTCATTTGGTGTAAAAAGTACAAGCCATTCTTCCCACAATTCATTAAATATCTTGTTGAACATAAACCAAGGCAGTAAGCTTCGAAAGCCAATATGGCATCAGTTACTTAATGAAAAAGCACAAAGTGATATCAAAGCGTTTAGCTGTAGCATTTTAATTATTCTTGACTTTCATGAGGTTTGGTGGTTTGGTAATTCTCTCAGTGGAGAATGAGACGTAGAGGAAATGCCGGAAATTACATGGACCGAAGACAGAAGGGGAACAAAACAAACGGAGGAAAAACTGCAAAGGTTGCTGAACGCTTTTGTACCAAAACACTTGACTCGATTCAGCTGTTTTGTTTTGCGTTAGCTTTGCGCAGCGGTGGCTTGTTAGGTGAGATGTAGAGCGATTTTTCTTCTTTGAGTGAAGTGAGGTGACTGATCCCGTCCTGACTGATCCTTTTCCAGTGGATAACAACGAAACCTTTCCTACATGTGTAAAACCAGGGGTTGGTCATAGTCACAATTTCTTCAAACAATAGTAACGATTCAAAGGTGATTTTGGATCCTTGGTTTCTCCTTGCTTTGGTTAAGTTTGGTGTATCCAGCTTCTCCTGTCTTGGCGTGTTGCCTACCCCTCCTTTCACACTCCCTTTATTTCTTTGCCAGCTCTCCACTTCCCTCCCTCATCTCTCCCCTCCATCTCTCACGGACACGCACACCAGCAAGGCCGAGCGGGCACTTTTGAGGGGTGGTGGTGCGTGCAAAGTGACTCTGGCAAAGGCCCACCTCTGCCAAACCAATCAACATACCTGACTTGCTTATCACAGGGCTGAGATCTCATTAGTTTCATTCAGGGCCAAAATAGGAGGGAACTAGAGGTATGGAGAAGAAGAGAAAAAACAATGATGATAAAGGGTTGTAGATTATCCGAAATTAGTCTGAGACCATGAATTTTCATGTTCCATATAGATGAGTATTCATGAACCCTTATATTCCCATCATTACTTTGACTTTCTCCTACTTGAGATTAATGAATAAGGAGTGTCTTGGTTTATTATTCTTCTTGAAGAATTTGGCAGGGAATGTAATTGGTGTCGAGCGATTTGTCCAAAATCTGGGCCTAAAAATGTGGGGAAAGAAGGGAAGGAAGTATGGTTCTACAAAAACCTGTAGGGAGGTAGAAGCTGTGGGACAGGGAAACTAACTCATTTCCAATGATGGACAAACCAGGGCACGGCAAGTCCCTCCTGTTGCGCTTCATACCTCCAACTTGGGAACAAATATCAACAATCATCATCCTAAATCTTGCAATACAGTTATTGTATTGGTAGTAACTTGGTAATCTTAAAAGATTTCCTCTCCAGTTAGAGATTCTGGTGGTAGAATAGCCTTCAACAAAAATATCACGGTTTCCTTGTACTAAAGGGGTGACACAAGGTTTTACTGTTAAAAACGACCTAAAGGTTTTTGCTTTCATACTGCATTCTTCACAAGTTTGTATACTTTTAGGTGTGGCAGCAAAATCCATTGATTAGAACCATGGGGAGACCAGATTTCTTAGCCAACTTGTCAATGTAAAGGTTTATGGTCAACTAAGCTTAAGCAGAATATGTAAAACAATTCACCAACACACATGAAATCAAAGTAGCCCAAACAAAGCCCTGACAATGAATGACTCTGACACCTTTCAATGCCAAAAGAATGGACAACAAGATCCTGTATTTGACCTTCCACTAATATCTGCACCCCTAGTGCCGTTGTAACAAAAAGCAAGCGGAGATTGTTTATGCGCGAGAGGAGCAAAGACTACCAGAATACACATAGCTGAACATGATGTGTGCCTGAATATGTCAGAGGCTTTCTAGTTAGAGTTTAAGTTCAGAAAGAAAGGCCTTCAAATGTCTAGGAAGAAAGTAAGCTGGACCCAGAAACATCACCAGAAATGGGAGCCTGATAAACAGGAGTTTAATACCATGATACAGTCAGAGCGGAAAATATCCCCTTTACCTAAGACCCTCAGGGGTACCTAAAACTTAAAATGTGGTGATTACTTAGTGGTAATTTGAGTAATTAAACATTTGTTTTTTAATTAGTTGAGTCCTCCAGGGGATGAATTCATTAAAAGCTCATTCATTAAAATTAAACACTTACATTTTTCATTTTTAACAGGGTATATTTTACCTTAAACCTTTTGGGATACATTCAACACAAAGACACAAGAAGCGGCAAGGGTTGATAGAAGTTGCCTTGTGGCCCATTTTGGGTTAATGTCACCGTGATGCTACCAACCATAACTGAACATCGAAGGAAATTTGTGAAGAAAGGGTGTTTCATATTAAACAAGAAAGAATGAAGGTCAGAAACAGATAGTCATGCAATGACCCAACTGGATAGCAATGCAGATGTGAGGAAGGGATGAGTGGGTGGGGGCTTCATTTTGTCCTCCAACTAAAATGCCAACCTGACTGGACGGCCCACCACTGTAGAAACTTTGCTAAAGAAGTCGATCCACTCTGCTCGCTCTCCCTCTCAAACACACATGCACACACACTCACACACATATTCACACAACCAAGGTTACAATCATACACCATATCATTAGGGCTTTAGCCACTCTCTTCCTGCCTGCCTGTTGCCTTAAGTACATTCTGTTCTCTCCATGAAAGCGAGAAGGAAGGAGAGAAAAAAAAGTCTCCTCTCTTGCACTTGATGTTTGGTTGGATTTTCTTGGTTTGAAGCTCTTCTGCCTCATAAACGGTAGTTAATAAAAGGCCCCAGTCCAATCAAAATGCCTCAACCGCATCTTCATGTAGGGGGTTACTGCCAGTTTGCGTATATGAATGTGTAACAAATTCCTTGTGTATGTTAGTGTGTGTGTTTGTGCGAGTGGAGATGGCTGCAGTGGATGGATGCTGGCGCAGCGCTGGAAGCCACAAGATGGTGGAGACCTGATGCTTGGCCTGTATTTTTCCGTTTTTCCAAGAAAGAGAAAACCGGCATCCCATAATGTTCGGTTTGTCGTTTCCTGTGCTGTCATGTTGCTTTTTTCGCTGCTCTTTTTCACCCTTTCAGTTTTGCACCACTCCTGGAAATATGGTAAAGAGATGAAGGGCAGTGTTGCATTTCAACAGATAAAATGAATAACTAAAACTAAAGGTCATGAAGCCAATTCATTTGAACAAGCTAAAATAGGATCAGGGTACCTCCTTTCTCTGGATATTTCCTATACATCCAGAGTGAAATGGCCACAAATGGTTCAAGTATTGAAATGTGGCGAGGATGCCGGTACACAAATGTCAACTGTGGTAGAAAAATAGATTTGTTTATTGGAAAAGACATGTAAGTAAACCGCGTACAACTAAAATGACAAAGCAGGTCCTGTCCGCTTGTAAGAGCAACATCACTCAATATTAAGATACTCATTGGCCACATTGTTCCCTTCTTAGTCTCAAAACAGGATGAAAGAAGAGTAAATGATGAGTAAATGGTCATGATTTTTCCAATTTCTCTCCAGGGACTTTCCTTCACGGCTGACTGCTTGTGATCGAACACTTGGTTTCAATTCGCTTTGTATTTTTCTGTCATTTGTCAACAGTCTGAATCCTACAAGTCTGTTTTCATCTGATTTGGCTTCGTCTGTGCAAATAAGTACACTGAGCTCAGCAGAACAACTCTGACTAAACTGTCAGAGTATTTTAAGACATGGGCTTCAATATTCTAGTATTTTTATCTGTCATAATTGGGCAACACTTATTGGAAACAAGTTTAGCTGTATAATAATATAATTCATCAAGAAACTCATCAACTATCTGATTAGATGAGATGAGAACAGCTGATAATCGCCCTATTAAGGAGTTTAGCATAAATGGTCCAACAACCGAATATTAAACTTTGTCCAATAAACGGTTGTTTGCCTCGGGTATAGAATATGAAGAAGGTGTTATCATAGACTGTATGTAGAATGGACGCCATCTGCCATATAAATCCAGAGGAACCCTCCCTGTCTTATGGCGTATTTTTGCTACAGACTTGGCATCGCGGGAGACAGTTATATTAATCACTGCCATGTTTGGAGGCTGTGGATTTACCCACATATATGATCTTTACCTGCAAGTTTGCAGCCATCTTTTATTTTCACCATCTTTCCTGGACACAGACTGGTAGTTCTCACCTTTTTTCCTTAATTACTGGAGGGTTTTCTGGCTGCTTTGTTGACAGACAACAGAATTTAGGCCCTTTTGTTTTCCCTGTGCGCGTCAGTGTATGTGATTTAAGTCGAACAACTGAGATGGGACACTAGCCAAAAGCTTGCAGATACCAGCTAACATAAATCTGTACCCTGCACAGAAATCTGCATGCATTACAATAACAATACTGCCCCTCCCAGGTTTGCTAGGGTAGCAAACTTTAGTGCACCTTTAAGTCGGTGAGGTCAAAGGTGAACATTCATACTCACGTTTTAAAGCTTGACTGTACCGTCCTATCTTCATCTTAGCCCAGTAACCCAGAGCCTTTTCTAGGTCTCTCCTGCCCTCCCCACCCTTCCCCTCTCTGCCTAGATCAAGAGTCTTGTTGCTGGGGCTTAAAACCTGCTCCCAGCTTAAGCAAAGGGGCATGATAGGAAGATGAGAGAGAAAAAATTAAACGGAGGGGGTGGAGAAAGTATGGCCAGTCTGACAGGACTTACAGCAGTCTAGCATGCACCATGCCTCTGCACACACACACACACACACACACACACACATACAAAACATCTGAAGTCTCTTTATGACCCCATTGCAGATGTAACTTTGAGGATCTTGAATCAAACTCAAAGCCCTCAGTGCTTTACAGCTTGGCTTCAAGGTCTTGGTGGGATAACGGAAAAGTAGAGCGCGCTCTTGATCAGAAATCAGCTCTACACGCAGGATTACATCAAACAGCAACTGTTGCTGCGACTGAGAAGCAGAGTGGAGCAGGGATATTAGACGTGCTACTTATATCAGCAGCTACCGAACAAGCCGGTCAGTTGCTAGGTAGTCCTCAGGCAGAGCTGCGGCCAAAGGGATTTAGAGTAACTCTATTGAAATGAGTTCAGATGAAAACACAGTATTTGCGCTGGCAAAGGGACACAGTGTCCTGGGTAACTAGGATAATTTATTAATATATGATATGACTTATGAAGCACTGTTTTGAACTCTCAAAGACGACAAGTAAACATGAAATAGAGGAATCAAAATATAATATTTTAAAGTTGGCCAGTCGAGGAAGTGGTTGTCCGAGAATGTGAGCTTTTATTTTGAAAGGGTGGGTTATGAGGTGAGATTTTAATGACTGGAGCTGCAGAGATTGGAGGAGAGAGGGGTAGTGATGTTCTGAGGAGGTTTGATGTCGTCTCTGAAGCAGGCAGTGAAGTTCTGAACATGTTGTAGTTTTTGGGAGTCACAGAAGGGGGACCATGGAGAATGCATAATGGCGGTCATTATTATTGGTACGTTATCTTCTTACTAGTACAATTCTGGCCCAATACAGTCCCAGACCTAAAGCAGGGGTTTAAAAAAAAGTTCTGCTGGGAGATCAATTCTTAAAACGATCTCAGATTAGTATCCAGATATTTTACTGATTGATTTTAACTTTAAGAAGAGGCTCAAGACTCACCTTTTTAACCAGGCTTTTCACTATTGCCTTTTTATATTTATATTTATATTTCTCTTACTGCAAATGTTCATTTTAATCAAAGTTCTTAATGTTTATTTTATGTCATTTTATTAATGATCTCTGTTCTTAGTCTTTTTCTTCATTCTTAGAGGTTTTTTCTTCTTTTACATGGTAAAGAGCTCTTACTTAACTGTTCTTTTAATATTATTTCTTGTTTTAGTCCATCAGGTTTTGGTCTTTCTTTTTACTATTTCACTTTTTTATCTCCAGTGTTTCCCAAAGGTAGCTCTTTCCTCACGTAATGTCTCGGTGTCAGGCCATGTCTCTTTAACAGTATATCTTAAATCCTCACACTGTGTGCGCTTGTGTATGTGGGTGGGTGGGTGAGTGAGTGAGTGAGGGTGGGTGTGTGGGTGGGAGGTTCAGGTTTTATTGTTGTTTTTAGCTCCTGTGAGGAACTTTGAACTTCATTTTTTGTCTGAAAAGTGCCGTAAAAATAAAGTTGAATTTGAATTTGATTATTTCAGCACTAGTAGCATTATGTGTTTTCTTCCTGAGAGGATCGTACCAGACTCACAAACAGCTATCAGGCTATCTTAGGCCTTATCTTAACAGAACTATTTGTATCTTCCTGCAAATGTGTTTGACTCACAAGCATAAGAGCTTCAAAACACTCAAGTTGAGTAATAATATTGACACACAGATTTATGTCCCATCCGACTTGCCTTAGTGAAATATTTCCCAACTTCTCCTCAGCATGGCCTGAGCCTGCTGCCCTCTGTGTTTGGGGTCAGAGGTCACTGACACTGTAAACATGTAAAACACGCCAAACAAGACACAGGGGCAAACGGGAGTGAGACCCTGATTAATGCAGCAGATCATGTTTCGTCTTTTACTTTATTGCAGTTAAGTCAAACTGGACTGAGCTGTATCAGCACTTAGACACACCGTAACAAAAGAGAGACTGGGTGCTTTGACAACAAACAACATGCATGCATTGAGTCTGTAGAGACATCTGAACTTCTCTGCATGGTGGATAAGTTGATTCTTGATTTCCATCATAAGTTCTAAGATATTAAAGGTATTTATTTCAAATTGATGATCAAATTTTTCATTTTTAAGTTCAAGAATGACTGAACCCAAACCTTCTACAGTCAGAAATAAGGGGAACATGTAATATTTTCATGACAGACCTAATAATACAACCAAAGGCACTGGCACAGGTCTACTTTAGATCAGTCAACTCAAGCGAAAGTGACAAAGATACGCTGAACAGCTGCTCAGGCATTCTCAGGTATCAGCAGACGTCAGCACAAACTTTATATGACTGAATGAGTGCGGGCGGATATGTGCTGTTGTGTGAGACGATGAACTGCGTGCGAAGGAATGTGTGTGTGTCATCATTTTACACCGATAAGAGGACGTGAAAACAACAAAACAAGATGACACTTGTTAGAGTCAACACAGGGCACTTAAAGCCTGCGAACCAGTATGAGTCAGACAGACTGAGGCGAGGCAGACAGGCAAAAGTTAGAGGAGAGATAAAAAGGTGATAAGAGCAGACACTCATGGGGCTGGTTTTGCTTTGAACTCATTTACCTCTATCCACTAATAGATCAGTCTCAAAAACCTGAAAAGTTTAAAAAGTTTGGCCAATAAAAGGTTTATTCAAGATATTAAAGAGGGGGTAGTATGCGATTTTTTCCAGAGTCTATATTTCCTTTTTTTAATAGGTTTACATGATTTTCAGATTAAAAAAAGCCTCGAATTTCTCCCTCTAGTGTATTCAAACATTGTTATTTCAGCCTCTGTCTAAAGCACTTCATTTTAGCTTCTGTCGCTTTAAGACAATGATTCGCTACATATCATACATAGGGTTTTTACACAGTACCAATTCAGCTCAAGTTACCGCCTCTCCAAAACAAACAGTCCATGTGATAAAAATCTGCTGGGAGCGCTGAATACAGCGTTTTCATGTTTAAATCAGTACTTCTCCAACAGTAAGTGGTTATAGCCAGAGGACCGGCTGTAAAATAAATGGCTGCTCTTCGCTTATTGCAGGTGCTCAACTTGTTTGCAAGTCATACAATCTGTAGCCAAATTTTAGCTGTGACTTCCTCCTCCAGCTCTCCGGTTCTTAAAGACATCGATCAGAGCGGTTTCAGGAACAGTGTTGGGTGGCCGTGAAGTGAGAAGCAGCTTATTTTAGCCGACAGAAATACTGTACTCCGTCTTCTACACTGATTCAAGTTTGTCTTACAGGTAGATCATGAGCTTCGCTGCCTAATGGAGATGTTTGGTGAAGGAACAAAATGGCCCAAATCTTTCTATTGAAGTCATGGCTGACGATCCGAGAAGCAGTGTAAAGAAACTGAGCCGTTGAGGCAGATTTGAAAAAAGTGTCCCACCCCCCGATGTTTATTCGACTTAGATTCCTCGCTTGGTCACATTCGGCTTGCGTTTTCTTCCCACTTTTGGCGTTGGGGCAAGCAGAAGTGTTTTTCTGTGTCCTTCTTCATCACAGCTCCTGTAGCTAAGCTGATATGCTACTTTCAGCCGATCAGAGCTCCGATGAGGGCCGGGAGAGTAGGAGGGGATGAGTCGCACACATGAAAGAGAGGTGTGTTGAGTAGATTGACCAATAGGAGCTGTCTGGGATGGATGGCTTCCATTGGTCGATGTTTTAGCAGACCTTCACCTGCTCGGGTGAACGGATTTTTTTCATTCTTTTTTCTCTTAACTTTGTGGAGATCACACTATAGGACCATGATCGCTGTATAATCGTCAACCAAGCCTTTAAACCGCCAAATGTGGTTTAAATCCTGAAGCAGCGATTCACTTCCCATTCCTCTTTTTTTCAGTCCTTGGTATCTCCTTTATATCACCTTTACCTTTAAATCCCACCCCAACCCCCAATTCTGCTGCCGCATTTTTCTGCTTCCTTCCCCTACCCGTCATCCCCTCTTGCCTGCCTCCCTGCTGCATTTACATGTCCTTTCCAGTGTACCCAAGAGGGGAGCGATGACAGCTGATCATCAAACCCTCTGCCGGTGATAGATTGAGCATTTTAGCTCCCCTGATGGCTGACGACAACTGCCTACATACACAGACGATTCATGGACGCGCCAATAGCTCTCAACATACAGCCCTCAAACCTTCAGCTTGGCTGCTTGACATCCTGCTCATTCATTGCTTTCTCATACTAAAACAGAGCACACACACATACAGAGCCGGGTTGGCAGAGCTTGGCGGTGCTTCATCAGTCTGAGCCTTGGCATTCGCTGCCTGCTGCAGCTGAATGGAGATCTCAGTGGCTCTCTGATGAGGAAGAAACAAGAGAGAGCGAAAAAAAGCAGCACAGAGCAAGAGCGAGAGAGAGAGGGGGGCAAGAAAAAAGTAAGCTAAGGAGAAGCAAATGTGCAGACAGCAGTGTGTGAATAATGCGAAGTAAGCAAGGAGAGGAGAAGAGGAGGAGAAAGAGAGTAAAAAAAAAAAAGAGGAGGAGTGACTACAGAATGCAGAGCAGGTAGCTGGCAGAGTGGATTACTGCAGCAGGAATGCAGCACTGCCTGCAGGACGGACAGAGGGAGGGAGGAGATGAAAACAGCAGGGGAGGCAGCAGGAGGTAAAATGATAAAGCAGTACCAGAGAGGAGGTGGACGTGTACTGAATAATACAGTTATTATAGAATGTCCAAAAACAGTAAAAGCCTATGCTTTTGAGGACACAACTGATAAGCTGAAGCGCTCATTACATCACAAGCACTTCAGTATTTGAACACGTAGCAGGATACCAAACAGGAATTTAAACATGTAGTTCTGGTATGAGTCAGTACTCCTTATGATGGAGTTTCAAGTAAAGCAATCAGGACTAACCAGGAGTACGAAGTTTGCCCTGAGCATACTAGACAATCTATCTACAAATAACTTTAGCTCTTTTTAAAACTAAATAACACAAAAATGGCAAATCCTAACACCATGAAAGCTGAGCAAAAAAAACAACAACTTTAAAAGGGCTAAAAAAAATATCATTATTATTAGATTTTTTATCTCAAAATCAACAAGTAAAGGTGAAACCCCCTTTAAGCAGCGTTATTCCCAATCATTAATATCAAGTTTAAGTGAGACGCTTCAACCCTTCTCTCGTTTTACTGTCTGTTTTCATGGACCTTGGGTGCTGCTGAGTATTTTGGATTATTTTGGCTCTGGCAGGCTTGCAACCGGAATTATAAATGCATGTAAATGAAGCTCAGTGGAGATGCACCAAACACGCCTTGGCCACATATTGACCTTAATCTGCAAACAGCCCAGCACATGTGGTAAGACAGTGACACATGTTCTGTCTCTGCTGACTAACCTAGCCTAATAACACACACACATCTACACACACACACACACACACACGTCTACACACACCAGCTGCTGTCCCTTTAGAGCAGTATAAATGGGTGCATGAACCCTGTGCTGCAGAATATATACAGTACATAATACAGTATGTGTATGTATGCCACTCCTGTGTGGCTTAAGGCTACAGGGAAGGAACTGCGGCGCCGGCGTTTGTGCCCAACAGGAAACAGACTCACAAAGAGCAGAGGAGGAGCGGAAGAAGCTAAGAGGAGGAGGGGGGAGGAAGTGAGGAAAGGAAGTAAAGGTGGGCAACGGAGGAGGTGAGGAGAGGTTTAGGAATAAAGAAGTAAGGAGCGCAAATCTAAAATGTTACTGATGATATGAGATGACTGAAGCAGCTAGCCTAGCTTAGCATTTAATAGTAAATGGGGGAAACAGCTGGTCTGGTTAAAAAAAATAAAGGTCAAAGGGGGATTTTCATGCTGTCATGTCTCAGAGATAAACAGGAGGAAGATGACTCCTAGAGTCCTCTTGTTATACTAAAGGCGCTAAAGGAAAAACTACAATAAAAAAGTTTCACTTACATTTTCCATACATCCTTTTGTCCCAAATGTTATGCTTCTCTTTCCAAATCCTCCATCCTGTGGTGAAACACACACAAACAGGGCACAAGGTTAGTGCAAGATGACTCAGTGGTCATCATAATATCAGGACACACACACGTTCATGCCATCTTTCACCACAGTTATGCTTGGTAGTTGGCAAGGCCCTGAGCCTGTGGTCAGGCTTACAATGCTGTCACTGTAGAGGAGATCGTTCACAGTCAAGCTAACAGGCTAAGAATGAGCTAACTGCTCAGATATGGGACGCATTTTGAGGCTTTGCAATAGACTCATGCATGAGCAGACAAGCAGTGTTTGGCCACGACAACAGAAGGGCCTATTCAGTTCTCTAGGGAGGCACTGGTATACACACACACACACACACACACACACACACACACGTGCGCACACACAGACGCAAACACACGGCACCATTATCATAATCATCATCATCCTAGAAGCTCTCATCTGCTGCAAAACATGTGCATGGTAAAACACACACACACACACACACACACACACACACACACACACACACACACACACACACACACACACACACACACACACACACACACACACACACACACACACACAGTCCAGACTTGGAGCATTCCATTACAGTAGCATTCCATATGTTTGGTTAAGCAGAGAGAATCCAGATTTAAGACTGCAGTCTGGACCGAATTTAAAGGATGAGAGGGAAGTGGAGGGATGATGGAGGGGGGGGGGTGGAGGAGCGAGAGAACATTCCTGTACGCAGCAACAAGACCCTCTGGTACAGGGACATACCTTGATAATAGACAGCACAGTAAGTAAAGTCTGATTGATCAAGTTGTGTTTGAAATAGTGAGAAAATGAGTTAAGCAATCCTCACGATGAAGACGGTTAAAAGCTGTTAAAAGTTTCAGGAGAAGTCAGAGTTTTTTTCCCCTTTGGACTTTTACAGCAAGACAAAAAAAAGAGGAAATAAAACAGCTGCAAAGGGTTACTTTTGTCGATTCATTTTAATGTAATTCAAATGAAGCTAACTGATGTGACAACAATGACCTGCCAAAGGATTGATAACGTAGAGCTACTGATGCCAGTTTTACATGCGGGCAGTTTTGAAAGGACAATTACGTCCAATCTCATTGTCAAAAGACCGAAGCACTTAGTCATCAGCGTAGACGGTCACCTGTTTGTCTGTGAAGTGGTCGACTGTGGTCGCCATATTGGTAATGCTGGCTCAAGTTGGTACCCTGGGTTCTGCAGCTGTTACGCACTTCTGCATTGGCTTCATTTCTTAAGGCTAAGGTTAAAATTGAAAAGGTCTAATCCTCAAATAAAGAAAATATGCCAATGGGATTTGGAGTACAACTTGCCTTTAAAGATTAAATAGTCAACTATGAACCAATCAAAATTGTTGATTGACTTTTCTGTCATTTTAAAGAGATTGATTGATTGATCAGACTGAAATGTATCCATTACAGTCAGTGTAAATCATTTAGGAAGAGGATTTCCACTGACTCTGATTGTTTTATCTGAGACAGTCAGGGTGATGTGCGAGATCACCTTCTGATAGACACAAAGACTCAGTCTTTAAGTTGCTCCTGCCAATCTGAGCTCCTCTCTGTGTAATCCTGTCTGTTTCAGCCTGCACAGCTCTTCTCTGAAGGAAGGAGAGAGTCCTGCCGCTCTGCCTTCAGCTCCAGCATTATGATAAATTTATTAGCACTGTGGCATGACACCAGCACACAGGTTTGCTGAGTCATCCAACGCTCTCATGCCACACAACAACTCCTCAATCCTGCATTAAAACCCAGACGTGTAATTCTGCCACTTAATCACCAAATTCAAATATATGGTTTTACTAATGAGATTCGACACATTCTTTGCGATTCAGAGGACGCCAAATACCCCAGTGACCAGAGACCACATGTTTGTCTGTGTTTGTATGTGTAGTGTGGGGCTGTTTGGTGTGTGTGTGTGTGTGTGTGTGTGTGTGTGTCTTTGTGTGTACAGGGGGGGTCAGAGCTATTCATTCAGACAGTAAGCCAACCCGTAACCAAACAAAACTAAAAACAGCTGCCTCCTTCTCATCCCTCGCTCCCACTCCTTTCTCCTCACGCACACAGCATGTCAGGTCGGGCAGGATTCAATGCGTTACTCAGCAGAATAAACCAAAACAGTGTGCAGTGGCATTTCTCCAGGGTCTGTATTAAAGATACAAAAAAAAGAAAAATTAATCACCTCAGTAAACCCAGATTTTCTAAAACAAGTCTTATTACAAGAACACTATCCACCTAATTTACCTGTGCCTGGGTGCTAAAACGATTAATATATATAATGAAAATTAATTTCCCTCAATATCAATATAAAACATGGTCAATATGATTTTCGATAGTCGGCATTTTGCCATGCTTTGGTATACTATACGAATAGCCAATAAAAAGGGGAGTTGCTCCGGGTCCGCTTTGCCCTGAACGAATCATGTGCTGAATTAGAACAGAGTAGCAAACAACTGCGTGACAGCAGGCTGCGGCTACACGCAACTATAGCACTTGAGTGCTACCCCTGGCAGAAATGCAGATGAAGGCTCAACACGATACATCGTTGACAACACTGGCACGAAAACATTGGTGGTGTGGAGGTATTATTCATAATTTTCTATTATTGAAAATGAAGCAGAGTAATGTGCACCGCAAATTATGTCAAGTACATGTTCTCGCAAAATCTCTTTTACCACCTGAAGCAGTGCCATATACAGGGTTTTTCCTGGCTCATATTGAGGCAGAGGTGGCACCATCCTGACCATGCGCCATGACGTGCATATATTTGTAAATTTAACTGTCTCACTTTCTTTTACAGGCAACATACTTTAAGTTAAGAGTTCAAAAAAGAGTGTGACCATTATCATGCTAAAGCATTCATTTATTAAAACTATATACATACACAAATCAGCTGGCAACTTTAAATTGAAAGTACACTTCATCCACACATCTCGCAACCAGACAGAACATTTCAGCCTCCTCTTTTTCATTCTGTAGAACCTCCTCATGCACTCCTTGTAGTCCAAGGCCTCCTGGTCTGGTCCATCAACAGCCACCTTACAACAGACATCCAAGTGCCTCTCCTTCAGTCTGTTCCGCAGAGGTGTCTTCACCTTAAACAAAACAATTCATCATGCATTAAGTATTTTTGTTTTTATTCTGATACAGACATGAAGAGTGATAGTGTTTTCAATCATATATTATATATATGTATACGCTGCAGTGTCCTCCCTAAAAAAACGACAACCAATTATTTCTTAAACTATCTAAACTATGTTCTTTTAGTTTTATATATTTTTTATTAATTATTAGTTATTATTTATTAGTTGAGTGTTTTTAGGTACTACCATCTTTAATATACTTCTCCTTCTCTTCTGCTGCTTTGTGAATGGCTGTCACCTCATGTCTTTTTAATGTGTCCAGCCTGTAGTTGGTTGATGGCTGTCTCACTAAGGAGGCAGCAATTGCCTGCTGTGTTGGGGCACAGTGCTTTTGGCATCAATAGCAGTGCATGCATTCCTCAGTATGCCTGAGCCAGGTAAATTGATTGAGCCACTGCTTGTCAAAGCCACTGGCTCTGTGTTTTTGAGAAGATCTGGAAAGAGGAATAAAAACCATGTACACGTTGGCTTTGCGTTGTTATGCTCCTAATTGGAAACTAATTAATTAATTACCCTCGCCTCGCCGACTCGTCCTGTCCTGCATTCTGACCCTCGCGATCACCAGTCCCTTGTGAAGTACTTTCAGACCTGACACAAATTTCCACGTTGTCACCACCATGAATTATAGCATTTTAACTGCCTGTTCCTTTTTTTTCTCTGCTGTGTTTCACCTGGACTCTTGACTTTCCTCCTTGCGAGGTCGCTTTTTAAAGTACTGGCTGATTTTGCCTGTCATATCTGCAACGCTAAAAAACGGAGGAAACTTTTTTTTTAAATAAACACGTCATGCTTGGATGCAAAAAAGACAAGCAGTATTTACCTGTTTGTACCATCCGCCAGGGAAAATCAGGACGCCGACAGCACCAACTAGCGGGAAAAAAACTTGAAAAAACATGATTCGATCCGTTTCTTCTTCGGTAGATGCTTCAGGTCTTTCCGGTGCACTGCTGTTGATATAGCGCCTCTATAGTGGCGCAACGCTGCAACTGCAGTTAAAATACGTTGCTGCAGCAGAAGGACATCATACACTCAATCAACACAGCTGGAGCTTTACGCTGTGTTGAGCGAAATCAATCGCTCTGGCCGGGGGCGGCACAAAATTAGGTGGAGGCGGCCGCCACGCAATTTTGAACGCAGGAAAAACCCTGCCATATAGCAGAGCACGCACAGACCTTACAGATGCAGTAGCTTATTATATTGCAAAAGACATGCTACCAATAATCACTGTTGAATTTCATTTTTACATCATGATATATCAATATCAACTGATAGAAGAAAAATTAATCGTGATAAACTTTTTCCCATATCGCCCAGCCCTACCTGTGTCATGTGAAATTAACCTAAAGTAGAAATCATAATGACTTCTACTTCAGTATAATCTTTGATCCTTATTGTACAGTTAAAAAGAGTCACATTTCTGACTGTAGATCAAAGCCGATTACAGTTAATTTAATCAAATATTTTCTTTCATGATATTAATGCACTGATTTGAAAAACAAGACTATCATGTGACATTAAGATAACATGACACCAACCTACTTATAAACTCTGTTCTGTAAATAGACTTTTCCTTCAGATGTAAACATACTTTACTGTGAAGTTTATCTTTGTGTAAAGCTTTTATCTCATAGTCGATAAGTTATCTGTGAGCCGCCTGTTTAAGTATTTGAGCTTGACACTTCCCGAACATACAGTGGTAGTTGGGTCTCACACACACACACACACACACACACACACAAGAAAATAGCAATAAGGTTTAAAAAATGAGATTGGAGGGAATCTCGAGACAGAAGATGGCCTGAAAGCAGATGTTTCGCAGCAAGATAGATGCCTTCAAATGGAAAGAACAGTGTCAAAAGACAGGACAGAGGAACCGTGTCAAGTAAAACATGAGAGGAAACAAGGGAGAATGAAAGACGGGGGAAGAGAGAGCTCATGTTCAATTTCCTCCTCTGGACATTTCTCTGGACATGGAACATTTCAAGGCCTGAAACTCCATCCTGGGCTCCTCTGGCCAGGCAGGCCTCGTTTGCATGGGAGCCCATTTCCTGTGTGTGATTAGCAGAAGGGAAAGTGTGTGTGTGTGTGTGTGTGTGTGTGTGTGTGCGCACACTGGGGGTTGCAGCTCAGAGAAGTCTGGGGTTGTTTTGTCTGCTCAGGGAGGAAAGGAATGCCCAAATCAAACACAGTGAACAGGATGCCTAGACGGAGAAGGACAAGGGGGAAAAGAGAGCCGGGCGGAGAGAGTGAGCAGACAATCGCACACAGAGGAGAAGAGACAGGAAGCAGAGATCCAGAAAGTAGCAGACAGGAGCAGCTAACAAAAAAAAGGAGGAGTAGGGAACACCGGCGAAGAAAAGAGCACGAGGCTGACTTTTTATTCGCTGCCGCTGAAGACTGTGAGCGGCATTCTTCTCGCTGCCATTTGCATTCCAGCTGAGTGGCAAGGCGGAGTAACAGTTTTGTCTAAAAGTTGACAAGCTGTCATAAGGAAAACCATCCACCTCTATCACTTTGCATGAAACCTGCTGAACCTGTCTTAATATCTAATGTTTTAGAGTTTCAGTCCTCCCTGTTCCACAAACAACAGCTGACACATTCGCACACGCACACAGACAATACTGCTGACTACACAGATCAGTGTTGACTATTTTTCATTTACGCAACAACGGTGATGTGACAGCGAGCAATGTAACAGTACACGTTTGATGGCTTAACAAAATATGGCAACAAGTGAGACTGACAAGTTCATCCAAGCCTGTCTGACAGATTTTAAGACAACCTTAAGGCAGAAACAAACATCTATTCGTTTTTAAAGTTATATCCTACTCTCCCACAGCTAAGCATCAGGTCAAAATGTGCCAGTGCTGGTTGGGCTGCATGTGTTCTGGATTAATCGGACTAAAAACTCTTTCTGAAATCCCACCATGAGACTGTTCGGAGGCAGTAAAACAGGTATCAAACATGGAAAGAAAAACCTGGCTGCGCTGAGGCTTTCCCTAGCGATTTTAAAGTTCAGTCTCCAAACACTTCCTGATGTTGTATGTGTCAGCTGGACCCTGCCCATGCCGGAGTGAGCCATTCCTTGACTGACAGAGCAGAATTGATAGGCTGCTATTGTTTCCTTTTAAGGTCAATTGTGTCTCAAATGCTTGGCATGGCCGGCGGTGCAGATGCAGCTGGCTGGCAGGAGAGATAAAACACTAATTTAACCACATTCTTCTGTTCAGTTCACGTCCAGACAGAGGGAGAAGGAGATGGAGTGAAGAAGGGGCTTTTTGAGCGAGTAAAAGGATGTAGGAGGCAGCGTGAGGTTGATTAGGGACAGGTTTTGAAGATTTTAAAAGTATGACTACAGGGTGAAAACAAGGCAGCAGAAAAGTGGGTAAGCAAGAGAAACTCATTTCCACAGACATTAACCTCACACCAAAACCAAATGTGGTAGGCATGGCTGTCAAGAAGACAATAAAAAACATATTTACACATGCATATATGTATAAACACACTGGAGACCCAAACCTCTCACAGGGCAAAAACGCAGTAATTCTGTGTCGATTAGCCAAAACAACAGACTACAGCACTCTTCACTGTGGATGAAGACATCAGCGAAATGTCTGCAGTGCAAGCTTGAGATATTTTGCTGAAGAAGGACAGAGGAGGGGGTCTGGGTATCCTTAAGACTGGCTTAGTCTTACAAATAAACCCTGACTCTGTCAGGAAAAAGTTAGGGGGCTGGCTGAAGGTCGGCTCATAAAATATGATCGGTATTCCACGATGTTCTACCTGCACAAATGAGCCACTCATGTACTCAGGACGTTAATGGGATTCCTGTGAGGCTCCTGTGTTTCCATGTCCACACTCACATGTACACACAGCTGAGTCAGACAACCAATCTCAGACCGGTTTTAAGTGTTTTACTTTCTGAAAAAGAGTTTTCGACAAATACCCACTTACTCAGATGTCAACTGACTCTCAGCCCTGCAGTAAAAGAGGAACAGAAGAACAGGGACCACCAGAGGTGAGCTAATGACTCACTCAGAGTCTGTGTGTGTTTCTCTGTGTCCCTCTAAGGAAATGGGTGAGCAGAATCTGTGTTATCACTGTGATCCATGTGTCCATTTAACCATAATGATATAAGCTAAGACTTGACTTGATTGATTGATTTTCGTGTTTAATTTTTTTTGCTGCTGTCTCATATTGTAGAAAAGTTTTGTGGGATGTGGACAATAACAGTTCAGGAAGTCATTGAAGACTGGGATAAATGATACATATGTTTTTTTTTTTGTAATGAAAACCTCAGATGTAATAGAAAAATGGAAATGCTGCAGTTCCTTGAGTGTCCACTTGTGGTCTGCTCAAACTGACGGGTAGGTGCAATGGCGCCATCTCTTTGACACTCACTTTGCCCTTCGAGTTCGAGTGAATCAGCATTTCCAAATTCTGATGTGTTTTGCCATAAACTATCGTAAGTTGGACATCCTCTTTTTTTTGCTCATCTTCTGTTTCTCATTCGTGTTAAAAGCCCAAGCATAAGTATAAAAAAAATACACGTCAAGCTTTACTCAGTTACTCATCTTCTTCTTCTTCTTCTATTACTACAAAAGCCTTGGAGGTGAAAGGGTTCAAGCATGTTCCTTAAAGTAGAAAGCTGCACTTTTGCCCGTCTGTTTTTACAGCTTCGCAGCGGCTGGCATTGTACTGCTTCACTTCCCCGGGTTGAGAGAGCTCGCATGAGAATGAACTCCAGAAGAAACGTTGGCATGGAGAGGAAAACCAGCCAACCCAGCTCCCGGCTGCCCTTTGCAAAAGTGCGTAGATCTCCCACAAAATAACAGCAAAACAGAGAAGAGGAGGGAGTTAGGGGTGCAGAGGACAGGAAAAGAGAGGCTGAAAATAAACGAGCAGTCGGGGTCTGCATGCATCAGCACCACAATGACGAAAGCTCTTAAAACCAGACTTTCTTAAACATGGATGGATGGATGGTTGGACAGAAGAAGGAATGTCTGTCTGGAGGAAGAAAAACAATTTGCTGGTTTTAGACAAAGATAGAGGGAAAAAAAGAAAGTAATGGGTGAAAGTTTAAAAAAAAGTTAACGCTAATGAACTTCTGCAAAAAATGATCCACCGAGGGAATGAACAAACAAGAGTGCAGAAGACAAAACAGCGGAGAAACAGAGAAACAGAGGAGGGGGAAGTGAGCAATCGCCAGGTCGCCAATGCATCTGAACATTCCTCTCTGAGAACATGTATATTTTCTGATCAGAAGGAAAATAATCTGCGGGAGGAATTTTATTTTGAGAGCCGCCCTGTAGATCCGAGGGATTACAACAGGTCAGACAGGAGGAGAGTGTGAGAGCGTGTTAGCATCATACAGTCAAGGTTAAGACGCTGAATCCAGACAGACAGACAGATCATCAGGAAGAGCACGTGAGGTTCTGAACCCGGACCGCTCCGGGTCACATGTGACCAAATGAACAAACATTGAAAAGCAAACAGCTGTACACACTGTATTTCTACAGTGTAATTATATGTGCTACTTTCCTAGCTGCTGACACTGTATTGTATTTCTGACTCTGACATATTTGAACATTTTTGTCTTCATTTTAAAAAGTTCAAGTGTTTGCGTAATGACCCTAAACTTTCATTTTGACTTCTTCTTGGTGTTCACTGTTTGTGAGACCTGGTTAAAGTGCAAACAGGTGACAAATACAAAGAAAGGGTGCAAGTTTAGAAGGTCAGGGCAGCAAAATACGGGAGAAAACATGAAGCACTGGTCTGAAATGGCCAACAGGTGTTAAATCTCACAGGTTTTCCTCTTTCTCAGTCACATTTCAGGTGGTTCCCTTTTATTTATTTTCAACAGAGATCAAAAATAGACGAGATATCAGACACACCAAAGCGCGTAAGAGGTGGCTGGCACATTTTGATGCTGTCTTTGAGCCTCATAGAGAAACAGCAGAGTCAGGAAAGGGTATTTTCAACACTAGCTGCGTTTCCATTACCCATAGATTTGCGCAAAACGTAAATATCGCAATAGAAAACTGGTAATGGAAACACCTACATTTCGAAAAACCTCCCAAATATCGCTAAAAAGTTTTTACGCTCTCATGAGGTGGTTTTTCAGAAGTGTCGATATAGAAGTATATCGCAAAAGTGTAATGGAAACACTTTTCTCGCAATTCTCTGTCACCGGACGTGACGTAGCGGGTCAAGTGACCAGTTCATTTCAAGCGTAGATGGCACGGTATATGTGGACGGGGGAGGAGACGGACTTATTTCTGAAGTTTTGAATTGTATTTGTATTTTTCTGAAGTTTTGAATCCACAATTCGTCTGTGAATTCCTCATTAACGATCCTCTCCCAGAAATCGCTCATCCGTGTTCGCTCCCATACATACGAGCTTTGCCTTTGAATTATCACCCGCTGCCTTCGTCTTCTGATGACAGCAGCGGCAACTGCAGTAATGGTCACAGAAATAGCTGCTCCAAAACGCAAAATGTTTTGTGTCTCGTCCATGTTGGTGTGCAAAAAGGCTTAAGGAATACGAGGTCGCACGGGCAGGAAGTTTACCTCGTTGCTAGGCAACAGCCATTTAAACACGGCTCGCGAGAGGCAGATGGCTCGCTTATGCACTGAACACCATTCAATGGAAACACCCGCAAATCGCAATTGTACTTTGTCGAAATTTGATAAACATCGCTTTTATTTTGTGAAAAAATGTACTGGAAACGCAGCTACTGTCTCAACTGGATCATGAAAACAGACTTCAGACCTCAACCTCACTATGAACTTGACCTCTGCCAACCGTGCCAACCGCCGTCACGTCAGTCAGTGGGTATCTGACGACAAAGAAGACGCAGAAACATCATAAAGTCTAAAGAAGACGCACTCCATCTATAATGCCACAAAAGAGGAGCAGAAAAAGACACACGACTGCTCTCAACAGTCATTAAATTGTAGCGTTAGTACCCAAGACACACAAACCCTGCTGCTGCCTGAAGGACGTTGGTTCAACACGGAGCTGTTTATGGGTATATGAGGTTTTAGACTTCTAGGGGGGCAGACATCTGTCAGTCTGTAGGTGGCTTGAGGTGGCATTTCTGTGTATTTTTACAACCTGTGCTGGCAGCTTTTAAACTTCAGCTTGTGCGTTCTCTGCCATCTCTCCCCACCAGCATCATGGGACTGACTGCAAGTAGAGCGTGATGTTCACCTTCCTTCTCCTCCCCTAATCGCTGTCCGTCTGGCCACTCTGTCAGATCTCTAGGAAGTGAGAGAGCATCTTGAACCAGACTGGAATGGCTCCTGAAATATGCCAAATATGCCCTTGACCCCCCTCCTTTCCTGAGGACATAGGCCTGCCTGCTAGCCCACCCTCCTTCCCTTCCAGCCCCCCCCCCAACCCACAGCATTCCTGCGCTGTGCGCGGCACCGAACGCACACAAACTTACAATCACAGATGACCCACTCACAAAGAAAATGTTAGGGACATTAATAACACAAGTTTCCACACAGCTGACCCAGACATACCTTTTAAGGGTAAGCGGTTCAGATTTCTCTTTTCATTAACTTCCAAAAATACACCAGGACTAGGCGGGAGAAGGGGGGGAGTTACAGGAAAAGGGGGTGAGTTGGGGGAGGTCACCTTTTTAGCGGAGCGAAAAGAGGGGAGGAGAGTGAGTGAGACAAGATAACAATCGGTAGGAGAGAGAGAGAGGAAATATTGGCCTGTTGAGAAGACGAACACCTAAAAAAATAAAAGTGAGGCTGAGGAATTTACAAGGAACGTCTTAACTTGAGCTTTCCCCTATTAAAGTCCTTTTCTCCCCTGCCCCCTTCTTGCCAAGCTGTGCCTTCGACATGCTTTGAAGTCTGTTTCCTTTGCACTTCTTTCCTCTTTTCTCCAAAGATCGAAAAAGGTAGCCATTTTTGAGGAGCCTGTACAGTGTAGAGCAGAGCTGAAAATGTCCTAAACCAGGAGGTAACTTGTGTTTCCATGTAAAACTCAAACACAGTAGCAGAGTGACCTATATTATGAGTCACTGTGGTCTGAACACCAGCTGTGTGGGGCAGCCGGGTCGGTGTGGACACTGATTAAACATTAGAGGACTTATCACCTGAAGCTCTTATCTGGAGTGTTTTGCCAAATAAACTGACACCAAACATGGACGGCAACGGCACTGAGGGAAAGTGAAAGCTTGAAAAATTATGTCACACAGCTCCAAACCTGAAATTTCTGAAGATACTTGATTTTCAGCAGTGGCTAAGGGAGGTTTATTGAATAAAATATCTGAAATATGGTTAAAAGAGGAGGTCTGGAGGTCAGACACATGTCTATATTCCAAACCATGTGTTGTGAAACTATACCCAGAGTAACACATTTACTCCTTAGCCATACCATTATCAACAGAGTCAAAGGTAAATTTAGCACCTGAGAGGTCATATTTCTCCTGCGGTTCCATCCTCTGAGAATTTTAAGAAACATATTTTGGTATGTGTAATCGTAGAGCTCTGCTGAGCCTCATAATCCCTAAAGGAAATGCAATGTCCGGCTGACAAAATCACCGAGGTTAACGGACATCCGGCTTGTCACACATAAAAAAATACAAGGAAATGGAAACATGTCATTCAGAGTATCCTGCAGTTCTTCAGGAGCAGGAAGATCAGATGTAAGTTTCAGTAAATGATTCAAAGACGCACTTTTTCCACAAAATTGATGACTCATTACTGTCAGCTTATCAGTGTCAGAGCCTAAACACAAACCAAATATGGACCTGAAGTTCTCATATTATGTAGAAAGTTGATCATTCATTTGCTGACTAATTTGGCCCCAAAAGTTCCTTTTCCATAACCTCCAGCTCATGTGTCTGGATTGATAAACAGTCAGAGTCTTTTACAGGTCAGTAAAAAGCAGAGACGACAGCTTTACTGGTTACACTATCTAGCAAGGATGTTGAATATTGACTGTGAGACGAATAACAGAAAACAGGAAAATATTCACGGCAGGTACGGTTTTGATTAAAATGACCTCTCTTATCTGGATATTTGACATTAAATGTCAGACACAGAGGAAATAAAGTCTGTCGACCCGTTTCTCTTTTATGTTATCTCTTTTCCCATGAGTGACAGTGATAATAACCACTTCCACATTGAAACTTCCCAACAGTACTGTGAAAAAGCCACCGCGCCACATTGAATTCCACAAAAGCGTAATATTGAGTCCCAGGGTGTGATTTCATATTGCATGATTAAGTTGCAGAAGTGCAACAGGCATGGCCCATAAATACACAGCTGGAGCTCCACACACACACCACAGTGATGTTCTGATACTATCATTGCCACCTTCTTCTTCTTAGGGCGCGTTCACACACCACCCTCGTTTAGTCCGGTTGAACCGAACCCTGGAGTGTTTACTCCCTTGGTGCGGTTCGTTTGGGTCAGTAAACGCTGACCTCGAACTCTAGTGCGGACGAAATAAACGAACTCCGGTCTGCCTGAAGAGGTGGTCTCAGACCGCTATCAAGTGAACTCTGGAGCGGTTCATTTCTGGTGTGAACGTCATCCACACCAATCACAGGAAAAGCACCACACACTCTCATTAATGCCTGTCGCCGTCTCGTCTTTATCCGTCGGTTGTTTGCAGCACGTCTACTCCGGAATGTATTAATTGATGTCGCAGTTCGCGCTCGCTGGCTAACGAGCCGTTCATACGTGCGATCGACTAGCGTCTTTTGATACGCTCCAGATGAGTAGCAAAAGCCAAATCAGCCTACGATTCTCCATGACAGGCGAAGACAGCAGAGCAGGGTTTGTATTCCCGCAAAAACTAATGACCAATAACCGAACGATATTCGCGGTCACGTGACTTCCGGTTCCGTTTTCTGGAGCGATTGAGTTTGTCCTTTGGAAACAGACCTTTAGGTGTGAACACAACCTTAGATCAGCTTTCTTTCAATTATCATATTAAGATTTAAGCAAAAAAAAGAAAAGCTGTATTATTCTTTTCAGGAAACAAAACAGTCACGTGCACCTGTGTCCTTCATTAGAGCAGATCTCGGTGAGGAAGCCGGTTGGTCCACGGTCACCTGCAGCCCAGCAGAGTGGTGAGGCCCCAGCGAGTGACCATGCCACCACAGCACATAAGACCAACCGAAGCGGCTGGTAATGAGGAGGCTGTTTGGCACGCTTTGCAGGACTAACGAGGGGGACTCATTCACACTCACACACACGCAGAACAAATCGTATGAACACAGAAGCCATTCTTGTGTTGACATGAAAATTCTCAAAGAGTGAGAGCACATGTCTTCTGCTCTTGTGTGTCAGTGCGTGTGTGTGCTAATGAGTGCCTAAGTGAGGCCTGTGAGCGCTTCTTGGAGAGGAGATGTACCTCTGGCTCCTACTCACTGAGTGATTGACACTTAGCCCCAAGTATCCGATGACAGATCGACATGGCTGGGAACAGCATCGAGGAAAAGTGCTGTGGCTCATAGACATTCGTGAAAACACACAATACGCACTCACACAAAGTTCAAGTAGTTTGAACTCCAGCTGAAATCACAGAGCCCTGCCCTGTCACTGGCCCTCCACTGATAAAGAAAGCTGGCAGGGGGAGCAGCCAGGAAGATGGGAGCCAAGAGGGGAAAAGGAGCAGGAAAAACGGAGGAAGGAGAGGATATTAAGACACACAGAGGGAAAAGTAAAAGGCATGGTTGACGATTGGAGAGATTGGTAATTATTATGAACCTTGTTTATATGGCGATCATGGTCCTATAGTGCGATCTCTACAAAGTGAAGAGAAAAAAGAATGGAAAAAATCCGTTCACACTAGCAGGTGCAGGGCTGCAAAAACATTGACCAATGGGAGCCATCCGTCCTGGACAGCTCTTATTGGTCAATCTCCTGCTCCGCCTCTCCATCCAATCACCTCACTGTATTCGACACACCCCTCTCCCGTAGTTCTTACTTGTCCCCTCCCACTCTCCCAGCCCTCTTCGGATCGCTGAGCATAGACATAATATACGTAGACACCTCAAAGCTCGACGCTGCCTATTGGAGCTCACATATCACTGCAGCCGCCATCTTGGATGGGTCCCCCATGCGCCTCCAGCGCATTAAGGTAGGTAGGAATGCCCAACCATATTAATACTAACTCTATGAATCTCTGCCTGATTTTCACACTGTTTGGTTTGTTACAACAGCAGGGGTGTAGCCATAATACCTGACAATATCACACATTTAAAATGAACCAAATTATTTTTCACTCCTATTTGTAATTTATAATGCTACGTGATCTGGTTTCAATACTGCGTCAGATTTTTCAACCATAGAGTGCAAAAATAAGGGCATAGTTGCTCGTTCTCCATTGACCCGTTTGGCTCTTGAGTGAGCCTGGAGTGGGGAGACCCATCCAACATGGCGGCGACGCTGGATTACGCTCCAGAGCTGTGTGATGGAGAAGGACACAAAAAAACACTTCTGCTTGCCCCACCGCAAGAAGTGCTAAGAAAACGCAAGCCGACAGAAGAAAAGGCAGAGACAGAGAGGAAATGTGACCAAGCGGGGAATCTAACTCGAGTAAACATCGGGACATCCTTCGAGCGGTGGAGAAAGCTCCGCCAGGATTTGGGCCTGAAAACAGACGCAGAGACAGCAGAGTTTTTGTTGACCAGGTAATTTTTGCCTTTTATCGTGGCACATGTTACATAAATAACTCCTATTAGTCTCTGCAATGTCAACACGGTAGCTGTCCAGGCAGCTGTAGACGGTGCTCGCTAGCAGAGCTGGCGCTTGTCACTAGCAATCTGACATGGTGAATCCTATTTGAAGCTAGCGTTCATTTCGGTGTTTGAATGGCATTCAGCCATCCTCCTGCAAGTGTAGTAACAGACAGTAACGCCAGCTGGCCTGTGTACTGTCAACAGCAACCTCTGTCCCGGATACAGAGCCCATTATTGCATTATGACAAAACACACACACACACACACACACACACACACACACACACACACACACACGTCAGAAAGGATGTACACTCACAGGCTGTGTGTGGGCTTTTATACAAGCCTGTGAGAGACCATGATTCATCTGCGCTATTTCAAGGCGGCCAGTGTCTTGCACTAATAATAACCACCACCAACACCATCCGGTCCAAATTCTATCACCACTATCCATTACAGGTTATTAGGATGTAAAGGTTACACTGCAGAGGACACATGATCACTCATATGAATGCTGACTTAACATTTATCTGGTTATTAGTTTAATAAAAAATTTAAATAAAAAAAAAACAACAACAACTCAAACATTTACACAACAAATCAATTAGCATATAGGTAATTGATCTTTTATTTGTCTATCTCTGTGTTTGTCTCTGTCCAGTCCTCTCTTTTTGCCACTTTGAGTCTAGTCCTGCTTGGGGTATCTGCCCGCTGAAGGAAGCTTCCTTCTGCCGCAGCTGCAAACTGTTGCCAAGTGCATTTTCATTGATTTATTGTCATTGGATTGGGTTGGGGTGGTTAGGTTAGCTTCGGGGTTTGCTTTCTGCCCCAAATTAGCTTTTTTTTTTTTTAAAAAGTCATTTTTACACCGTAGGTTTTGAATTACTGTGTTTGTCTTTCCACTTCCTTTGCTTCTCATTTAGTTTTATATATCCTCAAGAAAAACATAACACCAGACATTTCTCAACAGGCATTTCAGGCTCACCAGGTATTACCAACATTTACTCTTATTCATACGCACTTGCAACACACAACTTCAGAATCCATGTCCTGTAATTCCACACTGATGTGATGGTGCTAAACTAACAGCAGGGGCTCTGCACATAAACCTTGATATGCCAAGTGGCAGTAATGTTACCGCTGACAAGCTGGGTTCAACATAGCAGGGTGGTTTGATTCTCCCAGGCGAAAAACCTCCATATTTTAATTTAATCCCCAGAGCAGCCATTTAGCCACTTTGTAATCCCCAGGTCCAGTGCTTAGTCTGATAATTACCCTTATTGGACACCCATAATGATTAGTTTTTGGTTTCACCCAAGGCGGCGCACGCAGTTTCATAGGGCAGCCGGGGCGTTCTGTGGAGTGGAAAACCAATCATGCAAGGTATTGCTGTGTCGTTAAACATGAGAAATGAATACAATCATTAGTTCTATGGCAGCTTTACCTCCGGACAGGACATGGCGCAAACTCTGGCTTTCACTTCTTAGCGTCATGATCACTCTATCTTTAAACAAGTGCTGGCTTCAGAGGTGGCACTCCTTCAGTGTCAACATTAACAGCTATCATCCGAGTGAGCAATAATATTCAGTTACCCTGATGAAAGTCAAAGAAGGCATTCACTGGGAATTATGCGCCCTGAGAGCCAATGAAACCAAGACTATAAAAGCACGGATCAACAGCAATCAGGGAAAATTCAGACATCTCGCTCTTCATTCTGCTGCTACTCTCATTTAATTTTCCTTTCCCTGCATTTCCAAACTGACAGCATCATTCCCTCCACATGTGGTGTCATAATCGCCCCAAAAATACCATAGGAAACCCTTTTCACACATTTACCACCATGAGAAACTGCCATGCAAGTGTCTGCACAGATTCCAGGGGGGGGGGAATGGGTTCACAGTAGCACAAGCTGGTAGCTCAGCTCAGCTGGTGTAATCTGGCTGGGAGTGTGAGCCTTACTGGAAAGTCATCAGTGATTTTTTTTTTGTCTCCTTCATGTCTGAAACAGGTCAAGGCAGGTCCCCTCGATCTCTCCTTCCCTCTATGTGCTCTGCACTCTTTACGAGCCCCACCTGGCAGATTAGTGCTCCAACACTACAACTACCTTTTTTCTGCTGTTGACACATGCACACACTCCTCTATTACTGTTGGGGTGAGGCTGTACAGGGCACCTACTGTTCAGGCTCTGCCACCTCAGATTCACACACGTATGTACAGACTATGCAGTAAAACACAGCGCACCCAATGAAACGAAACACAAACACGAGCTCAAAGAGAAAACACATGTCCAATTAACCTGTTTATTTTTACTCAGGTAGGTCTGCAACATCTCGCTTTTTAAGTATTTCACACTTGACCTCATTTCATTTGGTAAAACTGGTCATAAAGCCACGTTATTACCAGCCTTTGGTACTATATCAAGTTACAGTGAGGATGCAAGTCAGTGCAATGATCTGATATTGTCATTCTAAAGTACCACAAACTACTTTTAGCTTAAAGCCACTGAGGGAAACTTTCAGTAGGGTCAACTATGGATAAAAAGCATGTTAGACCTGTTTGCCAAACTAATATGGTTTAATGTTTCCTGTCAAAATATCTCATCCTAACACCCTTATGTGCCACTTTATGTGAATATTTAGTGGAAAGTGTGAAAAAGTCTGACTGACTTTTGTACTGTGAGGCTTTAGGCTATTACTATTACTATCCATCTCTCAGACTAGAGAATATTTGACATGTTTCCAGTAACCACGAATCATTTAAGAGCTGGCATGTTCAAGTCTTTTGTATTTACGCTGAGGCTGTCCACCATCACAAAAAACAAAACCCAGCGCACTGAAACATGCGCAGGACTCCTTCATCACCACTAGTTCACAATGTCTCCCAGCTGCTTTCAAAATGGGTTAACCAACAGTGGACTCATTCAGCGGATTAAAGACCTCAATACAAGCGGTGTTCACTGTTCCTTCCTGATGTTAAATCACAGGAAAATCCTTTCACTCGTTGGTGTATGTCCTTAACCAGACTATTCGCTTGTAAGTGCAGTGTCCTTATGATAAGTTTGTGTGAAAGAGCCAACCTTTAGATTCAGCCCCTCCTGTTCACTGTGTCTTAATAACAGGAACCAGTGCTCTCATACAGCTGCTATCTCCTGTGTGATTCTTCACTGTGGGGAATACCAGTGTTGTGCTTTTGCTAGTTTGGTACAGAGTCTTGTGACTGAGACTGAACGTCAACAAAGAAACTCAAAGGTTACAAAATTCAACAATTGATATGTCATGTTACATGTTGCAGGTAATGTTGGTGCATATAAAGAGCATCTGCAGGTAGCTTACACTGAGGTATTGTCTTATGTCAGAGTCACCTTCATGTCCTGAAACAGAGCTTGTTCTGCTGCAGGGCTCCCATTTGGAGACGACTGGCGTTTAGAAAGTGCGTAGACGAAAGGGAATCCCAAATATCAACAATTACGCCGCCAAGTACACGGCAAATAGGCCTGTAAAGCTGCAGTGTATTCACATATATGTACATTTATTCAACACAGCGCTACAGTTTGACCACCTGAGGTTTTCTCCACCGTCCGGGATGCTTCATTTTGGCTACAAAACGAGCAGAGGAGGAGGAGGAGGTGAACCAGGAGGAGGAGGAGGAGGGTTGAAAAACTTGCCGCAGTTTAGACTTCTGCAGTCCCGACAGATTGAGTCCAACTCAGGAAGCCACTGTCTGCACCCCTAGACCCTCTTTCCCATGTTCTCTGTTCAACTCGACACACAGTGAGACATTCAGACTGAAACTTTACCTTATCTGGTCCACCGCCGGGTCAGAAAAACGCGACGGTAAATCCACAACTCCACACGGCTTGAGTTCATGCGGACGGTCGGACTCGCTGCTGCCGACAAGGCGAGGACAAGTTCATCCACATACTGTCACATAAGAGCAGAGAGTTTCGGACGACACGGACGGAACACGGATTTTGGTTCCCCCTCGCTTCCCACAACACTTTACTCGGTCCTTTCCTCTCAGATATTCCCCTCCCTGGCCCGCCGAAGATCAAACCATCACATTCCACCGCGTCCGTAACAATGAAAAAAGGTGGGTTTTCCTTCTCTGCTGCCGGAGGACCCACCCCTCGGGATGACTCTGCCCGGTCTGACCGCAAAGAGAACGCCCTTCCCGGCTTCGAGGTCCCGCCTCTCTCCCCCATAAAACATCATACGCAAGTCTGTCCGGTGGGGAGGAATGAATGCACCTCTCTCTCTCTCTCTCTCTCTCTCTCTCTCTCTCTCTCTCTCTCTCTCTCTCTCTCTCTCTCTCTCTCTCTCTCTCTCTCTCTCTCTCTCTCTCTCTCTGTGTCTCTGCAATAATTTTCAATTGAACAAGAACAATCTTGGTTTGTTACACAGCCTCTTATTGTTTTAGCAACAACATTGACAAGTGACTAGAGGAAGTACTGATACAGGAATTCAGTAAGAAAGCTAGAATTATAAAGTCTCTTTAACCTCAATTATAAGGTCCCAGTTGTCTTTTGTCCCAAGGCTGGTTTATCTGTGCTTGCCAAAGCTCAGAAGAATTCTTAAAGCTCCTATAAGGTGTTTTTTTATGTTTATAAAATACACTGAAATCATTTTATTATGGTATACAAAAGCAAACAAGACTGGGGATTTTTTGTGGTAATTTTTTATGTCTGCAACCGGTTTCCTTAAAAACAGCCCTGTTTCAATTTAAATTTGTCTTTTCCCTCAATAAATATCCTCATGAAATGATAAATCGACTGTCAAAAGTCAGAAGACATTACTTAAACATGTAGGACAAGATAAGAAAGACTGCTTAGTCCACAGGGGGCGCCAAAGTTTACATCGTAAATTCTTCATAGGAGCTTTAATGTTCTGTAGTGACATATCTAGACTGTTAATCCAAGAGTGACTTGACACTGAATTTCCCTTGGGGATAAATAAAGCTCTTCTTATCTTATCTTATCTTGTTGATTAGATGTCGTAAAATAAAGGTAGTAAAACTCCTTCAAACATCTTTCACAAACTCTATAAGATACATTTGTCCATTCATAAATGAAGACACTGTGACTGGCCACCATCCACTCAAAAGCCCAAAAAGTTCAGTTTTAAGGGACTGTGTTATTGGATAAGACCACCTTTACAAATCAAATTACTGCTCTCTATACATTATTCAATACCAGGTCTCAGTTCACTATCTGTTCCAGTTATTTTCCTGTACTGTTCTGCATGCTTATTATTAGTTTTATTGTATTTTAAAGGACCCTTGATTGTTCTCTGATATCTGAAGATTGTTTTAGCTCTGTACAGAGAAGCAGATAATGGTCAACCCAAAAAAACATGCAATAAACATGTTGTGGAGCTGCTGAGTCTTGGAGCAGCTTGAACCAGGACACATTATAGGACACATTATATATGTATTTCTTCCCCTAAGTTTAAACTGGCTCTCAGACAGTCTGACCTTCAAGACAGACGCATAGATCAATCTGAGCTGTCACTCACAGGAACTTCTGTGCTATCACTGCACCCAGTTATGAAAAACTATCTCGCTCCAACTTATGCTATCTAGTTTGCTTAATTCCGGTCAAGTGCAGCGGTTCAGTGAGGCGACTTGTTTGCTCTGTGACTTGCAGCATGATTATGGTGTGGCTGTAAAATCTTTGTTGTGAGTTTATTGTCCGTCAGTTAGTGATCATGGAAATGGTTTCGGTTATGTCATAAAAAGCCCACTCACTCTTTCGTTTTTGATGAGCAGCCAACCATCCAGGTAAAGTATAGCCCACGCATCCACTCTTACAGTGAGGTAGTTTTATCTTTTGAGTACTTTATACTGATTGTTGTGTAACTGCTTTATTCAGCTGCAGAGGAGGGCATGCACAGTGCTGTCATTCAAGGACTCTTATCAAAAACAAGATCTATTTGAACTGTTTTTTCTGCCAAGAGTGACATTAGGAGCACATTGTTACTCTGAGAAAATGGGAGGCTGACTATGTGTTTATTGGATGTCAAAAGCATCACATTTATCATGTACCTTGACCGTGTCTTGTATTACTTGAATGATCATGACGTTATAACAGTGATTCCCACAGTCAAGTCTTTGTTTCCCCCTCATTAAACATCCCTCCCTCATAAAGAAAAGGCCATACTGCTTTAATCATATCATTTGACATAATTGCCCGGGCGAGGTATAAATAATGTTACGGTTTTGCTCTCTTCAGTTGGGGAAAAGGCCAAAGATACAAAGCTATCAAAGAGAAATTAAATCCCATCGGGGGCCTCTGCAAGAGAAAGGCAAAACCAGGCATGCCCAGACACCTGAACACCACAGTGGGAAAGCAACATGCAGACATGTGCATACAAATTTCTTCAAAAAACAATGTATATATCTATCATTATGTCTTTTATTAATGCATCTTAAGAGATGGGGCGCTGTATAAAAGGGGACTCATTTTGGGGCTGCAGAGCATAGAATTATTGGTTGTTGTTTTTTTAACAACTGGTCTGCTCCAGACGTTAGAAAACTGTAATCTATGAAGAGCAAAGCATGAAAAGAAAATCCCATCAGGGCTTTCAAAACACCAAGATGACATGTATGTAAAGAAAGGCGTGGAAAATGCCTCTGTTGCGTGAAGATTTGTGTCATATGTCTTGTATGGCTTGGCTCCTGCACTGACAAGTTTCTGACATATGGGGAATTTTCCCTAATACATCATATAAATAAATGCAAATGCATAACGCAGACTAGAATTTCATGTACAAAGGCTGGGTTGCAGGGAATTTAATCTCCTCGAGCACATACTACAGCACAGAGGCAAGCTGAATCAGGAAGAGAAGTGTTCGAGCCAACATCCTTCCTAATCGCAAACATCCTTCACCACCCAGCAACATCAACTTGTTTGTTCCAGTAAGAGTTTGTAGCATGAGATGTAATGAAATTTCCACTCTGGTTCAAAAGGAAGTCAATGTGATTTAGCTGTAGTATTACACATTTTTAGGTATTTTATCTTATCTGAGCGACTTGCAGCAGACTAATCTCTAATAATCCTGCATAGATTACAAAATTCAGCCAGCCAATGGCACAGGGTGCAAAGATCATGTCACTAGTCACCTGATAATATTCTTTTCATGACAAAATAAGCAGGAAAAAAATAAATTTCAAGCATAGTGGGAGGATTTAACTCTACAATATGGCTTATACTGGAGCTTTCCTACTTTATGTCCTTTTTACAGCAAGGATAAGGATTAATGTGCTTAATTCGCTGTCCTCCCAGAGTGGGTTATGGCCCGTGTTTAAACAGATGTAACCCTGATGGATCAAAATGTGGGGCAGCCCATCACAGAGGGAAACATGCACTTATCTAAAGCCACCAAGCACTGATAACATTGTGCAACACTGTGGACACGAACATCAAAACAGCATCTCACTTGTACAGTGCAGTCATGTGAATCCAGATTTCTTAATCCAGCACCTCTTGCTGAGTCCTGCTCCTTGAGGCTTGAATGTCTTTATCTGGAAATACTCAGAATGTCCCATGAGAGAGATAGAAAATAGAAGCTCCAAATCCTTTGATAGTTATAAAAAAAATCTTGTCTTACTGTCAGGTCCTATATTATCTTGAGGTACAGATGTCTCAGCCTGTCTCACTCACCCTCCCCTGGCCCTCTCTTTCTCACTGCAGGGGGACATTCCTCAAACCTCAGCCTCTGGCATGCAGTAAATCTGCCTGAGAGAGACCAACACTCTCTGCCCTGCCAGTCTCTGCCTCTGCCAGGCAAAGACGTGCAGCTAAACGCGACCCATTTATCAGTTCTAGACCTCTATTTCCTTTTTGTTGTTCATAAGTGGCCCGAGTGTAGTGGCACAAGTCCACAACTGTGTTAATTATACTACAAGTGCCATGGATCAGGGTGAGGTGAAGGAACAACTGTGAAAAGGTGTTAATGGGACAAGAAAAGCTCCACACAGGCAGTTACCTCCCTTCCTGCCTCCCAGAGGAATGCATGACTCTGACTTTTGACTATACAGCTCTTGCAGGGTGTTAGCTCGCCATATCCCATAAAAAAAAGCTTCCTAGGTCCTGGAAGTTTTCCCTATCCACGTCTCTGCATACCTTCACTGAAAGTACAACCACTCCTTGGGAGGACAGATTCCTTAGACTGACCTGCGCAGCAGTGCAGAACATCAGGGATCACCTGCATGAGTCTGTGTCTGATTATTTCATTTTTTTCTTCTGTGCTTTGTTCTTTGGATCCTCTATAGAGGAGTATGTTTCAGATAAAGGATGAAGTGGCAAGCAGGCAGAAGCTAGACGCAGGTGTGGTGCTTAAAGATTTTATGAGGCATATCACTACTGCTGGTGCAACATGGTGAATCTATTTGTGATATAACACTGTAAAAACATAGCCAGCTGGTTCTACTTATCAAATACCCCCTAAAAATGCTACCTTAAAAGCCCTTTTGGAACATGTAAGATAAATGAATGGCTCTCTTAACACCAGTACCCTTGCTCTCAGGAACATGGTCTTAGGCTGCAGCAGGCAGCTGTTTTTCAGCACAAAGTTCTAAAAACAAATGGCATGCTTCCTTCCCAGCAACAAACAACAGACACGGTCAGCTGCAAGCTGGTCAACATGATGGAACATTTAGCTGCTAAAAAGCCAGATCTTTCTCTGGGGGAGCTGAGTTGGAAACAAAAACCAAAATAATTACGACCGAAATTTGGATTCACATTCTCCAGGTCATAAAAACAGCATCATCCTCTAAGGTGATGATGCTGTGCCGTATTTGTTGGATAACAGCTTTTTGCTTACAAGTAGAGTGATTTTCACCTGATAGCACCTGCAGTTTGCCACAAGACATTTGTCTTCAGGAGCATTTGGTGAGCTGTTCAGTTTTCATTCTCTCTTTGGTACTTTCTCATTTCATTTGTTGAAATGGAGGGCATATAGAGGGCATATAGAGGACTTAATTCACTAAAAGGGCATCGAGAGGGTACTTTTCCATATGTAATATACTGAAATGACTCCAAAAGGCCAATGATTTCCACCATAAGGGCTCCAAGTAGGGCATTTAATAATATGTTCACCACTACTTTGGAAACCAAAGGGCAATTTTTGCTGCATTTTTCCAGATATGAGGCCACCACATGGAGCAGTGTCCCCCCTGGCCTCCATCTTAACACACCACTGCCCTTAACATGACCATACTCGCATTTCCCTCTATTTTTACCATCCATCCAAGAGGTTTAAAACTCTTATTTGACCGCTAAAAGAAGTATGTTTACAGTACAAAATGTCAAACTAATCCTTTTATATGTAATAAAAGACACAGCAAGTCTCCATGTTAATCATATTTTCCTGAACCACAAGAAAGAATTCTCAATGGAGTCTTAACCTCAAACAAAGCATGATGGGAAGAATGCTAAAACACATTCATCAAAGTCATCATTTAAGTCACATGATTTCCAGTTTAAGTCATTTGTTTTTATGAGTTTGAGATGTGTCTGACTAATTTGAGATTACTTTTTTGTTGAATTATGTGATGTCAGTTTATGATCAAAGCTGTAGCTGTATATTTAAAAACACACATCTGATGCCTTTCTACATCTCACATTAACTGTTCTTCACTTCACAACCAAGACAAATCTCTCCCACTTGCTGTGGAATCTTTTGAATCCACACCCAAACCACAAGCAACAAGATGTATCGTGTTTTTTATTTATTTTTTTTACAGTGTAAGCCTGTATACCCCAGCAATGGCACAGCATGCCTGGCAGTCAGGCAGGGTACAACCACCAAAAAGCTCTGCTCTCTTGTTCCAGCGCCAAGCCATAATAACAGCAATAAGGTTGGGGAGGCTCGTTAACCTTAATCTAGGAATTACACTGTGGCACCAGGGAGAGGAGACCAAGCTGTGTGCTTGTACATTTCAGCTGGAATTAAATGATGGTGAGGAGGACGGGTGAATGGTGGTTCATGTAGTTCAGTGGGTATAAAGCCTTACCTGAAGTGCAATCACTCCACAGCTATTTACTGTTAAGAAAAAGGAGACTGGTTACTGGTTAAAAAGACCATCCTTTCTCTTTAATTTAGCCTCTGCCGCCTCCTCATGGATAGAATGCATTACTGCATACCTGCCTCAGCTGTTCATGAGCCAGATTTAGCACAGTTTAATCTGAAACTTTGGCTACAAAATGATAATAATAATTATAAAATAATAACTTTATTTTTATAGCACTTTTGAAAACAAGAAAAGTGCTGTAACAAACAATCGTAAAGGATCAGCACATGGAAATAAAAACAAATAAAAAACAAAAGCTCAGTTAAAAACAAGTCCTTCGAATTGAAGGCCAATTTCATTTGTCATAAGAAACCCAGACAATACAAGAAGCCTACAACATAAAATAAGACTATGAGGACCAAAATAAAAACATAAAATAGGTAAGAAGAAGAAGAAATGTAACAAAAAAGGGGGTAAAAAGCAGGAAACAGGGTATTCAATATAAAAAGATGATATTCATAAAAATAATAAACTCATAATTAAAGAATAATGACGGTAATATTAATGATAAAATGGAATAACATAAATTAGCAGAAAAAAATCAATAAAAGGCCTAAAAGGTTAAATAAGAAAAGATTATAAGTAAAACAAAGGCTAAAAGGACAATAAGTCTAAATAAGATAGAGGTAAAAGAGATAAAAGATAAAGGAAAAAGAGAAAAGACGACATCACAGAAAAGCAAAATCTTAAAGCTCGGAGGGTCAATTATCATGAACTTGTTAATGATTTATTTGTAAGTAAGGAAGAGAGTAACTAGGTGTGGGGTCACTTGTCGTGTTTCTGTGGTTTCTTGTATTCAGTGAGAGGCTGTCTGAGATGTACAAGTTGGAAGATGATTAAAGAAGGGGGTTTTTGTTTTACCCAAAATAGTTTGTGCTAATAAAAGTTTTTGATGATTAAAACTTTTGACCTCTGAGGCCACCGTCACTGGCATTTCATCAACAGGAAGGGTGAGACAGGAAGCATTTCCATCTAAGTATTCCCATTGCCCCACATTGTGCCTTTAAGAATCATAGGTTCACTTTAATAATTCATCTCATGTCAAACCCAGAGTGTTTTCAGTGAAAAGGACGACTTTAAATAAAAGGTGGGCCTACTCGACTCCTCCTAAGTGGGAGGCAACTTTCATTTTCACAGAGGAAAAATAAAACTGGAAAGCTTGTAGGTGGCTATAGGTGCACGTTGCGTCATGCCCGGTCTTCTGCGAAGGCTCATTTTTACCATAAAGCACTCCCACTCAGAGACACAGGAACACACCCACCCAGTAAAGCTTTAAAGCAACTGACGCATTTGTGGTATTCACACCTAGAAAGACATCGGTTCAGAGGAAGCAGGTTGGTGAGTAGAAAGCATGTAATTTTATTTTTCCATCTGTAAAATTATATCTTATTCAGGAAGGCAGAAGAAATAAAACCAATAAAGCTCATCAGAAACTATCTTATGAAGAGGCTGCAACTTTAAATTCAAAAAGGGAAACCTATCAGGAAAAGGAACTTACTCTTAAATATAACCTGGATGTGAAAAAGGTTGTGGTGCTTTTTAAGATCAGTCCTCACTCATTTCATCTTACTCTGATGTGATGTTTTGTCTCCCACAGACTGAAATGCAGGCCCTCTTAGGTACAGCCAAACTGGTTTCCCCTATGGGTAATGACCTTGACTTCGTGGACTCTGAATTTCGTTACTCACTATTCCCAGTTGTCTATGGCATCATCTTCATCCTGGGCCTTTTTGCTAACCTCTATGTGCTTATTGTTCTGCGGGGACTGCGTGAAGAAGATGCCATGGGTGAAATTCGAATCTACATGACAAACCTGACCATTGCTGACCTCCTTTTTGTGTGTGCCCTCCCTCCCTGGATTGGATATTATGTCCGCCATGGTAACTGGATCTACTCAGACTTCACGTGCCGTCTGACCGGCTCCTTGTTCTTCATCAACACCTACTGCTCTATCCTCTTTCTGGGTGCCATCAGCCTCAACAGATACTGGGCAGTGACCCGGCCTCTGGACGCAGCCTCTTCAGACCGCAGATGCCGTGGGATCGCCGTGTCTGTCTTCATCTGGGTGCTGACCACCGCAATGGCTGTACCATCTCTGGCCTCTCCAGGGACCAACACTGATGGGAATATCACTCGCTGTTTTGAAGGATACCAGAATCAAACGGATTCTGAGAAGAAAGCAGTGGCTGCCACTCATTTCGCAATAATTGGGATGTTTATTGTCATCTTTTTCCTTGTTGTGGTGTGTAATATCCTTATTGCTAAAGCGTTACTCTCTGGAAGTCCACCTTCGTTGGAATACAAGTCAGCCAAAACAATTTCTGGAAAGTCCAACAGCCACTTTTGCTTTCTGTCTAAAAGGCCCAAGGGTGCAAAACAGAAAGCTCTGCAGATGTTGTTGGCTGTAGTTGGAGTGTTTGTTCTCTGTTTCCTGCCCCACCATGTCATTCAAGGACTCTGGACACTGGCAGTGCTGCAGATCAAAGAGGGCTGGGGCCATGTGGACTGGGACAAGAAGACTTGTCAGGCGCTCAACGACGCACACCAGATCACTTTGATTCTGATGAACCTGAACTGCATTTTGGATCCTGTGGTTTATTATTTTTCCACAAAGAAGTTTAAAGGATTTATAATGAGTCACATTAAGAAGTTAAAACAGATAAGTGAGTGCTCAAAGACCACACAGTAGGAACCAGAGTCAATGACCCCAGGGGCAACACTCAAAAACAGAAATATAACATATTTAACATTTATATAGAAGTGTGAATATTTCCTTGATATGAAACTGTTCATGTTGCGTTTGTAATATGCCAAAGACTTGTTTTTGTAAGCATTATCTACTCCCTTGTGCTTTGCACGTTTGTCTGTCTTTGCCTGAACTGGTTTTAACCTGCACTGATCAACAAGATACGACAGAGAGCTATGATGTACTTCCTAAAGAAACATTGTAAGCTAAAATAAAAGTTTTTATGGAGCTTTAAGGCATCAAAGGTAGCCTTTGCAGCAACCTTACAGAGAAGGTATTTTTCCGTAGCCAGGCAGAGATTTTGACACAACTCTGGAGTGACATGACATCTTGCCCTGTCTCCTGAGGCGGTGTCTTTTACTGGAAGTGTTTGGAGCTAGAGAGCTCAGGTTGTAAATCAGCACATATGGCCAAAACAGAATCAGGAAGATCAGGCGGGAATGTCTCAGGATAGAGAGGGGGCCCCAGCTGAGGAGCAGGAACTGGTGGATGTCAGGGGCTGGTCACTTAATGAGAACCAGGCTATAGAACCAGCTCTGAGGTGCTGGGCAGCATACTCTTTGTATGACTTCACTTTTGTGACATTTAGCCTCAAGGACTGATAACCTCAGTGAGGGGAGACTAAAGGCTGGTGGACTAGGATTCAGGCTAGGTACCTGCAGGCCCAATGACAGCTGAATAGTCTCATTCGTTATTTCTAGGTGTGTAACCAAGGTCTTACCTCCAACATGTCTTATCTCAGAAGGAAGAAAAGTACATAGGAGATTTGCATGACTCCACAGAAAATGCCCTAGAATACTTTTTGTCTTCGGTTGCAGGGCTTGGGTTAATCTGTGAATCATCTTGATTGTTTTTTGGTAAAGAAGTGCAAAAGTTTCAATAAACTATAACCAGCGTTTATGATGCATAATTGGTGATTTAGATAGCACAGACAGATTTGAATTTGCACTGATTACACTCCCTGCTCCTGACCAAAGAAATTAAACCTGTCCTAAATAACAGCACCTACTCAGAAGCATTTAAAACACACTGTAGAAATGACAAATAAAATATGTTGTTATCCTACAAAAGTAGACTATAACAGAATGGATAAACTAATCCAATTTATACAACCTGCATATACAGTGAAACATCTGAAAACCTGATGTAAGTCAAATAAGCTCCCTTTGGGATGCACACCAGCCCCTGAGCTTAACGCCGATTAGGATCCTGATGCTGTTGAAAAAAAAAAGAAAGAGAGAGACTTCTGCACCTCCTTTATGCACAACTTTGCCACCCCCATGTGGTTAAAACATGTTCCTGCACACAAACTTCAGCTGCTGATGCTGTTTTTTTCCACTAGCATGACCGTGGGTTGAACTTCCTTAGTGTCTAAATGATAATCTTAAGTATTTCTAATTACAACAGAGACTCCCATGATAATTATACAATTGAATTATCTTTATTTAATTGTATTGCTACACACAATTTTATAGTAACAGTAATGCTTATTGAGAAGACTGAGACGATTGGTGGTTTAATTCCAGGTCCCACTGTTCTCTTGTCAAAGTGTCGTTTCCAAAGACCCCAAACTGAAGGTCGCTTTATAACGCAGCCTCTGTGATCAGTATGTGAATGTGACATGTTTTGTAAAACGACATGAGTGGTCAGCCAACCAGAGAGAGTGCGACATAGGTACACTCAGTTACTTTTTCATGTGGTAAAGGTTCCATCAAAGTTGGAGGTACTTGTGAATTTTGATGACGGTAACAAAATACAAGAGGAAAAGAATGTGTGTTGCATCATACCGGGGTTTCCCAACTTGGTCAAAAATGTTGACACCTTCTCTGTCTTGACTTTCTAAGCACTCCCACATTAAGACATGAAAACACACCCATTACTTACGTTAAACTGAACTTTATAGTTGTTGTGGCGTTCACAGCGTTCACATCCTTTGAGATTTCGTCGGAAGCAGCTTGGTAAGTTGACAGCCTGTCATTTACAGTTTGCTTGAAAAAGTTAGGTCATGTCAAGGCAAGTAGATCACACCAGGCTTGTTTTAAATGTCAGTGAGCTGGTTTTATGTTGGTATTCATAAGTTGGGGATTTTAGATCAAGGGTTATTTTCTTAAAACTTCCTAGAGAACAAAGTGACACCTTTTCTGTCTGTCGATTTTGTCTTGGATACACATATGGTGTTTTTTTTCTGGTTAAACATCTAATTTCAGGTTTTCTCAGATTTCTCAAATGTATCACTCACTTTAAAATCTTGCTGTAAATAAAGAGGCAGAGAGAAAGAGAAAGATATCACTGGCAATATAAATCTATTTTATAAACAATTAAGAAACCTTTACATGAAAAAATATTAAGTAAAGCCAATAATGGGTGATTCAGTGTAAACTCAATCAAGGCTGCAGTTTCCAGAAAGACATGTAATCCAAATGACACTGTTGCTTTTCTTTTCTCTTTCATAGACAGAGATGTTTAACTCAACAACACAACAAGTCCCTGATACGGGAACCTCAGGTGTGGGCCCTCAAGCGGCTGTTAGCTCAACCTTCCTGGACTCTGAGTTTCGTTACATCCTCTTCCCAGTTGCCTATGGCATCATTTTCATCCTCGGCCTCCTTGCCAACATTTACGTGTTGTTTGTCCTGCGTTGCCTACGTGGCGCAAAGTCCATGGGTGAAATTCGAATCTACATGACAAACCTGACCATTGCTGACCTCCTTTTTGTGTGTGCCCTCCCTCCCTGGATTGGATATTATGTCCGCCATGGTAACTGGATCTACTCAGACTTCACGTGCCGTCTGACCGGCTCCTTGTTCTTCATCAACACCTACTGCTCTATCCTCTTTCTGGGTGCCATCAGCCTCAACAGATACTGGGCAGTGACCCGGCCTCTGGACGCAGCCTCTTCAGACCACAGATGCCGTGGGATCACCGTGTCTGTCTTCATCTGGTTGCTGACCACCGCAATGGCTGTACCATCTCTGGCCTCTCCAGGGACCAACACTGACGGGAATATCACTCGCTGTTTTGAAGGATACCAAAATCAAACGGATTCTGAGAAGAAAAAAGTTGCTGCCACTCATTTTGCAATAATTGGGATGTTTATTGTCATCTTTTTCCTTGTGGTGGTGTGTAATTTCCTAATTGCACAGGCACTCCTTTCTCAAAACCTTCCCCCATCAGAATTCAGGTCTGCAACAATGACATCGAGAAAATCCAATGGCGCATCCTCCTCATTCAGAAAGCCAAGAGGAGTAAAACGGAGGGCTCTGCAGATGTTGTTGGCTGTGGTTGGGGTGTTTGTTTTTTGTTTCCTGCCCCACCATGTCATTCAAGGGCTCTGGACCCTTGCGGTGCTACAGATCACAGAAGGCTGGGGCCATGTGGACTGGGGGCAGAAAACTCGTCAAGTGCTTAATGATGCACATCAGATCACCTATTTTCTCATGGGCCTGAACTGCATTTTGGACCCTGTGGTTTATTGTTTTGCCACAAGGAAATTTAGAAGATTTATTATGTCTCATATCAAGAGGATAGGAAAGGGAGAAGGGTGCTCGCACACGGTCACCTCTCAGCTTTCTATGGACAGCAGAAATCAGAGCCACAGACTCCAGAACGAGATACAACAGCCTGAAATGGACTGATTATAAACGTTTGAAAATGTAGATATGAGATACATTGAACCTATAAGAAATTACATATGATCCAATTAAGAGCCGGTGGCTCCACTGCCTCTGTCTCTTTTCATGACAGTCATTTTCTCACAGGGGCATGCACATGTTGCAGGAGCTGTGGTCTGGGTTGCACTACTCCCTTTGCCCTTCCTGTGTAAAAAATGAGCTAAAAAGCAGAAGTTTTGTAACAGCAACACCTAACAAACTTTCAAGGCAATCTTTTGAGTCGGACATAATGTAAGTCATTGCATTATATCACGAGAAGCCATACATTTTATCTTAATCCTCCCACAGTATCAAGTAAGCCGCAGAATAAGGGTGACTCAGACATATATGCATACACATATGCACATACATCACACATACTCAGAGGTGCAGTATTTGACAGTACACCAGTAAAAAGTGTGATAATGAGACTCCTCCCATCAGATAAGCCACTTTTTTTATTAGCTTTTGCAAAGACAAGTTATATCCGGTATTGTGAAAGCTAGGAACAGAGGTAATAAAGTTTGAGCTACGTTTCCCCTCTGGTGTACAATATTGTGACACACATCTGAGCAGAAGTCCCATGATTCAGTGTAACTAAAAAGAAACCCAAACAGTTTTGTTGATTAACTAAAAATACTATGTAGATCATTAAAAGCTAAGCTAAACATTTCTCAACTATTTCTGTAACTTAGAGCAAAGTTATGGCTCATATTCAATCATTTCAACTCTTAAAAATTCATGAAACAGTCTGGAAATCTGTTGATATAAAGGTACTCAAGAATCAAGGATTTGCCCCATCAGTGTGAGTATTTGGTCCCAGGATCATGTAATAATAATAATAATAATAATAATAATAATAATAATAATAATAATAATAATAGTAAAAACTCTGTCTCTGTTCTTGGATTTGACCAATTGTGAAAAGTCAGTGTTTGGGTCAAAGATATAACCTGGAAGTCCAAACAAGTCTGTAAAGATCAATATGATCCTGTGTCCTAGAAACAGATAGAGAACCTTTGCTGTAAGTGGTAAGTGATAAACTGAACCTCTAATGAATGAAAGATGACATGTTAAGTAGCATAATTTAGTGTTAGTGGCTCCACACCCTCTATTTTCATGACTGAGTTGCACCTCTCCTTTTGCCCTTCCTGTGTAAAAATGGAGCTGAAAAGCAGAAGTTTTGAGCGAAAAATGCATTAAAAATGTTGAAAGGCGGACAAAATGCAAGTCATTGAATTATCTCATGAGAAACCAACCATACATTTCAGATAAGTCACTTTTTTTATTAGCTTTTGCATAGACAAGTTATATCCGGTATTGTGAAAGCTAGGAACAGAGGTCATAAAGTTTGAGCTGCGTTTCCCCTCTGGTGTACAACATTGTGACACACATCTGAGCAGAAGTCCCATGATTCATTGTAACTTAAAAGAAACCCAAACAGTTTTGTTGATCAACTTTCTGTGGCATGTGTACTGAAGTATGTTTTTCTTTCACTTTTACAATCTTTCAAAAGACTTTTGTTGCATTTTTAATAAAACATTTTGTGAGTGTCATCTTAAATTTTATACTATGATGTTTATAGTGTCTTTTTTGTATAAAGTAAAATAAAACGTCTTTTTTTAAACGCTTTTTTCTGCTCGATTTCTTTAACCCATGTGATCTGATACAAACAAAAAGGGAGGGTAATAGTTTTTATTAACAATAAGAAAAGTTTATTGCTGTCTGGAGTGACACTTTGTAACTTAGACTTTTTTCTGCTGGTTCAAACTGTGTCAATTAAACTGTAAGAAATTAGATTCAATCAGTGCACATAGCTATTTCAAAGTAACTTCATAAATCCGGCTAAAGCAAACGCTGAGCTCTACAGAGACATTTCCTGACTTGATATCTATTTTAATTCCTGTTGCACATCTCCACCTTCACCCAGACATTTATGACAGACTTGAATACACGTTGTCATTATTCATACTGGCGGGGTCCAGATCACTGTAGGCTTGGTTGGTGCTTGAGTAATTCATGTATACATCCCCATCAGTGTCAGTCTGTTGCAAACCTCTCCTGTGAGCAGAAAAATATCACAATATTGTTAATGTATAGTACCCTCTGACTCAGCTAGTTTGGGGTTAACAAAGTAAAAACAAGAATATTTTTGTCCTTGTAGAGACTTACTTTGGTGACTTCTCAGGTCCAGGAATACCTTTAAGAAGAAGAAGACCCAAGAAATCAAATTATTTACATAAAACAGGCTAAAAAGTAGACCTGACAGAGAACGATCCATGGTGATGTTTACCTTTAGCTGGGGTGATGGAGTTGTTTGGTTTATCAGCAAACTTTTGCCAGCCCATCCAAGAAAGAACAGCGAGGTTAATGATCAAGAGCAGGAGCACAAAAGCGAAGGCCGCGATTCCCAAATTCTCGCCAACTGTCGGGGGTTTACAGATACACAGCCATATTAGTTTCTAGTGGATGTATTGCTGGTGTTTACTGGATTCTTGTTGGTAAAACCCTCATAACAACTGTAACTGATTCAGCAAACATAATGCCAGTGATAACCTGTCGTATCAAAATCCACCTGTGGAGATATCCCGTCTCAGTAACCAAAACCATAAGCAGGTAACAGTGGCAGCCATGTGAAACCTAAATGTCAGGTTAAATGTTTACTCCTTTTGCAAGAAGGTTGATCAGCTGCCATGGGAACATCAAAGGAAAAGGCCCAAGCCAATCATAAAGACTACTTTTTCACTGTATAAAATAAATAAATAACTTTTGAATCATTAAAAACATCTTCAAACTAATTATGTGTGTCTTGCTGAAGTCTTTAGTTGGTATCTAAATAAAGACATTGATATTGTACGGTAAGGGCTGATTTGCATTGAGGTTCTGTCTCACTATGTCAGTATTTTTATCAGTATGCTTACTGTACATAATTCCTCATTTAACTTGGTCATAAATTCTTTTAAAAAAAGTGGTTCCTATACACAAAGCTAAATATTGATTTAAAAATGATGACATTTTTCCACTTTATAATCATCTGATATTCTTGTAGTTTGAGAACTCACATGAAACTGGTGGTAAAGTGAGTTTTTCTGTCTCATCATTCATTTCTTTTCCTTCTTTTCCAACCAAAAAACAAACCCACATCAAAGTAACTGGATTTCTATCGGCAATTTGATCTGATTACAGCAAGTCCACTGCAGTTTGGGACTGTAGCCACTTCATATTGTGAAATATTATGGACAAAATAATGACTTCTCTGCCCTACCTGACAAAAAAAAACAAAAAAAACAAAAAAACAAACGGCAGTGCTTTTTAGGGTCTTACTGTAATTACTGGCTGCAACCAAAAGTATCAAGACTCAAAAGAGATGGGAATAAACTAAAACAGAAGTTGTGGCAGATAAAAGTGAACTGAAATACAAAATAAAACTTTGTGAAGCTGAGGGGAAGTACAGACTGGGTGAAAGAAGTCCTTTGTTACAATGGTCACTAAATCACTCGGCTAGTGTTCTAGAGAGGGTTGAGTATTGGTAATCAATAATTCAATGTGTACATATCCTATGGGGTTATTTTGCTACAGCTTACAGTATATTTTGCCATCAAAAATAATCAAGAATAAAAAGTAAATGTGCTTTGTAAAGCACTTAAGGTCTCGCATGATTCTTTTGGGTCATGACTGCAGCAGCTTATCTGAGGCAACCAACCTGTTAGATGAGCAGCGATTATAGAGACTGTATGGTTCGGGCTCTCCTTCCATGGACCTGACGGGCTCCTGGCATGGCAGCGATAGACTCCTGTCTGCTCTGGTTTGCTGAGGGTCAGATCCATTTCACTGCCCACTTTCTGCCAAGTTTGGTTTTTCATCATGTATTGCCAGGACCAATCGACAGACTTTGGAGAAGAAGAAGCGCTACATCGAAGGTGGACTGTTTGACCCTCCATGACTGGGTAGTCTGGTGTGGCCACCAGCTTTAAAGAAGACAGCATTTCTGAAATGGATGTAACAGTGACACACAAGGTATCAGTGATGCATGCAGCTTCTACAACACTGGTAGTTTTATTTTAGTAAGAGCAAAGTCTGCTGATGGATCCAGGTAGAGGCAGCATGAGAACAGACTTGGACTAAATTTGGAACAGGTAGTCAAGGTGTTAAGAGAAAGGCAGCTATAAAGACTTTGAGACCCTCAAACTTCTCTGTGAGCCAGCCGATGAGTTTAAGTTTCAGTCAACTAGTACAAATAAAAAGTGATGAGAGAGAGTTACCCTCTGTTGTCATTCGGCCTGTAGACACTCCTTCGGCAGTCGATGCAAAAGGACCGATTGTGAATCCTGACAGTAAAAAAAAAACAAACATAAATAGGGGTTACAGTATATTTCTATCAGAACATTTTTCAATAAAGAGTTCCTTACCTGTACTTCCATTCAAGAAGAAAAGGAGAAAGAGGCCACAGAACATGTTGTATTGATGCAGGCAAATAATAGTGTTAGACTGGCTTCAGGCAAACAGGTGCAAGACAGAAACAAGTGGTATAAATGGACACAGATGTAAATAGAGGAAGTGTGAAACTGGGAAACTGAAAGACAGGGAAGTTTGAAGTTCCATTTTCCATATATTTAATACAAGTGTGCAGAAATCAGCTGTATCATTCTTCAATGTTTTACACAAGACAAAAAGAAGAACATGTCCACCACATTGTCCTCTTTTCGTGACAGAGCACTGAATAGTAGGGACAAATATAATAGTCTAATGTGGAAAATTACTATTTTAATTTAATAAAAATAGTTCAAACAGAAAGTAAACTGTTCTTACTCACGGCACCCTAAAGTTTGTAGCATTACCAATCCATAAATAATTCTCTGACCTAAAGAAGGCTTCGTGAATCACACTCTACTTAACTTGTAATGGTTTTTTACTTTTTAAAGTTAGAAATCTTTGAAAAAACTTGGCTTCAAAAATTTCATTTCTGGGACTGCAGTAACCTTCAGGCTTCAGTCTTGTTCCTGCCTTTGGTGCTGTTTGACATTTTGACATCAAATCTCTCACCTCAGGACTGTTTAAGAGAGGGTCAGGAGAAGACATAGATTTTTCACCCCACTGGAGATTGATAATCTAGTTTCTGTGCTAAACATGTCCACACTACATGTCTTCTTAGTCTGTCTTAGATTCTAACTTCCCTGAATCCTTCCCTCATGTCTCCACGTCTTCGTATTTTGTTTTCCTGCTGTGCTGCTGTGATCCAAACTAACTCTCATACCAATCCATGTTTACATGCGATTTGGGTGTATGTTGGACCTTAAACTTGTGTGCGTGAAAAGAGGGAAGTGGTTTATCTTACACCATAAAACTGTTGCTAAAACAAACCAACAGCCGCTGTATCTCACTGCTACATGACAAAGCCATCCTGTACCTTAACTCTTGTTTAAGTACAGGTTCATAGAGTTTCTTTTGAGGTCATATCTGGTGCCACAAGCAGACTCACATCACTGTGACAGGTGAGTCTACACTGGCCTATATAAAACCCGATACATTCAAACACAGGAATCAGCTGCATGTGGTCATTTTTATAGTCAAAGTCTGCAGTTTTTGGGCAACAACTCTTTTTGTTGTGCTCCTATATAAACAAGTCAGGTCATTAAATATCATAATTATGTCTTCATGGTTTCTAAGCACCATAAAAATCTTAGAAACAACCACCTCTGGGTTTCATTTCCCCCCGGTCACTGTGAAACTAAAGAAAAACAAATTAAAATAAAGATATTCCAGAGGGTTTCAGTTAAGTTCAATTTAAGAGAGTGTCACTGTTAAATCTATTGATTTAAGCATTTTCAGACATTTTTTTCACACTTGTGTTTCCTGTGATATTTTTCTTGTGAGTCCAAGCAACAGTGATAGTGAGAGATACACTCCTCCACAGACTCTGCAAACACACACACAGGCACCCACGCACGCACTCATCTGTGACTTCCTCAAAATGAAGTTGTGTGTGCACTGGAAGGGATAGAGGAACCTCTTGATCTATATAAGAGGATAGACCACGGACGAGGCACCCTAATGCAGCACCTTCTTGGTAAACAAATAGAAATAAATAGAGAAGACATCATCGCCACTATCTGCTCTCCTTTATAAACTCAAGGCAAACATAGGTATCTAGTCCACCAACCCTGCACAACATAATCAACTAGAAAATTAAACACTTCAAAAGGGCTACGGGGGCTGCTGCCAGGGTGTTAAATTACGATTAGATTCTTTAGAGACTTCAAATAATACCAGTAGCATTGTGATATTATCAGCCTCACTGACATTAATAACATAAAACTAAAGTTAACTACTAGGCCTGCTGACTGTCATCACAATAAATTAATTTAACATTGTCCATAATTACTCATATCCTAACCCTGTGAACTGAATTCATTTCGTTTCACCATTACATGAGCTGTTGTTGCTGCTGTTGTTTTAATGTTGCTGCTGTCCCCTGTCTCTCTCTCTCTCACCCTCGTTCCCTCCCTCTCCCTTACTCATTCTCTCTCGCCTTCCCTCTATCTTGTTCTCTTTCTCTCCCCCTGCCCTTCCTCCACTTCTCTCTCTACCTCTCTCCCCCTATCTCTCTGTATTCCTCCCCAACCCAGCAGCGGCTCTATGGCTGTCTGACATTTCCCCTCTAAAAAATATCTGATATATGTTGAGACATGATCGCCATGCAAAATTAGGGTATATTTGATCATCTGAATGACAAATATCTAATTGGAGAAAAAAATCCACAAAATAAAATAATCTCAGTGGAAAGAGAGACTAAAATACTGCTAATACATGTACCATATATTGTATATTTCTTATTAGAAAAATTGTATTTTGTTAAGTTTATGTTGGTAACAGGGTTGACAAAATTATGAAAACAGGAGAAAAACGGTTATAAAATATGAAATAACACAGCCTGAGGTGGCACAATATAAATTCCTGTCATTTTAAACATTCTTTGATTCCTGGGTACTTAAAAATTAACAATTAAATATAGTTTAACTTTTAAAACTTCTAAGCTGAAAAGGCACCGATTTCATGGAAGGAACCAAAAACAACGACAATCTATTCATGGGTTTGTATTCTTAATTGGGTGAACATGAAAATTAAAATAGCTTATTTAACTATAAAGTACATGTCAGACCAACAATGTGCACCTCAAGAAAGACGAAATATGTAATTATAAATCAGCAGAATTTGCAATTTGTTGTTTCCACAACAAAGTAGGAAAAATTCCCATAGTGCAGTTCTGACATTGACCCACGAGGTCTGCCGAAGAAGACCTACGGGGTTTACCACATTCCGTCGCAAGGGCAAGTTCCCCCTCATTGTGTGTCACAACCATAGACTGTATATAAATTAAATACATTTAATTTATACACATGTCGATGGTGTTTACTGGATTCTTGTTGGTCAAGCCCTCACAACAATTGTAACTGATAAACGCCAGTGGTAACCTGTCACATCAAAATCCACCTGTGGAGATTTCCGATTTTACAGGTTTTTATAGCAGATTGGAACCCCGAAACAGGGCTAGCATGAGTCCAACACGAAGCTGAATATTAATTTGAAAATAATATTTCTTCGAATGATAGTAGTCTGATACTTAACCATCAATAACTTAAGTGAAATATAACTTGTATGTAGAGCCAAACCATTGTAAGCTTTGTAGTTTTAGGACAAAAGATTGAAGAGAGATTGATTAGCTAGTTCCGAAGAAGCACAAAAATAACCTACAAAAAGAAGGAGTGATTGTCTGTGGAGTATTGGCTTATCCCCATTCTTTAAGCACTTTTGTAATGAACTAAGATTCAAAGATTGTCTCATATGGAGATTTTCTATGAGTTTAAATGGAAGATTTATTTTATTTCCAAGCCAGAAACAAGCTTTAAACCAAGTGGACCACCACCCTTCCTCAGACAACAGTTTTAAGCATTGTAAATAATTATGCGGAAACCGCCTTTTCTTGTTTGTTTTTGTCACAAAGAGGTAACATTTTGTCTGTCATTATAGGAAACAAAATCAATGGATTGAAATTGTTTATGAGATTTATGTTATGGAGAAGATTTATGTTGTCTCTCAAAGTTGAGAGAATGTTTTTACAAGATCTGGACCAAATGGATAGAGTATGTAAAACCAATCTGATCTGATTTTATCTGACTGACTATACTTGTACTTTGTTTAAACCTACCCTCTTTTATTCTCATTTATTTATTTAGTGTCCGATGTATTGATTACATGTAAGGGTGTGCTCCCCGGTTCTGTTGTTTTTGTGTTACTGCTTCCACCTGGAATAGTTTGGGTCCGTGGGAGAAAGTTCCAGAAGGGTAGTATGGACAACATCACTGTGTCCTTGATAAACTGAGTTAATGTACATGTGTAATGGTAAATGTGATGGAGATGTGCCTTTCTGAATTAAAAGAGAAAAAAAATACAAAATCAACAAAGAAAAATCTCTCATAGGAGCTTCAAAGAAGTATGAATTGTATCTGCAATAAATATGAAATTTAAATTTCTAAGACAGGCAGACACCCTTGAGATGAGAGATTTTCATTTTCCTCAACAGCATTAGGCTGAAGTCAGAGTTTTTTCTGTCACTAAACACATACAGTCATTTGCCACTGGGTGGTGCTCACTTCTCACAGTTTAGGCCTTCTAATTCACTCATGCTGCAGAGCCCTTTTGTCCTTTATTGAACCCGGACCCTTAACCATCAGTTGGCAAATTTAGTGGTTTTATATGAATATTTGCAGGTAATGTAGACTTGTACTTTGGATCAGGAGGTAATTCACAACAAATTTCGCACCTATTTTTCTTATGATATGCCCTGTAGCATCAGAAAAATGGTATATGTGATATATGTAAAAAACAAAAACAATATGATTTTCATCGGAGTGGGTCTTTGACGTTGATGTTGTTGATTTGCACACTGGAAAATCTAACTCTTCGTCTTTGCTCCACCCCTGCAGGTCGGATAGCTATCAGTGCTGAGGGGATATTTTGATGCAATTGTGTGTGTATCTCTCCCTTATACTTATGGTTTTTGGATTTGGGATTTTTGAGTTGGACATTTAGAAGTTAGTTTTTGTTGTTTTCGTTCCCTTTTAAATAAATCTGTTTTTGTTCTGCGTTTTGGGTCCTCCCTTCTTTTGCTTTACCCTGAAATGTGACAGTGGTGAGCTGTCCAGGATTCTGAGGGGGGAGGAGTGCAGGAGAGCTCCACTTTAAGTCCACTGTCATCTCCACCATCTTGAATGGGTTCAGCTCCAGATGGTTCTGACTGCACCAGAAGAGCAGCTGATCCACTTCCATCTATATGCATACTGATCACAGTTTGATGAGTATGCATATAGACAGGAGGTGGATCATGGTCCTGAATACGATGTTAAGTACGCAAGAGTAAAGTACTGAGGCACCCTGATCCAACACCTTCTTGGTAAATCAATAGAAAATAGATAGAAATAAATAGAAAAGACATCATCGCAACTATCTGCTCTTCTTTAAAAACTCAAAGCAAACATAGGTCCATCAACCCTGCACAACATAATCAACTAGAAAATTAAAAAATTTGAAAGCGCTGCGGGTGCTGCTACCAGGGTGTTAAGTTATGATTACATTCTTCAGAGACTTCAAATAATACCAGTAACATTGTGATATTATACCTACAAGGAGCACACCTACAACAAAAATCCTTTTTCAAGTATTTATTCATACAAGAAAAAGGACAGAGCCGTAGACATTTGAAAAACTTCAAAACTTGTATGTCACAAAAAATTCAGTGTTGACCCACATCTGGGCAAGGGAAACTTGATACCAATTATTTCATCCCTCAGGAGGGGTCTATTTGAGCTACCCTTTGTCTGATCCCTTCCCCAGGATCTGTTTGCCATGGGTGACCCTACCAGAGGCATAAAGGCCACGACAACTTAGGTCCTGGGATCACTGGGATGCACAAACCCCTCCACCACGGTAAGGTGGTAGCTCGAGGAGGGGATAATATACATTTAATTCATGTTTTTTTTTTTTTTTAAATCTTTTTAATCACACATACACATAAAAACATACGAGTGTATATGTGAGTTGATTGTGGGAAGAAACCTGAGCATCCAGGAGAAAACCCAGAGAATAATGTTATGAGCTGGACTTGGGGTCTAGCACAGCTGCTGCTGCACTGCTGTGGAAGTCTAAAGTTCTGAGGGTGGGCCGTGGTTTTACGCTTGTGCTTTTTTGTGCTTATTTTTTCAATGTTTAAACTGATGGGGGGAGTTTTTTTTTCAACTTTTCAGTCAAACATACACACATATGCAAATATAAACATATGTGTGTGTGTGTGTGTGACTTGGTTGTCGGGAGAAACCTGAGCATCCAGGAGAAAACCGCACAGAATAATGCTATTAATTGGAGGTGTTTGAATATGTTAGTGGTCTGGGGATGAGGAGTGTATCAGCCAATGGTTATATTCATTGTGGATGGATGTACCTCCTTTGTCTGAATACTTTTGTTTTTTTTTTGGGCTGGGGTGGGGGACTGGGCTTCAGGTCTTTGGCCAACTGCAGTTTCTGGGTGGTGTAGGTTTTTGGAGTATCATATTTCGTAAAGCCCCCCCTGTATGGGGCAGAGCTTATCGAGACATCTTTGAGTAAAGCAAAGCTATCCTGTTTTTGTCTGATTCGACGGGTTTCCCGCGTACTATACCTCGGTAAGGGTTCCCTTGTATTAGCAGCTGTAGGTCCAACCACGTGTCTGAAAGGAGGTGACGATGAGTCGACAGGTGGGAGAACTGGCTGCCTACGATACCTCAGTAAGGGCTCCCCTTTACCAGCAACTGCAGGTCTGTCAATGTGTCTGAAAGGAGGTTCTGATGAGATGATAGGTGGGAGAACTGGATTTGCACGACCCCTCAGTAAGAAGGGTTCCTCTGTATCAGCAGCTGTAGGTCCGTCCATGTGTCTGAAAGGAGGTTCTGATGAGTCGACAGGTGGGAGAACTGGCGGCAAAGCTTCTCTGCACTTTGCTCCAGCAGATTCGCAGTGTATGTATGCAGGAGGTGGCGATGAGTTGATAGGTGGGAGAAAGCTCTGTGGCCGATCATCCTTACATTTGTTCTCCAGCCTTGAAGGCGCTTTATTTGTGTTGAGAACAATTCGTCCAGAGGCTCGGGCCTTTTGTAATTCACGCTCAGCATACTCTTTGAACTCTTTCTCCTCAGCAGCTAAAGCTTTTGCTTGCCTTTTTTCAGCTTCCTTGGCCTCCTTTCTCTGCTGTTCCTGAATGGCACGTCTCTGTGCGTGTAATTTGACATTACCATCAGAAACTTTGATGTTTCTTGCCCTCGCAGATTTAGCTTTCTGGCTTTCCCTTTCAAAGTACAACCTGTTGTCCTCTTTCTGGGCCTCAATCAGCTCAAGATCTCTCGGCTTCTCCTCCAGCTGCTTCTGCACCTTTTTACGCATCTGCGCTTCTTTGTGAGCTGAAATAGCTTGCAGCATTTGGTCTCTCTTCTCCCTCTGTATTTGTTTCTGTATTTGTTCCACCGCTGCTTGTTTTTTGGCCTCTTCACATACTTTCTCTTCATCCCTGGCCCGACTTTCCTCCTTCTTTTTCTCTTCCTTTTCCAACATACATCTGACCTTATCCATGCAAAACTGCCTCTGCACAAACCGGGGATCTATGTACTCTTTTCTTTGCCAGCATTGCTCTTCTATTTCAGACCGGTCACGTTCTCTCTTCCTATCCTTCAAAATGGATTGTTGCTCCCTTTGTTGTTTATAAAAGTTTTTCTCAGCTATATCATCGAGACGACGTTTACGGTTGGCTGCCTTTAACTGAGCTTCTTTTTCAGCTTGATCTTTCTGCTCCTGTGCATACAACTCATCCAGGGCTCGAAGTTCAGCTCTCTCCTCTTTCTCAGCCTGAATCTTCTTCTTCTCTCGCAACAGTCTCTTCTCCTTCCCCATCTCCTCATTCTCTTCACCCACTCTGCGCCAGAGTTCCTTTCTCCGAAGAGATTGCTCCTGCTGTTCTCTCAGAACTTGCTTATCATCAAGCACCATCTTCTCTTCGAACTGCCTTTCTTCTTTTGTAGCAATTTTTTGTCTTTCTTGCCGAAGTTCCGATAGTTCCTCATTTTCCTTTCTAATATTTATGGCATCCAGTTGACTGTGAAATCTCCTAACACAGTCTCTTTCTTTGTCGAGAGTTTCATGCTTTTTTTTCTCCTTCTCCTCTGCAATTTGAGTATCCAATGTGGCTTCCCACTCTCGGATCAGTTCTTGGACCCATGCAATCTGCGACATTTTGACGTTATTTTGATGTTACGCTAAAATAAAGTCAATGTTTGTACTGAGGCTGTGTACTTCTGCTTATTTCTGAACGACTTATTTCTAAAAACCTTTGTCTTCTCTTTAAATCCCTTTAGAATCCGTGACATCATCACATCAAAGCCGTGACGTCATCAAAGCCGTGACATCATCACATTTGAAAGTGATGTCACTAGGGTTATTGAATCACGTTTGCCTCATTAAAAACCATCAGTAACACACAAAACTGAAATAGGCCAGGTCTTTCAAATGAATATTTTTACTGCATAAATCAGGAACCAAAAGTTTTACATTTTACACATCGCACTGATGCCCATCCATGCTTTTCGGTCAAAATCTTAACCGCTGCGACAATGTTGGCACCGTTGTCATGGACAACAGCTTTGATCTTGAGGATTCCTATGACATCATCATATTCCATTTACTATGAGGATTCCGATGACATCACAATTACCTTTGGGCTTGCCATCTATCGTGACCAATCAGAATTAAGCAGGGGCGGGACTTCTAGAATCAACCACGTAAATGATTGACATGTGATTGTTGTGTACAAAACCTGTCAGAACTACTGTATGTGTGCAGCTGTAAGAATTTATAGTTGTGCAAAAATACATTTGTTGTACACAAATGTATGTTTTTATATATATGAATCATTAAGTTCTGAGTGTTTTTAAATTTTATTTTTATGAAAGCTTTGCCCTTATCCTTGAATTGTGAATTGTGATACCCTCAGTCAGGATTTTTTTACTCAGTTTTTTTATTCATCAAATTTTTTCTCAGTTGTTGCTTTTTTGTTTCTCCTAAAATTCACTAGGAGAAATAGTTGAGAATATAGCAGCAGGGTTCTTGTTTGAGACCTAAAGCAGAGAGCTTATTAATGGTTAATTTTATCCCTAAACAAGATGATAATGAGACACAGAGGAAGTGAAGAAACCACCAAAATTAAACAGCAATCCCATGCCAACAATACTACAATATTTGACAAATCACAAAGTCTCCCAAAGTAAAATTTTAATTCTGTTTGATTCAGGCGCCTGCTATCCATCAAAAAAGAAAGGAAAAAAAAGATCATTTTAATAACAATAACTTTATTTATATAGCACCTTTAAAAACAGACATTTACAAAGTGCTTGAACAGAAAAAAACAAACAAAGCTGTAAGCTCAGTCTTACTTACCAAACTCTTTGTTACAGCACCTTGTTTTTTTGTTTGTTTTTTTAAATATGAAGACAACCATTGTTGTTTTGACTGACTCATTGCATGTTACAGCAACCTAAATAAATTGTGTTCATCTGTTTGTTACATGTCAATATGGTTGGAGAAGGGAACATGGGAAAAAAACATTTGTAGATTACAGTTGAATTTTTTAAACAGAAGAATCTCTGCTTCTGTTTCTAATGTCAAATGTTCCTGTGACCCTTTCCGGTGTAGATTCTAACCAAGAAATTTCTTGTTGTGAGGCAACAGGGCAAATCATATGGAGCCAGATCAGGCTCAAAAGTATTGAAAAGTAGTGTAAGTGAAAAAATAAAAAGTAAAGTGGAAAAATAAGATTTGAACCTGAAAAAAAAAATCTACTCATGCCATCCTGTCGATTTTTAGTAATCAGTGTTTCGGTGTCGAACTATTTCCCTTCTGCGGCGTAGTGATACTTGCACACGTGCAATCGAATATGCAAGGGGTGAAGCGATTTTTTTCACGTGGACCAATAGGGCCCGAGTCTCGTTGCCATAGTATCAGAAATACACAAACATGGCGACGACCGCATCTCGCAACGAGACAAGCGAAGAGGAAGAAAAGAAAAGGAACAAAAGAAAACGGCCTTCAAAAGTGCATAATAAAAGAACGAAACGATGATATATGCATCTATCATCTGCTATCTGTCGAGAGTGAAGATGTTCTTGACTTTACAAGGACACGTTGGGAAACTTACAGAACTAGTATTGGGAAGTGGCTTTCTCTACAGGGTGAGACAAAGGACCTTGCAGAAACTTATAAACTTTTATAAACTATTTGAACGAAATTCACTTTCCAGGCACTTTTCCACTTTTGCTATATAAATAAAGTTATTATTAAAATGATCGCCTGCAGCACCAGCTATATAACATGCCCTGCAGACCCTGAGATGATACTGGGCATCAGGCTTCCTGTTCTGGTGATGATCGTTAAGAACCTCCAGAAGTATTTCACCTTCGAAGTCCAGGTTATCCCAGAACACGTCTCCTCACTGGGGACATAAACATAAAGTAAATCTTGAGTTTCTTGTACCAGTTGAATGTTTTTTCATGCTTCCTCTACATTTTTGTAACTTTCAGGTGCTAGATGATCAAAATTTTCGCAGACGGTTTTGGGTTAGCAACTACCGAAGCACGACAAAAGTGAAGCCGTTTTTCTGCACAATGCCCATGAGGTTGGAGGATGGCTGGAACCAATTCCAGTTCAACAGACTTCGCAAGGAGAGCCTATGGGACTAATTATGTGGAGACACTGCGTGTGCAGGTTAGAAAACTCAGACAGCCCAAAAACAGTCCTTAAAAGGCGCCTACACTCAGTTTTCTGAATAATCTCTATAGCAGTGGCTAACTTTGTTTTCCCTTCCACGCTAACATCCGAATACGGAGAGTGTATTTTTCTGACAGTATTCTGAGGATGAGCTCCCAGCAGACTTTAAACTCTCTCATCCTGTCCAAAAACCAAAGGTGAATCACACACCTCCACACATGTAAAATAAAACATCAATTAATGATGCAATACTCTTACACATATTATCATACCATTAGACATTAATTTGGCACACTAGAATAAAATGTGCCGTGATATGGGTCAAACACTCATATTTGTTTTTTTTTTTTTTTTGCAGCAGTAAAGATGAACCTGCACAAGTTTACGAGACCCACCAGTGAATTTAAAACCTTGTTGTATTGTAAATCTGAAGTTTTAGTTCTGATTGTTATGTTATTCTCTACAAAATAAAGTTTTTAATGGACTCATTTGTCTTCAAACTTTTTCATATAGGCAGTCAAAAGTATACAAATACACCTTATAAAGATCATTTTAAATCTAGAAATCCACAATACCCCACTGCTGAAGGTTTTTTATCACAAAAAAACAAAAACAAAAGGCTTAAATAAGCAAAATAATCCAGGTGGAAATTGTGTAATTTAGGGTTTAAAGCACAGATGTTCAGACTTACTTTGATCAGCGCTGGACTGGCTCTCTGTCTGAAAGACAAGAACTGTTCTGGTTCTTTTTCCACACTTGGGACAGGAGGTATATCCTTAAGAAGTAGACTGGTCCCTGCATGAGGCCAGGCATTGTCCGCAGAACCAGTGTCCACAGCAGGTAGAGACTGGATCCTTCAAGACATCCTGACATAAAGAACAGCTAGACATCTGCTTCTCCACAGATTTATTTTCTTTATCATTTCATGTTTGAAAGATACAGAATAAGAAGCATTTATTAAACCTGAGTTTATGATCTCACTCTTTTCTCTAACATAAAACAATCTCCTGTAAAATATTCAGCTGCTGCTGCCTGAAAGTGTGGTGACAGGAGGAAAAACTAAACTGTGATTTTTGAAGGTAGAGAGATTTTTTCTGACATTTTAAAACATTTTTTGACCAATCAGATCTTAAGGTCTAATAAGAGACAGATGCTTTGAATGAGTTTTCATTTTTCAGGATCTATTTCTTGTCAGGCCTGGGTTTAAGGGAGGACTCAGACGCAGAGGTTCCAACATCAACAAACGCTTTATTTTGAAAAACCGTCTACTTTACTCAGTAGATTGAGTGATAAATAAATAGGCTATGAAAACCTTCTATATCTATTGTTATGGTAAGCAGACAAAACACAAAAACAAAACAAACCAAGACTGAACAAAAATTCACTCCAAAAAGGAGGACAAATTTGAAAACTGATCTTCTCTAATCTTTAGAGGAATAACTATGAAAATGTATGAACAAAAAAACGCTCCAAAAGGAGGGAAACAAAAAGAGGCTACAAACTTAACTACACTGCACCCCTAAGCTAGAAAAAACTGTAAGAAATTAAAGTCACTCCAAAAGGGAGGAAAAAAAGCAACAAGGCTATGAAACAGAAGCTAGATCTAGAAACTAAACAGGGAAAAAACTACAACAGAAAATCACTCTCCTAAAGAGGAAACAAGGATTATCAAAAATACAAACGTGGTTATCAAGCAAGGCTGTGGACATGAAGGCTGGAGGACCACGACTAAACGAGACACTCTGGCACAGGACAAAGGGAGACACTGGCTGTGTCCGAAATGGCATACTGCCTCATATCGACTTAGCTACTCAAGCAGTACCTACTGCATACTGACTACTCAAAGATGATTTGAGTATGCCGTGGCTGCCCGAGCGTTTACATACAGATGCATACTAAATACCCCAGAATGCATTTCGTGCCGGCCGGACGCAGCGCCGGGAAAATTTAAATAGTCCTACCACAAGCAACACAGAACGACTGCATTCCGGACAAATTATATAAATTCATTCAATAATAGTATTTTTTCTAGCGAGAAAGTACGTGTTTACATCACGATTATGAGCCCAGTTGTTTGAAATAGTGGCTGTTTGTAGATTTGTCTCGGCGTTTTCGGAGACCGAAGTGTCCGCCTGGTGGGTGTTTGCGTCTATTTACCGTAAACACCGGGCAGCAGCAGCTCCCCCTTCACGTTTCCAAATCATTGCCACAATAACGTCCCAGAACAAGAAAAGCTAAAAATATCTCTGAGACAGACAGAAGCCATTCTACTAACATTCACAAAAAGAGGTAAGATCAGAGCAGGTTAACTGTCCTCAAGACTTCAGCGGTGCTGCATAACATTAAATGCTATTCAGGTCATCTGGTGAAAATTCCTGTATTTTTAATATCGCAATATATATCACAGGGTTGAAAAAAATCGCAATGTTAGTTTTTTCCAATATTGTGCAGCCTTGTACCACAGTACATAAACAGAACACAAAAGTACTGAAATGAACTATAAATAATAATAATTTTAAGATGTATATTTTTAAAAAATTAGCAGGGTGATGTTCTGGTGGTGCACCTCCCACCACATCGAGCTGGTGCCTGTTTCAAATGGTCCCCAATCGATGCTGCAACCAGTTCCTCTGTTGCTGTCGGGAAGTTAATGCGAACAGACTCTGCGAAAAGAAAAAAACAAAAGAAACTTGAATCATAGTAATGGTAGAAATTATCTAGTAATGTCTGGAAGGATTCTTCACTTTTTTACAGCTTCAGGCTTTAAATGAGTCAGTAACATGACCAAGAATAAGTAATAACTTGCAGAGATATAATTCATTTACCAAGAATAACTGTGAAGAAAGCAGTTTTCTTTAAGCTTTTTTTCCCCTGGCGTCCTCCACCCAGGAGGTTGTAGTTCCTCTGCACGTCATTGTGTAAAATTCTGAAATGGATATCAAAGACAAATAAATCTCTTAAGATGCTTCACACCGGACAGGCAACGCAACTTGTCCTGTCGCGTGTCCTTAAATGTGTCACTTTGCCACAGTCAATTCGCGTTGCGCATTGCGTCACGCCCGCTCTAGGTTTCCCCTCGATTTCGTCGGATACCGTGTCCAGCGCTGCTCTTTATTTGCTGAACAAGTCTCTAAAACGTCAGAGAAACCCTTGCCGCCGTTGCGCAAGTGCCTGTGTGAACACACCTTAATACTGCTTACTCTTGCAATTCACTAGAAAGACTTGATAAACACCAACAACACATGATTATATTAATAACATTGTCTTGCTGTCATATTCATACCTGTCCAGGATCTTGCGTGTGCAGGTCTTAATGTCCTTCCCCCCAAGGTGTGACAGTTGTTTTATCTGTATGATGTAATCAAATTATCAAGAGTGTCTAATCTATAGATTTGTATGATTTTTAGCATCTCTATTTGACTTACCAGTGAACGTTTTATGTTGGGGTGCCTATCGATTTCCAACGACATGCGCTGATCCTCCTCCAAAGTCCTTAACGGCAACTGACGTATCCGCTCACCCCCATCTTCAATGTCCCCCTGCTGGTTGAGCGATTTCAATTCATCGCGGATTTCCAAAAGTGTTTCCACGACAGCCCGCTGGAACTCTTAGTGAAAAGATATGATTTAGTACCATAAGATTAAATAATTACAATACATTACATAACATTTTGTACTTTAGTTATGCCACTCTTACTTTTTTTACTGTCCACAAAACACGGAGTCTGCAATAGTGTCCGGCCATCTTTGGGCAAATCGTGGCCATGTTTGCGGAGGATCGCCAACATCTTATTAACACTACTGTGAGTCTGCTTTGTTTCTACAGCCCAAGCTGCCACATCCTCTCTTAGGCTTGACAGTTCATCTCCGGTTTGAGATTCCAAGTCAACAAGCTCGGTTTCTTCAACTCTTGTGTCTGGATATTCACTATAACTGTAGTCCTCTTGATTATCAGGCTCTTCTTTCAAATAATTAGAGGCCATATTCAATGTGGCTGGAAAGAAAACACACGGAAAAAAGAAAGTAGAACAATTATAATATTAATAACAGTGTGAGCTTGTAGATCAACCGTTATAAAATTGTTTTTTTGTTTTTTTTTTAGTACAATTGGCAACTTGTGAAGCAGGACATAATGCATAATGAATATCTTTTGCTCTTGGTAAAAAAGATATGTCAATACCAATGCTTTTAGATTTTTACAATTGGCATTTCCTATAGCACTGCTAATGCATTAACAAAGTAATATTGGAATAATTCAACTAATGTGTCCCATTTCTACCACACATAGTGAAAACACAATCTATGACAATTACAGTTAAACACAAATTTAATTATATGAAAAAATACCACTGGATAAACAAAAACAACAGTACTGGCATCAAAATCGGCTTCATTTTCTAATTTAAATGGATAGCCTAACTAGCAGCTTTTAAACTTGGCTCCAACAGAGAGAGCAGGCCCTTATTTACTTTCATGACAATACACGTTAGCATGGACAAGAGCAGTGGATTAAAGGTGTTTTAATCCACTGCTCTGGCATGGACTATTTGATGCTGGCTAAACTAGCCACAAGCTAGCCCTCGTAGTAGCAACCAGGCTACATGCGAACTCGAGTTTAACATTCACCGTCACGCATCATGATGCACGACGGTGTGAGGACCAAAGCTTGCAAAAATAAACATTTTCTATAATATCTCCTTCAGCACCCACCTCTTTTGAGCAGAAAGTATAACTCTCGAACTCTGGCACGACTGGAACTTGTGGTGTAGTACGACGGTCGTGAGGTCGAGTGTGGACAAAGCGCAATGCTTCAGCCGGATGTTGTGCGGTCCACAATTTGAAGCCGTTTTCATGTTCTGGTCCGATTACGGTACGATCTCCATACGGGTGTTAAGATGGGCTCTTGCAGAGATACCAAATACTTTTTGTCGCTCATCTCGTGTTCTTGCGGCTATGCCGATAACTTTTATCACAGACTACTTCGCTCTTGGCGGAATTAGAATCTACCCGAAGTGGTTGCACGGTGGGTCACGTGAGCGTGCTCCACCAATAAGGTGGCTGGATTATTGTCACGGTGGCAGCCGGCGTTACCGAGACGGATAAAACACATGAAATCTAAGAATTAAATTGAATTTCAGCGACCAACTTTGTTGTTGAGTACTCAGCAGGACCCAGGCTTCAAGATCCGAAGCTGTTTTTTTTTTTTTTTTGCCGTATATGCGTTTTTACGGGATACGGCGAAAACACTGCTCATTCTCCGGAGTATGATAGTTCCATAGATTGAGATCAGTTCTGCAACGTTCAGTTATCATTTTGAATAATCAACTCTTGAATTGTGGATTAAAATCGATTGCCTAGATGCGGTCTATATGTAGACGTTGAAAAAAAGACCGAATCCCGACGTTAAAATGAAGTATAAATTTATACGTGTAAATGACGTCTACATCTATACTATGCTGCATATCTCTCCACGGTATCAAAAGTAATGTAATCCAGTATTTAGAGGTCAGTTATGCACATTACAGTTGTTTATTTCATAAAAAGTTATCGAAAAATGAAGTTGAGGGCGAAGTATAAATCACGTCTAGAAATAGACCGAATCCCGACGTTGAAATGAAGTATAAATTTAGACTAGACTTCTAATATACGTCTTTTGCTCAGTGGGAGTAAAGCTCACATACATTGTCAACTGGAAACTCCCCCGTTTGTAAATGCTGAACCATGTGCTCTCTACCAATAATAATTTGTATTAATCAGAGGTCTGTGCTTAATATGAGTGAGCACTTTGATGATGCATTCAGAAATGAGAAGATGCTCAAACTTGATGTAATAAATACATCTTTAATAGACACTTAAATAAATAAAGTCAATTCATACGAATAGTTAAAAACATTACCTATAATCCTAATTTAAAATACAAATAAATCTGGTAAAAAGATCAAAATATGATAAAATGATAAAAAAAATTGTGTAATGTGTACTGACTAAATATTGTTTATCTATTTATATATGTAATTATTATTGCAATCACATGCCATCTATTTCTTTTCAGCCTCGGGAAAGAGGGCCATATTACCAGCTGAGGTGCGCAATGCATTGTGGGGCAGAAGCAGTACGTGAAGCAAGCTCCGTTCCACACTCAGAAATCGAAGCCGATTGAGTATACATCCGGGCATTTCTCGCATACACAAAATTCGCATACTGTACAGTGTGAACGCACTGCCCACTCAATTCAGAGGCGGGGTTAGTAGGAGTAGTAGGAGTAGTATGCCATTTCGGACACAGCCTTGTCTGTAACAGAAGTGTTTCTTGTCAAATGGGACCTGCTGCGTGTCGTAGCGCCGCTACACTGTTTACCTCGGGTCCTGGAGTATGTCACTTTATCCTAGTTGTAGAAGTCCTGCAAACATTGTGTTTGCTGGTAGTCTGTTGGCATCTAAAGTAGCAGCGTTTACATTCAAGATGTCCCAAAAACTGGCACTTCCTCACACCCTGCCTACCCCACCTTTAAGGTTGGTGTTATTACAACATAGCCTCTCTGCCCTGAATATCTGCCTGGATAGAGAAAGGCACAAGATAAAAGTTTCATCCAGAGGTGAGGGGCAGAAAAAAAAAGACTGAAAAAGACTTAATGTCAATGTACAGGGTGTTTATTTATTTATGCACACATGATTGGTAGGTAGGCACCATATATTTGATGTTAATAAAAGCGTTCTCCCCTCCGTAGCGCTCAAACATCTGGAGAGTCTCCTCGATGAGGTCCCCAATGTTCTCCCTCTTTTGCTGGCTGTAATCGAAGCCATCGCCCAGGTTGACTAGAGATGAAGAAACAGACAGAGAGAAAGAGAGAGAGAGGCAGACAACATGAGGAGGAGAAAACTGCAAAGATTGTACTCCAACTCCAGCTTCCATCTGCCTTCAGACCCTCTGGACAGACTGAATTTGATTTACTCTTACGCTGCAGCCAGTCAGGACTGAGCAGCAGAGGAGTTCTTAACTGTTCAGCTGAAAGTTTAATGAGGCTGCCCGTAGAGAGACAGGAGCAGCTGAAACTACTTCCGAGTTAGCGCCGCTTCTGCTGTTGCACAATGTTGTGTTGATGCACACGAGGTATGAGCAGTGACCCGGAGTCAGGGTAAGAATGGTGATTGCGTGAGTGGGTGTTTGCAGGGTGGATGTACACTTGAGGCAAAATCTAAAAACACCTTACCCCTCATGCTCCTGAAGGTATTAAAGATGGGGAGGATCTGCCGGTAATATCTGGTCAGAGCCTCTCCCACCTTGTCTCCTGAGCGCACCAGGTGCTGCAGGACCTTCAGGGTGGTGCACATCACCTGGCGGTTGCGTGTATTCAGGGCATCTGAGGTGCAAGACGAGGGAAGGTTAATATCTTGATGTTTTGTGTTGAGTTATCTAACTTGGGTTTGGGTGTAAGTTTGTGCTTTATTTCAGGCTCCAGCTGATGAAACTATAAACTGCTGTCAATCTTTGAAAAAGTAAGCTTTAGATATGTCTGAATCATTAAACAGTAATCAATACATAATGATGCTGTCATCAAAATATCAAATAATGAAATACTGATATGCAAATCTATTGATCTGGGCTGTGCCTCCTCTAACTGAGAAGATTACTTGGTTGTCAATCACTTACACAAAAAAATGATCTTTTATTTAAAGATTTGCAAAACTAATGCTAATTAAAAAGATTTCCGTGGCATTTCATTCAATGACACGTTGCTGTGTTTCGACCCCTGAAAATTGCAGGAATAAAACTTTTATCTACAGACATATTTTCAGTGATCTAACGTCATCTTTGCACACTCTGTCTATTTTACTTCAGAGCGTGGCAGCTTTGAGCTTAAATTAATAAAACCTTGAGGAAAAATTGTTATAAACATCATTAACACTGTATGTCTTCAGAGGTAGCCACAGCTGATTAATGTCAAAGGGTTACAGTGAAGGTAAAATACATCGACACATACTCTGTCTCAAGGGAAAAGAAGCAGTGTGTCCTTTGTGATCTGTAGCCCCCTGAGAGGACCCTCACCCTCACACACTCACTCTTGATTGGAATGATGAGCTGGGGAATCACTGGCAGGATCTTGGAGCCACCGTGATCCAGCAGGTCATGGCATCCCTGGCGAGCCAACAACTCATATGGGTGTGCAGTTTCTGACAAGCCGTCAAAAAAGAGAGGCAGGAAGTGATGGTAGTCTAATGTTCCGATGTCTACCTGTGGACAGAAATTTAGATTACAGATATAAGTGGTCATTATCACCACCTGATTGCTAAAATGTTACTTAGCCATAGTGCTAATGGCAACAGTGCTGGAAGTTGTGGCAGTAGCCATATTTAGGCTCAAAGGTGCGTCAGCTGCAAAGCCCTGCTTTGTGTCGGGTCTTGCTCACCCAGTCCTGGTTCTAATTCACAAAACACCCACTCACAAGGCATAATCCATTACCTTTTTAATCTATAAAAAATACCATGGAGAGAAAACTTAATTTGCCCAAAGGCATACCTTTGGCCCACATTGGCCCTCTGGATATGTGAGAGACTGTCATCACTTTAAGGTTAGCAGGCATACTCTATTTTTCAGTTGTGTGTAACTGCAAATTCTGAAGTGTGGCATTGTTTTCTTTGCATACTTCTGTTAAGTATGTTTTCATAAGGGTTATACAATGGAAGGGGCAGTACCTTCCCAAATCCCAACTCCTGAACCTAGCATTCTCTGATGGCAGATTTGGCACACCTTGTCATGTTATTAATAGCATGTAAAACCATACGCATAAGCCAATTTTTACTGTACCTACCTTCCATTTAATGCGGTTTCCCCTGGTGTTGTGATCGACCATGATCGGAAACACTCCACGCTCATAAAACTTACGGAAAGTGGTCGGTTTGGAAGGGCGCTCCCGAAAAGCTCCTGCTGCTGGCGGCCCCTCCACCTGGTCAAACACAAAGGGAGAGATAGAGAATGAAGGGTAAGCAGATAAACAGAGGAATAAAGTGAATCAGACATTTGCAGCAAGTATGTCCTAGAAGTCCAATTTAGTCTACAAAAGTTAGTTGGATGTTATTTTGAAATTTACAATTGCTCATTTGTGTCTGAAACCCTGCCAATCTTGTCTGACCAAAAAGCACATACACTCAGACACACACAAACAGAAAAGTAAACAAAGAGTAGACAAATAGTAGATTCTGTGAAAAACAACTAGGAAATCTATAACGGTCGGGTATGGGGTGCCGTTTGTAAAGCAGCCCATTATAAAAACAACAGCAAGATTTGGTCATATTTAGCAAAACAACAGCAAGATTTAGTCACATTTAGCTTCAAACAGCATTTAAAAACGTGATGTGAATTTTCGGCAGTCATTTTTTTGCACATTTACAACAACATTTAAATACTAAAACTAAATGTTAAATGTTAAATCTAAATGCTAAATATAAATCTTAAATATATATGTTAAATCTAAATCTAAATGTTAAATCTAAATCTAAATGTTAAATCTAAATGTTAAATCTAAATGTTAAATCTAAATGTGTTGGGCGAAACTAAATATTTAGCTAATATGCAAATTCACGGTCGGAAACCGGAAGTGCCAAAATAAAAGCTCCAGAAGGTCATATTGATGATTCTTGTGTCGAAGAAAACGAATTAAAACCAATTTAAGGGGGGAACAAATACTTGGAATGACGTTTCGTGTTAATAAGTACCTACAATAGCGACAGCAACAACAAAAACTTTATTAGAAAGACTCGAGTTTTCAGTGTCGCTTCTCCGTATGGCGCGGACACTGTACGAACACACGCACACACACATGCAGGCGCACACGTCATACTACTCCATGGCACCTTATCTATTCATGAAGTGCTTTGGCCGTACGGGTAACGCGGACGACTGGGACGCAGGAAGCCGGGGTTCGAAACAATAGACTGTATATAAGTATATATGTATAGACTATATATATGTATCTTATATACAGTCTATGGTTCGTACAGTGTCCGTGCCATAAGGAGAAGCGACACTGAAAACTCGAGTCTTTCTAATAAAGTTTTTGTTGTTGCTGTCGCTATTGTAGGTAGTTATTAACACGAAACGTCACCCCAAGTATTTGTTCCCCCCTTAAATTGGTTTTAATTCGTTTTCTTCGACACAAGAATCATCAATATGACCTTCTGGAGCTTTTATTTTGGCACTTCCGGTTTCCGACCGTGAATTTGCATATTAGCTAAATATTTAGTTTCGCCCAACACATTTAGATTTAACATTTAGATTTAACATTTAGATTTATATTGAACATTTAGATTTAGATTTAAGATTTATATTTAGCATTTAGATTTAACATTTAACATTTAGTTTTAGTATTTAAATGTTGTTGTAAATGTGCAAAAAAATGACTGCCGAAAATTCACATCACGTTTTTAAATGCTGTTTGAAGCTAAATGTGACTAAATCTTGCTGTTGTTTTGCTTAATATGACCAAATCTTGCTGTTGTTTTTATAATGGGCTGCTTTACAAACGGCACCCCATAGTCGGGCCGTAATACAAACTATCCAAAGACATTCGCTACTAACACTAACATGAACCAAACGTGAGCAAGTTTAACCTAACATCCACGACGTTAAACAGCTTTACTCACCACAGATTTGTTCATGTTGGCCATCAAACAAACGTAAAAACGTCCCAAAACCGTGAATGTTTGTGTGTCGCTCAGAGTGACATCCGTGTTGCCTTTTTTCCCTGACGCGGTTGCTATGCAACGTCAGAGACGCTCTGGTCCGGTTGCTGCGGAGAATGCACGTAGAATGCACCCCTGCCGTGGATTTCTCTCAGTAACAATATATATATATATATATATATATATATATATATATATATATATATATATATATATAGAATAGAATATAGAATATTCCTTTATTGATCCCCCATGGGGGAAATTTTTTTGTCACAGCAGCAACACAGACAAGCCAAAAAGTGCAAAAATGCAGTTATAACAATAAGGGTCCTAATATTAAGAACTTAAATAAATGTAATAATTAAGAAAAAAATTAGAAAAGGGAGAAGAAAAAATAAAGCTTTCTACAATATACACAATTTAAATGCCATAAAAAAAGTGGTGGTGTAAAATCAGTTTTGTTACTGTTCATTGTAAAGTCTTATTGCAGAGGGGAGAAATGATCTGCAGTAGCGCTCCGTCCTGCAGGGTGGGAGTCTCAGTCTGTCATATATATATATATATATATATATATCTATATATATATATATATATATATATATATATATATATATAGAATAGAATATAGAATATTCCTTTATTGATCCCCCATGGGGGAAATTTTTTTGTCACAGCAGCATCACAGACAAGCCAAAAAGTGCAAAAATGCAGTTATAACAATAAGGGTCCTAATATTAAGAACTTAAATAAATGTAATAATTAAGAAAAAAATTAGAAAAGGGAGAAGAAAAAATAAAGCTTTCTACAATATACACAATTTAAATGCCATAAAAAAAGTGGTGGTGTAAAATCAGTTTTGTTACTGTTCATTGTAAAGTCTTATTGCAGAGGGGAGAAATGATCTGCAGTAGCGCTCCGTCCTGCAGGGCGGGAGTCTCAGTCTGTCATATATATATATATATATATATATATTTATATGTGTGTGTGTGTGTGTGTGAAAGGTGATCCCTGTTTTCTTCGTTTCTGGGCACCGTTTATTGGAGCATCCATAGGCTGCACAAAAGTGGCATTTTCAGTCATTTGACATATTCCTGTAAACACAAAGTCAGAAAATTGCCAGGTCAACTTTGTAGTCGGTGGTCTCACTCACAGCACATCCACAAAGACTGTCACTTAGACCAAAAAAAAGGCTGTCATACAAAAACTTAAATCTTGATTGTGGTCTCAGCCTTGATAACTCGTGCAAAGCGACTCAAAGTTAGCCATCGCACGCGCAAAAAGCAGTGAAACAACTGTGCTGCACGATTAAGTCTTTTTTTCTCAAAGAAAATCTGCCATTTCAATATGTCCAAGCATCCTGACTCATAGCCAGATTATTAAGACGGCTGCCATGTATGGACACTGGTGACTCCGCCTCGATTCATCTAGACTTTCTTATACATGTCTATGGGTCTGGGTACATGTGTGAACACAAAAGTCCAACCCTAACCTTTAAGTAAAAAGTCAGAGCTAGGTTATACTCTTATCTTACCCCCCCCCCCCCCAAATATTTTATTATGTGCTTTTCACCTCATAGAGCACAGACACATTTCTGAACTTTTGAAAGAGAGAATTTTACTTGATTATTCACTTTTTTTTTTTCAGATTCTCACATCAAATGTCGACATGTTTCTTCCACATCATTCAGAACCAAAGCAAATTGTAGGAGTCTCGGCTCCACCCCTTAAAAAATGAATAAAAGTCTATTCTCTGAACTTTGGCTATATTTAAATCAAGTGAAAGTTTCTAATTTGCATCACAACATCGTCTCAGCGCTTGCCCCCTCCCCAGCTCTCTTCTGTCTTCCTCCTGTCTCCCTCCATCACCTCCACACCTTCGCTCACCTCGCTACCACACATCAGTAACAATCTCATTTACCGCCCCATTAATTGCTGGAATCCTAGACACTGGTGAGAGAGGTATGCATGCGTGTGTTTTTCTGTGTGTGAGTATGTGTGGGTGAAGTTTGTAAGAAGTATACTGAGGGACAGAGACTTATGAAATTAAATTATTTATACTGCGCTAAAAAAAACAAAAGTTATAGTGTTCATGTTTTTTTAAAGTACCCCGATTAAATGAATCTAGAAATAAACAGTTTTTACTCTGATTTGTCTCAGTAAATCCCTATTTGTTTTCACAGAGGGGGGTGAGGATTAACAGCAGGCGAAAAGTTTCACAAAGATGTTAAAGTTTAGGACTCTTTTTCTGCTTATATATTTTATACAACTATCTATGTAGTAACATTAAAACACCTACACGAGAGAAAAACTTACAAACCTACTCAGAGAAATCATCCCTTCGTCTCTCCTGCTCTTTCCATATGTGCAACACACAAAAACTGGTGTGCACGCATCTGTAGAAAAAGCACAAAAACTAGAGTGGCACATTAGCAGGGGGCTGTTAATGAAGTGAGTCCCTGCTGCAGTAATGAGCGTGCAGATTTAACTACATTAGCATCCCATTCCTCCTCGGCAGTGCATCAGGTAGGGCACGACAGCGCTCACAGCCAGACACATTACTGTTATTTGTTGCAACATTGATCCGAGCATCAGGATGCTGCTGCGTTACTAGCAGAGGGGATGCAGGGGGAGTTTTTGCACTGAAGTACTCGAAGTTCAACGGATTTACTTGGAACTGTGTTTGTATTTGTGGTAATGTTTTTGAGAGGGGGTTTTGTGTTTGCTGCAGTGTTTACACATGGGGGACTTTTCTGATCCAAAAGTGGGATATAAATGTGTGAAAAGATAAAGACTAAGGGGGGAAATCACTGAGAAAACGAATGCAGGTAGCTGCTGATTTACTCGAATGTAACATAGAAACATCTAATTTGTTTAAATGTGTGTTGTTGTTTTTTGGAATTACATGCAAACAGAAGCAAAATCTCTCATTTCATGCCCGAGGGATGCCCGACTTCACAGTTCATCAAAAGAAAGCCAAAAAAAGGAAGCTTTCCTTTAGCTCAAACATCCTCATCTTTAACTCGGATTATTTTTGCCATTTCACCCTCACTTTACATTCACTCATGCTCTCTACAGGCTGATGTTGGTTACATTTCTGACCTTAATGAGTGTCTCCGCATGCTGGGCACATCATGTGGATACTTGGCCATGAAATGAAAGCATAATTACACCAGGGAAGTGCTTTTGTCTCTTCATTTTCTCTCATCTTCACTCTTCTGTGCTCCGTCGCTCTCAGGTGGCCTCGGTTCTTACGTGAATGCACTCAGGGGCAGTCTCTCTTTCTCTCTCCCTCTTGGTCTCTCCATCTTCGTCAGTCTTTCACACACACACACACACACACACACACACACACACACACACACACACACACACACACACTCAAACTCCCAACACTCTTTGTAACAATTATTGTCAGGGCAGGTCTGATGAGAGTGAAAAGAAATGGTGAGAGAGTGTCAGTGTGTGTGACAGGCCTGATCCCTGGATAAAGGTCAAACAGATTGATGGTTCTAAAAAGCTCAGCGAAGGACGCAAGGTTATGACATCTTATATCACTGCTGTAGCTGCCGCCAGCACCATCAGCGTTGTCTCCATCAGCACCAGTTTTATGTTACCAGTAAGTGGCGAGTGGTATCTGACATTTTCAAGGCTTTTGCAAATTGTTCTCTCGACGGTTCAAGTTGGTATTTCTCCCTCACTCTTTCACTCTTTCAATCTTTCTTTTTCTCTTGCAGGTTTTAGTTTGAGATGAATATGGATGTTTAAGTGGCGGCTCGGGACGTCGTCAAATCGTCCTTGAGTGTTGTACAATAGACATAAAGCGGCGTGGAGAGGGGCGAGAATGGGAGGCGAAAAGAGATAAGAGGGAGAGGGTTAACAAAGAGGCTGTCAGAGACTGAGGCGCTTTGTCATTGTCTGGAGCATTTAATGAGCAAGAATTAAACAATGACAGCCCATAATAACCTGAGTGCAGTGTGTATATGTGTGTGACTGTGGATGTTTGTGTGAGCACGCTTGTGTGTTGTTAGCACAAGGTTTGCCTCTGTAGATTATGAGAAATTTCTGCCCTACTTTCCAAGCATATACCCCATTAATACCCAAACTAAAAATAGTTGTTTTGAAATTTGTGCTGTCAAACTATTTTTACTATTTTTTAAATCCCAGTTAATCTCTTGATTGTAAAGAGTTAACTCACATTAATTACGCATCAATCGCACCTTCACAATCCCACAATGGAGATCCTGGTTGGAAGTATTTCATCGATGCTGCCAGAAGTTTTGATTCAGTCACAGTACTCTCTCTTTATGTGTATTTTTCTTCCTCTTTGTGTGTGTTTTCAAAAGATTACATGATTTTTTTTCTACTAAGTAAGTGTGTGCACATTTGCATGAATAAATTCAGGCTCTTGATTTATCTTTTGATCTGGGTTTTGAAGAATTGAATGTTCGCAGTGTGACAACCCCTCCCGCTCCTCCTCTGCTTTCTCCCCTTGCATGTGTCTGATTCTGCTCTGTGTTGCAGCCTCAGGGAGATGGTGGAGGGTGGAGCTGGGAGGGGCTGAGTTACCTGCCCAACAGGGCAGGGCCAGAAAGCATAAAAGGCCTGACTGAAAAGCTTCAGCTCTTTCTCACAGCAGGGCCTGCATCTACCACACCAGCCACCACCATTTTGGGTTTGTTCATCTTACAACATCCACCACACACATACTCACACATCCAACACTTGCTGACACTACTGATCTTAATCCTGACATCTCATACAGATTGATGATTATTTTTGGTGCAGCCAAGTTAAATAAAATATCTTTGTTAATGGCTATTGTTGTGTGTTGCCTCCCTTCTTGTTATCTGCCTTCAGCCAGGCAGTAACAGATGGGGGCTCGTCCGGAATCCTGGTTTTATTTCCCAGGAGAAGTTTGAAAGGGAGGTGCTTCACACAGTTACAGGCCTAGTCTGTTTTGTAGTTTGATGGCCTGTTGAGGTGTTTGTTTCTAATCTGCTGGTGGGTGAAGATTGTGTCGTCATTTGGGAACCCATATTCCTGTCAGGTTTTAGCAATGAGGGACACCAGATGTCCACATTGACCCTTTTTTGTTTTAGTTTGTTATTTTCGTGCAGCAAAGTGGCTAGAGCTGATGCTCGGGGGCACTCCATAACCGTCTAGGTGGCTGTTAGCTTTCTTAGAGTCAACCGGGTTACTGGGCTTGGTGCTTAATCTATCCCGCCACTAACCTGCATGAAGACTAGGGGTGAGTGAGACCGCTAGTACTGGTTAGGCAGCTCGACTTGTTGCGAGACTGTTTTCTCAACTCTGAACTTCAGTAATTAAATTCCACTTCACATACACATGTAGTATAAAACACATATTTCTGAGGTCACAATCAATTTTAGATTTAACTCCCTGGCTGTGAAACTGTAAGTAAAGGCAGTAAGAGAAGCTCCGTGGACTCATGTTCCATACTTAGCTTGTAATATATTTCATTTCTGTTTTCTCCTTCACATTATTGCTTATTTAATATGTCCTATATAGACATTTTCTGCTGTTGAATCATATTACTTCTGCTGCTGCACAAAGCTAATTCCCCTACAGGGATCATTAAAGTTTCATTTTTTTTAATCTGAAAATTCAAATTTAACTTTGAGTCCTCACACCTTTCCTGCAAATTTCACACAGCTCCCACGTTCCTTGTCTCAGATTCAAGAAGAAGAAAAAAAAACCCACATCTGACTGCCAGAATGCACCATGAGGCTTCTGGGTACTTTTTAATTTAGTTGATCTCCCCTCTTTATCTCCTCTTATTTTTTCAATCGACTTGAAGTTATGAGTAATCTGCTTCACCTGCCCCATTGTGTGACGTTGCTTTTCAGAGATGCAAATGGCACTGTGCATCTGTTGTTA